AAATACTATAATAGGCGGTACTAGGAGGCACCGACCTTTAAGAAGAGGGATAAAGTATACCTCCTTAGAAAAAATATCCGGATAAAACGGCCTAATAACAAATTAGACTTTAAGAAAACGGGACCGTTCGAAGTTAACGAACAAATTAGAAAAGTTAATTATCATCTTAAACTACCGGATATAATAAAAATCCACCCAGTCTTCTATATCGCGCTACTAGAATCGGCACCTAAAAACGCTACCGTAGTATAGCAGACAGAAGAAATAATACCGGAAAACCCTAACGCCGACGAAAACTAAGAATAGATAGTTAAGAAAGTCCTAGACAGCAGATACGTTAACGGTCAATTCCGCTATCTCTTAAAATAGAAAGGAAATTAGGATAATACCTAGGAACTACCTAAGAACTACGACAGATATTAAGAGCTTATTAGAGAATTCCACCGCCGAAATCTAGATCGCCTAAAGCCGACACGTTAAATTCGCTAGGAAACAGATTAACCTCCCAGAAGACAGGCATCCGCGCGAAATCTACCAGCTCTAACATCTTAGAAGGCGCAGCAGAACCAGCCCTAGGAGAACCTACACCCGCAGGACCTATAGAGGTATCAGCTAAGGATTCGCTACGCAAACGCTTTACATACCGATTACCACCCTTATCCTCAGGGTTAACGGCATCCCCAACCCCACACGCAGCCTTAAGATACTTAATCTCCTCTAGATCCTCGACCGTCTTCGCCTTCTTAGAAATCATTAGATTACCGCGACGCTTTAGTAAATCACGCTACTTACAAACGCGCTAAAGACGGCTCATATTCTTCTACAACAAATCTAGCACTATTTACTCCTTAGACTCCATCTTATCCAGGACATGCCGTAGCCGGGCAACTAAGACAAGTTAACGCTACACAAAGAAGGGAAAAAGAAACCTATAATTAGAATCCTCTAGACCACTACTATCACAACCTATCAGGCCTCGACGCGTACATTCACCGCAGCGCTTATAACCTAAATCTATCTTATAAACGACCTTACGATCGCTTCCCTTATAACGAACGTTCCACAATATATATTCCGTACAAGGAACAGGCATCGTATCCCCAAGAAGATTAATCTTAGAAGCTAGAGACTTACGCTTAGCCCTCTAGTCGTTACGCTTACGCTTCTCACCGGCCATAGTAGAAAGACTTATAAAAAGAAAAGAATAAAGAAACGACACGAACTCCTAGATATATAACTAAAGGAAAATCTTCGGGCCGAAGATCCTTAAGGAGGGAGATAGTATTATAGACTACAAGGGAAATCAACCCGCAGGGTCGAGAAGACCTTATAGAAAGAAGGCCTATACGGGCCTAGAGACCTTAAGGGCTTAGTAACTACAAGGGCCCGCGTCCCGCAGGGCACTAGCAGATACGTACTAGGTAAAGCCGCAAGGAAACCAAGACCATAACCCTAAGAAGCCTATAGGGGATTATTATCCACAAGAACAAAAGTAGCAAGCCGACAATAAAGCTACAGAGCGATTAAGGGCAAGGAACTTATCACGTCCGCTCTAACGAAGGAAAGTTAGTTATCAAGTTAAGAGAAACCGGTCGTTAGAAAAGTAGCATAAAAAAGTTATATAACTTAGAATAATCCCCTACGCACTAACCAATAGATTAGAACTAATCTATATACCTAATCCAATATTATAATCTAAAGACATAATCTAGATTATTAGCATCTCCTACATATATTTAGACCACGCTCTCTAAGCAGTAGATAGAATCTTCATAGTTAACTCAAAGTATTAATCTATACTTATAGTTTAATAGTAACACGCCTACCCCGATTCTTCACGTAACTTATCTCTCAACTTCCTACACTCCTTATCCTTTAAGGTAAACCCTTCGAACCTATTCACCCGCTAGGCAATTCTAACGCCTAGGCTAAAGAGGCCTCGTTACACAAAGGTACCTTTAACGCAGTTAATAAAGATACACTAGACTACTACCTAGCTAAGAAAAGGATACTAACTAAAGCAAGGCACCAGATTAGGAGTTTTATAGAGAATAGAATAGCCTCAATATCGTTCGAAAGCTATACTAAACTAGCTACAGCTCTAGATTACCCTAGTCTCCCTTAAGGATCCCTACTCTCTCTAGTCTTATTCGCCTTCTACAACGCCGACCTAGTAGACCAACCAGTAGATTTTACTAGAGGAGCATCTACCTACATTAATAATTACTACCGATAGCAGATAAGCCGGTCTATAAGCAAGAACCTTACAGTACTATAGAGAAAAGATATCCTAAGAATATAACGCTAGGCAGAAAAAACCGGATCAAGCTTTAAAGCTAATAAGATAGAGCTTATTCACTTTACAAGAAGCTTAGACTTAACTCATCCAGAAGCAATAGTCATAGGCAATTATATAATCGAACTAAGACGAGAAGTAAAGCTCTTAGGAGTCGTCTTCGATTAGCAGCTCCGGTAGAGAGCCTACGTCTAGAGAGTAGTTATACGAGTAACTAAGACCTACCTAGCTATTAGCAGACTAAAGCACCTTCAACTAAAATAAATACGCTAGCTCTATTAAGCATATATTATTCCCTAATTAGACTACGCCTTAACGGTCTAGCATTCCCTAAAGAGATATAAATAGCAAATAGGAGTACTCTCTAGGGTTTAAAGGATAGCAATAACCAAGGCTATCTTAGCCTTCTAAACCGTATCTACCTAAACACTAGACTACAAGAACTTTCTTCTACTAACAAAGCTACGTCTCTAGGCACGAGCAGAGAGGATTATCTCTAACCTTAGAACGCTTCTAGCTTCGCACCTATATAGAGCTCTTATTAATAAAGTACCCCTAAAGCTTAACCTAGTAGCTAGTTTCCTTAGCCCCCTTAACGTAACTCTCAAGCTATAAAACCTAAACTAGGTAGAAGATACTAAAATAATCGATACCTACCCTCTTCTACTATAGAAACCAACGCCGCTTAAGAGTATTCACCTATAGTTACCTAAAACCGAAACTTTAGAGGCCTTTAAAAAAGAACTACTACTAAATTAGGCTACCCGAATCTTTATAGATATATCTAAAGTAAAAGGATAACTCGGAGCAGCTATAGTAATCCTTAGGAGAGAGTAAAGTATCTATAGATAAGTATAGAAAGGAATCGGCTCTAGTAAGTTCTATAGCATTATAGCGGCCGAGCTAATTACTATTAACACCGGTATAGAACTAGCGGTAGAGTAAAACCTTGAAGACGATAACCTAAATCTAACGTCCTATATAATCTATAGCGATTCTAAGGTAGCCCTATAAGTACTAGCGAACCTACGTAAGCGGCGATTAGGCTAAGGAATAGTCCGATCTATTATAGAAATAGCCCGGTATATTAGAGATAACTATTAGATTAGTTTCTCTCTTTAATAGGTTCTTAGCTATAGTAGGATTAAAGGGAACGAAGAAGTAGATAAACTAGCTAAAGCTATGACTATACGCCTTAGAGAATATAGCTTTAAGCTACTAATATTACTTTAGTTCTAAGCAGTTAAGGACGTAATATATATAACCTAGGTAGCCGAATAGGAGAAATCGGATAAAGGATAATACCTTCGAAGTATTAATATAGTACCGCCAGGCCCTTATACCCGGTATCTATACGGTAAGCTCCTACGGAGCTAGGCTAGCCTCCTTACCTAGCTACGAACCGGCTACTACTAGCTTAACCAATACCGTACACAAATAGGTCGGATTAATAACGAATAATATAAATACAGAGAAGTCGAATTAGTTTCCTACGTTCTCCTTAAATACTCTCTACTTTAAGAAAGCTAATAGAAGATACTCTAAGATAGTAGATTAGAAAAGAATAGCCTATCAGCCTTACTCGGCGGAAAGCTACTAAGTAATACCGCAGCTACCTAGAGTAAAGATAATAATTAGAGAATAATAGCATTATAGCTTTAGGCTATACTTAACTTTATATAAGACTTACAACGGTTTAAGAATAGAGACAATCCTATAGTATAGAACCTCTACACTACTACCCCCTCCTACCCTACTATCCGCTCCCTTTACCTTCCTTTTTCCTCCCAGATTAACAAATCACATATAGACTAGTAGCAAAACTCTTTAAATAGTCGTAGCCTACATATCGCTCAGGGCGATAGGTTAGGGTAAATAAATACAACTTAACTTAACTCAACTCAATCAATCAATCAATTAATCAATCAGCCTTATTCTTAGCAGCAGCACGGGCGGGAGTATACTTAGTAGTAGTAGGGCGCTTAGCAGCGCGCGTAGGGTTAGCGGGGGATAGAGAAGACATGATTTAATTAAAGTAGATAAGTGCTTAGTCAACTGAAGAATTCGTTGAAGCTTACTAACCTACTAGTACATTCTCAAGCCCGTTTTATAGGCGAAAAATAGCCTCCTACGATGCATAAACGCGTGTTTAGTCTTTTGCTTTTTCACAGTTGAACCAGGCCTCATAAACAGGCGGGCCTACGCACCGCTGCAGGCGCGGGTCGGTGTTAATACATTTATATGATGGGGACAAGGATCGCTTCAGGGGGTTAAGTCAGTCTTGAGGCGAGATATCACCCCACTTCGGCCCACAACACCGAAATAGACGACTAAAACAGTGGAATATGCACGCAACACTTATGCGCGCCTATTCGGTGCGAATAGACGTCTAAAACACGTGTTTAGACGACTAATTGTATGCAACGCCTAATCGGTGCAACATATATAGATTATTAAAATGCCTAGATAAATATCTGGTTTATTCGTATGGCCTCCGCTCTATAGGCGCTAGCAAACTGCTAACCGCTACAAACTTAGCGGACGCGACGCGAGAGCGTCAACGCGATTTGGTTTGCGAAGAGCCGACTGATGCAAGGAAATCTGCTGCGTCGAAAGACTGTTCGGTGTCTGGGGAGGTTGTTGATGAGAAGAAGGATGATTAAGTGATGGTGTCTTGGAATAATTTGGTATGATTAATGCAAACATGTTCTTGGTCGTCTTTTCTCTAGCCCGATACTCTTCGTGGTTGTTGAATGAAGTTCAAGCGGGTCTTCTCCGGGTGGATCGTACGGGCCGTTCCGCGATCGCGTGGAACCGCGCGATTGAGCTCGAAACAACATCGCAAGCAAATCACCTTCATCGCGTCTGTTATGTCTTTACGGTCCTACGCGCCTTTCCTTGTACATTTGCGGCATCTGCTCGCCCGACACGCCTCTGCTACCAGATTCCTATCCACTGCTGCTACTTCAGCATTGCCAACAACGCCTACTTTGGTCTTCGCGAGCTTCCCATTCACCCTCCGTCGCCATCGCTACAACCTTCGCAGGCCTTAAATGATCTTGGCTGCTGCTGGGACATGAGATGGAGCGACCAAGGTTGGTCAGCCGTTCTGTAATGAAGTCGCTCTCGCTCACATTTCCTAGTTCGCTTTCGCATGTCGTCTTCATGCTGTCGCTCGCGTCGTAACAGTGCCATCTCGCCGCCGTCTGTCGCATGGCAAGCCTTCGCCTTGGATCTGGACCTGCTGTCCCCCGTTACCAACGTGGCCCGCCTGCGAGGCATATGGACTTTTAGGCATGAACAATGATGGGGGTCTAAGAGCGTAGCTGGTCTCGCTGCTGGCGAATGGATCAAGAGTCTGCGCGAGCTCATCGGAGCCTCTTCGTGCTCAGCTTGCCCGAAGTTCTCGCTGTCATTCTGGAGACATGGAGCGGAGCTGGTGCTCTTGCAATCTGCTCTGGTCTCTACTTCGGGGAGGTGATCCGCTGCCCGAACCTCTGCGCCAGCTTCGGTTCTTCATCATTATCTCGCCGCCTGTTGATGTACTTCGTCTTTCGTCAAGGCCAGCACACGTCAACTTCCAGCGCTACACCATTCTTGGGTCGGACGTCGCGATCACAAGTGACAGGGAGGATGGTTATCTGTATCGGACACAGCGAGCACAATGTCCAAAGGTAAGCCGTCGCCGGCGAATGCAGACCCACCAATGTCATTTCCATCGACGACAAACTACGGTAAAGAGGCAGCAATGCAGTTCTCGATTGTGCCATGTCAATGCATTCAAGCGCAAATCCCTAGATAATCTACAATTGGGACAGCTGGACTGCTAGATGTGGTATGAGTTTGATCCGGTTTTGCAAGATTGGGGATGTGTGATGGAAAATAGCCGGGTGGTTGCAAGGTATACTTCTCATCCCCACACCACCAAAATCGAAAAGTGCCCTTTATATCTTTCGCCATGAGACCTTTCGCTGCACCTTTGCGATTCCGCTTACATTTTCACTTCGCTCTGTCAACCCCACCCTTGACATTTTCTCAACAATAACCTTCAAGTTCAGTGACACTACTCCATTCTCCCGATGCCTTTGGCAATCCATCTGTCAAGCTTTCATATTGCCATCTACATCTCTTGCTTTGTTGTCATTACAGACAATACCATCTCCAACCGATCCACATTGCATTGTTTGTCTACATTGTCTTCTCTTGGTTTCCCACAATTCCATTGTTCGCAGCCAATTTCACGGCATTGTTTGCCAACATTGCCTGACATACTGCGTCCACGGGAAGTATAAAGTATCACAAACCGCCTACAATCATCGCCATCGAACAGTGAAGAACTCACAGCAACAAGCCGAGAGCTGACTTGCAACGAAACATCAATCACTTCTCCAATAATAGCAAGTCTGGTTTTGATGAGTGACAGTTTCCTCGTGTCAAGCAACAGTAACAACCATTCGGGCGAAATTCCCATGGACACAGATTCCATGTGGGAGTACGAATCGACGGTATCAGGTCCGTTGGCCGACTTTGCAAAGACGGATCGGTATCCGCCACCCCCGCCGTTAAGTGGAAGCTACACGGAGGCTAACAAGCTTATACCAGGCAGGACCAACTCCAATCGAGTTGGTTGCGCACTGCCTGGCTACTACGGGAAGCAGTTTGGCGAGGATGCTACGATGACTGATCTTCCTCCTCACATTCGTCGGGCTTTGTCGAAGCAAGCGAAGCTGTCTGAGGCTGCTCCTACCAAGATTAACTTCCAGGAGCCCGGTGTTTCCATTTCTGGTCCTTCTAAGCAACGCAATTCCCCGCCCCCTGGTCGCGGCCAGGGTCGCTGGGTAAAGCGCTCGGAACAGGATCTGCAGAAGAAGAATGAACACACTATCCGCGCCCTTTCAAACGACATCGATGACATGATTGAGGACATGGCCCAATCCGGCTTATCGGGTGTGAAACACACCCCTCTTCAATCCAAGACCTTTGCAAAGGACATCCCGTCGCTGGCTAAGCTAATGAATCTAAACGCTAGGTTCCACGACGTCTACCATGTCAACGTCGCTCGCGTCAGTGCAAACCCGGCCGTTCCCGACGGGTCAGCTGAGCCGAAACACGGCGGGCCTAACGGTAATAACCACACTCTGAGGGAGATAGCAGGCAATGTCGTTCAAGGCAACCCTCGTGTTTGGTATCGTCCGTTCCGCAGCCCCAGTGACCAAGGCCCGTTCAATGATGATCCTGAATTTGGCTACAACAATGGACAGCATCCGACACTAGTCGGAGGATATTCGAACCCTAACAGCCTTATTTCTCAAGAGCGTGATGAGGCCCTCAGGGCTCGTGCCGCGGACCCTGATCGGCAGGTGCTGGTGCAGAGGATCACGGACGCGCGCAGCATCATCGAGGTGAAGGACAAGCAAGGCAACGACCGTTCCGTATCTGATATGAAGTATATGCTATGGGCCGTCGGCGAACTGCACTACTATGACGCGGAACATTGGCCCTATCTTGAGGTCTTCGACGAGCGGATTCCCGTGACAGAACGCCGCATGGATTGGTACAATAAACATCCCGTTACGAACCCTGCGTGGATCGAGGGTGCGACCCCTTATAACGTTTTTGACATGGGGCGCACCATGCAATTCAATGATGATGATGAGTATGAGAACCCTGTCAGTCCGACGACGGTACCACCGGTGAGGCAGAACCATTCTAAGATGAAGTTCTGGAAGAGGTAGGTTTGTTGTCAGTTGGCTGCTTCAAGTTTTCCTTAATGTCGCTATCTCTCTATCCTTAGGTTCCCTTGACTTTTTATCATGTAAGTCTTTCTTTAGATTTCGTTATAGACGGAGTTTGGCGCAAAGGATAGTAAAATGTAAGCAATGGATATTTTGTTCTATGCTAAGTATATTACCTTTACCCCTATTGTTATAAACGTAACCCGAAATTAATTAATTAGCCTACGTCTAAATTATAAATACTTTCTTCTAGTCTCTATCGTATACGCGGTCTATCTATCCTTTACTACTACTATATAACGAGCGTTCTATTTCACTAGCAACGTGTTAATATTAGCATATCTAATTAATAAATTAATTAGAAGTAGGACCTATGAAAAGCATGACAAGTACGGTAGTATTAACTAATACACTAGTTATAGAAAACCCACATAACTTATCAAAGTATTAACCCGTCTTCTACATAATCCCACCGTTCGACATCTTAGTATGGCTAACCGTCTATTCGGCAAAACCATAGTACTAGGGCGCTAGGACAAAGTTAGCTTAAGGTGCATCTGAGTCGTAGCAGCTTTAAAGATGCGGCTAAGTCATGCCCGTCTGATAATCCGGAAGATTATCAGGGTCATACTCACGAACGTCGTGGTTCCCTGGTGGAATATGTGGCATGGGTGCTGGTTGTCTCTTGTTCCTATACATTTTATTAGGTGTTGACTGATTGTATACACCACTCGGAGGCGACTCACCTTCCAGGCTTCTGCGGCAGTTTAGGCGGCGGCGACGGGGTATCGTCCCTGACAACTCGTTTTCTTATCGGATATTTGTTCGGATAAACCAAGACGTCGCGAGGCCTTAAGCCATTCTCCTCCGGACACATGGCCTCAATGTCCTTCATCACTTCACTGGTCTCTTTGTAGAGCTCCTTGGGTGTCGGCCTCTTCCGAGCATCCGGATTCAGACACTGATACACCAGCTGGATCAGGTGGTCGCTATACCTGGGGCACAGTGAGTGCCTCGGGTCCCACACTTCATTGTCCATGGCATCAGCCAAAAACCGTGACGGCTCGCGCGTGGGATACGTGTCGCGCCAATCTTTGTATGGCAATGCGCGGGAGTATTCTCCATGATCACTGTACAATTGATCTGGGTGCGTCTTGTATAGTGACATGCCAGTGTATAATGTCATCCCGATCTGCCATACCGTCGTGTGAATCCGGAGCCACTGATCTACATGCAATGGGGGTTTCCCGCGCTTGTTCGGATCAAATGTGGGCATGTCCGGATCTCCGGCTTTGCGTGCAGCGTTCGTAGCATTTTGATACCTGGGTTTAAGGTGTTCCTACGGAAGAGAGAGTGTTAATAAAAATGTCGAAATTGTGAGGCGTGTGGAAACTTACAAAAGGCAAGTAGCCATTTGTGCTGTAGCCACGATTTGGTCCGGGGATTCTTAGATATGCCAAACAATCTCTCATTTCTTTATTGTCATATGGCTTGTCATCGGGCACGATAGGGTATGTAATCACACCTCCCAAGTCTCCTACAACAGGTGTGGGATATTGGCGGTGCCACCACATTGCACCCTTACCGACGGATGGCGGTCCGAGAAAGACGTTTCCAGGTTTGAAATCAATGTGGGCCAACGGTCTCCATTTGGATGGTAGCCCGCCATCTTCAAGATAAACAACGGCTTTTGCAAACGAATGCAAGAGGTACCAGCAGAAAGGCTCGGGGAGTATGAACCTGGTATCAATGTTACTACCAATTTGGCTTGATCATAGGTCAACGTACTTTTTTTTCGACGATTCGGAATGGTACCTCGCGAACATATCCGAAAGATCGCCGTGAGGATAGTATTCCAAATATAGAGTATCCTTTTTTTCTCTGGGTTGTTCCTCGGTATGTTGTCCATAACTCATTCCAATGCTTTTTACAATGTGCGGGCTGATAGGGTAGCCGTAGTTTGAGTGGTCCATCGTTCTTTTGTGTATGTCCATCTCTGCCTTCATTCCATCTCCGTGCTTGTCTCTTTTAGCCACGACAAGCTGTCCTGACAGTTAGCATGCCGGTAATGATCCTTTTCAATACACTTACCTTGAGCGTGTTGTTGTTATCATCTGCTTTGCGGAACAACATTGCTCTTCCATTTCCGCCCTCTCCGATGATTTTATGGCATTTCCATTGATATTTTTCGAGTTCAGTAAACCTAGTACCCATTTCTCTCGCGATTTGCATTTCCATTACGGGTTCATGGGTGTATTCATACGCTTTTTTCTTAACAACAGGGTCGCCACGTATGCGCCTCCGAATGAGTCTTCTAGCTTCGTTGATGACGATTTCTTCATCCAGGAAATTGTCTCTCTGATTAGGATTGAGTCGGGTCCATCGACGCTTCAATCTTCTGTGAATTTCATCTAATAAACGAGTCAGACAAACCTCTATAGCATCGGGTTTGGAAGAGAACCTGTCGATTTAACCTCTCTCTTCCGTTTCATGGCCTTTCTGCGGATTTTGCGAACTTCTTCATTGTTGCAGTATATGTCCTCGGCGGTTATTATCTGATGGTGAAAGTCATCGGGCAGTGCGGCTAGTTCTTCCGCTCTCACCACCCAGGCGCGCCGCTCTGTAGAGTCGAGTGTGTTGTAATCGCCGTTCAAACGTGTGTCCAATTCGTCTGATGTTGCGTATATTAGCTAGAAGCTCGCATAGGTATGTGCGAAGAGATACAAACCTGCGTTCAACCGATGTCTGGTGTCATCTGGGTTGTCCTTTATCTTTTTTCTTTCATGTCTCTTGTACAACTCCTGTCCGGTGAGTGGAGCCATCGTGAGTAGCACTTGGTTTGAGTCTGTCTTGAACTGGATACGGAGAGGCAGAGGTATGGATCCAAGCTGTATATATCTGAAGGATGGTAAAAGGCCATGGTTGCTCTTTGTCTAGATGTCATGGGTTATAAGTCTTTCATCAAGTTGACAAGATGGAAGTCGTTTGCGGCCAAATGGGGCCATAAAGGGCCTTTGTACATATCATGCATACTGCTCCTGAGATCAGAGGGGGAAAGAGCTTGTTTGTGGGGTGGTGTAGATGATGAGGTGACGTTCAAAGAAAATTCAGGATCGCCGGGTAATCTGCCGGCAGCCTTGACCGCGACGCAGGAGTTTGGGGGTAATGTATGGTCTATTTTGAACTGGACAAATGCTAGGCCTGATGGACGAATTCCGAGACCGGTAGAAGGGCTTTGTGACCAGAAGATTGTCACCAGACGCTTGTTCATCTGCATCCGATCTCGCCCCACCACGACTCATACCTCGCTCTCACGATGCCTCTCCGACAACCACTCTCACCATGACCCGCGTTCTTATCTTCGGCACCGGTAGCATCGGCTCCGTATATGCCTACATCCTCGACCGAGCAGGCTGTTCTGTAATCTGCATCTGCCGCTCGAACTACGACGTCGTCGCAACCAATGGCTTCACAATCAACAGCGCCATCTTCGGACAAAACCTAACCGTGCGCCCTCACGTAGTCAAAAGCGTCGAAGATGCGGCCACGTACGCTCAAGAACAAGGTCAAGACTTCGACTACATCATCGTGAGCAGCAAGGCCTTCCCAAATGCCACCCCCAGCACCGCCAGCGTCATCGCTCCCGCCGTTGGCAAGTCCACCGCCATTCTCCTCATCCAAAATGGCATCGCCATAGAGGAAGAGTACGCAACCGCCTTCCCCGCAAACTCCATCATCTCCGCCGTGACCTACGTTCCCGCCACGCAAACGGCGCCAGGTCTCGTCACGATGGGCGCCCTCGACGGCCTCGAAATCGGAACCTATCCAGCCGAGCCGCTAGACAGCGCTATGCCCGCTGTAACAGCGTTGAAGCGCCTCGCTGAGCTGGTTGCTGCCGGTGGCGCCACAGTCACCTGCTACCCTGACGTCCAGGTCCGTCGCTGGCGCAAGATGATCGTCAACGCGACGTGGAACCCCACGTGTGCACTTGCGCATCAGAGCGACGTGCAGTTCATGGACGCATCTCCGCAGTCGATCGAGTTCATCTGGGACGCTATGCTCGAGGTTGTCGCCGTGGCGCAGGCACTGGGCTATGTTGATGTTACTGTAAAGGATGCGGAGCAGCAACTCGACCGTGCAAAAGGACGCATTGGAACCAAGGGCATCGAGTTTAGCATGTTGGCGGATGTGAAGGGAGAGAGGCCCATGGAAGTTGAGGCAATTGTTGGGAATGCGGTTAGGCTCGCAAAGGAAAAGAGCGTGTCAACGCCGTACCTTTCCGCGTTGTATGTACTTTCAAAGGGACTGGATACGGGGATCATGCATAGAGCGGCAAACATTTAGAAAGCAGATGATATTAGAGCATGTAGACAAACAAAACAAAGCCAAAACCCAACCCATCACCAACTCCAGTCTGTACCTAGACTTTCTTCCCCTTACCCCACACAGCCGAAAATGGCACATACTTTGAAGGATTTTCCTCCCCCTGAGTCCACCTCAACACCACCAAACTTTTTGCCACCTGAAACTCCCGAATCCCCATATCCTTCTCATCCTCCATCCACCCGCCTTTCTTATACGCACTCCACACACCCCAACAAACTACCCGCACAGCCTTGAGCTTAAACTCCTCGTCCAGCTGCTCCTGGTCTTTCTCCTCGGCATACTCCTTCGTACGATTCATCGTCTTCTCATTAAACGCAATCATCGTCTGAGGTGTGTATAACTGATCCTTGTACACCCCACCGCAGTGATAAATCGTGTCTCCATCCAGGCGCATGCGCAAGTGCATCCGTGCCGCCAGCGTCACAATCTTGTACAAGTGAGAGAAGATGTCGTATTGCACCTCGGCTTCATCGGACAAGCCTTCATCGTCCTCTACCGACCCAACGCTGGTGCGGCGAAAGGCTTCTGGCACAGGGAGATTGCGGTATGTGGTTGAGAGGGCCAGGATCGGCCACAGCAGCGCGTAAATCTGCCACGCTAGCGTCACGCTCTCAGAGCGGAAGTTTAGCGTGTAGGTGCGGACTTCCAAGCTATCCCTGCCCGTCTTGCGCTCCGATGCCTCGATGAACTGCCTGATTTTCTTTGCGCGTTCGGCTGTACGGCTGAAGCCTGTTGTTGTCAGTAGGATTCTTAAACATCGTGCATCCACTCACCATCATGCTCATCATCCCGCTGCTCAATCTCATCCTCATGCAGTTCGGCAATCTGCTCTTCGGTGGCCCCGAAACACAGACTCCCAAACACATGCTCCTGCAGCACGAACCCGATGATCGCAATCACAAGGCCCCGCCTCAACTCCGGCTCGAAAAACAACTCCTCCCACCCTTTCTTTCCCTTCGGGCCTCCGTCGGCGATAAACCCGACAATCGCCGCCGCCTCGCGGGACAGATGCTTCCGTAGCGTGGGTATGATAGTTTTCTTCTCCGCCTGCGGAATCTCGAAATTGAAGTAGTCATTCGCGAACATCGGGACCAAGCCTGCCTCCCATCCTTCGACTTTGTCCTTGTAGCCGCCGATCAGCTGGTCGATGCAAGAGCCAAAGTGTGCATGCGTGAGGAGGTAATCGGGCGGGGTCGCGATGTGGAACCCTTTCTCGCCTTTCGGTCTCTCGTACACACGCTGTGACAATGGCGGCGCGTAGTCATCTTCAGTCTGGATCCGCACGTGCTTCTGTTTCGGCGTTTCGGGTGACGACGTGGAATATCTATTTGTATGCGGAGGAGTATGTGGGTCCCTCACCGTGTACCCTTCAGGGCCAACCTCCCAGGTCAGTGTTCTCGGCTCGTCTTCATCGTCCTGTTGGTCGCGTCTAGCGCTCTTTCTCTTTCCACGGCCAGATCCAGGTGGTGGCATAGGCATTTTACTGGTTATGCGTATGATTGTGAAGAATGTAAGTTCGATAATGTCTGCGGGCATTGCGACTCTGGGGCAGAGCTCCATAAAAGCTGTTCGTGATTCTTTCAAGCTGGCCGCAATCGTCTTGCGATGAGAAGTCTTTGTTCACTGCCGGTTGCGGACAGCCTTGGCACATACAAAGCACTCTACGAGCAAAGAAAATGTGATTGTCTAACGCGAGATGACTTCACATGAACTGTCAATGGAAAAAGAAAGGCCTTGGCATGAGAAATGCCAAGATTGATTGATGAGTCTACAAATGCAGGGGTATACTTACATCTCAGCTGTGGTCAGCTGAGGAACAACCAGATTGTTCAGTCTTACTGTTTGTACGTGCGGTCCAACAAGGATTGAGCTGAATGAAGTGGCAAAGTGCGTTGCCGGATATCCGACCGCAACATTGCTGGAAGCCATGCCGGTGCAGTGGACATCGAGTGTGATTTGAGACGAATCACCGTTTAGAGCGTTCGTCCTTATGATGCAACTCCTCTCGACTTATCACTTCATCAATATCCTCCTCATCCACGTCCATTTCTCCAATTTCCCCAAGTTTCGGGCGCGCAGCGATTTCGTTGCGGAACCTCTGGACAATTCTCCAAGGTTGTTGTGGCTTGTCCGTATGAATATCCGCTATCCCATCAGGAACGCCCCTTGCGTAAAGATCTCCATAAGCAAACGAGCGTGTCCTGGTCCTATATGGCCAATACCACCAAGTCCGTTCGATGTAGTCGCGGTGATTCATCTCCAGGACATCGGCAGTGAGATGGAACTCGCGCGCATGTCTAGGCTGGGGCTTTGCAGTATCGGGTTGCGCATCAGCCGCGGCTTGTGGTTCCGGTTCAATCGACTCTTTAGCTGCCTTCTCCAAGACTGCCGCATAGTTCTCTGCAAGCGCATGCGCATCTTCCTGCTGCAATTCGCCCTGAGGTTTTCCAAACGATTCAATTGTACCAAACAGTAGTTGAGAAGGCCGAATCATCTCTTCCGCTCCTGCCTTGCTCGGCTCGTTGTTTTCTTGAAACTCGGCATCTTCCATTGATTGCGCAGGCTCAACCTGACCTGGTGCCAGTGAACTCAAAGGTTGTGTCAGGTCCGCGGGTTCTTCGGCGTCATCGTGGGTTTCCGGAACGACGTGCTCAATGGCGAAACGAAGCGGGGACGCCTTGAGCAGTTTGGCAGCCGAGTCGGCGCTTTCGTAAATGGCCATGCAGACATTGGGAGCGCGCGTGTAGGGATCAAACTGCGAGATGGTGAGATACGAGCGGTGGTGTGAAGGCTGCTCATACCTTTAAACTCTTAAAGGTGGAGACCTCGCCGAACTGCTGCAACACGCGCAGAACCTCGCGACTCTCACTCAAGCTGGCCGGTCGCGGAAAGATGCGCAAGTGGACGCCCTTGGTGACAGCGGCGCGCAAGGCCGACATGGCGGGATGTGCTGGAGCGTTGTCAAGTCTCCACGCTCATCAAACTATCAGCCGTGTCACGTGAGCTGCTGTGCTCCGTCATTCATCCGACAATCTGCTCCACCATGACTACACGATCTACCCGGGCACGTCGATCCGATACAAATAAGCATTATTTCTTATAATCTATATAAGCCGTGCAGTCGGCGGTCTTTGATAAACCATTCATCTGGACCCAGCCTAACCCGTAGTATTATAAAGCTTTGAGAATGGTAAAGCGCGGTCCAGCGCTGGGGTATCATGTATCCTTCTTAACTGCCAACAAAACGCCATTCCCATCTGTGTAATCAATTATTTGTGGCTGTACGCCTTGCGTGGCCTCCTGCGGAAACGAATGTCTTTGGATACCGCCGCGTTTCGTGACAAGTCGCCAGATCTCCGGTATTTGAGAGATGGTGTTTTGGAGCCTTGAAGGCCATCCTCATCCTCGCCCGATTCGGAGGAACTGGACGATGTGCTCTTTGACCTGAGCGAGCACTGATCGCCGGATTCGACCATTTGTTCTACCAACGAAGCCAGATCGCGAATGTTTACCGCTTCGCATTGCCATTGAGTGTGGGCTTGTCTGCGATCTCGTATCGATTGATGAGGAGAAGAGCGACCGCTGGGTGATGATGTCGGTGAAGTCGGCATGGAGGAAAGCCAGTCTGGTTGATCCTGAGGAGCATAAGGGTCCAAGTATTCGGGTTCTATGCGCTGAGCGCTGAAGCGCCTGGAGAGTTCGGAGATGGACATGTTGTGGTATTCGGGTAGGAGATGAGGCGGAGGAGAGGAAGTTGGCGAGAGATGGGTATAGTCGTCGTCGGAGGTGTCGAGTGAAGAGGGGTGGCGCGAAGCAGCGCCGAATGAGAAGCCTTCGAACATGGTGGTGGAAAAGTCAGAAAAGTCAGAGAGAGTCGAGGGAGCCTCGGAAGTCGAGCATGGGCGAACGTTGGGTACAAGTAAAGACAGAGTCGTCTAGCGTGCGACGGGCAGTTAAAGGGCAACGAACCAGCGGCGCGGGTTTGCGCCATGGCGTCGTTTGCCAGGAGCTCGAGATGAGCGCGCGCTGCGGCCAGATTCAGCCCTGTGGCGAATTGCGAGGGGAGCGTGGCATGACTCCCGACAGCCGAAATGGCTAAAGGGTCGCGCCCCTATGACTGCCCGCTACTCTGGTTCGCGACGCTTGCGGCCGATCCGTCGCTTGCAGGTGCCCACTCCCCTGACGGCGCTAGAAGGCGGGTGGAATCGTGTCGCGCGAAAAACTCACGCACAATCCTTTCCCCGCGGGGTCGTCAGCCTTCTGCTTCGATGGCCCTGTGCGATGCTTGCAGCGCCATTTCAATAACGCAACCCGTCGATAGATCGCCCTTTGGTTTCATGAAGCATCTCGATGATGCTCGGCCTGTCATTTTTGTGCCCTCATCCAACCTTGCACGGCCTCCTGGCAAACGCCCCCATCTACCTTCAGCTGGAAACATAACTCAAAAACCACCGCATTCATCGAGTCCCTTACGAACGTCCCCTTAATGGTCCCGGGTTGAAGAGCACGGCCATCGCGGCTTATGTCTCAACAACCCAAGGGATCCGTCTTTATGCAAACGATGGTATTGTAACTTTCCTGCTGAACATCTCAGGCAGCGCCGCAGCCGTCAGCGGTGACCGCTGACGGTCCTTCTTTGCCTTCATCGAATTGTCCAGAGGCTTTTGACATGGTTGGATGCGTGCGTCAAGAATCATGCCAGTTGTAGGTCCACGTTGTCGAGACGCATGCTTGATGAGTCCGAGGAACCCGTCTTGACATATGTGATGGGTCTCAAAACGTACATCTGAACGGCATGCGTGGTCGATACATCACGCTTAGCCATTGCTGGGGTGAACCCGGAAAACAACCCATTATGACAACGTCAGAAACTCTCCGTCAACACATGTCAACCATACCGTGGAATCAACTTCCGAAAACGTACCAAGACGCCGTCACCGTGGTACGAGAGCTGAATGTACGGTACATTTTGATTGATTCACTGTGCATCTTGCAAGACGGACTGGCTCCGGGAATCCAGCAGGATGGGTACCATCTATGAGAGGGCGCATCTAACGATAGGCGCATGCCATGCTGCCAACTCGACAGAAGGTTGCTTTTTCGAACGGAAAGCTGTTACCCGGTCAGCGGTTGAGCTTCCTTATTGAAACGCAGCTGGCGAACGGGATGGCCACGTGTATGCAAGCCTCGTACCATATGATTACCAGGCCATGTCGCCGGCGTCGAGTCCTTTGAACGAGCGTGCATTGGCGACGCAGGAGTGGCTTCTATCCCGCCGCATGCTGTTTTACACAAAAGAGTGCATGATCTGGTCCTGTCGCACCATAAACCAACGAGAAACCCGGGAATGTTTTGGTGATGTGGCGCGCATGATTGAAGATTATAGCACCCGCAAGCTGACCCGACCCACGGACCGCCTCATTGCGCTTGAAGGTATTATTGATAAGTTGCAAAAGAGGAACAACACAAAATGTCTTCAGGGTATATGGCTCGACACGCGGGCGGATCAGTTGTTGTGGTTTCCTTTGAAACTAGCCAAGAGGACAGAAAATCCTTTAAAGGTTCCTTCATGTCATGGGATCCGATATCAAAAGATTTGCCATGCAAAGAAAATGTATCGGCTCTTGGATGTGGAAGACGAAAAAATACTGCAGGTGCTAGGGTTGGTGAAAGAAGCCCCACTTCTGCAGTATCAGCTATCGAGGAAAGACAGTGTAACTGACATGGAGGACCAAGGAACTCCTGACCCACGAGTTGCCAAGATCCTCGACCAAGTCCGAGAGACCGGTTTACCCGTTGAAATGTCTTATGTTTTCTGCGACACGGGTGGAAAACCATTGGGTTGGGCAACTTTAGACGAGGGTTGCCTTCCGACAGATCAGGTACAATGTCTTTCAATTTTTGCCAAGGGTGAATTTAACCCTCGTCAGCGGTGGAACGAACCGGATGAATTTGTTGAGTACTGGATGTTGCTCCTTGTGCAAGTACGAGAGGGTAGGAGTCGGAATGGTTAAAACCAAGGCATGGTTCGCGAACCGGGAGGCGCAGCGCGTCATGATCATTTGAATGGGGCACATTCCAGCGTCGCGACATATCCGGAAGCGGGTGCAACGAGACGTGCCCAATCGGCCTTGTGTGGCTTTGCATGTCGCTGAAAACAGCCTTTTCTTGGTGAGACTTGTGCGACGCAGGTTATCTTTGAACGTGCCTGTTATGGACTAGTTGTCTCACCGATCAACATTGCTGCTGGGTACTCTTTCTGCCGATGCGTTTGCTTGCTTCTGCTTAGGTACGGCAGGACTCAAATTGAGATCATCGTCGTGCGTAGGTGCATGAGTTTGTCGGGTTGAACCGCAGCTGTTGATTTCATGTCCTTCGCGCAGACTTAGTGGGCTGTAAAAAGTGTTAGGCATACATGGGTTAATATTTCAGTCCGGATCGATTTGATATTTTGCTTCTGACCACTCACCGTAGTAAAATATCCGTGTGCAGCCAGAGCTGGGAAGTGAACTGACCAATCATCGAATGGCTACTTGTACCTCCAACACAACGTCACTGCTTGTGTTCCGCATCCGACTTGCGCACAATCGCACAATGAGCAAACAACAACCGCGTCATCACTGACACAGCCTTGTTGATATACAAAGAACAGATGCGCGCCATACTTTCCTCACGCGATTGACCTACTTCCTCTCCACGTCACCAATGACTTCTCCGTCAGCCTCAGCCGCAGGTGGCTTCTTCCGTCCATCCGTCTTATCTCCTCCGCCTTCGTCAAGCACGGCTACTTCCGCTTTACCTCACCCGCGTTCAAAGCCGCTCAAGACCGGCGGTAACAAAGAATCAGCCTTCATACGTTACGTCGATGAGCGTATCCGGCAAATACAAAGGCGCTTTGCAAAACGCGGGACTGGAGGCACCGTCACTGGCGATGTAAAAGGCTATGACAACTTTGCGGACGCGAGTAAAGAAGTAGACCAGTTGGTGGACGTGGTTTGGGTGTCTGGCACGCGTAAGATTTCTCTACGAGGGCACGCAGTCCATGCTGACATTTTGAAGCTAGCCTCCAAATTGCCTACCTCATCTCCCTCGCGTTACTCATAAACGACTTTATGGCTGGGTTCTCACCGATGCCTAAAGCCCTTTTCCGGATATTGGACAAATTAGATCATGCATTCGCGTCGCTGCTTCAAGGTAGAGATACCGAGACTGGGGAAGAGTTGCCCGGCTTCGAAGGAGGTAGAACGGTTAACGCCACGGAGAAAGTGAGGATTTACAGCATGGTGCAAAATGCCAGGATACAAGTGGTAGATGTCATGGCAAAGTATGACCCTTTGGCCCACGCCGAGGAAAATGAGACGGAAAGCGAGATGACAGAGGTAATGGACACCGATGTTGACGAAGAATTTGGTCTCGATGATATGGAGGGTGCCTGGGATATGCAGGTCGCGAAGGTGTATGACAGAACAGTGGTGGAGCTGGGTGATTCTATAGGTATGCGGACTGAGAATCCGCTGAACGCGAATGCCAGCGCATCTTAATATGCTGAGAATTTCAATAAACCAAGCTTACGGGCATCAAGAACTCCGGCCAAGTGCATTGTGTCAGGATCCCAAAATCTACCACGTTATAAGACAAGAGCATGAGGATTTGAACATGGGAGAGTGAAAGGTAAGTGATTTTCTAAATTAGTCGTCAAAATGGTATGCGGTTCAATGTGTTGAAAGTACTAAGCACCCCCCATACTCTACGTTTTCCCAATCAGTCGTCACTGGACATCTATAAAAAGAAATAGATGCGGATGAAGGTATTCGAAAAGCCATAAAGACAGAAATATACAAGCACTCTAAAAGAGTATGAGGTACGAAGGCGACATGGTAAGAAGGCATTTACACGGGTATGCGCACCGTGTCTAGGGCCATTGTCAATGGCACGCTCGCGTTCACGCGTTGACACTGCGACGCGTCTGCTAGCGCGGTCTAGCAGCATCTTCCGTAGCCTTCAGCTTTCACGATACATGATGTCATGGCCTCAAGAGTTAACGACTAAACACTGAAATCAGTCACCCGCTGCTACTTCTGAGGGCTCTCGCTCTAGCAGAGAGCTTCACTCTCGCCCACCTCTTCCTCATCCTTCAACGTTCAAGGTCAACCCACGAAACATGCCCACGCATTTCACCAAAGGCGTGAAAGCGCATCTGGTGACGGCCTCACTGGCAGCGACGACGACGACCACCCCCGAGGCCAAGAAGTCAAGCCTAGCCACGCGCCTAGTCGACAGTGCAGGTTTCGCCTTTCGCAATGGCCAAGTCTTGGACGAAGAGAATCTTCCGGTCAACGGCGACGACTTTCGACTCCATTACCTGGGCAAGTATCAAGATATGCCGTTTATGATGGTTCGCGCTGGCGCAAAGCTCTTTCAGCCTTCACCCACGGACAAAGTCGCGCAGAACCAGGCGACAAGCGCATTTCCCCGTGATGAGTCGCGTCGTTCCAATCCCTCGTCCTCTAGCCTGTCTTCGCTAGGACCTACGCCGTCAATAACGCCGGAGGACGTCGTGATGGAAGATTTGAATGTAAGTCGATGGAAAAATAGTATCGAAACTTGCTAACCTCGACGATAGGATGTCCCCAACACTCCCGAGCAAATCGCTGACGATCATCTTTACTCACCACATCTTCCCGAATCTCATGACAATTCTCAACATCTAGCACCTACCATGTCAGAACCTCAGGGAATCTGTCTCCGTGTGGAATTGTCCACCAAGTCATACGTACTCCCCTTCAATCCAAAGGATCAGACCGACGACATCAAGATAGACGTATTCTTCAATGGACAATTCACACAATCCTCGTTATGGCCAGCCCGGTGGAGCAACCCGAAATCTCAGAAAGATGAGGAAATGACCAAGCAGTTCACGGGAGAGCGTACTCACTATCTACTTGAACGCGCATGGGTCATCTTACCAGGAACCGTAAAGGGGGATACTCCACAGGAACTTGCCCAAGAGCGGTGGAACGAGATTTCCGCAACATTAAAGGCGGAAGCAGATGCCAGAGGCACAAACGAATTTGAAGAGAGAACGGTGATCGGAGATTATCTTGTCAATCTTGCGGATGTCCAAATGCCGCATGAGCTAGATACCATCTACTTGAAGGGCCGGAAATTTGGTGTCATTGATATGGTACTCACCTTTGGAAAAGGCAAGAAACGCGACGCAGCCCAAACCTACCTTTTGAAGCCCACTCGCATGAACAATCCTGGTTTTATTTCATCTCCGATCATCTTGAATCGACCTATTGGAAACTATTTGATTAGCGCTATAGTCGATGCCGGGATCGACATGGACATGAAAGAGTTTGGTGGATCTACAGAACAAACTTCCGGCAATCGCAAGAGCAAAGATGTCGCCAAGAGATACAAAGGCAAAGTACCAATGATCGGTATGCAAGAGTCTAACGTCAATGATCAGCCTAACGAACATCACCGGACCGGTCAGATGCGTATGACTTCCTTCAGTTATATGCCTAACACTCCTTTGAACCGGATTGATCAGATGGCATCCGTTCCATCAACACAAGAGTCCAGTGGCTTTTCTGATAGTCCTTTATATGGACGTCACACCGGTCAGATGCACATGGCACCTAGACCTGAGTCGATTCCCTTTGGGCCCGCGCTTTTGTCTCAGGCTCAAAACCCTGAAACTCCTGGACCGCCTTTAAGATCATCCGTCCAACGTATAATGTCCCCGTCTCAGCCTGGGCCAGCTAGTGGCTTGCTTGAGCGCAGCCGTTCATCCACTCTCCCGTACTCCCTCAGAGGTAAGAAATATCAACAACAGGGTGCCGTAGTTGAAGGTTTGGTGGGCATCTCCGGTCGTGGTATTTTCACCGATGCGTCAAGCCCGACAGCCCGTTCGCTCAAACGTCCTCCGAGTGCGAACATTCAAGTTCCTGCGTACCGACCTCACGAGTATCCACAAGGAGGTAAGCGCATGAAGAAGGCAGGGATGGTAACGAAGCTAAAGTCTTCAGAATTCTCTCGGCACCAACAGGCCGGTCCTTCATCAATGAACTTCCAGCATCGTGCATCCGCAAAAACCCGTAGCCGAGGTATTTCCTCCGCATCTGCTCAGTCTTACTCTGGCTTTTCTCCACCAATTCCTGAACAGAATATTGGCGCGCTCAACCCCGGCGATACCTCCCCGACTCCGTACCAGAAGCGTAGGATGATGTACAGCCGCAATGTGACAGATGAATTGGAACAATCTTTCAAGAGCTTCGTCACACCGCCCCTCAGCCAGAATTGTGTTTTAACTTATGCGCAGCCTCGATCTGACGCGTTGCCGGGCGTGGGAGGTGCCGGAGGATGTGTGGTCAGACAGATCAAGTGCGAACGTCAGGGAGATTTCGAGGAAAAAGGCGTGTTGCTTGGTGTGAGGTTCATCGTTGGGTGAACCAAGTCAGCATTGGATGTCTGAGTGAGAATTGCTTACTGGAGGTTATGATTTTGCAGGCGATGGATAGCTCGAATGACAGTTTAACAATCTGTAGCGGGGAGCTGACGACCAACTGGGAGTGCCGTGGGCGAAGTGGAGCGATGTTTGTCAGCAAAGGGTTAAGAATCAGCCTCTGTCGATCATAGCTTCCATGGTTGCGGATCTCGTGAGGTTACGGAGTGATTAAGCGGCGCAGTTGTTCGGACGGCACGTCTTGTAAGTCATTCAGAACCGAGGCCGTGGGCACGGGGCGAAATGTTTTGGAGGAGTTCAGAGTTGAAACCACGTGCGAAAGACCGTCTACCCGGCGCAGGGGGCGCCAATGACGAGGGCCGGCTAGTTCCGCGTGCAGTGCCTTGCAGGCTTTGAAGGCGACAGGTCACAAAAGACGCCCGACGTTGAGGTTCGCTAGGGGGGGGCTGGGATCATGGGGCCCGGCGGGCTGGGTCGGCTGGGGCGTGTTGGGGCGTGGTGGCTGCGCGCGCCGCGCCACTGTTTCAAAGACGGGCCTCGAGCTGAGGGCGGCCAGCGGTGGGCCGGCGGAGGTACGTGGCCTCATTTCGCCCGCCGCTGACCGACTTTCCCGCAGCCACGAGCGCGCCGTCGCGACCCGGCGCGGGGGCCCACCGCCTTGCCCTCCCGGCACTGTGGGCGACGGGACACCGGCGGGTATTGTCACGGCGCCGCATGACAACCAGACTCGTGCTACGCTTCCAATGCCGCCGTATAATAGGCAGCCCGCGCCCTCCCTGTCGCGCCCGGCCACTCAGGCACCCCCGTTCGCCTCGCGCAAACGCCGTGCTCTCCCATCATTGCTGCTGCACAAGCGCTGAGAGCTTGGACGCGTCTTCTGACACCCCCTCTTCCCCAAGGACTACTTTACCATCCTCAATCCCGCCCCCGAGTCCCAATGGTTACCATGGCGTCGAACGGGTGAGTGCTCCCGCATATCCACCGACTCAATCTGACTCGTCTAGGCTGGCAGTGGCGGTTCCCCAGAACTACGTCGAGAATGGAAGGCTCTATCACGGTTACCGGCGAGGCATTTACATGTATCCTTGCGACGAGGTGCGCCCACTTGCCCTCTACCACCTTCGTATATTGACCCGACAACAGCAAGAAAAGGATCGCATGGACATCTACCACAAGCTCTTCCTCGTCGCGCGCCGCGAAGCTTTGCATCATGCCCCCCTGATGGCAAACTACCAACCGCGCATTCTGGACGTCGGTTGCGGGACCGGTATATGGGCCATTGACATAGCCGAGTAAGTCTCGCTCGATCCGACAACATACGCAAACTAACAACCTTTGCAGCAAATATCTCGAAGCAGAGGTACGCAAACGATACTCTCAATGACGACTAAACTAACAGAAAAAGGTTCTGGGTCTGGATTTGGTCAACATTCAACCCGACAAGTATGTCCTCCACCAAACACATGACCCGACTAACAGCTGTAGAATTCCCCCCAATCTTCGCTTTCGCGTCCCACGCGACTACGAAAGCCCCTGGTCTCTCGGTGAAGACTCGTGGGACCTGATACACTTGCGCATGGCCTGCGGTAGCGTCTCAAGTTGGCCCGAACTGTACCAGAAGATCTTTGCGTGCGTACCTGTGCCTCTTGCGCACGGCGGCCTCTGCTGACCCAGCAAACAGCCACCTAAAACCAGGCTACGGATGGATCGAACAGGTCGAGATCGACATACAACCGCGTTGTGACGACAATACCCTCTCACCCGACTCGCCGTTGGTGAAATGGTATGAATACCTCGCCGACGCAACGGAGCGTGCCTCCCGACCGATCGCATACAATCACAATACGCGCCAAATGCTGCAGGCGTCTGGTTTCATCGACATTCAGGAGACCATCATCCGCGCCCCGTACAACAGTTGGCCGGCGGATCCACACCAGAAAGAGATTGGGCGGTGGTACAACCTGGGCATTAGCGAGGGCCTGGAGGCGCTCAGCCTGGCACCGTTGACAAGGGTGTACCGCTGGGACGCGCAGCAGCACGTCAGGCCTCTCTGCGAGGCGGCCGTTAGGCAAATAATGTCGAGGAAAATCCATGCGTACAACAACATGTAAGTGGTCATTGCATTGCGAATGCACGAGCTGATTGGCGACTAGACATATCTGGACGGCGCGGAGGCCCGGGCATTGATGCGTTTTGCTATGCATCTAACGAATTGACGACCGCAACAGTAATAACTAATGTACTATGGCATTGCTTTCGGCTTCGGAATGTTTTCAGTACAGCGATTCCGCCGCCAAGTCCCTTTTTCGGCCAAATCGATATTCTTGGAGGAATGAGATGCTGACGGCAGCGGCAAAAAACGGCGCATTCCAGCGTCCCAAGAAGCTCCTCTTGCCCGATGCCGCGGAATCGGCGGGCCCGATTCCGCTGGTGGCCTTCCCGAAGCTTTTTCCTGGTCATCTGGTCTACAGAAAAAAATAAAAAAGCTCAGCATGATGGTACAGCGTGCAAGCGGGCGTTTTCAGGAGCACGGCATGAACGGAGCGGATTTCGTGTTTGGTGTACAAGAATATTGGTTGGATGTCGCCAAGCAGCGAGATACCTATGTCGCGGTCTGAGCATTTTGTCGTCGTGTGTGCGTCTCGGTGCCGGAGTTTTTTTCTTTTCTTTTTCCTTGGTTTTTCATGTCTGCAGCTGTGTGGGACACGAAAAGCGACCATGATCAATTTATTCTTTGTTGAATGACTCGCCGCCGGGGCCCCAGGTTTCGGCTGACGTCGGCTGGAGGGGCTCAACCGAGGTCGCGCTCGAAGGGGTCTCTGCCTAGGTTCTATTACAACTCTCACCTCCCTGCACTACCATACACCCCTTCACCATGCCTCCCCTCGCCGTCAGAGCCCTGCGCCCCCTCGCCCGTGCCGCCGTGTCTTCGCCGCGCCTGCCCGCCAGACGCGTCGCCGGAGTTAGGATACCCCCGCTGTAAGCTACCGTCCTGGCATGTGAAAGACGACTTGCAGCAACGCCCCGTCTAACGGGTAGCAGTGTCCAATGTTTGTCGACGATCAGTCCGCGAAACGAACCGCTGGACGTGACGGACATTCCGCCAACCCCCATAACCCATCGCTCCGAGACGGAGACGCTGATGGGCGAGACGGTGGCCAAGTTTGCCAACGATGTCATCTTGCCCAAGGTGCGGGAGATGGATGAGGCCGAGACCATGGACCCGGCGCTGGTCGAGCAGTGCTTCGAACAGGGCCTCATGTCCATCGAAATCCCGGAGGAATACGGCGGAGCGGGCATGAACTTCACGTCGGCCATAGTGGCGATTGAGGAGCTGGCACGCGTCGACCCTTCGGTCAGCGTCATGGTCGACGTGCACAACACGCTCGTCAACACGGCCATTCTCAAGTACGGGTCCGCCGAGACGCAGCGCAGGTGGCTTCCCAAGCTAGCGACCAACACAGTGGGTGAGTGACGGACAGTCCGGAAGGGTGCGCTTGCTGACGACAGCAGGATCATTCTGCCTGTCCGAGCCCGCGTCAGGTTCCGACGCATTTGCGCTGGCGACCAAAGCGGTGCGCACCGATTCCGGGTACCGGATCAGCGGGAGCAAGATGTGGATCACAAACAGCATGGAAGCAGGTTTCTTCATTGTGTTTGCCAACCTTGATCCCAGCAAGGGGTACAAGGGCATCACGGCATTTATCGTGGAAAAGGGCACGCCGGGCTTCTCGATAGCGAAGAAGGAGAAGAAGCTAGGCATCCGGGCCAGCAGCACATGCGTCGTCAACTTTGACGACGTCGAGATCCCGAAAGACCATCTTCTAGGCGAGGAAGGCCAAGGCTACAAGTACGCCATCGGCCTGCTGAACGAAGGCCGCATCGGCATCGCGGCCCAGATGACGGGCTTGGCGCTGGGCGCGTGGGAGAACGCCGCCGGGTGAGTACAGGGCCCATGCATGCCTCATACATACGCGCGCACCTACGTCGTTACTTTTCTTTTTTCTTTTTCATTCGCACCCACCCCCGTCCGGCGCGCGCGTCGGTGTCGTCCGCCTCACCCTCGTCCCACCCGCACACGCGCGCTAACGCACTGCCTTTATGTAGCTACGTGTGGAACGAGCGCAAGCAATTCGGCCAGCTCATCGGCTCCTTCCAAGGCATGCAACACCAACTAGCGCAAGCGTACACGGACATTTCCGCCGCGCGCGCTCTCGTCTACAACGCCGCGCGCAAAAAGGAGGCCGGTGAGGATTTTGTCCGCGACGCCGCCATGGCGAAACTGCTGGCTGCGCAGGTGGCGGGCCGCGTCTCAGGCCAGGCCGTCGAGTGGATGGGTGGCATGGGCTTTGTGCGTGAGGGTTTGGCCGAGAAGTATTGGCGGGATAGCAAGATTGGCGCCATCTACGAGGGGACTAGCAATATCCAGTTGACGACGATTGCCAAGGGCTTGCAGAAGGAGTATACGCGGTAGATGATGGATGGATTGAGGCTGTGGTTTGTATGCAGGTAGTGCGTTTGTGAGCATTGGTTAGGTGATGAATAATGAGAGTTACTGCGTACAACACTACTACCCCCACACTCCACCCTCCTACTCCACACAATCCCAACCCCAACTTCCAACAAGCAGCCAACCAGACAGACAAGCTTCTAGATCCTTCTTTCCCTCTTTGCCTAGCACGCCACGTCGGCCAAGCCCTAACCTAGAACCTAGATCCCAGCACGCACGCACGCATATATATAGGCGGTACGTGCGCTTATACCTCTACATACAATACATGTGGATACGAGTGAGCGAGCGAGCGAGCGAGCTAGCTCCCTCACTAGGGGCGGGCATAAGCAAGCACGCCTATATACAGCATGTCTGTGCGTGCATGTAAAGGTATACTGCAATGCACACACGCGCAGCCGCGCGCCCGGGTTGTTTGTTGCTGTTTGATTTGCATGTATAAGGAGTTGCTTTTTCTGGGAAAGGGGAGAAGGGGGGTGCATCTTGTTTTTGGTTTTTGGTTTCTGGATGGTGGGTGCTGGGGATGGCGTCTTGTTTGCACTCATATACGCGCGTGGAGAGGGAGGAGGGAAAGATAGTATGTACGTCCACTGCCTACCCAGTAAGTCCTATATCCTATGTACTGCCTACCCCTTTTCATACTCAACGACGGCATTTCATCGTTGCATTACCGCTTTCATACAAACACCAACACCACGACTCCGCATCACCAAACGCACAAACAAAACATACCTACTTTACCTACCTCACCACCCTCTCCCCTTTTTCACTATGAACCTACCCCTCCCCCTCCACCCGCCGCTCCCTTCATAAACCAATCCGCACTAGCATCCACCATGAAATTCGTGATATTAAACCCATCCAGCCCAACGCCCCCCTCGGCATCTTGCCCCTGACTCTGCTGCACACCACCCAACTCCCCCACCATACCTCCATTGCCGTTGTTCGTGCCATTACCACCGCCACCGCCACCATTCGCCACCGGCAGCCGCGGCATGTTGAAAAAGTCAAACACATCCAGGTACTCCAGTTCATGCGGGCCGGGCGTGCGTGCCGGCGCCGGCGTCGCCGCAGGGAGAGCACCAGTCGAGACACCGAGACGCGGTTGCTGCTGCTGGGGCTGATTCTGCGGCTGATATTGCTGCTGCGGTGGTTGTGCGCTGCTGAAATGGTTAAGGTGACCGAGGTTCAGGTTATGATTATGCTGGTTATTATGCAGCAGCTTCGGCTGCCGACTGATTAGGAAATCAAGATCGAAAGCGCACCGTCGCATATCCGCCAGTATGCGCACCGACGAGGGCGTCGTACGCTCGCCAGCACCACCTCCCCCACCCCCAGCATCCGCCGCCCCAAACTGCTGCGACGCATGGTATTCGTCCAGCACGCGTTGCAGCAGCGTGGCATACCGCTCCGCGACCCGCCAGTGCAGGCCCAGCTCGCGCAGCGTCTCAACCAACGGCGCAATGCCCGGGTCGACGTGGTGCTCAATCGTGCTGCCGTGCACCAGCAACACGCGCGCCGCCACCCACAGGCTAAAGGCAAATGGCGTACCCAGCTGCGCTAGCATGCCGTGCGCCTTGACGTAGTCGCACAACGCGGAAATGGCCTCGACCGCCGTTAGGCAGCGCTGGATCGCCGTGTACGACGGCGTGAAGATGGGAGAGCGAGTGGTTGGGTATGCGGCTGAGGAATGGAGGCGAATGACGGTTCTGCCAATGTCAGATTGCTTCAAAAATAGAATCGTCATACTCACGTGTGGAACGCGGCGTGTAGCGTGATCCACCCGCAATCCACGGCCGAATCCCCCTTGCTGGCACCATAGATTCTTGCCATGTTGCCAATATCGTTGGGCAAGCTAAATTTCCAGCTGGCCATGGCATTGTCCAGCTCCCTAAACTCGCGTTGCCATTGCTCGACGTCCGTCAGTGAGCCAATGTCGACGGGTTTCTTGAGGAATTGGTGGATTTGGGAGAGGATGCCAATCAGCTCAATGTAGTAGCTGAAGGAGCCCATGTTCTCGGGTTTGTTCAACGTATAGTCTGTACGCTTCGAGGTGCGGAACCATCGCGTCTCTACCGGTTGGTTGCGCGCGAACAATTCTTCGCGGCAGGGAAGCTTGCGATCAATTTCTTTTTCGTCGAGCGCAAACTCGAAAGCCGTGGCAATGGTGGCGTAGCGGTCCAGCAGATAGACGACCCAGAACAGACGACGTCGGCTCTCGTCATCGATAAAGTCTTTCGGGTCGGGCAGGACCATGGCGCGAAGGGTGTATATTGAAGGGACATTGGGAGAGACTAGGCTGGACGTCGCCTCAACCGACAGGCCGAGCTGCACGACCGAACGGGTGATGAGTGCGAGGAGGTTCCATCCTGGCGGGCCATTGGAAAAGCCAACGAGGTCCAATGCTAGGATGACGAGGGCTTGGAGAGCTTTGACGGAGCTGTTTTCAAGTCCGTACAGCAACACTTTTTGCTTGGACGTGGAGTGGTAGCGCTCTCGGCTTTCTTTGGTCAGACGAGGATCAGTGGAGAAACGCAGCGTCGTTGCGACAATGGAATGCAGTAAGATGCGGTCGGCTTCATCAAGAGTGGATGGACCGAAGAGAGAGTCGAGGGTGGAACGACGATGCAGAATGGGACACCACGTGTTGATGTGCTTGAAGAAGAGGTCGGCGAGTGCGTAGAGCAGGTCGTACGGGGGAAAATCGAGCTCCTGCTGTGGTTGCGACACGGGCAGGCTGAGGCCGGGCGAGTAGGACAGAGGCGAGGAGATGGACTGGCTACGATAGCCGGAGAAGTTGAGGGCAGACGAGGGCTTCTGCAGGAAGAGGGCGGCTTCGGGCTTGGGGACGTGGGGGGTGTGCACGAGAGGCGGGGATGGTCGTACGACGGGACTGGTCGACTGTTGGATTTGAAGGTGCGAGATGGTCGTTTGTTGGCGCTGTATCATGTCCTCGAGCCGATCTGACACAACGTCAACGTCGATGCACGGGTAATGAAGTTGGTTGAACGCACCCAGTCGTGCCTCAAGCTCGCGGCCGTAGCCGGCGCGCAGGCCGGGCTTCTTGCGTTCCTTGTACTCGCACGGCTGGCTGTTGCGCAGACACCACCCGCAGCTGGGCTGTCCGCGGTCGCCTGGTGCGCGCCGGGTCGCGAGTCAGCAAAGATGCCGAGGTGAGATGATGCATCACGCACATTTGACTTTGCGCTGCTTGCACAGCTCGCACGACACGGACATGGGCCGCTTTCGCTTGCGCGACCCATCGTCATCGCTGTCGGCGTTGCTCCAGGCGTCGTTGTCTTCAGGATGGTTGGTGGCCATGATGGAGAACAAAGGGTCTCGGGGTGTTGTTGCACCGTGGCTTCGCTTTGCTTCGCTTTTTAGCCCGAGTGCGGGGAAGGCCCAAGACGCGAGATGTCCCGAGAGACGAATGAGCATGATTGTATAAAGTATGCTCGGCTTAGCAACCATGGCTATCCTACCCCATCATCATGTCTCGCTCCTTCCCTACCATCCAAAAAGTCCGCACCTTCCTCGTCCAGGGCGTCGGCTCGGGCGGCGACTACCACAATGTCCAGGGCGGCCACTGGCTAATCGACACCAAAATCTCCACTCCCATGAGCGGATATGCTCAGTATGCCAAATCCCGCACTTCCTGGGGAATCAATGTCCTTGGCTCCTTTTGCGTTGAAATCGAGGCTTCGGACGGCACAAAAGGCTTCGCCACTGGATTTGGCGGTCCCCCCGCTTGCTGGCTGGTTGCCGAGCATTTCGAGCGCTTCCTGATCGGGTCGGGTGGGTTCAATGCCTCCATTGACAGTCCAATGGCTGATAATTTAGATCCCCGCGATACCAACAACCTCTTCGAGCAAATGTACCGCGCCTCCATGTTCTATGGTCGCAAGGGTCTGCCCGTGGCCGTCATCTCCGTCATTGACCTCGCGCTGTGGGACTTGCTGGGCAAGATCCGAAACGAACCCGTCTACAAGCTCATTGGCGGCACGACGCGACAACGTCTCAACTTCTACTGCACGGGTCCCGAGCCCACGGCGGCGAAATCAATGGGCTTCTGGGGCGCCAAAGTCCCGCTGCCGTACAGTCCCGGTGAAGGTCCAGAGGGCATGCGCAAGAATGTCGAATTCCTGCGTAAGCACCGCGAATCTGTGGGCCCAGACTTCCCGCTCATGGTCGACTGCTACATGTCGCTGAACGTGCCGTACACGATTGAGCTGGTAGAGCGGTGCAAGCATCTCGGCATCAACTGGTGGGAGGAGTGTCTGAGTCCGGATGACTTTGACGGGCACGCGCTGCTCAAGCGCGCTCACCCCACGGCCAAGTTCACCACCGGCGAGCACGAGTACTCGCGATATGGCTTCCGTAAACTCGTCCAAGGCCGCAATCTCGACATCCTCCAGCCCGACGTTATGTGGGTTGGCGGTTTGACCGAGCTGCTCAAGGTCTCTAGCATGGCAGCCGCCTACGACATTCCCGTCGTCCCGCACGCCTCTGGTCCGTACAGCTACCACTTCGTCATCTCGCAAGCGCACTCCCCCTTCCAAGAATACCTCGCCAACAGCCCCGACGGCAAGAGCGTGCTCCCCGTCTTCGGTGACCTGTTCATCAATGAGCCCATCCCCACAAAAGGCTACCTCGACGTGACGGATCTTGACAAACCCGGCTTCGGCCTCGAACTCAACCCCAAAGCGCGGCTCATCGACGCGGCCGGCGTGCTGAACCCGACGCCTCAAAAGGCCCTGACAACCCCCAACGCCAAGCCCGAGGAGCAGTGAGCGCGTGTCGGCGTCGTCCCGATCTGAGACACGGACGTAGGAGTCGTTGCGGGATCGACCATCGGGCCGGCGCGGGGCATAGCCCTACCTTCCTACCTGGCTCGCGGGCATATGTATGTAGGTATGTAAGCAGCGCCGCGGTGGCAGAGTGGCGCACCGCGCTAGGAGGAGGCGTGTGTAGACGGAGCAAAAGAAATAACCCTCGGACGCGGTGGCACCGACGTCGGCGTCGATCTGTCCGTCGGAGTGTATATACAGATAGAATAGCTAGCGGTAGAAAAGACAAAAACATCTGATATACAACACTCGAGGTGCTTGCCATGACAGCCAGCCTCACATCCACGTCCACATCCACCCACGCAGTCACTTGCGCAGCCCAGCCCTCCGCTTCAGCCCAAAACTCAACCCCAAACCGCCACGCGCGCACCGAACGCCTTCGCCACACGGCCCAGCCGCCGTCACGGCTACGTATCTAGCCATCTATCTATCCGTCTCTATCTATGCTGCATGCATGCGTGTATGTGCTTGCTTTATCTGTGACCAGCCCGCACGCCACACACACGCAAGTGTGCATGTATATGGGTGTATGTGTGTATGCACGTCGCTTTCGCTCCACACACCCAACTCGACTCCACTGCGCCTGTTCGCGCCACGGCGTCGGTATCGACGGGGACGTTCGCTCGTCCCGCGCGCGCATACGCGGTATGCAAGTCTGCGAGTGTGCGTGCGTGATGGGGCCGGAGCGGAGCTGTCAGAGGAAAAGCAACGCCTAACGTTAGGGTTACTAGGTTACGTTGTCGGGTGAGGCGGAGATGGCTTCAGTGTGCGTACGCCAGGCCTTGGTTCTCACTTTGTAGCTAAGCATGCATGAAGATGAAAGAGAGAAAGAGTGAGAGATTGTTGTAAGTACGTACCTATGTAGAAGTAGGAAGTAGGAGGGTATAGAACTAGCGACGACGATGACGCTGCAGCGTGAACGAGAGAGAGAGAATGAGAAGGGAAAACAAAAGACTGCCCAGTCATGACCGCGACATGACGGAAGGCGAAAAGAAAAGCAGACGGTTCCACTGCCACTGCCCGTCTGCTTGTCAGTGGCCTGTCTCGGCCAGACCAGACAACTAGACGGACAGAAAAGAAGAAACACAAAAACACAAAAACAACACTCTCCACACACCACCAGCCCAACCCAACCCCTAAAAAACAACAGCAATAAATCAGAGAACCATCCGAGAAAAAGACATCATAAAAAGAAAAGACAACGACACCACCGCCCAACCGCACGCATAAATGCACGCACGCTCATCACAAAAAAACCACCCTTACCACACCCACACGCAACCTTTCCTTTAGCCCAGTCAGCAGAATATCAAAAACAAAAAGTCAAAAAGGTAGTTAGTTAGGTAGCTTCATCGCCGCCGGCACGCACATATGCACGCATGCACGCCCATTCCAGAGGAGCCAGCCCCTCCCCCACACGACAACGTACCCAACGTACCCAACCGTCTACACCATTTTTGCCCTCACTCTTACACACCCACCACAATGGCCACCGCCCCGCCCCCGCCCCTTCCCGCATCCTCCGGGAAAAACCCAAACACCAGGCGATACAAGTCCGTGAACCAAGCAAACTGCTCCGCGCGGCCCATCCACTGCACCGCCCTCGCCACCTCCACGGCCCCTAGCCTCAACTGCTGCTGCTGATCGTTTCCATTCCCTCCGCCACCAGAACCCAGCAGCCGCTCCGCCGGCACTCGCAACGTCGGGTCCGAAAGCACCAGCTTCCGGTACTGCCCCAGCAGCTGCATCTGCCACCCCGCGCTCCCGAAACTGTCTCCCGGCAGCGCCTTCACAAACTGCGGCAGCGTGAGCCCCAATCCTCGACTGAAGCCCGCGTTCATGGCCGCTTTGAGAATCAGCCCCTTCAAGCGCACTAGATGCGGGTCTTCTTTCCGCCGCGTCGCTGTCGTCGTTGATGACGCTGCCGACGATTCCGAGTACCCTGACAGCGTCGACGCCGCGCTCGACCATCGGTTGTGCGTCCGCGTTGCTCCGCCTTCGGGCCCTAGCACCAGGATGTTCGGCGCGCTGTTCAGTCCGCCTTCATCCCCCGACAGCGGCTCATCCCCTACGTCGTCGAAGATGGTCGTCGGCGTCTCGGGCGGAAACGAGGACAGCTTGACGCTGTGGTAGCTGTTGTCGTCGAAGCTGTGGTACAAGCTCTCGTCAATCGATGATGCGTGCTCTGATGCTGGTGGCGGCACCGACGCCGCTCCGCCCCCGCGCTGGCTCTGCGTGCTGCGTCCCCCGCCACTACTCCACGTCGTCTGCGACTGCGGGGCCGCGAAGCCGCCCTGGCTGGGCCGCGGCGTGCCCCGATCCGGCCGCACCTGCGTCCAGCCCTCGCGGAACAGGTCGCACAGCTCCCAGCACGCCTGCACCGCCGAACCCAGCAGCTCTTCGTCGGCAGGCTTGCCGTCGCGGTTGTTCTGTCGCAGACTGAACAGCATCTCGGCCAGCGACCAGCACGCCCGCAGCAGCGCGTCCGTCTCCTGCGGCAGCGCCGTCCGCTGCTTCATCAGCCGATGGCATAGCGTCAGGTAAAAGTCAAGCGTGCGCTCGCGGAACGCTTCGGGCAGCGCCCGGTCGTGCGTGTTGTATAGGTGGTTGTTGAGCTCGAAGCTCACGCGCAGCACAGAGTCCGACGCCTCGTCGGCAATGTGGCGCGCCTCGAAGAGGGCCTGGCAGAAGCTGCGGCACAGCTCGAGCGTCGGGCGCACTTGGCTGGCATGGTCCTCATTGCGGCTCTCGTACAACTTCTGGCACAACCGCCAGCAACTCTTCCACGCCTGCTCTCCTTGTTCCCCTTTGCCCGAGAAGCTAAACATGCGCTCCCGGTGTATCGAGCTCAGCCCGGCCAATGTGTTGCATAGCGTCCAGCACTCGCTCAGCGCCGTCTTAAGCGCGTTTATTTCCTGCTCCGCGTGATTGAGATCTTGCAGCGCCTGCCCGATCGTCTGCGACTGGCCCATGTCCTCGTCGTCCGTGTCGATGGTGTGTTTGTCCGTCGTCGCGTCGTCCGTCTCGGCAATGTCTATAAACAAGTTAGGTCTGCCGTGTAACAACAGTGGCTTGCCTTACCTTCGAGGTCAAGGCTCCTGCTAACCCGATTGCGCTTCTTGTGCGCCTCCTCTGCCTCCTCCCTCGTCTGGGCGCGCGGGGTCGCGCGGTCGTTTTTGGCGGGCACCGACGTGTCAATGTTGTGGGGAGGTTCTGAAGAGCGCTGTGTAATCTGTAAGCGTACGCCAACGTGTTCCGGTACCAAACATACAGCTAGCTCTGGGGCTGAAGTGACCGTATTGGTCGTGTTTGATGACCTGTCGGTCGGCGTAGGCGAAGTCATGCTCCGTCGCGAGCCAAACTGCTGGAAGCCAGGCGGCGCATGGATGACAGACTGCGGGGCCTCGTCCGAGTTGGAGCGCGCCCTGGCGGCCGTGTCGAGCTGGGGCAGCGAGCGAGCGGGGCTTGCCATGTCGTCGTTGTCGTCCATCACCTCACGCTCGTCGTCGTCATCAAAGTCCTGCGCATCCTCGTCGATGTCCGTGGTGCCGGTGCCGTTGCTGTCGACGGGAGATGGTTCGACGGCAATGGGGTAGGGCGAGGGTGGGGGATGCAGCGAGTCGGAGGCCGACGATCTTACAAACGCATCAGCGCGGGTGCAACGCAAACGCACCGGGCGAACAGCTCACCTGTGGGGAAAGTGGTAGGGCGAGCTGGGCGAGTCGGAATAGGGCGAAAAGGCAGACTTGAGGTTGTGCGTGTTGGGTGAGGGCATGAGCTGCGTCGCCGTGGCCATGATAGGTCGATGGGCGAGAAGGAAACGGGCGCGAAGAACAGGAACAGGGCCTGGGTGTCTGACAATAATAGGCAATGGCAGCTGTGGCACAGCGTGACGAGAGGCCCAGAGAGGCCCAAGGCCCAAGACGGGACCCGGGCGCAGGGCAAAACTGGGGGCTAAGCGCCCAGAGGTAAACCACGCTGCCGGATCCGTTGCGACACATCATTTGCAAATCATTAACCGGTCAAGCCATGATGTGGTCTCTCCCGTTTGTGCTGGTGCTGAATTCGAGAGAATCCGCCTACATAGTAGAGCCTCATCGTAAGCGCTTCGTTCCAGAGACTACGGAACGCCTCCAACAACTCCCTTTCACATGACTGGTCGAACCGGGGTCCGCTCCACCAGCCGGAACTGCTCCTTCGGGCACCACGTGCAGCTGGATACCCACAATCGAGCGAACCTCTACTCCTCATCCGTATGCCCCTCCACTTCCTGTGCCGCGCATACGTGTCGTGAGGTCAGAGGGAGCGTAACGTGCGTAGCACAATGTATATGTAAAGCAGCAGCAGCTGAGCTCATGGATGGCTTGACCGCAGGACCGGGGTTCTGACGTGCATATAACCTTGCATGCAGACTCGACACCGGCGCTTCCCAGCCAATCCTTCCCGCTTCACTACCACTGCTCGTCTCCGCCTGGACCACTGACTGCACACTACTCTTAGTACAGGCAGCCACGGCAGCTATGACTACCGACGCGGGAGTGCAGACGCGGGAACGAGCAAAGGATCTTGTTGTCCCTATTGTTGTCAGCTTCTATCTCCTAGCATAGTCCACACAACTACTCACACGAATCCCTTGGATCTGCCGTGTATTGTTCGGCTGAAGAACATGCGGCTGTCCTTCCTCTGCCATAAGGGTTCGGTGTTCGTACTGTATGTGAGAGATTTGTTGATCCTATTCTTACCATGTTAATGTTTACGAATTGGTAAATGCCTGCATTGGCTTGACGAGATGCGAAGCTTGTGAAGAAAGGGGGAACAGAAGTGGGATAGACGTAACCGCATGTAGTAAATCTCCGATTAATTGTAAATGTTATTCTTCCGTGCTGGAATTTGAAAGCCGAAGGCCGTTACACATGATACGACTTACTCCCGCCTCCAATATTCGAGATACTTCCTTTGAATACCCCATTCAAATATAGACAAGTGTGCTTGCCTTTCAACAATTATCCGATTAAAAAGATAATGTAAAGACCAAAAGGTCAAAGTCCATCGCGGATCAAAGAAATGAGTGTCCAATGTAGTTGATGGTAGAAAGAGCCCATCGTGCCATGAGAGCAGTACGCAGTCATTGCCGCGCAACATTCTACCTCAACACCCTCGACTCGCCGTTCGGGACCTCCGTGAAGCTGACATCCTTCCACAAAGCTTCGTCACCCTTTTCAGGCCTATACAGACCATTATTCTGTTCTTCCTTTATGGCATGCTCCACGCTGATGATCTTCCTCTTCAGAAACCAGCTGACAAGTCCATACCCCTTCTTCACCTCATCATGTGTGCCGACCCAATACTTGGCGCGCAGAATCCTCTGACACTGCAGACCGTTCTTCCCGCCCAGGTTCAGTTGCTGCGCCTTCCCGAGCGTAATGTCATGCAGGCCATGCAAGAAGGCTAGGGTCGACAACGACGGCGAAGCTTCTGCGACGGGCTCCACGGCCTCGGCGCGGATTCCGTGTGGCGTATAGATTACGCATTCGGCTGCGTCAGCGCCGTCAATGGGCGCGGACCAGCCATTTGGCATTGTACGCGCGGAACTCGATGCGTGGTCTTGTGTGGGCTGCGGAAGTGCCGTGTTGAATGCGATCATGACCGCGGAGTGGTAGTACAATGCGTCTCCAGGTTCCTGAAGTCGCGATATGCTGAGCCATTCCGGTAGAGGTGGGAGCGCTGCGGAGCGCCAGTCGGCGTCCTCCTTCGTGAACGGTGGTATCAATGAGACTTGGCGAAAATGGTTCCAGGACCTGATGAGATCGGCTGCTTTCTGCCAGGTTGTCAACATCGGAGACCGTCCCGTTTGCGCAAGCTCGCCGAACTCACCTGTGTCGCAAATACCGGCACGTCTGGATCCACAGTAGTCAACGTTTCCCTGTGACAGTGATCCGTAAACTCATGACTGACAACGACCGCGTCGACAAACGTCTGTATTTCCGAGCCCGTGTCCGGCCCATTGGGCTCTCTGCCCTTCTCAGTCTCCCGCGCCAACTCTTCCACCGCCGCTACCGAAGGCGTCGCGCTCTCCGTAGCGTGCCATTGTTGTGAAAACCAGCTTGCGATGTCGGACTGGCCACCAGCGAGCCAAGGATCGAGTAGGATGTTGTAGTAGACGCGGCCGCCGCGTTTCGTCGCGGCGAGAGGGCGCGGGATCTGGAGCAGCCAACTGCTGTCGGCGTTGAGGTGGTGAAGAAGCGGTCGTCGGGTTTGGAGCTCTCTGGTTATCGCGTCGCGGAGTTCTTGCTGTAGCTGTGCGGAAGGAAGATCCATGGCTTGTTGGTCAGGTGTGGGTTGCGGAGATGGAGCTCAAATCATGACGCACTCACGGAGATAAGCGCATACAACTCAAAACAGCGCATTTATAATGAGCAGATTGTAATGTTCTTGTTAACCATCAACAATGAAATTTGGATTTAGCAACAAAGTAAAAAGCTATCGAATGGACTTCTGCCAAGGTGGCGTACTCTGAAGTACGTAAGTATCGAGCTAGATGCTCATGCAAAGAGCAAAATGGAAGCAAAGCAATCCTTCCTCCACATAAATAAGCGGCAATGTCACAAAGCCATAAGCTTTGTATGAACTGTCACAACCCATCAGGCTTTGTCCGTTCATTGGTGGATGCTTCACGACCCATCAAGCTTTGTCAGGGTCATTGATACCACCATTGGTGATGATGTAAGTAGCCTCTCCCTCAGGACGATCTAAAACAACGTCAGTAACAGCTAGAAGGACCGGAAACTAGTTCATACCAGGTGAATCCTGAATCTTGGCCACTCGCTCTTCGCCTCGACCCTTCCGAAGTAGAATGCGTGTTGCAGAAGCGTGAGCGAGAACGTGGCCACCGACGGGCTTCCTTCCATCAGCACCCGCGAACATGGCGCTGGCACCAGGATCACTCTGGACTTGGTTCGTCTGTGATTGTTAGTGATGGACATAAGAGGCTAGATCTGGTTCATACCAGAAGAACGGTAAGGTTGAATTCTAGAAACTGTTAGCGTGTATGCGGAAGACGTACGGACAGACCAACCTTCGGCCATGTGTCCCAGCTTCGACAAGAACTGGTTCAGTCTTTGCTGACGTTCGCCCAGTTCACCTCTTCCAACATAATCCACGCGGAACAAAGCCATGATGCTGTCAATGATCAAAAGGCGGTATTCGTTGGTCGCGAAAGACTCAGCCAGACGGTTCAGAAGCTCATGCTGATGCTCACTGTTCTGGGCTCGAGCATAGATGATGTTGTCCAAGGTCTGGTCAGGGTCGACACCAAATCTCTCCGCGATCTGTGCAATCCTCTCCGGTCTGAATGTTCCCTCGGTGTCGATGTATGCCACTTTGCCATCTGCGCCTCCCATTTCCTTGGGAAGCTGAGCGATGACGGACATTGTATGGGAGAGTTGAGTCTTGCCGCAGCGGAACTCACCGTAGACTTCGCTGATGCTCATGCTAGAGAATCCCCTATTTCATGTGAGCAAGGTACGGCTTGAGGCCAGTGGAACTCACCCTCCAAGCATCGCATCGAACTGCTTGCTTCCAGTGGAAATCTTGACGACGCGCTTGCGCTGCTGGGCGAGCTCAGAAGCGGTCATGAATCCAATGCCGTTGGGCTAAAACTGTCAGCTTGGGACAAGAGACATGTCGATAGACAAACCTGGCACTTGACAATGGCATCCTTGATCTTGTCGACCTTGATTTCGCTGAAACCTTTGACCTTCAACAGAGTGCGCCTTGTCGCCGCTTGCACAGACTGTCACATTGTCAGTCGCAAAGCCAGTCATCATAGCGGAAGAACTAACGGCAACTGTGTAGAAGCCATTGCTCTTGAGCTTGGTGATGTCGACAGCGCCGATGCCTGGAGAGGTTAGTCGTCAATCATAGTTTGAGACGCGTCGCGCATACCGTGCGATTGAATCTGGTCAATGTCGACGATGAAGCTCTCCTATATGCGAATGAGTGGGGTTGCGCGTGGATTTAGAAAAGTGCTCACGTCGTCAGAGTCCTCGCTGACTACGGAGCCGGGCATTTTGGATGAATCAGTGAGAATGTAGCTGTAAGTTGCGAGAAGAGAAGTGTTAAGTGATAGCGAGGAAGTTGACATTGAAGGTTGACGAGGGAAGTTGACGATGGAATCGCTGGTCGCGGCAAGGCAGACGCGTTCAACCGCGTCGCGTCAATAAATCAGTCCAACACTGCTGCATGCACCATCCCAACTTCAAATCACTCAAAATTGAGTCTGCCAATCATCCTAGCCTGAACTACCGACAACATAGCCACTTCACTCTCCCCTCTACGTGAAAACCCTCCTGCCCTCGCCCTGCTTTCACTCGCTTCCAGCCTCCGCCCTCCGGGTTCGCCCCAGGACCGATCTCGCCTCGCCAGTCGTTCGTCCGTTGGATGATAGCCAAAAATGGAAAGAGGACAAAAAAGACAGGATCAAGTCCTGGGGAGCGCCAATCGCTCGGTGATGAGGTTGTATCATTGGGGATGCAAATCATGGGTATCGGGATCTCGTGAAATAACTTTTTCGCGGTCGTTAACGTTACGATGCCGGTGCCAGAAAAGAAGAATGGCAGCATAATAACAATGGTAAAACGTCGCGTGGTATAGAAGCGAAAGTAGAAATATTTATGTGCGAATTCGCAAGCACGGACTTGGATTCAAGTGGTTGCCGTGCCGAACCACCTTGAGTACCTGACGCAATTAAGCGACGGCGGTGGTGGGCGCCGGGGGCTGAACGGAAGCCTGAGGAGCAAGGCCATCACCGTTGACAACCTCAGCCTGAGGGCACTCGCGGGAGATGTGACCAGCCTCACCGCAACGGTAGCAGGTCTTGCCAGCAGTGTTGAGGGGACCACCGTTGGGAGCAGTGCAGTCGCGAGAGATGTGACCAAGCTTGCCGCAAGCGTAGCACTTCATGGCCTGAGCCTGGCAGTCGCGAGCGTAGTGGTTGGGGCCACCACACTTGTAGCAAGTAGCGGGACGAGGGCCACCGGCGAAGCCACCGCGGAAACCACCGTAAGGACGGGGAATGGGGGCGCGACCAATACCCGCGGCACCGGGAGTGGGGCAAGAGCGGGCAAGGTGACCGGGCTGACCGCAAGAGTAGCAACGGCCGCTAGTACCGGCACCGCTCAAGCGCAGAGTCGGGCAATCGGCCTGAACATGACCGAGGCCCTGGCAGTGGTAGCATTGCTTGGTCTCGGTGGTGCGAGGGTGAGGGCAACCGTTGGACTCGTGGCCTGGTATTGTTAGGGATGGATCGAGAAGTGGACGACGAACGTACCGGGTTGCTTGCCTATAGATTGTTAGATGAATTCACAGGACGAAGAGCAAGACTTACAGTTGTAGCAAAGTCTCTCGGACGAGGAGCAAACCTCTGAATGTTGTCAGCTTACGCATTCCTCGGAGCGCAAGGCACATACCAGCGTAGTGACCAACATTGCCACACTTGTAGCATGCGCGACGCGATAGAGAAGACATGTTTTTCTGCGGCTCGATTGTCAGGCCGAGTCGAACGGTGGCGAATTTGCGACGAGGGATGAGACGGAGAGCCGTCTTGGGCCATGCGATGAACATTGTGTGTACCTTCGAGATGCTGCACTTGGACGCGGGTTAACCGGGATAAAATTCTGAGCGAGGGGTGAGATGCACGGTCGGCGGGGACGCTGCCAGGGAGTCGGGGTTTACTTACAACTTCTTCTTCTACCAACGCGACAGCAACTTCTTCCGACTCCTGGAGTTGTCCTGGACGGTGATGGTATTTGTAGAAGCAAGACACTCGGGGCAGGAAGATTTCAGGCGAGGCCTTTTCGGCGCGGCGCAATGACCAGCGCCCAAGCCGGGGCCAATCGGCCGACGGTGACGATGACTGCTGAAGCTCAGCAACGCTGCCATTTGCCCGTTCAATCTCACTAGCGCCTGCAATGACGGAGCAATTCATTTGCCTTCGTATCCTCTACCGTTTGTGACAAGGAGCAGCACGCGCGGCTTGTCACCCAACGCCCCCGCCAGCACGACTACATCACGTGTCGACGATCAAGATTTGATGGGAGTATAACATGGTATTTATTTTAACGTGACTTGTACTTGATGACAAGATTCTATTCCTCCTTCTCAATGACAGCAGGAGCCTTGATGGTCCTGGTCTTGAGGAATCCCAGACCCTCACCACCCTAGTAAAGTTAGTAATGTTCGATGAGGAATGAGGAACAAACTTACGTAGCTGATGAGAGGCGAAACCTCGACACCATCCTCATCCTTCTCACCAGTGACAACACCACCAGCAGCCTGCACCCACTTCTTACCCTGGTCCATAATGTCCTTCTTGCTGGTGTCGGGGTCATCCTCGCCAGTTCCACGAGCATTCTTGAGAGGAGAGAACTCATCCTCACGCTTGACCTCCATGCAAGCGAAGTGATCCATCTTCAGAAGAGGGAAACAATCGAAGACGAATTGCTCGAGCTTGATACCGTTGGGCTTCTCGGGCTTGATGGTCTCACCCTTCTCGGTGTCGACGTAGGGAATCTTCTTGCGAGCGACGTGGTGAGGAAGGTCCTTGGACCACTGGGGAATGCTGTCGAGGAATTCGAAGGAGTAGTAGTGGTTGACAATGTTGGCCGCACGGAACTTGAGAAGCTCAGAGTTGCTAGAGTCCTTGGCCTCGGCGGTCTCGGCATCAATCTCAGAGTATTCGACAACGTCGGGCTTGCCGTTCTTCTGCATGATTAGACCGACAGACTCCTTGGCGTCGCGCTTGCGAACGACCTTGGTGGCAATCTTGACGTTCTTGGAGGCGGCGAAACCGATGAAGCCAGGGTCAGCGACCTTGACAAGGCAGTTGTCGACGCAGTAAGCGTGAATGTGCTTGACACCACGCTTCTTCATGTCCTCAACAACGCCGGAGACGATCAGAGCCTGGTAAAGACCACCGTTTCCATCGGGAGCGACGGCAACCTTGGACTTGCTCTCGAGAAGGATCTTGCCATCATTAGAGATGCAAGGAAGGACGCCTTGCTCGAAGATGATGACATTCTCCTTCTTCAAGCCAAAGTAGTTGTTCTCCTCGAAGAAAGCCTGGGTAGGGCCACGGGTGGGTCCGCTGGTCATAACATACCAGGGAACGACAACCTCCGCCTTCCCGTGCTTCTTCTGAGCGAGTTGTTGAACCTTCCAGATGCGCTCGGCCTGGAGTTGGAACAGCGACTTCTTGCTAGGAAGACCAATGTCGTAACAACCCTTGGGAGCAGAGCTACCCAACCTTGTACCTTGTCCACCAGCCATCAAGACCACACCGACCTGGTTCTCCGCGACGAACTCCAAGCCCTGGTCGTACCATTTCTGAAGATCGTCGGTGTTGGTGTCGTAAACGGAGGAGGTGGCGGAGGTAGGAAGGGGTTCGAGCTTGGGAGCGCCAGCCTCAGCTTCGGTCTTGGGAGGGTTCAAGGCCTTGTTGGTGATGGTGTTAATGTAGTCGGGGTCGATGCCGGAGAGCTGCTGGAAGAGAGTAGCCTTCTCCTCGGTGTTGAGCTTATCGTAGAAAGCGAAGACCTGCTCCTGACCGGCCTTTTCGTACTTTTGGCAAAGGGTCTGGTACTCCTCAGCGGTAGGCTCCTTGGCGGGGACACCAGCGGGGCTGGTGATGTGCAGCTTCTCGAGAACGTTCTGAGCGAGGCCTGCCATTGTGATTTGTGAGAGTGAGGTGAATGAGGGAGGTAGAAGGAGGGGAAGCGATGGACTTTAAAGGAGTAGACGGGCGTCAGTCAAACGCCCCACGATGTAGGAGCTCATGCTCGCAATTGGCCCTTGTTCTCGCTGCATCATCGCCAAAAATAGTCAGCCCCGCCCCGCCACTCACCGCCTGACAACACCAGGGTTCAAGCGGAGATCACGACTGTAAGGTCATATTCGTTGCATGAATTATGTATTCAGAGATATCCAAAGATTTGAGCGACTCTCCATGTTTCCCTGCGGCTCTTCTCGAGCTGAGGGGAAAATTCTGCGCCATCTGGACCCCTTTTCGTATTGGGGCTTAGCCTGCGCCTCACTTCGCACTACCTCGTAGGAGTACCAAACATCTACGTCCAAGGTCGCGATTGACTAGACAGGTATCCGTTGTAGGCTGGTAATTCAAACAACATCGATACACGATCCAATTAGATTTCTGCACTCACGGGATTGCCGTTGTGGTTAACAGTTGGAATATGAAAAAGGAAGTCGCATTGTTGGCGAACAGTCTACCATTCACCACATCCCAAAATGCATTCACAAAGGCACTTTCACCAAGTACCCGTCATTCACCCACCTTAACATACCTCTTTTGCAGGGTTTATATTCTCCTCGTACTCCCACTCCCTCGAATCAGTCAGATCGCCACCATGTCTGTCCCCATCCGCGACTTGACCCGCTTTGAACGTAAGACCTTACTCCAAGGTCCTCAGGCTTGCGTCATACTCAACATGGCCGATGGCACTCCACCGCTCGTTATACCCGTCCCTCGCGCAGCTCTCGAAGCCTTTTCGACGGTTGCCTCCAAGCAACTTGCTGACGGAAACACTGCCAGCGTCATCCTTCAACCAGGCGCCGCAGCCCCAGGTGCTCTTCGCATCCTTCTCGAATGGATACAGCGTACTTGTGATGCTCGCGACTACATGCCGCTTCCAAAAAAGGCCGCGCTCAGCCACAATGTCATGATGTACCATGCGGCGCTGGCTCTCGGCATGACCGAAGTTAAGATCACCATTGGAGGCTATCTGAACGTCCTTGTCGAAGACTTTTGCAATCAACCACTGCGTTGGAACGACGTCTACCAAATGCTCACCATTCTCCCGCAGACTTCGATGATCATTCAGCGTCTGGTTGAGAATCTTGCTCACGCTCGCCGTATGGGCTTGCTTCCGTTGGAGTACAAGCAGAATCTCGAGACTTTCGCAAAGACTTGTCCGGAACTTCACAAGCAGCTCGACAAGCATGATCAGCGCATGTCAAACAATCAAACCTTGCTTCGCCCTATCGGTAATGGCCCGAACTCAAACACTCGCAACTGGGTTTCTCGTAAGAACAATACGGAGCGCAGGGGTGGACACACTAGGCGTCGTGAGTTTGCCGATGCCAGCGAGCATCTCTTGTCTGATGCAGATGTCGATCGCATCATGGGACGTGGTTGATTTGGCGAGTATGTTGGTTGGTATCAGACATTGGGATTACTTGCTGACACTTTAGAGTGATTGGTCTCACCTGAATGGATTAGGTTTGATCTGCACAGAAGCGGTTACTTTGATGATACTCGGCAATGAAGGATATGGTTCATAATCCTCTGAAGTAGTATCAATCAACTTCTTACGATAATGTTGTGGCCGAGACTTTGTTTTGTACCTTGCTTTGAACAAGTCTTGGTTTTGATATCTTGTCATTGAATGATGAGGGCCAGATTAGACTTGAGCATCAGCACAGTGTGTTTTTCTGTTCTTTAGAATCCAGGTATGCAATATCTTTTAACACGGAAGCCAAATATATACAAGTATCAGATTTTCCTTTGTTATTTCAACAAACATACATTTCATACTGTAACTGAGAGCTACCTCATTCATGCACATGGATCTGCACCACACTGTAACTTCGCGGCTTAGAATGGAATGCTCAACTAGTCCTTGGTCTAACTTTGTGTGGCAGTAATGGATCAACCTAACACTCATTCGGCGCCCAGTTTGATATCTTCTCTCGCAGAAACAGGCCCTTGCATTCCTACGTGCCTGGGCTAGTTAACCAACCAGCTGGGCTTCTGGCACTGTTACACCACTACCTCGGCCCGATTCACCATTTTGTTACCACAAGATACTCCCAACGACAAGACGCTCCGCAGCAGAACAGTGACCAAATGTTACACATCCGCATAGCCATCAGAACATCACGCGAAACACGAAGCCAAAAACAATTTCATTGATCATGGACCAAGTAGAAGCGAACGCATCGTACCGAAAACAGCATCATTACGCCATGTCAAACACTCCCAACGTTACCATCGGCCGTGACTCCAATCGAAGCGATCAATCTCAAGAAGCTCGGCACACATCCAAATGCTACCACCCTTACCCGTCAAAGCAAGCCAGAGCGGCAGTCCAGAACGTCGCCAGCTCACTGCACATCCTTGGGCGAAACAGCGACCTTCACCTCCTTGAGGAACTCGGACCAAGTCCCGGAAGAGAGGTCCTTCTCACCAGGCCAGAACGCAACGCCACCAAGGTTCGAGAAGTGTCCACTGTCATACAGCTTAGCGACGTTGCGTACGAAGCCAGAGTTATCGTAGACGGAGCGCGCGCCCAGCGCTTCCACCGTGCCTTCCTTGGCCGCCGCTTTGCCGCCGATCAAGATGCGTGTGCCCATTACTTCGGGCGTCGCGTCGCCTTGCGGTGGCTGTGGCAGCAGCGCAGTGTTCCATTCGTTGATCAGGCTGGTCAAGTCAGACGCACATCCTGCCGACGCGTCTTGCGTGCGGATGTAGATGAAGTCCATGTTCCGCAGGACGCCGGACGCGTTCGGGCTTGGGATCTTGCAGCCTTGCGCTGATGAGACGTAGTACGTCTTGCTGAAGTCTTGGTTGAAGTAGTCGCGCAGCGTCGAGGCGAGGACATCGTAATATGGGCTGTCGAGGTTGTCCTCAATACCGAAGCCGTCGACCGTAACATCGCCAGCGGAACCAAAAGGCTTCAAGGCTGATGGCTCAATGTCTCCGCCTCCGAAGAGCTTCCACAGCTTCGAGGCGAAGTCGCGTGCTTCTTCGGCGGAAGAGAACGTCTTGGCTTTTTCGCCAGTGGTGTTGTTACCAACGCTGACGAGAATCTTCTTGCCAAGGGCCTGGCAGTTCTTCACGCTAGTAGCAAGGTCAGGACAATCTCGGAGGCCTGGAGCGGTCTTTTGTTGCTCGGCATTGGCAGCACCGCATCCTGGGAAGGGCTCAATCTGGGGATAAGCTTGAGGTCCTTGGAACCTTGAAACGAGAGGAATGTTGATGATGTTGACGCTGGGATCCTCGCAAAGGGCGTCAAGCTCTTCGGTGCTCTGGGAGTTTCTAGGCTGGTAGTAGGCGGCGATGTTGCTGCGAGCGCGGGCATCGAAACCGAGGTAGCTAGTGGGAACAACGGATCCAATGCGGCTAGCAGTCACGGTTGGTGGCGGGACCCATACCGTGGACGTGAGAATCTGCGTGGTGGTAAAGGTACCTCCTGTAGCCAAGGCAAAGGTTGAAACATTACCAGTGACAAGCACTTCTCTCGCAGTGTAAGTGCTGGTATAGGTGGCTACGGATCCATTGAGGGCGGTAGATGTTATCGTTTCCACAGTCGTAACTGGAGTAGAAGTCACAATGGTTGAGACGTTGGCAGTGATGAGAACGTTACTTTCGGTGTAGTTTCTTGTGTTGACGAAAGTCAACGCGGAGCCGTTTAGGGCACTCGAAGTTGCAGTTACCAGGCTAGTGGCTACTGGAATCACAAGAGTGGAAAGGTTGGCTGTGATGTATACGTCGCCCAAGGTTTTTGTACTGACGAGAGTGACTATGGAACCGTTGCCGGCGATAGAAGTTGTAGAGGCAGGGGTAACCAGAGGAAGAGTAAAGACTGAAGAATTTCCAGTTGCGGCAACTTCAGTGGCTGATGCGTTGGCGAATGGAGGGATGTCGATGGTAGATGCATTCAATGATGGGTTTACAAACGTTGAGGTGGAATTATTCGTCACAAGTACGGGCGTAGTTGTGATGGTAGAAGTAAAAACCTCGGTCCTAATAAAGGTCGTCGTGCTTCCATTGGCTATCAAGATTCCGGTTGATGTAGAGGTGATCAATGGAGTGGAAGAATTCCATGTGGGAATGACAGACACTGGAATTGGCATATGAATCGACAAAGTATGGTTGGCTGTGCCATTAGCGGTGGGAATCGGGAAAAGCGGAAGCGGTAGGGTGGTATTGGCCGCCGGGATCAAGGTGGTATTGACCGTCGGGATAGTCAAGGTAGTATTAACCGTCGGGATAGTCAAGGTAGTATTAACCGTGCCGTTGGTGGGGATGGGATTAACCGTGGAGATTGTGATCGTAGGCGTAGGCTCGACGATCGTAGGAAGAGGGAACACCACCGTAAAGTTATCGGTGGCATTGATGGGCAAAATGCTGAATTGACCTGTCGGCAGAGGTGTAGGTGGTATAGTAGTCACTACAGTCTCTTTGGTAACGGTAGGGACAGCGATGGTAGGTAGGGACGGTGGGGGATTTCCTGCTGATACTGCCGACAAGTATTCGGAGAATACGCTTTCCAAGGCATGGACGCGCGACGCGTAATCGGCAAAGAAGTTTATGGCATCCTCGGGTAGGTCGTTGAGAGTGTCATTAAGAATCTCAATGTCACTTATCAAGACTTGAGCGGGATCGGCAAGAGTGGCGGATGCGGAGACGGAGGAAGTGACAGTTACAACCTCGGTGATGGTTGCGGCTTCACGACGGATGTTGAGAGCATCTACAAGTAGATTGTTGACGAGCAAAAGAAGAAAAACACTAAGGCCATACATGGCGAAGGAGCGAATGACTGTGGTGAGGACGATACAAACGAATGTAGTGATGAGTTTCTGAACGCATGGCGACAAGACTTTATGTGGCTTTGAGGAATGTTTGAACTCGACGCGTCCTGCGTTCCGGAAGTCTCCTCGCTTCAACTCTCCCTATCGTGAAGCCTAGGCAGACCATATTAAGAGGTAAGGAACTTGGTGGTACTACGCGTGCGCCCTCGGCGTTATGCATGGTGGGACGCAAGGGACGGGGCGAAGGGCGAGTCGTGAATTTTGCCGACCCCGCAGTGATGTTGATCTGGTGGGGAAGCGTGGGGAAGCGAACGGGAAGCGAACGTTAGTTTTTCTGTCAAGAACAATTTCGTATAAGACCCGTCTGAGTACGTACATCATCATGATCGTGAATGTCGACTTGTTAGCTCTGGCGACCAATTTGACCTATCTTTCCTCCTTGACTGCAATCTCTCTCCTCGCCTACGACCCCAGGTTCACCGCCAATGTCTTGGGTCCAGACGTCTCGGCTCGACAATTGTACGACCTGCCCTGGCAAGCTTTTCACGAAATGGGAACCTACCACAAAGCCTCCAATGCCGTCTACATTACTTCCAACTACAATTCACTGCAAAATCCCATCAACGTCACCATCCTCAACCTCGACGATTACAGCTTAAGCTCTACTCGTTACGATGGATTGTATGAGGCGAACGGAGGCACCGGTTATTTTCCTCCGGGATCAGATGCCGTCACCCCACCCAAATTGCTCTTCTGCGACGAGGGGGATTTTGAACATGCCTCGGCTCTTACAGTTGTCGATCCCACCACCAACGAGTCAGAGGTCATTCTGAACAGCTTCCTTGGTCGGAACTTTTCCTCCGTAAATGATGTGCGGCAACATCCGGAAACGGGTGATCTTTGGTTCACTGATGCCGACTATGGTTGGTTCCAACATTTTAGACCGGAGCCAGTTATTCCAAAACAAGTTTATCGATTTGAGCCCGCTACTGGAGTCCTTCAGGTAGTCGCAGATGGCTTTGTCGAGTCCAATGGTCTTGAGTTTTCTCCGGATCTTAAGACGTTGTATGTCAGTGACACTGGATCGGGACAATTCTCTACGAATCTGACTAGACCTGGTACGATTTACGCTTTCGATATTGTTGGTAAGAAACGTCTACAAAACAGACGAACATTTGCTTTTGCCGACACTGGTACTCCGGATGGCGTTCATACCGACCTTGATGGCAATGTTTGGGCAGCTTGTGGGGATGGTGTTCATATATGGGATCCAGAAGGAATTTTATTAGGAAAGATTCATCTTGGAGTTGCTAGCAATAATTTTGCGTTTTTACCTGGAGCTGTACTTATATTCAGCAACTACCAGCTTTGGATTGTTGAGAATATAAAGGCAGTGGGGAGGGAAATTTGTCGAGATTTTGGAGTATGTTGATTGTATATGAATTATGATGCTTTGAGTGTACATTTACCATGTGCAACTGAATTTATTTTGTTACTTACAATATATCTGATTGTTGCAGTATAATACGCACTAAGATAATTTCAATATGCACTTTTGTTTTCTGCAAGGCTGTCAAAATTATTATTTTTCCACCTACAATAACTTTCTCATCTATAGAAATATTTATTCTTGAAATTTAAAGACGAACAATCTCGCATGTTGCATTGCATAGAACCAATTGAATAAAACTACTTCTTGTTAAATATTAACTCTAAATACTATATTTTAATTCAAACGTGTGAAAACTATTCTCGGCACTTTCTCACAATTACAACTTCGCCAACTGCTTCCACTTTATTCCAACAACTACAAATTCTTCCTCGTCTTCTTCATCTGCATCCCTTGCAGGGAACATTAGATCCGTTGATCATCAGGTGCTATAACTCCACCAAGACGTTTGAACGCGGAAATGAAATAGCATATTTGACCAATCGCCGTTGTGTAGCTATCGGATGTGCCGGCTAGTATCTTAAGGTAATCCACCGAAGCCTGTTCATATAGACTGAGGCTGTGTTTTCTTTGAACGTTCATTGGCCCTCGGGTGCTCTGACCCCAACGCAAGAACTTCTACGAGCGGCAGAGTGGTCCGGGATACGATGAAAATCTTCAACCGGTGACTCATAAATACAGGACATCCTTTGTTTGAATAAAATATTTTCGACCTCAACATGCCTGCGACTCAGATCACGAGAGATGTTATATTCCGCCCCCACAGCACCGCGCAAGCTTTGATGTATGCGCAAAACCATGGAAGCTACCCAAATGAACTTTACGGTTGGATCTTGAGTTATCATGCCGAAACTGGAGGCAAATTCAATCAAATTCTGGATGTTGGATGTGGTCCTGGAAACGTCACCCGTGATGGCGCAAAATCCTTCGATCATGCCACCGGTCTGGACACAAGTGAAGCGATGATTCGAGCCGCAAAGAGCATTGGAGGAAAAACGAAATCCGGGGAACAGATCAAATGGTGTATTGGTGCGGCGGAAGAATGCAGCACGGTTACGGACATTGGACTTGGTCAAGTGGATTTGCTGACAGTCGCAACTGCTGTTGGTTCCTCCAACATTTTGAGAAATATATGCTGATGATCATAGGCTCATTGGTTTGATATGTCGAAATTCTGGAAAGAGGCTGCTAAAATAGTGAAACCGGCTGGAACGGTTGCCATTTGGGTGACGCCTCATTACTACTGTCGTATGTATTTGTACGTTTTTGGTGACAAGTCTAATGTTTGTAGATCCGGCTACGGAAGGAGCAGCAAAGATACAACAAATATTAGACGACTTTGAACTCAAAGTATTGGCACCTGGAGAATTGTCAGGTAGTCGAATAGCAAGAGAATGGTATGATGATCTGGAGCAACCGTGGGGAAAAGCAGATTTTCGAAAAGATCAATTTCAACGAGTCAAATGGAATTTCGACGGGAAGCCAAGTGGTCCGGCGGGTGCGGACTTTTTCGGAAGAAGTCAAACTTTGACGCTTCAACAATTGGGGGAAACGATCGAGACTGCGAGTACGATTGAAAGATGGAGAGAAACCCATGCTGGTACGGACGATTGCGTAAAGAAATTCATCGCGGATCTCAAGCAAGTGGGAGGTGATTCTATAAGATTCGGGTCTGGGCTTTCACTGCTTTTATACAAGAGAGTTTGAGCACAGAATAAAGTCAAGGGGTACTTTATTGATACTATCTAGTGATATGCCTATTAATGCTAATCGCTGCAAGTGCTTTAAAGGAATGACGCTTTCTTGAGGAGCCTGATGAAAACAAATCCGAAACTATTGCCTAGGAAAAATGCTTTTCAATTTAGATGCACACTGAGATTTGAAATCACAGCAGAGCAATGAGACCAAGGATGAGGGCAAGGAATGCCGAGGGTGAAACCACGGAAGCAGCACCGGCAAACGACTCGAAAGAGGAATTGGCCTCTTCGCTAGTGGTAGAATCAGTACTGTCAGCACCGAAAGCTGTACCAGCCCTGTAAGTTGGCGTACTAGCCGTGATAGCCGATGTGCTAGTGTAATCGTTGGACGAGAAGTCAGGGCTATAGCGGGGAGTGTATACAATTGGAGTGTTGGGGGCATCTAGAGCATCAACTGCTGGAGCACCCCTGTAGACCGTGGCAGTGGGACCATCTCTGTAGATCGTGGAGACTTCAGGAGTGCAGTCGTCGTTGGCAGAGAATCGCGTGACCGTGTTAGTGATGGTAACGGTGGTTGTGGATGTGACATGAACGGGAGCCGGTAGAACGCTGTGAGTGGTTGTTATCGTGGACACCGCGTCTACACGAGCGTTTGGAATAGGGGCGTCTTCGATGTCGGCAGGAGCGTCAGGAGCGTCAGGAGCGTCGGCAGGAGCGTCGGCAGGAGCAGCCGGAGCATCGGCAGGAGCGGCCGGAGTAGATGGTGCGCTGGGAGCAGAGTTCGACCGGACAGAGCTGCCTGGGATCAATACAGGAGCGATGGGAGTAGAGTTAATCAGAGCAGGAGGAGGACCCGGTGGAGTAAGGCTGACAGTAGGGGCAGCTGCAGGAGGAGAGGTGAAGGAAGCAAAGTCATCGTTAAAGCTAGCCTGAGAATCGGGAGCTTGGAAGTTGTCTGGAGCATCTACTGGAGCCTCCGGCGCAGTGTTTTCCGGGACATCGGGAGAAAACGGAGGAGCAGAGTCGGCTGGAGGTCCGTTGAAAACTGGAGCATCAACCGGAGCGGGAGGAGTATAGTTGGCTGGAGACTCTGGAACAAATGGAGCTGCTGGTGTGATGGAGGGACCAAACTCAGGAGCGGCCGAGGATGCAGGGAGGAAGGGTGCAGCGGTAGGCTGAGCGGGAACCGCAGGAGCCGTCCAGGTAGGGCCAGGTCCAAAAGAAACAGGTCCCGCAGGAGCATCAGCGGGAGGTGACACAGTATCGGCGGGTGGAGCAGCACCCTCAGCACGAGGAGGAATTGACCCAGAGGCATCGGTGTCAGCACCATCGGTGTTTGAACCAGAACCAGCATCGTCCGACTCAGACCCAGACCAAGAAGGCCAGCTACCGAATGGGTGGTTGAACCAGGATCCTTGTTCCTGACCAGTCTCTCCCTCGTAGCTGGAATCGTCGTAGCTTGAACCGTCGTAGCCAGAACCTTCGTAGCCAGAACCTTCGTAGCCAGAACCCTCATAGCCAGAGCTTTCGTAACCAGCATCCTCGTAACCGTAGCCATATTCTTGATCGTAGGGGGTTGGGCAAGTCGACATTACTTCAACCTTGGTAGGTTCGTAGCACCAAGTGCAATCAATCCACTCCTTTGTATAACCATATGGAACGTAGTTTGAGTCTCCAACCTGACCATGTTCGCGCTCAGTGACCGTGTACGCTTTAGTCACGACTTGGTTGTCCTCGATAGCTTTTGCCTGCGTTACGTATACGATAATCTCTGGCGCAAAGATGTTGGCTTGTTTGTTGCTGTTGTCGGCATTGTTGTTGGCGCTGTTGTCTTTCAGACTGTTGTCACTGTTGTCGGTGTTCTGACTGCTGTCGCGGTTGTCGCTGTCGTTGATGCTTTGGTCGGTGTCGGCTGGGTTAGGTCTTGCGACGTCTGTCGCGATAGGAAATGTTGACGTAGGCAACACCAAGGTTTGTGTTGGAGCGGTTGCCGTCGTTGTCTCTGCTTCCTCAGCAGTAGATGTAGAAGTTCCAATGGTGACGGTTTGAACATTGGTTGGTACGAAAGTGGACGTGCTGGGATTGACCTGTGTGACTTCAGATGCAGTGACTGTGCTTGTCTGAGGCTCAGATTGTACAAAAGTCTGAGTAGAAGAACGTACGCCACCAAAGGCGGCTGAAGCCGTGACTGTGCTTGTCTCTGGGTCGGTTGGCACGAAAACCGAAGTACTGGTGCGTGTACCAGCAAAGACGACTGGCACGGTGGATGTGATGGTCTGAGGAGCAGCCAAAGCAAACTTGGCCAAGAGCAAGGCCGCCAAAGCGGCATTCATCTTTCCCAATGTCATGGTGAGAGGTGTAAGCGAAAGTATGAGTAGATCAGGCTCGACTCAAGAAACTGGAGAACTGAACTGTGATGCTGTTGTTGGAGAGCAATGGCGGTCATCTTTATACTTGAAAGCTTCCCTTAGCAGTGCAGAATTTTAGTATTCCAACGGAAACGGTCAGCGCAGTGATTCGATAACAAGGTAACAAGGTTTATTGCGAAAGATGGGGATTTGGTAGCAACACTGCCGGAACGGGCGACTCGCGAGAAGGAAAGGAAGGCGAGACCCCATTGCGCCAACTCTGTAAGCCATTCTGGATGTCGCGGCAATTCCCGAGATCGTAACTTGCCGGTTGCGGGATGGAACGAACTCAACGATCTCAACGTGGGAATTTGAGACTTGCGCTAGCGCCAAGACAGCGCATTCCATAGAGCTTCAGCGAGTGCGATGCGCAACGATGTGAATTTGCAGCAGTGGTAATTCTGATGCAACACCGAAGCATGAGCCGCTTGCAGGATCTTCTAAGGCCTCTATCAATATTTATGAGCTCGAAGATGCCGAGTAGAATCATGTCTTCTCAGATGTGCTTTGATAATTTTTTCTCCGTGTCATCTCTCATCGGGCTGTTGGTCTTGGTAATGTGCAAATTCTTTTGGTATTGTCGTGCAACCTGAAGTTTACCTGTTCGGAGGACGGGAAGCTCGGAAAGAGCAATGGCGGGCGTTGTTGACAATGCGGGTGAGCGTGAAGTAGCTGGAACTGACGTGGTCAGGTGGGCAGCTTTGGGAAGTCGCGTCAGGTAGTAGGCAGTTGCCGCATATACGGGGTGGCGCATCGAACCGTAAAGACATAACGGACGCGATGGAGGTGAATTGCAGCCAGCCAGACTAAACCTAGTTGTGATGTTGTTTTGAGCTCAGCCGCGCTACTTCGTCTTTGCCACGCGAGCGCGGTACGACCCGTAGTTGCGACCCACCTGGAGACGACCCGACTGAAGATCGTACAACAACCTCAACCGCGCTGCGGTGACCAAGGGGGAACGAGAGCATGTCTGGCATTATTTTGTCTAAAAGATGATCCTCGGCGGCTTAATTGTTGGCGGTTTCAGTTTGTTTCTCGATAGCTTTTCGCCGCCCATTCGTCACGGCCCGTCTTTCAGACGACGTCTCTTCGCAATAGCCGCAGTTCTCTCTTTGTCTGCATGATGGGCAGGTTCGTGAATCGAGTTCGTCGAACGCAATGGTTTGAAACGTCCGGTGCAGATTCTCGCGGTCGCAGACGCATCGTGAAAAATACAACCAAGGACGGGGAAGGCCATAACGTCCGGCACCGTGTAGCGAGATTCACCGTGAAGCGAGATGGTGATACGCGTACAGAGGATAAGAAGAGTGCCAGTTAGGATGTGTAGAGCCTCTGCGTGCTCCAAGACCTTTTCATCTACCACGTATACCGGGGGTTCGGGCTAGGAGCTAGACAAGGAGTACTCTGTAGAGACTGTTCGTATCGTCCCCTGTCTCACTATACGGTGGATCTCGGTTCGCGGTGACGGACGTTACAATATCATGTGGAAAGGGACGACAGGTGATGGTGTTCCATGCCTTTCTCGTCGGAAGCTCGGCCCCGAGAGACCCGTCGGTGAAAGTATTAGCCGAGAGCGGGCATTTGCGGGAAATGCAAAAGAATTTTTCAAAATGAAAAATGCAAAAGAGAATGGTCACTATGGGGGTCGAACCCACGACCTTGGCGTTGATAATCATCATCTCGGAAGATGTATTTATTAGCACCACGCTCTAACCAACTGAGCTAAGCGACCTTGTTAAAGCCGTCCCAATATATTGTATATATATATACAAACAAATTTAACTTCAGCTGCTCAGATGCTGACCTCACTTGACACGTGCTTGCGAGTATGTAAGCACGCACAGACCTCAACACCACGCGCCTTCTACACGTGGCTCACGCAACCGCTGGTCTGATTCTTCAACATCTCACAGAAGTAACCGTCTGAGCGCGACTGAGATTCTCCTCCCGGATCTAGGAGGTGATTGTCGTATTCTTTGAGTACACTCGATGAACGTGCGTGGTCTGATCGAATCAACGTAGATGCGCCTGAACAAACGTCTCCAGAGAAAACTGACATGTGCGTTTCATTGATATAAATCTGGCTACCATGTCCGCCTCAACTTTACTGCATGGCCTCTGCCAGGTTGGCCTTCAGCTGGCATTCAGCGCTTGCTCGAGGTGGCTTACTTCAAGGTTTAAAGGCTACGCAATCACAATGGAGACTAAGAAACAACAGTTCGAATATATATCATGCTACCTCAGATGCAAAAGCCATATGTCGCTCTTATCGGCCTTTGGCTCAACTCTTCATTGACCGGTGCGTCCGCGATTTCCTTGCCTGCCCGCAGTCATTCACACCTTCCGCAAAAGTAATCACTCCAAACAAACCTCAAGGACGCACGACCTCACTATACTTTCCACTCTATTTCCCCAATTCTGCTTGCTCGCTCACCCCCTCCCCTTCCGATGGAATCGACCAATACGCCTCGACCGCTGTTCGGAACCACACACGATCTCTTGCCTCAGCGTCGAGTCCATACACACTCAACATTTCGACCACAACATCGCGCCAGCAGGGCCACGCACGCGCATCACCGGGACCACGAACATTGCATACTGGCCAGTCACTGCCGAACATGATACGGGCAGGCCGGAACGTGGCGAAAAGGACATCGAGCCAGGGACACATGCGCTCGACGACAGCGGCGGCAGGCCATGGCGCGTCGGATGGCTGGGGTGGCAACTCCGAAAATGCACCCGACAGCTTCATGTAGACATGCGGCGAGCGAGCCGCGCGCTGCAGGCTGCGGGTCCACCGCTCGAACGTGTCGAGCTGGGCGGGAGTAGTGGGGAGCTGCTCGAGGTCGGGCTTGCAGAGGTGGTCTACAACGACGAACGGGTCAGGGCTGATGTCCCTCTACTTACCGGTCGGGTGGACTAGGACTACTCACTCAGCACGAACCGCACCGTCTCCCCCTCTGGCACCCCTTCGTTCACCCGTTCCATCATCTCCACCGCCTGCTCGAGCTGCCACACTCCTTTTCCCCTCACGTCAACACCGACATCAAAACACAGGCCTCGCCGCCCACACTCTTTCAACCCCTCCACCCACGCCTCGCTCTCTACTAGCGTCTGCAGTGCCTCCTCGCTCTCCAAGCTCTGCAGCAAGAAGCGTACGCCGCGCACCCGAGCCCACGCCGTCGGCCCTACCGTCTGCTCTGCCTCGCGTAGATACGCCCGCATCCCATCCGCTCCTGCGTCCACCGGCGCCCACGGCACGAGCCCCAATAACATTTCGCCGTCGCCAGGAGCGAAGCCTTCGTCTGCACCAGCAGCGGGCGTGCCTTCCACAAGACGTCGCAGCCATCGTAGCTCTGCGAGAGGCTGGGCGCACCGCGCGAGGAGAGCGTCAACGTCAAGCTCACCTCCAGAAGAGGTGCTGCTGGAATCCGGCCAATGCCCGAGCGTGCGGTCCGTCTCGATGTAGACGGCGCCGACGACGGGTGATGTTGATGTGGTGGTAGAGCGAGCGGAAGGGCGCGATGCCCCACTTGCAACGAAATAGTTCTCGAGTGAGTACTGCTTGGCCAGGGGCATGCCCGGAGTCATCCAGGAATGGGACTCTGGTATAGTATCACTGGCGGGCCAGAGATGGATGTGGGAGTCTAGAACTCGGATTGGGGCGTCACCACTAGTATCCATGATGAGGTGTGGGTATTGATGGAAAAGATCACTATCTTGTTGAGAATATAGTGGACAGAAAAGGCAAAAAGAGGCAGAATCCGAGAGATCAGAATGTTGGGAAGCTCAACACCAGACACGAGCGAGCAGAACCCCACCACGCGGGGATGAGGGGTCCGCACGTCGGGCTCTCGGGTCAATGACGCCCCGAGCGGCCAAAGGCAGTGCCGGCGGGGTTCATCGTCACTGCACCCCGCGGGTAGCTGTGCCGACGCGACGAGTCTGGGGGTTGGACTCAAACTTATGCTTTTTCCTCCTCATTCTTCCTCCAAATCTTTCGCCTGTCTTTCTGAAACTTATCGCTTTATACCCATTCTTCAATCACGCAGCAAACCTCCAATCCTTTCCATCATGGTCGCCTCTACGCCTCCAAGGGGCATCTTCGTGCCTGTAAGCATTGCTTCAACTCACACATTCTCCTTCCATTAATAACCGCTTAGGTTCCCACCTTCTTCGCACCCACCACCGCCTCCAGCACCCATGACATTGCGACCCCGCCTCTCGCCATCGCCACGCAGAGCGAACACGCTGTATACCTTGCGAAATCCGGAATCAAAGGGCTAGTGTTGCTGGGTTCGACGGGTGAAGCCGTGCACATCACGGCGGCGGAGCGTAAGGCGATGATCTCTGGCGTGCGTGCCGCCCTCGACTCTGCCGGCTTCCCCAATTACCCGCTCATGGCGGGCACGGCGGCCAATGGGATTGAGGAGACAGCCGAGATGCTCCGCGAGTCGGATGCCGCTGGCGCGCAGTGGGGCCTGGTCCTCGCGCCAGGGTACTTTGCGTCTGCGGTGACGCAAGAGGGCGTCGTGCGCTGGTTCAAGGCCGTTGCGGATCGCAGCCCTATCCCTGTACTGGTGTGAGTAAATCCCCGCCTTGCGTTTCCGGCAGGCTTGTTGGCAACGAGAGACATCAATTCAGTCACCCCACCCCCGCACAACCCCGCTCATAAACCCCAGCTGACCCCGCCTCTCTTCGCCCCGCAGATACCACTACCCCGGCGTGTCGAACAACATCGCCCTCCCGCCCTCGACGCTCGAGAAGCTGGCCGAGCATCCCAATATCGTCGGTTGCAAGCTCTCGCACGGCAACCTCGACGACCTCGCCCTCATCGCGCTGTCGCCCCGCGCCAAAGATTTCGTCGTCTACACTGGGTTGGGACAAATGCTGCTGCCGGCGGTGACGATCGGTGCTGCTGGCGCCATCGACGGTCTTGCGGCCTTTTTCCCCAAGACCGTCGTTCGCATCTTCAACACGTTTGAGGATGGCACTGGTGCCGAGGGCGCGAAGCTGGCCGAGTTGCGCCGTCTGCAGTACTTGGTTGCGGCAGGTGAGAAGATGGTCGCGAAATGGGGTGTTGTTGGTGTTAAGGAGGGGGTGAGACGGCTGAGGGGGATCGGGGCAGTGGATGGAGAAGCGGTGGTGGCGCGCGCGCCGTTGGGCGGTGGGTTTGGGTTAGATGAGGCGGAGTGGGCGAAGTGGGCGAGGGCGATGGCGGCGTTGGAGGAGGTCGAGCAGAAGTTGTAGGCTTGAGGGTGGGATGGACAGCAAGCGGCAACGCAGCGGCAGAAGAATCTCGAGCCCCTATCGCCGCCTCGGCTTGTTAAAGTTAAGCTCCTAGACCTTGGAACAGACGGACAGCGACACGACACGCATGTCCTTGGTCTCTCTTCGTCTTCATCTATTCATTTACTTTGTCTCTCTCGTTCTGATTCATGACTATCTCTAATATATGTTCACGTCTGTTCAGGGGCACGCCAGGCTCTACAGAACAAAACTACAGCGAACTAAACAAACTAGACCGGGCAAGACGGAGAGGACAGTATATGGCAGGATAAGGAGTAAGAGGGAGGTCTACATGAGTCCAAATGTGAGAGTACGTGGACAGCCATTCCCCTACACATATCACCGATGTTTAAGCAATCAGACACTGACTCATCCCCATACATGTACTGCACAAACATAGGGATGGACACATAAAGGGCGACACGCGAAGAGCGGCAAGTCATACCCATACGAACATATACGTTTACGCTGATACACGCATACACAAAAACCCCTGAACTGATTCATCCCCATATACACTACGCCAGCATACGGATGAACTCATAGAGAGGCATACAAAGTGTTGCATGATATATCTATTCAAGAACCTACGCCTATACACATACACCACCCACCAGTTGTTTTACAGCCATACACACCTCAAAAGCAGGTCGACAAACCAAAGATCAAAACGCATAACGGCACAATACACACAGCATATCCACACGAATAGTAGCACTAGATGTGCACATATACCACAAACCAACCCAACGCCATGGCCGCACCCAGGATACAGTACTGCGCAGTGCGGCGAAGAGCGGTGGACGTAGCAACAGCACGCGCAATCGCGAACACGAAAGCGGAAAAGCGTCAATGAAGAGCAGATGACGAAAAGGGAAAAAGGAAAAGGAAACAACCGGGGAGCCCACAGCAGGGAGAGATCCCTCAGCAACAGCGTCAACGCCTCTCCACTCCCTCTGGACCCTTCCTCATGCACACGCACCACCACCATCACGCCAAACGGCCAACACCCGCACCCACTTCCCTGACCTCACTACACATCATCTGCCGACGACCCATTTTGCTAGCAAAGTCAATGGTCGAGCCGCTGCGTCCAGGGGTCATCCCGATTCGCAAGATCCCTCTCCAGCCGCATCTCCATGCGCCCCCAGCCACCACCACCACCACCACCACCACCACCACCACCTCTCTCCACAAACCCCTCGGATCCTTGCCTACGGCCAGAACAGGCAGAAAAATAGTCTGCCCGCAGTTAGTCCGTCCGAACAGCCGACGGAGAAAGGACGTTTGGCCGCGGCAGCCGGCGGCTCGCACGCCTAGGTAGCCGAGCATCCGAGGCACGCACGAACGATGAGAGTGGTTCGGCTCGCCTCACAGCTAGCACGGGCGTCGACGGCTCTATTCCGCGCGGCTTTGGCTGCCTCCTCTCGTCGATCGCTGCCCGCTTGTCCCCGCAGCGAGGCACGCCGCTCGGGCGGTTCGCGCTTGCCGGTTGCCTGGCGCGGCGTTGAGGCTGCCTAGCTGCCTGCCTAGCGCGGGGCCTCCAACGGACGCGGAGTCCTCGGCCGCCAAGACGCGTTCGTTCGTCCTTGCATTCATGCATGGGCAGGTCGGGGTGGCGTCGGCCGCATGTTCTCGTGTGTATGTGCCTAGGGTTGGGGTAGTAATCGGTAGAGTCACGGCGAGCTTGTCCGGAGAGGCTGGGCTAGGCTGGGCTGGGCGTGGCTGGGCTGGGGAGTGGGGTGTTGGTGGGTTGGATCGGATTGGATCGGACGAGCATGCGGAAGGGTCAACTTTTGCCGGCTACGGGTGATGGCCTCGGTCGCCACGGCCGACGGTGCAATCTATGTCGGTTCCGGTTGTTGAGTGGGAGGGGAGGGTTGTTTACTCCGCGGAGGGAGTATGGCGTGTGCGGTGGAAGGAGAAGAGAAGAGATAGGAGGATATGAAAGAGCAAGACGAGAGAGTGTTGCTACATGAAGCCATAAGCGTAAAGTAGGCAAGTAAGTAGGCATGTGAGTATGCCCCTCCCACAGAGTTACCCTTCTCGTACACCCCTACCTACAATCAATGGACCTCTCTACCTATCTAGGCACTCCAAACCGTCTCTCAGCTCACATGCAAATCCGACAGCCGACAATCCGACAGCCAAACCCGACACCGACGACGACGACGACGACGACCCCCACGCCAAACGCCAAACACCCAATATACACGCAACAACAGGGGCCGACGGGAACCCCTACGGACAAGGAGCAAGGAGCAATGACAACGACAAGGACGAGTACGACGAACGTCCTCGTTCGCGCAAGTCATAGCCATCTGCATCTGCGTCGGCGTGCATGTGCTCGCCTTACCTGCTCCAGTCTTCACACATAGTCCACTACCAAATTAGCAGCACTGAGCAGCCAGGCCACCAGATCCAGCACAGTCATACACGCACCCCGTATTACGCCCATGGCCATGCTCATCCACCCGCGCGCACGCCCGCCCGCCCGCCCGCGCGCACGTCCACATCAGCATAAAAAAACGAAATAAAAGTACACACAAAAGAAGGGGGGGGGCCTATTTCCCCCCTCACCATCACTATCAAATATGAAAGGATGGTAAGAATGGACCTTCCCCTTTTGGAGTACAAAAAAAAAGAAAAAACGGGAGGCCTAGATCCAGGCCCTAGGCGCCCCCATCTCGGCAATCCCAGCTAGCTAAGCCGTAGCTCCTACCTAGCTCGTGCCATAGCTCCCACTCCTAGCTCCCAGGCAAGCAAGGACCTACATCCCTAGCACCTATCACGCAGCGAGCGAGCGGCCTAACCGCAGTCAGTCAGACAGTCAGTCAGCTCGCCCACCCGCCCACTCACCCACCCACACACCGGCACGCTCACGCCCACAACCCACACTGGGACACCGACAGTGCGCTCCCCACTGCCCGCGAGCGGTTAGAAGACGCGATGAAATGGCGAAATGATGGCCCGCGGCGGCCGGGGCGGGGCGGGGCGACCTGACCGGCCAGCCGGCCGCTAGGCGGTCGATGGCGACGGCGATGCGTGCGTGCGTGCGCCATATGATGGACGATGGATGGGCGGGCGATGAGCTGGGATGGGAGTTGGGGGCCGCTGCGATCAGACTCATGGGTTCGGGGCTGCATCTGAAGCTTGAAGTTGATCGCGGGGCCTAGATGAAGGCGCACCCACCCGCTTTGTTTACTCTTTGCGTATTGTTCGGTACCGTGCAGCCCAGGCCACTCTCACTACGCACTGCCGGATCGGGTGGTGATGTGTATGTAGGTGGGTAGCTGGGATTGCTTGCTTGCTTGCTTCGTCACCAACGCGCTCTTCTTTTCACACTCACACAAACTCTCTCTCCCCCTTGCTCCCTCCACATAGTATCTCGGCACGCACGCCCCCCGTCAGTGCGCCGGGGGCCCGCAGGCAGTCACTGTGCGCGATGTCGATGGGGGTGGGTGGGTAGGACCAGCCCTAGGCCCTAGGACCAGGACCGGGGCCCAGAACCGATCCGAAGCGAACAGGCGCGCGCGGCGCTGGTCCTTGTGTGTGTGTGTGTGTGTGTGTGTGTGTGGTGCTCGGACGGCGTGAATGGTGGGTGGGTAGGGTTGGTGGGTAGAGGAGTGAGGGGGGGAGGGGATGGGTTGAGATGGGTTAAGGAGTGAGGATGGGATGGGGGTGGTAGTTGTGGTTGTAGGTTGTAGGTTGGAGAAACGGATGTAGTTGCGTGTATGTACGTAGGGATCAACTACTGTAAGCGTCACCACCACCGCGCCTACTGTACTCCCTACTAGCTACCTACCTAACACGTCCAGACACAAGCGCACGCGAACGGCAGACAGCGGCGTCCATGTCTTACACAGCGTACGTATATACTCACCTACGTACAGTACGCAGTAGACCACCACATCTACCAATATCCAATATCTCTATCACACACCCATCCCACAAATCCAAAATCCAGGCACCAGCGCGCACCCACTCACACAAACGAGCGCGGCAACAACCGCTCCCCTAACCGCAACAGACGCGGTATAGCGAGAGTAGGCCCACCAATTTAGCAGTTACTACTCCTACGGGGAACGGGGAACAGGGGCCGTCAAGCCTACCTATTGTACTTTAGCCTTACCCACCACCCACCCCAAACCCACAAACGCCCCCCTTGCCGCTGCTCCCCGGTAGTTACCCAAGGCCCTCGCGGCAGAGCGTTCCTCCGCGCTTACGGTGGATTCTTTTGGCGGGTTGTGGGCTGTGGATTGTGGATTAACTACCTACCCACCTACCCAACTAACTAACTACAAGCGGGCGTTCTGGTTCAAGTTCGGCAATTCGTGTGCAGTGGGTGTTTCCGCGCGCACCAACGAACGGGCGGTTGCTTGCCTATTCGCGGCTGGGTTGGGTATGACGACACCGACAGACGGACGATATGCGCGCGTGCGCGTGTGCCTGATCCCCATTGGCATTGCACGTTTTGTACAAGGGGCATAACTCATAATTAACGGCGCGGCAGGGATAGGCACAGGGACAGCGATCGCGATTCGGACGAGGCAGACAGACGAGACGGACGGGACGGGACGGGACGGCCTGACGGACGGGGAGGGAGGGAGTTGGTTGCTGTAATGGGAACGACAGGGTAAGACACGGCACGACACGGCGCGGGAGGGGGGGCAAAGTGCAACAAGGCCAGCAAGGCCAGCAGGCAAAGTAGGCAAAGCACCCCATATCCGACAGCCTGCAAGAGAGCGCGCCAAGTACAGTACTCCGTATCGTGCCGTACATACGCGCGCGATCAAGATGGCCGATGAGATTGAGGCCAGCCAGGCAGCCATAATTAACCCGCGCGCACGCATAGAGCAGTTGATTGCCATGCAGATGAATCGAGGGACGAAACGGCGCACTAACTACCACGGTACAGAGCACGGGAAAGGGCCGCGACGCCGCTGCCATGCCAGTGTCAGTAAGGAGCTTGTGCGTGCGCATGCACGACTCCACCGCGGAGATCACTGGGCTTGGGCGCGGGCGGGCCGTGGGTGTCGTTGAGTGAAATTGTCGCAACCAAGCAACGCAACGAGAATAGAAAGACGGACGGACGAAGAGAGAAAGGTATTGTAACTAACGAGAGCAGCACGCGGGAGAACGCGCAACCCGCGCCACGCCACGCCCGATGTACAGTACAGGGCCTACATATGTGGGGTTGCATAAGCCATGGGGGGGGAGCGTTCGACTCGGCGTGCGTTATTGCGATGTGCCAGGCGGGAGACGTAGACGACGACAAAAGTGTGGGCGGATGGACCCGTGGCCGGGGCCGGGGGTCCGGTTCAGAGCAGGAGCAGAGCAGTGGCAGGGGTGGCTGGCTAGCTATTGTAGGCAGCCCAGCAGATCTCTTGCCTCGGGAGGAGAGGGGCGATTGAATCGGGGGGTGTGGAGTCGAGTGCAGCTAGTAGGCACGACGAGACGAAAATGAAAATGAAACTGAAGAATGCGCGGCGGGTGGTTGGCTCGTTTGCCGGTGCCGTTGCCGTGGCCGTTGCCGCTGCCGCTGGGGGCCGTGGCCGTGCTGCCGGTGGCTGTTTGCGTGCGTGTGTGTGTGTCGGAGGGATGGCCGGTCGGTCGCAGGGTGGAGCGGGCGCGCTGCCGCAATTTTAGGGTAGAGCGGAGAACTGGCGAGAGCAATCATGGCGATGACGCTGCGAGCGGCCGAGAGAGGGCCCGCTGGGGCCGGTGTCGGTTCCCTTTTCTACTACAATACTGTGTTTTTATGGGGAATGATTTTTTTTCTCTCTCGTGAAAGAAAGACGACGCCGCTTGATGGCTGATGGCTGACGTCCGTTCTGCAGAGATTTCGAGGGTCAGACTAGCGGGAGGGAGCGGCCGCCGTCGAAAGGGTCAGAGGGCAGCTCGAGCACGGCAGATCGCTCGCGGGAGCCAAAAAGCAATGTGCGGGAATGACGAGCATGCCGTGGCGTCTGTCAGTCATCTCTCTCTCTCTCTCTCTCTCTCTCTCTGCTGATCGCACTCTCTCTCTCTCGCAGCTGTGGCGTCCGCCTCCGTCTCCAGACAGCGAACCCTTTCCCCACCGCACCGACGGGGAAGCTGCCGAGTCGAGCCAACGGCTCCTCTGCTGCGTGAAGATTCGCAAACGAGCTTGCATGCTTTGCCTGCAGAGACGCCACGCCACGCCACCGGCCATGCATGAGGAATGTGATGTATATTTTTCTGGCCGTCGCCCGCCGCCCGTGTGTCTTTTTCCTCCCGTCGTCTCTCATTTCCCCCCCGGTTGGCGTTTGCCCGCCATTTGCCTTACCTTGCCTTGGTCCTCTCCATCTTTTTCCCGCGTCGTCATCGACCGTCCCGTCCCTCCTGCCGTCCGAGGTCGTGCCCTACAAGCCACGGCCGACGGGGTCCAGGACCCTGTGTCTCGCTTCTCGCGCCAGCGCCCCATTCCCAATCCCACTCCCATCCATGCCATCCCCACGACCTAGCAGCACCTCGTCGTCGACCATGCCCGCCGTGCCACCACTCCACTGCACTCCACGCCGCGCACGCCTCGACCTACCACGATACCGTGGAAGGTCCTGCCCAAACCGATCCGATCGGCAGCGGCTTGCGCAGGCCCGGGGGCAACGCCAACGGCAACAAGGGTGTGCTGCTTGCTGCTCCCCGCCCAATCCATGCCGACGGAGGTGTCCGCTGCTGCTGCTGCTGCATGACGTACGTCCTGTAAGTACTGTACGTTTGCACTCGCCTCCCCAGGCCCAGCCACCCCGGTCGTGGGTCCCTTGCACCTTGCTGCACGCAAGCACGAGCATAGGCGTGAGTACGCTGCAGCTAGAGCATGTAGCTAGCTAGTTAGCTACCGTACCTACCTGGCTAGCTACAGCACGCAGCAGGCAAACAGACACGCGGATGCGGGTCGGAAGTTTTTGCGTCGCGTGCGGAGCGGGAGGACCTGCCAGCCTGCCTGCCTGCCTGGAACTGAAACCGAAACTGCTCTGACGCGTGGATGTATATGTACGTCGGGCTGTAAGTATGTAGACAAGCAGCGTTGTACATACATTATGCACGCAAGCCCGCAACTAGTTGGTATAGCTACTCCTAGCTAGCTACCTAGCTACATAGCACTTGGCTGGGCGAGGCAAGGCAAGCAGCACAGCTCACAACAGCCAGCTGCTAGCCAGCTAATCCACTGGCCTGACGGGCAAGGCAAGCCGGCAAACTAATTGACCAGCCATGATCCAACCAACCAACTTACTAACTAATTAAGCCATTCAAGACAAGACAAGACAAGGCAACCCAGCCGCAAAAGGGTCCAACGCACTGCACAGCCTGACAGCCGAGCAAGCGGCCGACGACGGGCGGCGGCCGCGACGAACGCATCCATCCATCCATCCATCCAGGATTTGCGCTTGCGCTGCTGCGGGCCCTGACGCGGCGCCGTTGCTCTTTCTCCGCCGACGAAGATGGTGATTGACGCGTTACGACAACTGACGACGACGACGATGATGATGATGAGGATGAGGATGATCGGTCAATCAGTCAGTCTGGCTGCCCATCCGCCCGCTCATCACTGAGTGAACGATGGCGGCGGGCGCCCGTGCGTGCGTGCGTGCGTGTGTGGGGGCGTGCACGCACGCGCCAGGGCAAACCGCTCCGCGGCGCACGCACGGGGCACGCGCTGCACGCGGCCAAGGCAGGCGCGACTGCCGGGCCGGCCTGATTCGCGTCGTTAGGTGGTTGTCTGCGGGCTTGCTTGCGTTTCTTGCCTTGTTTTGAGCGGACGGGATGGGTGTGTGTGGTAGAGAGGGAGGGGTGAAAGGGAGGTGGGATTGTGAGGGTTGCGTGTCGTGGTGTGGTGTGGTGTGGTGCGCCTGTCTGTCTGTAATTGAACGCGCGCGAGGAAGAGTGATAGAGATAGGAGTAGAGGGAGAGGACATAAAGCGGAAATACGGAAAACGTGATATTGACTGACAATGACATCGGTACCTAGGTACCACAACACCACCAAACCCTCAACCCTACCTACTGGTGGCGGCGAAGTTCGCACCACCAACGACCAAACCACCTACCCCGTACCAACAAAAACCACCCCTCCACAGAGACGTGCGTACGGTACCTAGTTACGTCTAACGCAGTCGGCAGGTCCATAGCAACTCTACCCACGCACCTCCGCAGTCCGCACACCCACCCAGCCTACCAAGCCTACAGTAGGTGCGTGATCCGCCGGAGCCGCGGCCGATGCGCGCCGAGCACGAGCACGAGCACGAGCACGGGCACGGGCACGGGCACGGGCGGCCCAGGGCCAGAGGCTAGAGCCAGAGCCAGGCCAGGCCCCCCAACCCTCCATGCACATCGACATCGTTCGCGAGTTCGTGCAACGCGCCCTCGGTCGGCCAGTCAGACGCCCGCTCCGTTGGTGGGTGGGTGGCCGAGGCAAACCCCACCCCACCATCCACCACTACTGCTAACTACCGTTCCTTCGTGACGGGCTGGCGGACTGGCGGACTGGTTGATTGCCTGCTACCCAGCCATCCAACCACCGCTACTGAATTATTGCCGCCGCCCGTCATCATCCCTCACCACCACCCAATCGCCGCCTCGCCGGCTTATCTATCGTGATGTTTACGATCCCGTGTTCGCTCGTGTGTTTATGTTTTATGTTTCTTTGTGTCTGTGTGTGCATATGGCATTACGCTGACTACCTATCTCTTTCCGCACCCATACGTAAATGTACACAAGAAGCTTAAAACTAGTAGGTACGTTCCGTTCTACGCCTGCCTGCCTGCCTGCCTGTCGTGGGGATATCGCCATCATACCAAAGCACTAAGAACAACAACAACAATATCAAGGTCGCTTGTGAGTCTGCGCGTCTGGCCGGTGACATGAAAAGGAAAGGAAAAAAAGGAAATAAAAAAAAAAAAGTGGCGGCGCTGGCAGACTCGGGGGAAAAAAAAAATGAGAAAAAAGAAGATGGGGGCTAGTTTAGGGTTTGCAAAGGAAGCGGGAATAAGGGCGAAAAGGCGAAGGCGAAAAAAAACGGAAAAGAAGTTGAAAAGAGGAAAAAGCCGGGTCGCCAGCGCTGCAACTTTCGGCGCCGCGCGTGGGGAAAAAAAAAGTTGGGAAAAAACACAGCAGGTGCCGCGACGATCGCTGCACGACGCCAAACAGCGCGAGCCCATGCAAGATTAGATCTCGGCCGGCCGTCTAGACCGGCACGCGCGCGAGAAACACACACACGGCATTACACCCTTGCGATTCTTTGCTTCTTTTTGCTCCTTCTTCTTTTGTGTTCTTTTAATCCCTCGCGAGACTCTCTCTATAAGTAGGAAGTAAGGGCTTTTCGACGTCGACTTGCGCAAAGCCGGCTTGCGCTTTGGGCCGCTCCATTCTGATGGCATCGTCCGTGTCGGCGGCGGGTCTGCTGCCCCAAGTCGTCTGCAGGAGGTTAGCAGCGATCTTCATCATGTCAGGTGCGGGGTTTCCGAGTGCTGGAGCGTGCTCGGAGCCGGTCGGTGGGGTGCACTTACTGCGTTGAGTGTAACCAAGCCCCATAGCTTGATCAAGCCGTGCAAGTACCCGAACGGCACCACGACCAGCACCAGGAGGATCATGTCTTCCGGATGCCGCACGAAATGCGGCATCAGCTTGGTGCATTTCGTCAGGACGATCCACAGCGCCAGCAGCACCGCCCCCGTGATGCGCGCCGAAGGGCTCAGCTCCGCGCTGCCGCGGTACCAGCTGTAGGCGCACGCCGCGTCGTACGGCAGCGCCCACGCCGTCAAGGTAGTCTGCTGCACCGCGTACGTGCTCCACGGTTGGCGCCTAAAAGAGAAAATGTCACGTCAGCAGGATGCACTTTGCGTCGTCCGAGGGCTAAGCTTACGTCCAGGTGTGCCGCTCGACAAACATGGTCGTCAGGTTGCTGCGCCAGTTGCTGCGCACCCACCGCAGGCACTGCCGCAGGTACCGCGGGTTGCACTCGAGCGTCGTCTGCACCTCGGCGTCCGGGTGGTACTGCACTGTCGTGTCGTAGCCCTGCGAGACCATCCAGCGCGTGATGAAGTTGTCGTCGTCGGCGTTGAGCGTGTAGCCGTTCCACTTCTCGTTTTGGAAGCCGTGGTGGAAGTCGCCGTTCTGCAGGATGCGCGCACGGTAAGCCACGGTGCGGCCGGACAGGCAGGGAAGACCCCCGTCCATCTGCGTGCAGGCCGTGATGTCGAAATTTCTTCGCCGAATGTACATTTCCCCGAGGAATTGCCACAGGTAGGCCTTGGAGAGGTAGCCGTACTCCGGGTTGCGCTTGATGCGCTGGTTGGTGCCGACGCCGCCCATGTTGAGGTTCTCAAAGGGCGCGAGGATCCAGGGCAGCAGGCGGGGGCCCCAGATCACGTCGTCGTCGGCGAAGATGATAATCTTGGTCTTGACCTCGGGGATGGCGGCGCACATCTGGCGGCGTTTGTTCGCCTGGGCGACGCTCATGACGCGGATTGGCTTGTTGGTCCAGCCCATGGCCTCGATCATCTTGTTGGCGCGCTTCAGGCTGGCGTCAATGGTGACCAGGATGACCTCGGCAGGCGCGCAGACCAGGATGGATTGCAGCGTCTGTCGCAGCTCCTCGCCGTCGCCATTGATCGAGGGCAATATGACCGTCACGTCGTTTTGCGTGTAGTTTGGCTTGTCGGGGATTGGCGTGGGCTGGTAGCAGCAGTAGAAAGCGATGGCATTGACGGCGGTGCGGACGCCCTTGAGCGAGCTTTTCCCGGTCAGCGGCCAATGCGCGGCGAGCGAAGGAGGGGAAAGAAACTCACAAGATCAGAGCAAAAACGGTCAGCCACCAGTGCTGGTCGACAAAGGACCAGAGAGCCTCCATTGCAACGCCAAACGAGGGACGTAACGAGTGTAGCAAGACGGGGATGCTCACGGAGCACTTGCAATGGACGGCGTCGGGGGAGGGCTGGGGACTAAATAATGCAGGCCCATGGTGGGATGCGATATATCATACTAAACGGCCTTCGAATAGTGCAAAGCAGGATGATGTCGAAGAATAATTGCGCATGGCTCGGGCCCACCAGGCCACTGAGCAGTTCTGAGAAGGACATGCATCGAGCTATGCCCCTAGGCTGGATCGTCATTGTGTAGGTCCCGCCCGTTGGAAAATGCGAGAAAACGGCAAAGCGCGAGGCCATTGGGTACCGGGGGGGCCTGCGCCGCCCCCAATAGCCAGGCGCGCCTCTCGCCTAGCCTGAACCTTCGGCCCACCTTCGCTTGGCGTGCCCTCCATCCCATCACACCACGCTGAGGACCGTGAAGATACGTGCCAGGGTAGCTCCGCTCCGTCGGCTAATGGCCTCCATCGTCGCGGATTTGCCCGCTTTGGGCCGGTCCCCATACGAGCTTGGGGCGTCTGCTGACGGCCGGAACATGTGCGGCTCGATCAGAGCATCCAGCCGAATCATCACATCTTGTGTGCGGCCGTAGCTACACCAATACCATGATCTGCCCGGGGGCAACGGGGGGAACCTCTCCCTCCCGCTCCGATGCATGTCAGGTCAATTTAGCCACCAAAACTTACTGGTCATTGCATCACGACGAATACTTGCAGCGTCTCCAAACTTTCTTGTTTTTTTCATCTATGCTGGTAGGGCTGAGCCGCTTCCAACGTCTCGTCTCTTCATGCAACAACTTGCTTTTTTCATCAAAAGAAGCTTATTTCTCATAAGGCTTCCCCGTGCAGCTGCTGTGCGTTCCCCCTCCTCGATTTGCCCTTGAAGCCACACGCGAGATCGATCTGTGGCCTCTGCAGCTGCAGCCGTCCTGCCAGCCACGGACATGGGTTCTGCTCGATATCCGGGTACGAGGGAAGCTCGCTCTGCCGGTAACCCAATGGTCCTGAACATCCTTATTAGCAACCTCGTCCCCAGTGTACCAACAGTGTCTATCAATAAAACGTGAGTCGTTCCCTTGGTCGCAGAAACGGCGGCGCGCTAACCGCAACATCTCCAGAACTGGTGTACGCGTCGACGCGTCAAAGCTCGTATTTTCTGGATACTTCCACTTAATTGACCTGATGATTGACATGCGGTTGGCAAAGACGCGTTGCCAAGACGAGGATAGTAACATCATGACTGCCACTCAGGGTCCGTCGGAAGTGAGTTACCCCATGCGTAGCTACTGACGAGGCGTCTGGATCGCGTCCATGTGGGCATCGCCCGTGGTTTCATCTCCGACCGTAGCATTTGTGCTTGCATAAGGGATCGACGGCATAAAGATAAAAAAAGGATCGCTGCGCTCGAGCAAACGACAATTTGCGAAGCTCACCTTGCAAACCAGACTCCACATCAGACAATATAATCGTTGTCGCTCCCAATTCTAGATCCCTATAAGCGATTCTTGTCCCGAGGAGGTAATCTGTTGCTATTTTGAGTGTGAAAGCCCAAGAGTCAGACGACGGATCAGGAGAGCCACCGTGTGGCAGGTTCCCTACGTCCGACCAGAACCACTTCTTGACATCCTCAAAACTCAAGACGCCTTTTGGATCAGGGTTTGGGTGTCTTCTACTTCTGAGGCTCGGGATATCGCCCGAGCAGTCGACGCTACGCGAAACGCGAATTCGAAGGGAAACGTTCATGCCGTCCACCTGCTCGACTTGGAGAGTCTCCGCGTCCGAGACACGCCATGCTCTGTCGTGTCAGGCTACGTTTGGCCTGCCTCTGCGAGGTCAAGGCCCGCATCCGAGGGACGTGTGGAGGGGGCAGGCTGGGGCAGGCGAGGCTCGGATGCGGACTGTGGCACAGTTAGAAGTTGTAGGGATAGAGAACAGCAGTGCATGGTGCCTGAGTGAGATGCAACGAAAAAAACGCCCCGGAAAACTCGAGGTGAAGTTGCGAGGCGTGGTTTTCGCAAAATGGTGACCTCGCTAGCGTGCCAAGAAAGCGAGAAGCAAAGATCGGGCGTTGACGGCAGAGTTCCAACCACCAGCCCACGGAACCCAGCAGCATCAACCCCCCATCTCCCCTCCTCCATCTTCCGTCGACATGTCTATGGCTGCCTCCCGCGCTGTGCTCCGGCACTCTCGTTTCGCCGTGCGCCGCGCCGGCCTCCGCAACGCCTCCTCGACCTCCGACGCTGCCAATGCCGCCAAGGACAAGGCTTCGCAAGCTACCTCCAAGGCCTCCGAGGGTCTTTCTCGCGTCAGCTCCTCTGGTAGCTCGGCCATGTCCAAGGCCAGCCAGTACGGCAGCGCCGCCGTCCAGCGCCTGAGCGCCATGGGAGGTAGGACCGCGAAGCTGGTCGGTTTCGTTCAGTGTAAGTATCAGAGCTTTTACCTTCAATTGGTCTAGTGCGTCGGCGGACAAGTATCTACGCGATGGCAATGCCTCGTGTGTTTGCCGGGAATGGGTGTTGTGAGGTTCCATTGTCGCGATGCCCCCTCGAAGACGCACGACCACATTGCGCATTCGCCCATTGACTAACCATGACGCCGCAGCCCTCGTCCCCCCGACCGTCTACTACTCCCGCGTCGGTCTCGAGCTTAGCAAGCTCATCTTCGAGGCCCGCAAGATGAGCCCTCCGTAAGCGCCTCAAGCTGCGACGCGCGATTCAATACTAACCCCTTGACAGTTCCATGCAACAGTTCCAGACCTACCTTGAGCCCGTCTGGAACTCCCTTAAGAACCCCGGTCGCCTCTTCTCCCAGACCGCCGCTTCCGGCTCGGCGCAGCCCACCTCCATCCTCGGCCGCGCCAGGAACATGAGCAGAGCGGAGATGGCTGGCGCTGGCGTCATCGCGGCTGAGGTTCTCGGCTTCTTCACCGTTGGTGAGATGATTGGCCGCATGAAGGTTGTTGGCTACAGGACGAGCGGTCCTCACACCCAGGACCCCCTGCACTAAGCAGCGACAAGTTTGATGGATCTGGATGACAGGCTTACGTCTGGGGAGGGGAGTCGAGCCGAATAAATGAAAAGCAGAGTAGGTTGGAAAGGCCTTAGAGGGATGCCGATGGCTAGAGGAGCAGTTTGTCCCACGGGCCAAACATTGTACTACATGCACATATGCTGCTTCTAGATTTCCTCTTTTCCTTTGTGCGATGTACACCAAGTAGCAATGGCAATTTTTGGACCATTCGGCCCAGCGGAATGTTTGTACCGACACGTCTTATAAAAATTCACGGGGTTCTTAGTTCATCAGCCTGAGATCCGACCGGTCGGAGTTCCTCAAGGTTATTTACCTATCATCACTAAATCCAAATCTATAAAAAGCAATTCATGTAGTCGCAAATCAGCCGCGATTAATTTGTCTAGACCACGATCATCCAAGGCTGGCCACGACAAATCGAGTGGTCCCTGCACGTTTGGAGATTTTTCTGGACGCACCACAACCAAAGGTATGCGCCACGCTCAGTAACCGCACGCCAACATGGATTTCCTCAAGGTTCTCTCGCGCGGCACCAGCCTTTCAAAAGGCGCATCAAAAAACGCACCCGCGCAACAACTGCCCTCGAGCGGCGGACCTTCGAACCCTCAGCTCTTCGGACACGATGCGACGCAAGCCAAGACGCCCGAAGACGCGAGCTCAAACCCGTCCAAGAACAAGAAGCGCAAGCGAGGACAACAGCAGGCCGCGCCGCAATCTGCGGACCTTCCCCCCGAGCTTGACTTCTTTGGCGACGGCGCCCGCGACAAACATGAGGGTGTGAGCTTGGCTACCGATGCGACCAAGAAGACTCTTGCCGAGGAGTCCGCGAAAGAGGTTGCGCAGGATGCGGATGGCGCCGCACAGCCGCTGGACGAAGAGGAATGCAAGCGCATCCTGCGGACGCACAAGATCAAGATCACGCTGCTGGAGGATCGCAAGGCGAAAGAGGAGGAGCGCAAGTCGAAGAAGCGCAAGAAGTCCAAGGCGAAGGAGGCGCCTCAGAAAAAGACCAAGGTGCAGCTGTTCCCGCAGCCTCTCACTTCGTTCAAGAAGCTGCGTGGTCAATTTGGTGTCTCTAAGAAGCTGTCGGACAATATCAACGCTCAAGGTTATTCGGTTCCCACCGAAGTGCAACTGGCCAGCTTGCCTTTGCTGCTTGATGATGCTGGCCCTGAGGGTACGGGCATCGATCTCCTCACAGTCGCACCTACGGGCAGCGGCAAGACGCTGGCATTTCTCATTCCCGTTGTAAACGCATTGTTGAAAAAGCGCAAAGATGGTGCAGCAGAGAAAGGTGTTCAGACCATCATCCTCGCTCCGACCAAGGAATTGGCGAGCCAAATTGTCAACGAAGGACGGAAACTTGCTCTCAAGACGGGCATCAAGGTTTCGCTCATGAAGAAGGGCATGGAAGTCTTGGACCAAGCGGCCGAAGACGACGCAGAGGAAGAGCAGGCCGACGAGTCTTCAGAGTCTGAAAATGACGGCGAAAGCGACAGCGGTTCGGACACTAAGAAACCGAGCAAGAAGCGCAAGCGGGGTCAATTGGTCAAATCGGAGATTCTGGTTACGACACCTCTCACTCTAGTTCACGCACTCCAAGGATCAAACGGAAAGGTCGGAGCTTTGCCGACCGTCAAGTATTTGATTCTGGATGAAGCAGACGTTCTTCTGGACCCCCTTTTCCGCGAGCAAACGCTCGACATTTGGAATGCATGCGGCAACCCGCAGTTGAGGGTAAGCCTGTGGTCTGCGACCATGGGATCCAACATCGAGGAGCTCGCCACGTCCACCATCGACAAGCGCTGGGAGGCTCTGGAAGACAGCACGGGCGTCACGCGGCCGGATCTGGTCCGCCTCGTCGTCGGCCTCAAGGACTCCGCCGTGCCCAACGTGCACCATCAGCTCACGTACGCAGCCACCGAGCAAGGCAAGCTCCTCGCGGTGCGCCAGCTGCTGCACCCCACGGCGCCCACGAGCCGAGACAACACGCCGACGCTGCGGCCGCCGTTCCTCATCTTCACGCAGACGATTCCGCGCGCACAAGCCCTCTTCTCGGAGCTGCAATACGACATCCCGCCGGAAGCGGGCGGGTCGACGCGCATCGCGGTGCTGCACTCGTCGCTGTCGTCGAGCCTGCGCGACAACGTCATGGCGCGGTTCCGCAAGGGCGAGGTGTGGGTGCTCATAACGACGGACCTGCTAAGCCGGGGCGTCGACTTCCGCGGCATCAACGGCGTCGTCAACTACGACGCGCCGACGTCGGGGGCGGCGTACATCCATCGGGTGGGGCGGACGGGGCGGGCGGGCCGCGCCGGCGGCGTCGCCGTCACGCTGTACACCGAGGAGGACGTGCCGTACATCAAGAACATTGCGAACATTATCCGCGCGAGCGAGCAGCTGAGCGGCAAGCCCGAGAGCGAGGCTACCGTCCAGCAGTGGCTGCTCGATGCCCTGCCCACGCCGAGCAAGCGCGACAAGCAGCGCTTGAAGAAGCGCGGTGTGGAGGCAAGGAGGGCGGGCGTCGTGGGCAATGAGGAGGGAAGGGGCAAGCTCAAGACGCGGATTTCGACCAAGAGCGGCTTTGAGCGCAGGGTCGAGAATAATAGAAAGGGTGCGGTGGAGGGGAGTCGGCGGCGCAAGGAGACGGGGGGAGCGGAGAAGCGCGTGCAGAGGAAGGAGGAGGCTAGTGATGGGGAGTTTGGCGGGTTTGAGGATTAGAGTGGTGTGGTGGAGGATATAAAGCTGATATTGAAGCAATGTGAATACGAAAAAGCATTTGCGCTGCTATCGACGAGTCCCAAGTGTTCAACTCCCGCTCACGTACTTCTGAAATCCACCATCAAGAAATCCTACAACCTTTGCAGTTTACCAACACATCACACACACACACAACATCCAAACATACATGCAAACAAACAGCACGCACCTCAGGCTCTACGCTCCATCGCGACCAGTATACCTCACCCCCGCACTTACACGTACACCCCTGCATCCCTGGCGATTAAGTTAGGTAGACACATATACCCACCTATACACGCATACATCCCTCCTCTAACGCAGGGGTGGGAGGGCATGTATACACGGCACCGGTACATACACCTAGGTAGCTACCTCGGCGCCGTAAGGGGGCCGGAGGGACCAGGGGGACGGGTCGAGATGGGCCTAGACTCTTGGTCTCTTGCATGTTGGTATATTTATTCGAAGGGGGTTGTGGTCGGGTCGGGTCTAGATTTCTGCTGGGTTATGGGGGGGGGCTAGAGTGTTGCTGGGTTGCTGGGTTGATGGGATGCTATTTTTATCGAAGGGGTGTGGACGGGTCTGGGCTTGCTGGGGGGTGTGGTGTGTGTGTGTGTGTGTGTGGCTGGTTTCACATGTGAATGCTGGGGTGTGCGTGTTGGGTTAGGTTTTGCGGTGTAGATGGTTTCTTGATAAGGGGTGTGCGCATGTGGTTGGCTGTGATAATCTCTGTTCTAGTTTTGTCTTCTTCAGTGGTTCCAGTGCCTAGGCAGCCAGTCCACAGTGCCGTCCTCCCCCCGCAACCAACCCTCCACCACCCCCTACTGCAAGTTCACAAACAACCCGCCATCAACCAACAACTGCGCGCCGCTAACATACGCCGCCAAATCACTTGCCAAAAACACCGCGGGGCCCGCCAAATCCGCCGGCTCGCCCGTCCGTCCCAACGGAATCCGCCCCTCCATATAGCGCCTCTTGTCCTCGTCCCGCAAGTCCTCCTCGTTGAGCTGTGTGCGTATCGTCCCCGGCAGCAGCGCATTGCAGCGGATGCCGTAGGGCCCGAGCGCGCACGCGCAGCTCTGCATCAGGCTCAGCACGCCGGCTTTGGTGGGTGTGTAGTGCGTCTGGCGCGCGCCGCCCACCAGCGCGCTGATGGACGAGATGCCGATGATGGAGCCGCCGTGGCCTTGGGTCGCCATTTGGCGCGCTGCCGCTTGAGTGGCGTAGAAGGCGCCGCCGAGGTTGGTGGTTAGTGTGAATTCGAAGTGCTCGGTGTCGATGCTGGGATGGGGGGGTTAGCGTGTTGTTGTTGGTGTTGCTGCTACTATGAAAAGTGCTAGGAGGCAGGCGCGACTCACTCCAAAAAATCAGCAAACCGGCACACGCCCGCATTGCTCACGAACACATCCAGCCGACCCCACGTCTCGACCGTGCGCGCCACCAGCCTCGCCGCAGTCTCTTGCTTTGCGATATCGCCGGGCACGGCAATCAGGCGCTGCTCTTGTGCTGCACCACCAGTACCCTCAGCACTACCTTCACCTTCACCTTCACCATTGCCTTTACCAGTGCCGTTACCGCCACTACCACTACCACTGCCATTGCCAACGCCCGCAGCCTCCGCCTCAGCAACCAAGCTCGCAAAACTCGCCTCCGATGCCGCGTCCCCGAGATGGTTGACGGCGACGCGCGCGCCCTGCCGGAGATACTCGAGGGCGATGGCGCGGCCGATGCCCGTGGCGCCGCCGGTGATGGCTGCGACTTTGTTGGCGAGGAGGCGGGGGGAGAGTGCGGGTGCGGGGGCGGGGTGCGTGGGGGCTGCTGCGCTGGGCGTGGGCGTGGGCGTGGGCGTCGCCATTGTGTTTGTTTGTGTGGGGAGAGGGAGAGACAAGAAGAGAGAGAGAGAGAAGAGAGTGTTGTAGGTAGGATAGCTTCCAGCGCACTTGGCTATGTACAGTACATTCAGCTAGTAGTGCGCAGCAGCAGTTCCTCCTAGCTCGCAGCGCTCCCCCGCGTCGCCGTCGCCATCAGTCCCGCTGAGGTCATGACGAAGTGGGGTCCAGCACCGCGGGGTAAGCTTAGCTAGTGTATCCCGCTATCAGTCGGGCATTCGGGACAAGAGCGGACGACGCTCAGCCGGGCGCCGAGCAACCACCAGAGCAAACCCACCCAGCAAACCCACCACCACACCCACGCTCCATAGCCGAGACCTCCTCGGCGCCCTCATCGCCATCGCCCATCGAAGCCCTGCATCCACATGGCGCCCCGGCCCCCTGCCGCCGCACTCGCTCGCTTCCCCCCGTGGCCCCCTCCCCTCGGACCTACATATTGTACCTATGTAGGTATGTGCCTAAGGTACCCAGCACGCGCAGCGGGGCAGCGCGCCACAGCATCCGGCGCACGCGCGAGCGGCGTGCTGTGCATGGTGTGCGTGCGTGCGTGCATGCATGGTTGGATGCATATATGGGTGCATGGAGCAAGCAGGCCGTGCGGATCCGTGGCTATCCTCTCTCTCTCTCTCTCTCTCTGCCACCATCCCTGCACGCCGTAAGGGTCCATAACGTAGGCAGGTAAGGTACATACGTCCGCCCGCAACCCCATCCGTACGCACGCCCGCGTCTGCTTGACAAGACTGGCTGCGCATGCCTACCTAACCCGCCAACCCGAACCGATCCTCCTTCTCGCTCGCTCGCTGCCGCAGATATACAACCCCACCCCTCTCCCTCAGGGCCCATTGCCCATGAATCGCGCTGCATAGGTAGGTTTCCGTAGCAGTGTCTTTATCCTTCTCCTTCCTAGGATGGGATAAACACGGAGCACGGAGCTGGTCATTGTAGTAGGTAGTGCAGCAAACAAGAAACACACAAACACCCATCAGCAGCAAAGCAAACACAAGGACAAGAAAGGACGCGCGGCACATCATGCACACCATGCACAAGCCGCCCGCCCATGTCAACCGCAACCGCTTCTCACGATGCGATAGGCACCACAAACAACCCGATCTCGATCCCGCACGAGGAAGGGCGGTCGAAGCGTGGCGTGCAGCGTGCAGCGTGCAGCGTGTAGCAGGGGGAAAAAGGCCTCGACTCTCCCCTCCATAATCCCGCCGGGCTCCCTGCACCCCGTACACGATAACATAAGCCGCACGCTTAGCCCGCAACGGCAGGCAAGCAGCGGCAGCGCTTAGCGCGGCAAACAACGACGTCATCTTGCGGCGCAAACACCCTACAACGTCGGCTCTCTCACGCACACGCACGGGAAAAGAGGCTCAAACCGGAGTGTGTGCTCCGAGGTGCACACCTAGTTCAAGCATGCCCAGAAGCTGCAGCAAGGCGTAGAGGCGTAGTTGGGTCAACTACTTACAGACTAGACACTATTACATCGGAACCTTAATAAAAAACAACAGCACGCTCTGCTCGATCGATCGATTGATATCGCTCAACACACCGAGAAACGAAATCTGTATAAACGAAGCCCTTGTTTTGCTTTTTGCTTTTGTTGCTGTCGCAGTGAGAGTTTGAGAGATGGAGTAGATTTCGATGTAGTGGTGGTAGTAGAGGAGGTGATGGTGATGGTGCCGCCGATGAAGGGCCCGCTTCGTTAACGTCGTTCCAGGTATGTTACACTGCGAAAAAAGGAAAAAGGAAAAAAGAAGAAGATAAAGGAGAACAGGTCGTGGACAGACTTGTGTGTATGGCGGCGGTCGGTGTGAGTGGGTGTATGAAAAAGAAAAGGAAAAAAAGAAAAGAAGAATGCTACCTGTACCCGTAGGTATCCTCCAGAAATCAAGGGAATCCGAGAGTAACGAAGAAAAAAAAAGAGAAAATTCAAAAGAAAATGGCGTTGTGCCAATAGTGACTCGATCCTTGGCTCCCCGGCCTGAAGACTCAACGGTGCATACCCTCAAGTGACGAGGTCCAGCACCAGTTGAGCCTCTGGGAGTCACTCCTTCTGCTCCGTCTCACTTGCCAGCGACGTCGTCGTGGTAGACTCGGGGGCCGCTCCCGTCGTGGCGTCGCTGGCATCAATGCTGCTCGAGCGTACCGTGTCTCGCAGCGACGGCTCCGCTTGGTCAGCGCCCGCTATCGTGAAGCCCGCGTCTTCCTCCTCGGGCGCTTCTTCAATCCGATCGTCCTCCTCGCCATCCTCGCCCATGAGGTTAGGCGGTCGCTGCTGCATCTGCCGCGCCTTGGCGAGCGAAATGGTCTTCTGTTGGTAAGTGCTGACGACCTCTTTAGTGTCGTCTCGATCAATCGTCGCCTTCATCAGCGCGGCCATCCAAAGCCTTCCTTGCTGCACGTTGTCGACCGCAAAGTAGTGAACGGTCGGTTTCGTAAAGTTGACTGCCTTGGACAGGCCGGTTCGCGGCGGCATGAGCTTGAAGATGAACATACCCGAAGCATCATCCTGACGGTCCAGCGCGTTGGCCGCGTCCGTGGACGCCGCCGTCGCCAGTGAAGCGTTTTGAGGGGACGTGGGGGATGACTTGGCGCCGGTCACGGCGGCGTGGAGCCCCGCCATGCGCTCATTGTTGGCGGGCAGCACGCGATGGCCCGAAATGTCGATCAAACCTTTCTCGGCGGTATCGAATTCAGAATAATAGTACGACAACCGTCGGCCGCGGAGCACAAACAATCGAGTTTTCCACGTGGCCATAATGTTAGACGATCTTTTCTTCATCCAACCACTGTAGTCAGCACCATCTATCTGTTCCTGCGGCGACTTTTGTTCCAGTCCCCTCTGGTAGGCGCTGGTTTCTTTCTTCGACTTCTTCTTGCCGTTGTTGTTTCCGCCAGAGCTCGTGCTGGGGGTCATGGAATTACCAGTGGCGGACCGAAGAACCTCGTGCGGTGGTTCGTTGAGTTCAAAGCTTTTTGATGTCGCCGAGGGCGTGCTGGATCCCGTGCGAGCGGGAGAGCTCGGGGGTGCGTCCTTGACGGTAGGTGAAGCGGGGGCGTTTCTTATGCTGCCGAGAGAGAGCATGTTGCCGGATATTGCGTCGGAGATTGCGCGAAGGCCGGTCGCGCGCTGCTTGGGATGCCGTGCGATTGCCGGTGGTGGGGAGGCGCGTCCGTTGGACTCGGTGTCGCTGCCGACGAGATTTGGCGAGGATGCTATGGCGTCTATGCTCGGTGCGCCGTAATCCAGCTTGGTGACTGTCTGGGAGCGGTCTTTTGTGATTCTGGGAGAGCCGGTCCTCAGCTCGGGACCGCTGGCCGCACGGGCGCTCTTGCTCCGCGGGCTCGGGCTCGACTGGATATCGTCGATGAAAATGGTGGGTTCGACATTCTCGTTGTTTGAGTCTTTGCTTCCTACTCTGGAGTGCCTCTTTCCAAACGCTGCCGATAAGCGCCTTCCGTCTATGCTGATGCTGCCCGTGCGCGAACGTGTGGGGCTGTGGCTCTTTCGGAGAACGTTTCTGTGTTTGCGTGTTTCGGCCTCGTTTCCTGAGAAATAGCCACGGTCAAGATCATTAGGCCCCAAAACATTTTCCCCAGGACTCTCCTCACCGGTGGTTGGTCGCATTTGCGCGGAAGAAGCCGGGCGCGACGGGGGCTTGGGATCGCCCATGATCCAGCCACGATCGAACGATGGAATTTTGCGATGTGCGGTAGGTGACGCAGTCAAGGGTTTCGTGGTAATGGTGGTTGGCGTTGCAGGTTCTGGCGTGAACTCGATGGAAGAGTGTCGGCGGTGTTGATTGTATTCGCGTACCGACGCGGCCGAGGGACGTCGCGAGTGCCCCAATCCAGGAGTTGCGGGAGAGGAAGGAGCGACCCCACTGCCTAACCTGCCCGATTGCGCCTGCGAACTCGCTCTGGAGAGCTGTTGTTTACTTGACGGCCTAGCGCTCTTCGGATCCATCAAACTCGGGATCCGTGGGAGTACCGTGCCTATCGAGGAGCTGCGGTGTCGGGCTGCTTTGGTCGCGCTGTGATCGGGTTCGGCTTGTTCTGCGCCAGGCTGTACGTCGCTGACTTCTTGTTGTAAGGCCTTGATCTTTTGCCACGTTCGCAGACGTGGTCCAATGGGACCCAGGTCGAATTCCTTCATGAAGATTGTTGGCTGATCCATACCCAAAAGCACTTCGCCCGAGATTTCCTGCTCCCTGAACACATCGCAATGGCGCTTCTCCACGCCTACGTCCTCTAGCCACTCCGCGACTCGCTCGGGCGACCAGCTTCGGACCTCGGCGAGGGTGTACATGCTCTGTTCTTCTTCGTCCGTCTCGGTGCCGTTGATGTAGGACAGGCGGTGATCGACGTGACTGCTATACTCGCTCGAACTGTCATTTGTTGGGCGCCTGTCACCGGCGGGGCCACTGGTTCGAGGTGTGTGGATATCGGTCAAATGCTCGTCGATAACGCTTAGGGTTTCGTTCATAACAGGGCTAGCCTGATTCCCCATGGCCGAACCTTTTTGCGACGCCGGCGGTATGGATATTGTGTGCGCAAACGGCGTAGCCTTCCCTCCCGGTTGAAGCGCTATCGGCGCCGACGATGACCTCTGACCCGAGGAGTCGTGGAATGAAGCGGCGAGAGGCTCTACCAGGGATTCCTCGCGCTGGATGGTCGCGAGAGCGGGTTCAGACGATTTCCCGTTCAGAGAGTGGACGGGGGACGCGTGGTATTGCGGAGCGGGGCGCGCGTGCAGGTTTGAAGTGAAGCTCGGCCGCGGAGCCAGTTGTGTATAAACTGTGCGAGGAGGGTCAGTGTGGAAGTTCCGCAAGATAGAACAAAGTCTCCTGCGCACCCTCTGGGAACAGGCCGGTGGCTCCATTCTGCGAGTGCCTTCCCAGAAACCATCCGTCGCCAAAGTCGTCATCGCGCTCAATGAGCTCTATGCGGTCTCCTCTCTTGAGGGTCAACTCGTCGGGGCTCCGCGCGTTAAATTCGTCTAGGACGGGCAGACGTCAGCTCAGACCCGGTGATCGATGCTCTCAGACCCCTCGGGGGGTTTCAGGAGGCCGCGCGAACTTACGGATCACCAAAAGGGTGTCCCCCGGGCGCGCCTGGTCCATCTCTCCTCGCGCCATTGTGAATGCGTGTCGTGTTCCGTCCGGACTGAGGGTGCAGGCGCTCACCACCGCTGGCGGGCGGCAACGGTCATGGCGCAGAGGCGCGACGGGGAGATTGCGATGCCACGGCCGATGAGGGACTCAGCCGGGGCAGAGGGGAGTGGCGGTTCGTAGTCAATTTCGGCGTGGCATTCAACGGTCGACAGCAGGGCCAATCAGCGAGAGCGGCGGCGAGAGGCAGCAGGGAGGGCGGGAAAATGAGGATGCGCGCGGGTGCAATGTGAAGCTGAGAAAAGAAAAGTAAGAGTACAATGGATGGGATGGAACGGCGCTTAGTGAGCGGAGCTCGAATGACCCAGCGTGCTCCGGTCGGATCGCCCAGCTAGCTACCTGCCTAACTCCATACTTGCACAACGATGCTCCGCCCGCTGCCCGCGTGCCCTCAGCCGCGGGCGCTCGAGGAGGTGCGGCCTCATCATCGTTGACGTGCCTTTTTCCATCCCTGCTGCCAAGCAAGTCGCAAAGAAGTCGCTGCAGCGCGTCGACTCTACACCATGTCCCGAGCAGACGCTGCAATGGCCCCGCCCAACAGAGCTCCCACTCGCGACCTGGCCTCGTCCAACTCTACCGCCAACGCCTTTCTAGGCGGTCGTTCGTTGCCTTCATGGATTACCGGCGGCGCTCCTTCTCCGCACCTGCCTCAAAAGGACCGCCCTCCTCGCCTTCCGCCGCCTCAGGTCCTCACGCCGCCCGTTCGAATGCAATCGTCGACCCCGAACAACCTGTTGCCCTCACCCGCTCCGAGCGAAGACAGGCCGATCATTGTCGATCTTGCTGCTGATGACCACGACTCCGAGTCGGAGCGTCGACGAACACACAAGCGTCGCCGTACGGATGCCTCTGCTCCCGCTTCATTTGTTGCCGCACCCATCCCACGGCCACCGACGCGAATTAATACCAGTGTTAGCCAGTCGCTCCCCCCGAATCAGCCCGCTCCGGATCCTCAAGCGCAATGTCACTCCCCTGAATACTGCAATGCGAGGCTTCAGGATCTAATGCGTCATTTTCCAATCAACACTCTCGGCCACCTCGAGAGGACTAGACTTGGTTTGATCCAGGAAGCCGTTCATACCAATGACTATGTCTATTTGACCTTCCACCAGTTCATGTGCTTACATTCCGTCGATCCAGAACGCTTACCACTTGAAATAAAGCATCTGAGAGGCGCAAGCGAAGCGTTTGATCTGCTCTACACCTTGTTGATGAGCAATTCTGAACTTCGACCAGAAGTGGTAGTTTACTTTACCATATTTCCAGCTTCCCTCACAGATATGAGGATGAAGTGGCCAAACCTTTTGGCCAACGAAATCGAACGCTTCAAGTTGTTCGTCATTCGTTCTCAACACGGATGGACAAGGTTGCAACAGGAATGCAAACAACGAGGATGGCCTCCAATGGTGCAAGAGCTCATCCTTTATCTAGGCATCGACTCACCTTTGCTCCAGCAAACAGTATACAGGGCCATTGTGAGACGTTTGTGGTTGCCATCACATTTGGATGGAGCTGCCGCTTCAAGGTTATTCTGGAGAGAGAGTGAAGGGCTATTTGCCAAGCATCAACAACGCTTCAACCAGGTTATTCTATCCCGAGGTTCACCTATGCCTTCTGAACGACAATCGGCGCAAGAGGCTCAGCAATACAGTACCTTTTTCATTCACATTTACAATAAGTTTCTCGAGTTACTGCATAACTCTGCACCTCGTGCTATTCCCGTCGTTCCCCTAACATCGAACGTGGACCAGCAAACCATGTATCCTCGTAGAATACCTCCAACAGGTGAGAGATCCGTATCCATGTCAAATACAAAAACCAACATAATCCAGGGTTCGCTACCACTGGGCAGCAAATGCAGATGAACCAAATGGCTTTTGCTCGAAATGCTGTTCCGCATTACCACCACCATCACCATGTTAATCGTGGCATGATGCCTTTCGCTGGATCTAGTTCGTCAGTCCCACCGTCAACCATGGGTCTGGCACGTCCACCGACCAACGCAGTGCTTCAATCCATGCCACGGCAGATGAATGGCGAGTTACAACAACGCCGACAAACAATGCCAGCGCAGGGAAGCTCATCGCTGTTTATACCTCCAGCAGGCTACACGGCCTTACAGGCGGCTCAACCTGATCCTACTCGCGTGGCTTTGCATCAAGCGCATTTGCGCAGTCCAAAACTAAGAGCGATGCTAAGTAAAGAAGAGCCGGCTATTATCGACAAATTTTATCGATTTGTGGTAGGTTTCAGCCTAGAGCCAACCAAGCTACCGGAAAATTCTCCTCAAACTCGCATGGCATTTACAATCTCGGCCGAGCAATACGCCTCCCTACCAATAGGTGAGATTTCTGAATCCGGTCCGCTCTTCTCACGGACGATTTTCGAAACGTCAAAAATGTATCGTCTACGATGTGTGAAGACAAACACGCCGCTGGATGAGCAGCAGTGGGCGGTCAAAGATACGGTCTGGCCAAGGGGTGTATTTCTCAGGTTCAACAACCACCCTCTCGAAGCCCGTAAAAAACTTCATTACGGAAAGGATCTACCAATCGATCTCACTTCGTACATCCAGGAAGGCCAGAACGTACTCGAGATTAACAATTTGCGGATGCCCGAGGCCGAATCAATCTCTAATTTTACCATGGCGATCGAAGTGGTAGGCTTTCAGCGCCACGACACCATCAAGGCCGAGTGCCTTGCTGATCGGCAAATTCCGTCAGAGGAGGTCCAAGCCTCCATCAAAGCGAGCCTGAACAGTCCAGATGACGACGAGATCGCCGTGGTGAATGACAACATCTCGATCGGACTCTTCGACCCATTCAGCGGTTGTCGGATCTTCAATATCCCGGTCCGGGGCCGCAGCTGCGTGCATCGCGACTGCTTCGACCTGGAGACATACCTGGAGACGCGGGCGTTCCCACGCAAGGAGCCAGCTGCGCCCTCGGCCGTCGACACGTGGAAGTGTCCGCTGTGCAACGCGGACGCGCGGCCCAAGAGCTTGGTTGTGGATGGTTTTCTCGTCGAGGTCAGAGCGAAGCTCGCGGAGCAGGGCTTGCTGGACACGCGGGCCATTATCGTCGAGCCCGACGGAAGCTGGCGCCCGAAGCCAGAGAAGGACAAGGATAAGGAAAAGAGCCTGGAGTCGCGGCCGGACACCCCTGTTCTCTCTGGAGGCAACGTGGAGCGTCGCAGCAGTAGCCGTGCAGCCGTCTCAGCTGGCCCTACGGTGACACCCCAAGTCATTGACCTGGACAGCGATTGAAGTTTCCACTACAAACGACGACTTTGATTCACCATACGATTTTTACGACTTCCCCACGCTCAGGCGTTCGTGAACAAAATTACGTTAGCAAGCAAGCCCTGGGGGCGCTTTTCACCATCCATTCGTGAGATACCTGCCCCTTTTTTTGGGCGTCTTTTCGTTGTAGTTTCTCTTTCACGTCGGTTTCCAAAAAAGTTACTTTCTCTTTTCCTTCGATGCTTTTTGGAGTTACGAGCTGGGGAGGAGGGAAAGGCTGGACGGACGGAGTCATCCGAGGGATGGCGATGGGTTGCTGGGCGTGCTTGTTTGTTCTGCGCTGTCTTGTCTAGTCTATTTATCTTATCATGCTATATACTTATCTCACCCTCCTGCTGGACTGCCGCTGGTGGCGTGCGCCGTTTTGAGTATGTACGTACGTGCGTTTGGGGTTGGACTGGTTTAGACGAAACTCTTGTGCTTTGTGCTGATGATGATTATGACGATGGTGGTGATGAAGTGGCGAATTCGCAGCTCGTCTGTCTGGTTGTCCGGTTCGTCCTGCCTTGCCTTGCCTTGCCTTGCCTCTTTGCACCAAGTGCTTTGTACAAGGCCATGGATAGCTCGCTCACCCCACGTGCTGACATGTCTGTATAGTGCGTGACTAAATCTCTATACTACTACTTTCGTATTTCGTAAACGGATAGGACCCGGTTTCGCTAAACAGTGAATCTTGGATATGGGAGACATATGTAATGTCTTCCTATATCTTTGAATAACGTCGTGGATGCGAGAGCGGAATAGAATGGACGTACAGCGAGACAGCCATATAGACCTCTCTTCTGGCATCATCAGGTGCGCAAGGAGTGCTCTAGGTGTATAGTATGTTTTACGTGATATATGGTCGAAGTGTATGCAAGTCCACCGGTGCCAACACCATCACAGCACCACGCAACGCGCACACACCGATACATCTCCAACGACAAACGGCTTCATTGGTTCGGTATGCTACTGTGCTAACAAGAAAAGAGCGCTGTTCCCCGGTGCTCAGCCCTGCCAACCGCTGAAGAAAGCACTGACATACCCAAAGCTTGAAAATGATAGAAACGAAAGAGAGAGAGACGGCTACAGAAACGTTATATTCGTGGGTCTATGGAATGCGTTCATGCCCGGCGCCACATTGCAAGCGAGTTAGCGGGGCCAGACCGTTCTTCCAGCTTTCTAGCGGACTTCTCTGTATTGTCTTTGTCTTTCCTCTGCCTCTCCGAATCGGAGTAGACCCAAATTCCAGATATGCCCTCTGGGAAGCCTTCGATTGAGGCAGCTGCCTGGTCGGCTGCGCCTTTGAACGTGTCGCGGATTTTGCCGATGTTGTTTTCAGCGCGTCCAGTTCCGGGGTAGAGGATTGGCATGATGTACTCGTTCCATATTTCGTCTGCGGCAATACTTATCGTCATGCGCATGAGCTGAGAAATGTGCGAGTTTTCCCAATTCGCCTTCAATGCGACGACGTCATACACCAGCTTGTAGAAGGAAGCAACGACATCGTTCGATATTCTGTCGGACCAATACTTAAGTCTCTCGTCCCGGGTCATTTCCACGTATAGGACACTGTCTGCTGGAATCCCCGCGTAGGCGGGTTCGAATTTCATCTCAGGAGGTGCAGGGTCGTAATGAGACACTTCAGAAATTCTTGCGTCCATCTCGGTTTTCCACGTTTCGACAATTGCCCTGTTGGTTGCCCTGTTGGTTGCCATATGCCTTTGAATGTTATGGTTAATAGATGCAGCATGAATTTTAGTGTCCAAGAGCCTCGCATGGTAGCTGACTTGTTCTTCGCAGAATAACTTGAAGATATAATCGGCTCGTTGTATACGGGTTTGTCCATCTGGTGGTGGTGACTCGCTATCGTTCCTGCCTGCCAACACCCGGTGTGATTCCAGACACAAGTTTCTCAAGCACAGCATGTAGTTCTCGTGCGTGGTCGTAGATGCGACCTGGATCAACGCCAGTCAGATTGCCAGTTGTAGTCTACCGGGTATGAACTTACCCAGCTCACAAACCAACCGTCCGAGAAATTTGCCGACGCAGTCGTTGGGATATCAAGCGCTTCTCGTTGCCAATTCTGTGCCTTCATAGACAGCTCCTGCAACCGTCTTATATATGCAACCAGAGAAGAACCGTGCTCGGCCTTGCAGCTCACCCTGGCGGTCTCGGCCGTGAGCCTGTTGTGGCGAAAAAAGTATACTTTCCCGCGCTTCAAATGCGTTTTTCGTCTCTCAACCAAAGCAGCATCGGAATCCGTAAAGAATCCAGCTTCCGGAGCTCGAACAACAGGGTTGTTATTGGTTAAGCAGGTCTGCTCCCAAAGAGCGGGAAATGGCTGGGGCATAATAGGGCGAGCCTGTGCGTCCACATCGATAATATGGGATCCGATCGGAGTTCTTCGATGATCCAGCGCTTCGATAGAGAACCTATGCATATTTGCAGCGACTTGATAAATGGCTGACGAATTGGGAAGGAAAGTAGTCGACAACTAAATCATACGTGATAGACGTGAGACATCGACAAAGCGAGGCAGCGGAAAGGTCGCGACGGTGAGCTTACGACGAGAACGGTCCAAGCCGAAACGAATGGCCAAAGGCACCGAGCAAGCTACTAATGAGCGTCTATCGCAACAGTCTGCTGTGAATGGTTTGCGGGAGCGTAACGATAGCGAAAATGCCGATAAAAGCGTGAGTAAATCCTGATGGTGGAGATGAAGTTGGAGAGTGTCGCTGGACGAGGCGACATCTTGGAGTAGGCGGTCGCTGCCAAATTGGGAAACCACGTCCTGCCATCCGCGACTGCCAGACCACCGCCGCCCTGCCGCTTTCAAGCCTATATGGATTGACTGTCGCCATTTGCACGCGTGTGCTTCACTTTAGATCTGGGTGTTTCGTGATTGCGCGCAGTAGACAGACAGGTGACTTTTCCCCAGAGCTCTTTTCCGTGATTCTCTCATGGAGCGCATATACCATGAATCTGCGCTCGGTCTCGAGACTTGGATGCGACAACGCTTGAAGTGCATCGCGCCCAGGCATGTGGGATTTCATTCAGAGTCTTAAAGGAAACCAGGCACTTATGTCTGTCGCATGGCTGTCCTTCATGCGTATGCATGTGGTCACTGAAGCCTTACCCCGCCGGATGACCATGAACACCACTACATAGCCTTGACACCATTGTCTCGCAGTACCGGCAGAGCAATTGCTATAACCTCACTGTCTTTATCTCGCAGTACATACAGGGTCCTTGACCACATCTGCGCATGCGTCGTCTTTTGTGAAGAAACCATATGGCAGGGTGAGACAAGACCGGAGTCCATCAGTGTTCAGTCACCGTCCATCTACATAACATGTTCATGGAAGCGAGCGAAGTTCAGCAGCAGAAACCGGTGCACAGTGAGAAAAGAAGTGATTCGGCCCCTCAAAAAAACAGACAAATGGATGCAGCGGCTGACGAGTTGTTAGAAATGTTTCTGCAGTGGACATTGCCGGTCGTCGGCGGTCGGAGATCGGAGGTCGGAGCCGGGCTCGGCGTTTCGTCGGATCCGCGCCAGTCTTGTCAACGCGCTAATCCCAAAACGGAATCAGAGCCGCATACACCAAAAAATTTTATATTCAACACCACCACAACATCTCCAGAGACAAAAGAAGATGCTCTGAAAGCTCTTGGTCACTATGGGGGTCGAACCCACGGCCTTGGCGTTTAATATATAGGAAACTCTTGAGAGAAACCGAAATATTAGCACCACGCTCTAACCAACTGAGCTAAGCGACCTGCTATTGATGGGAAGGGCGCTGAGGATGTGGTCTTATAAGCCGTACGAAGAACCAGCTTCTTCAGCGCTTCTAAGATTAGCCCTCAGACTGACCGTTCGGCCGTCAGATGTTTCGGCAGCTCAGCAAACTCCCGGCGGGATTTTCCGGATGTCACAACGGGGATAGCGTGGGCCGGTTCTTCTTTGTCAACCGAGAAGTTTAGAGCCAGTGCACGCAGCGTTCGCTCACCGCAGATACGGTTAAAAGACCAGGGAACCTTCCAGAGCGGGGCCGGGCCGGTGATAGGGAGAGACACGGTGGTGGTCTAGGTGCGAGACACTGGAGACGACGGGAACCGGCGGAGACGCTCCATCCACCTCTTTCATGACCTGGAAAGGAAGAAATGCCCAGACTGGATAGTTGCGCCCCGTGGAGAGAAGGCAAACAACCTTTCGACGGAGTGCGCTGTCCGAGGAGCCGTCAACGCTACTCCTCCCTCGGGCGTCCATCGCGAGAAGGATAAAGCCTCAAAGGTGGGATCGGTGAAGAGTCACGATCGTATTTGGGCACGTTCGCTGAGCGCGCTAGCAGCCACATCTCGTGTCGGAAGCGATCATGGCACGGAGATGGTGAAGAAAGCGTGTCTGGTGTGAGTGACAGCGAGGTGTAAAGCTTGGTCGCAGGCGGTCAAGGACCCCTTGGGGATCCCGGCGTAAAAGGGGCTCTCGGGCGAGCAGCCCCACGCTTGAGCGGACTTGAACATCTGCGTCATCGCTGAGGATGCGCCGTTGGGAGGTGGGATGGTGAGAGTGTCGTAAAGGTATGGTGCGCGATGAAAAGGGCGTCGTGGGCCGCGGCGTGGCGTAGCGATGTCACCCGTGACGATCTATTTTGGGCGCCAGACACGACCATCCGTAAACTGCCACCACACGCCTTTATCAGCATCACCAGGCGCATGCCCGCCATAAGGCTCGTCCGCCCGGATTTGCGTCTGGCCCCGCCGACTGATCCTTGACCATCGAACGGTTTCCATCCAGCAAACCCACTCCGTATCCACCGTAAACATGACACGGTCACACTGTTAGCTTGCTATGGCCTGAAGGAGACCTTCTGGATCACCACAGTCCCGCCGCGAGGACCGCATATATACCGGCACTCGAACGCTTAAGACGAGATCCTCTTCCACCCACAGATCTACCAGACAAGCAATCGTTTATCTCGTATCTCCGCAACTCACATTCGCTTGCTCGAGTCTCTCAGTGATCACTCCATCGTTTTAATCACTACATATATTCACCCACCACCACCACCACCAACAACAACAACATGCACGCCCTCACCATCGCCCTCTCTGCTCTGGCCGGTGCCGCCGCCGCCAAGGAGGTCCGCGGACCTTGGATGGGACCTCGTGCCCTCGGCACCGCTCCCGCTGCGCCTGCCAGCACCGAGACTCTCACCACCTACACCACCGTGACGACCTGCCCCGTCACCAAGACCAAGACGGACCACTCCTCGGTGTACGTGACGACGGAGCTGACGACCAGCACCGTGACGGTCACGTCGTGCGTCGGCGGCTGCAAGCACCAGGCCAGCAGCTCGTCCAGCTCCGCCGCCGCCGTCGTCGTTCCTCACACGACGGCCCCCTCGGCCCAGGCCGCCAGCACCACGGCTTACGCCTCGGGCACCACCACCGAGGTCGTCACCAGCGTCTTCCCCACCACCCTGACCACCACCCTCACCTCCTTCGTGCCCTGCTCCACCTCGGTCGCTCACGAGGGCAAGAGCACCTTCTACTCGACCTGGTTGACCGCGACCTACATCCCCACGACCAAGGTCACGACTACCTCGACCGTCCTGACCCTGCACCCGGCGCCCAGCAGCACGACCGCGCCCGCCGTCTCCGCCGCGGCCATCACCTCCGCCGCGGCCGGCACCTGCGCGCCTGTGACCGTGACCGTCTCCGCCCCCGCCGTCACCGTCGAGAAGGTCAAGACCGTCACCGTCACGGCCGACGCCAGCGTCAACGCCGCCAGCGCCCCTGCGCCTAAGCCCACCGAGCCTGCTGCCACCAAGCCCGCTGAGGCCGTCACCAAGGCCGCCTCCGCTGCTGCCGGTGCCTCCACCACCGACTGCTCCTCCTCCTCCAAGAAGGGCCCCAACCCCTCCTCCTCCCTCCACTGGAGCGTCTCCACCAAGGACAACGGCGCCGCTGCCCCCTCGGGCGCTGCCGCTCCCACCGGCAACTAAGCGCGCGTACAACCGCGGCTTGTTGCTCTAATTGTTAATTCTGATGTTTAATCTGTGGAGGGAGAAAAAGCAGTAGTGGTAATCTGTTTGGCTTCTGATTGTTATTTACGAAACGTCTCAACGAGTTTCACGCCTCTCTTTTAGTTATGCGGTATGATGCTAATAGCTTTGGATTGTTATGCATTTGGCGGCGTCTTGTGGAGACGAGCGAGCGGTGGACGGCTTGGTTCCGCCGCGGGGAAGGATTGTTTAGACGGATTGCGCGGTTAATCGTAATCGAATTCGATTCTATGATATTCTATATCGATTTTTGCCGTTTGCACACTCCCGAGACAACAATCACTGTAGTGACAATGCTGTCACTTTTAAGCTGAGACATGGCGGAAGTCCGCGCTTGTGGCTATTTGTCTTGCCAACGTCTCATTCTCAATAAGGGTACTTTTAAAGGTATATGATTATAAACATCTAAAGTGGAAAACATATCAAACAACTTTGCATGTACGTTATCATGTAGTGCGTGGGCAACCCAACCAAACCTTCCCAATCTGACCATACCAAGCCATCAACGACAACAAACGGCACCACCCCCTCTCTAGACTCTTTAGATACGAACACATAGCAAACCCCACCCCACCAAAGCTAATATACGAGGCTCGCGCAGCGCACCCCCGCCGGCGCCCGCTAGAGCCGCGATAGCACGGCGCGGCGCCGCCCAAAGGAGCCGCCACAGCGCCACGCACTCGCGCCCCCTCCGCACCACGTATCCGCCGTATTCGCTGCAAGTGCTCGCACCACCACCTATGTAGTAGCAAGACAGCAACACGAGAGCGGGCCCAGATCGCACCAACCAGCACCCACACTACCGATACTGATCATTCAGCACGAGGCGCGCATACGGATACTTATCCGGCGTAACGACAACATCTCTCGGCCTCGGCCCCGTCGCCGGGGTCTCATCATCAATCACCTTACACGCAGCCTCGCACTCCCTGAGCAGTTCTCTCGTAGACGGGCGTCCCCCAACCTGCGGATGCATGCACCAGTACACCGTCTCAACCAAGCGCGCACTATAATGCGGTCTTAAACTGCTTTCGGGGTCCCACGTCGCGGAGCGGAAATTGCGCTGCTCGGCCGGGCTAAAGCGCGCGTGGTAGTCCTGCCAGGCGACGATGTTATTGGCGGGGTCGGGGACGAAGAGCTGGGGCGGGTCTGGGTACCGCCGCGTCATTGTTTGCCACAGCATGATGCCGATGCTGTAGATGGTTGAGTGGATGCGGTTGGGTTGGTGCGTTGGGAGAGGGGGGTAGAATGGCTTGCGGGGGCGGGCGGGGTTGGGCGGGCCGCGCTTGGGGCTCCGTTCGCGGAAGCTGTTGAGGTTGCGTTGGCGCCAGAGGGGGAGGTTTTCCTGTGTGGGGGTGGTGTTAGTGCGTGGTACTTTTGCTTGGCTTGAGGGGTGGAGAGAGGGGAGTGTGTGTAAAGAGCAAGGAAGCACTCAATCAGCCAGTCAGCCACTCACAAAAGGCCGGTACCCATCGGTCTGCCTCCCGAGGAACGCTTCGGGGATCTGGTCCGGGTCCTGGGGGTTTGGATAGGACTCGACGCCGCCAAAGTCGGCCAGGATGGGCGTGGGGTAGTTCTGCTGCCAGTACTGCGAGCCAGGGTCTCTGTTGGGCGCGCCGAGCAGGATGTTCAGCGGCTTGACGTCGTAGTGGAATAAGGAGGACCATTCTGGGTCGTCTAGCTGTGCTGGGTCTGTCTGCCCGGACTCGAGCAGGAGCGCGGCTTCGGCGAGTGAGCGCAAGAGGTGCCAGCAGAATGGCTCCGGGACGATGGGGTATGGGTTGCTGGGCGGCGGTCAGTATTGTTACTGCTACGTTCAAAAGAAAGAAGATATAGAGTGAAAGAGAAAGCGAGAGGAGAGAGGACGAAAGTGAAATAGGGGGGGATATAGAGAGTAAAGGTAAGTAAGGCAGTGATAGTAAGAAATAAAACCAAACAACAGTGAAAAAGGCCATACTCACGTCCGCGTAGGAAGCATATACCAATCCATAAACGTGGCCAAGTCCCTATGGGGCGCATACTCCAGAATAGTGCGACCATACCGCCGCGCACGACCGCTTCTAGCATTCTGCCCGCCCAAATAATGCACGACATGGCGCGAGCGGACGCCACGCCTGCGGCCATAGTCAGCAACCAGCTTCAGCAGCTCTCGTTCGCGGTCGTTGATCCCATGGCCTTTATGCCTGTCTCGTTTGACGACTACGGCCTGTGCTTCGTCAGTCCCGGCGCCGGCACACCAACGCAAGAAACGCCCAGAAAAGAAAAGAAAGAGAGAGAAACAAGCACACACGCACGCCCAACTCACCCTCAGCGTCCTCCCCTGCGCGTCCTCCCCTGCGCGTCCTCCATCCTATATAACATAGCAGTGCCATACCCCCCCTCGCCCAGCTGGCTATGCCACTTCCAGTGCGAGCCAAACACGCCCATCGTGTCGAGGCCCTGCACCGCGGTACTGGGGCGCTGGGCCAAGAGCCCATTGTCGCGGACGGGCAGCGGGTAGCGCGTCATGGGGCGAATGTTGCGCGCGTCGTTGATGCGCCGCGCCTCCCTGTCGTAGGGGGCTTTTACCGCGGGGGAGCGGTTGGCCCAGCGCGTGGCGTAGCGGCTGCGGATGTGGTCTGGGCGGGGACGGTGGGGCGTTAGCTTGCTTGTGCTTGTGCTTACTCTTGCTCTTGGTCTTATTTTGTTCTTGTCTTGTTCTTGCTAAGTGTATGGTGGGTGCTGTGTGCTGTGCAGTGCAGTGCAGACGTACCTTCGCTCGGATACTTCCCCACAGCCCCCTTCCCCACAGCCCCCCTCTTGCGCGCCTGATACACCTCCTCAGCATTAAAATAGACGTCCCAGCCGCTCACGGGCCCGATGTCGCCCTCCCGCGGCCAGCGCGTGCAAAAGTCCTTTTCCCAGCGGCGGCGCGAGGGGGAGGGCAGGCGCGCCCACTCAGCGTCGAGCTCGCGGTCGAGTTTGCGCGAGGAGCGCGGCTGCGGCGCGGTTGGGATTGTGAGGGCGTATAAGTCGTGGGTTGGCCTGCTGGCGATGTGTGTCTGCATATGCGTTTTGTAGAGCGCGCGTGGGTCTGCGGGGGGTGTGGCTGGGGGTGGGGGTTGAGGCTGCGCCATGTTGTGCTTGTGCTTGGGGTGTGTAGGCTTTGGGTGTAGTGGTGATGTTTTGGTTGTAAACTGTGTATGGTTTGGAGATGTAGGATAGGAAATATAAGAGAAGAGAGTGAAAGGTTCGGATTACTTACTCCACCAGACGGATATACGGCGCGCCGTCGTTGTCGTGGTTGTGCTTTGTCTATCCAGGCTCTTTGAGCAGTAGATGGTGTGCATAAGCAGCACACGACAATGAACAGATGGATGGACGTTTGCGGGTGGACAAAGGTAAAAGTGAAGACAAAGACACTTACACGCACACACCCGCCACCATCACCTGTTGTAGATCTAGTCAAGTCCATCATTATCGCGCAAGTGCGCAGAGTTCCAGACATGCTCAGATCCACTGTAGAATTCTATCATCGACCGGACAGCAAGCAACCCGAGTCATAATAAGATGTAAATATACAAAAAGTATATCAGCACCATTACGAAACGGTTGTTCTAGCTACACTTAGAGCCGCGGTCCTATAGGGGATGGAATCATTGGCCGGACAGTAATCAAAACAACTTACAACGAGGTACAACCGAGGTTCCTACAAGGCGTATATCAACACCACTGCAAGAAGCCTGTTCCAGCTACCATTAGAGCTGCGCGGGTGTGCTGCACACAACGAACAAAACTTATTCGAAAGCGTCTCGCTGCCTCTCATTTGCCTTATTGTGATTGCGATTGCGCATTGTGCAGATTACTTCTCGTCACCGCAACCTGGACGGGTATATATAGAAGAAGCACACACCAACACATACGAGGCAACAGTAGACAGGATGCGTCGCCGCCGACGACGATGAAAGTTTGTGGGTAGGAAATAGTGTGTAGCAGAGATAGAGAGATAAGTAGACGGCAAAAAAGAGGGAGTAAAGGCTGTAAACGACGAAACGGAAGAAATAAGAAAAGGGGACATTGACAAGGCAGACGCAGAGCAGTGAGATTCAACCATCGACCAGACGCGCAGGATACGAGACAGGAAACCCACAAGCCACAGCAGCAGCTTGTGAGGCGAAGCGAGCAACCAAAGAGACACAAAACGAAAGAGAGAGAGTCAATGAAAACCTCCCCGTTTGTTGGCGAAAGCTGTATTCCCGCCCGCTACCCACATTACATACTCGTTTCCTGCGACTCCTGTCTCCCTACTTCTTGCCTCCTTACACTGTTTGTTAGAAAGGGAATCCGTTCCGCTCTTGTCGACATATGCTGCATATCAGCGGCGTTTGATAATTTGTTAGTTTAGTCGGCCTTGATAGCACTGTCAACGCGTTAGCATCTCCATTTTATCAATGCCACAACACACAATACTCACCCATAAATCCTGCGCACAAACGCATACGCCGCCAAAAAGCCCACCGTGCCCGTCAGCAGCCCATAAACAAGCGACGCCAAAAAGCTATACGCAAAGAACAGCAGCCCGCTCACAAAGCCCTCGACGCGCAGCCGAGCGCAGAAATACCACGCGCAGTACGCAAACACCCACACGGCGCTGCCCCCACCCACCAGGAAGCTCTGCCACCACCACCGATGGTTCTCGGCGCACAGCTGCGCGTATGTCGCCACGATTGTCACTTCCACTACGCATACCATCAGGATCGCAAAGCACGCCCCCAGGAACCCGAACACGTAATAATAGCCGCTCTTGTCTTGCCATACGCTCTTGAAGACGAAGAGCAGCTCGATGAAGATGACGGCAAATGGGATGAGGCCTGCAAGAAGGATCGCTTGAAGGCCCCGCGTGTACCATGTTTGTGGTGGGATTTGGCGCGCGATGGCGTTGGTTTTGATCGGGTGCGTCCAGGCACCAACGCGCTCGTAACCGTACCATCCTCCGACGTAGACGAGGGGAAGCTGAATCAGGAGCCATAGCGCCAGGAGCGCAATCAGCGTGCCGAATGGAATGGCAGTGCTGGAAGCTTGTGCCCAAACGAAGAGGTTGAGGATGAAAATGGTGGCGAAAAGGAGGCCGGGAATCAGGGTACCAGTCTGTACTTTCGTTAGCGATTACATCTTTTAATGCATCTTGACACATACAATAACCACGTTCTTTTGCCATCTCTGGCCGCCAAACGTCTTGTACACTCTGGCGGAGAAATATCCAGAGAACATTCCCGCGAAGATGAACAGTGCGATTCCAACGCTGATGAATCCGCCCCTGAAGCTGGGGTTAAGGACACCCAAGCAGCTCAGGAGGAGCAGACCGCTCGCCATGAAGACCAACTGCGAACCAGACCCGACGAGCGGAGCTAACAAACCTCCGTACGGCGGCGGGCGGAACACGTCTCCGTGAACCAATTTCCAGCCGGTGATATCCTCGAGCAATTCCTCGTCCGAAGAAATATCAGCATCCCCCTCGGCTTCATCAAGCTGTCCCAAAAGACCATTCTTCTCCGCACTCTTCCTGGGCGACTTGCCGCCCTTCTTGCTCTTCTTGGGCTTTTCCAAATCTCCATCCTTATAGCTCTTGATATCGCCGCGGACGGTCCTTGCAAAAATGACGGCCACCACGGCAGTCAAAAGTCCAGAAATTACGAGCGAGTTGATAATCGCAAGCCAATGGATCGTGGAGCTGTCTTCCTGATTGACAAAGTACATGTCCCAGCGGTTCTGCCATTCGAGCTTGTCGTCCTCGCGGAAGTACACCGAGTACGTGTATGGGATGGTGAGCGTTGCGCTATCATCAAGATCCTCATCCTCTGGAATATAAGATGAATCGGCATATCTGTGTTCCAGTTCCGTCCTGTTCGGCGAAATGCGCAACTCCAGCCCCTTCTCCACATTGTGGAGGTCAAGGGGAAGACCACTCTCATTCCGGTTGCCGGCCTCAATACTCTTCGTGTAGACCTCAAAACCAACAATCACCCTCTTACCCTGCTGACCGTCCCTGCCAGGCGCCAAGCGGTGACGAATGACAAGCGTGACGTGGTTGTTGATGAAAAGTTCCGGCCTTCCCGTCGCCGCGTCAAATGTCTCATAACCCATTTTGAAACCGGCCGCGTAATACTTCCGCGACTTATCCGTGGTAACAAAACTTGTCGCACCCGGCAGATTATCCACTATCCACTCGGCGACGTAACCACCCTTGACGACCTCCTTGGCTCTTTCGAGCCCCGCCCTGTCCACCTTTGCGCTGCACAGATATCTGGCCTCCTCGTCCCGGCCCATTACCAGCTCATAGTCGGACAACATAATGCGATCGCCGCGGAGGACTTCGCCGAGGTTCAAGGACAATGTTGCGCTGTTGTGGCCAGCGGGGCGGCGGCCCGTCGGAGGACATACAAAGGGTAGTTCGGAGTAGGCGAATTGGAGTTGGGTGTTATCCGAGTAGACCTTGTTGACAAACAACGGAATGGACTCGCCATCGCTGTAGCTCTTGATGGACCATCCTGCTGCCTGGTTATTGTCTGTCGCGGCCCTGGCGTGAAAGCTAGACAGACATACCTGGAATGTAAAAGGCGTTGGCGATGCTGCAGAGGCCGCAGAGCAGCAGCAGACAAGAAAACCGGACGTCTCCGTGCATCATGGAAAAGGGAGAGGCAGCGTGTCGAGAGTCGACGGACGAGCGATCTGAGGTCAGACAGACGGTCGGAGAGGGGTCACGAGAAAGGCCGTCACACCTGCCGAGAAAAGAATCAACGAGCGAAAGTGGTAGCGAGTACCGTGGCGGCAGAAGTGAGAAAGATAACGACGGCGGGCTTGAAGGCGCGGAGCAGGTCACATATGACCGGGGGGACGCAGGGCGGCCGAGGATGCGCGACGGGGCCTCCTCGCGCCGCCATTGGGCCACCGCGCGTCCTCGCAACGGCGCAAGCGCCTCTCCCGTCGTTTCCGCCGTGGCTAAGTGTTTTGTGTATAGTTTTGCCACAATCTATCGCCGACTGCATCGTGGGCGCTGGTGAGATGCTATGGATGCTCCACTGATGCGCCACCCCGCGTGCCGGTGATCTGCGCCGCTTTTCGCGACCATTTCCACATGCATCACTCGTCACCACTGCTCCGGATCAAATGCACAGATATACTGAATTGCTATCCGCTCGGGACAATCCCAAACTAACCAGCCAAACTCTCAAAGTTATCGGAACAAGAAGCCAAAATCATAACTCGTGCCTCTCAGGCACCGGAAATCCTCCACAAATTCAACATATTTACAGGGCAAGGCCGGAGAGGACACCGGGAAGACCGCCGGAGAGGGCGCTGGAGAGACCACCGGTGAGACCGCCAGCAAGACCGTTGCCAGCGCCGCCGAGGAGACCGTCGAGCAGACCCTTGACGAGGTTGAGGACCTGGTCGACGACCTTGTCAAGACCGAGCAGCAGACCGGAGAGAGCGGTGGTGAGCGGGTTCAGGAGACCAAGGAGAGAGTCTACACACGTTAGTGTCGAACTTTTTGTCCGAGATAGAAAAAACTTACCGAGACCGAGAGTCGAGACAACACCCTCAAGGGCACCGCTGAGCTCGAGAAGGAGGTTGGAGACAAGACCAGCGAGAGCACCGGCATCCTCACGCTTCAAGACACCCAAAAGACCACCGCCACCAGCAGCACTGGGAAGCTGGGTGACCTTCCTGGTAGCCGCCTTGATCTCCTGAGTGATACCCTGGATGGCCTTCTTCAGGGTGGCAACCGCGTCGGGGTTGTTCTGAGCAGAGGCGTCAGAGCCAAGGCCGGAGGTAGTCTCGTCTGTACCAGTCAATCACTGCTAAACTTCAAATCTTACAAAAAACTTACTGATGGTGCCAGTGTAGGTCTGGATGTTGGTGTACAGGCCATCAACAATCTGGAAGACCTGACCAAGGTCGGCCTGGCGCTTCTCGACCTGCGCAACCTCAACGGCCGGCGCAGGAGCGGCAAAGGCGCCAAGGAAAAGGCTGCCGAGAGCAAAGACGGAGAAGAAAGAAGCCTTCATTGTGATGGTGGAAGTTGGAAGGAGTGTGGTTTGAATGAGAGTACTTGAAGTGAGTAAAGAACGGAGTTGCCGAGGCTGGCTGTTGTCAAGTCTTTGCTTGGTGGTGGTGGTGTTCCTTCTCCAGCGGCAGCTGTCTTCCTTATATGCCTTTCTTCTGGCTCAAGATCTCCCTCCAGTCTTGTGAGCAAAATCACGCTGCGTGTGTCTGGGCTGACGATCTTCATTGCTCTCGTGGTTGCAGTAGGTTTGGCCGACTTTTCCTTCGCGATGACGATTATGGAGGGCGACAGGTACGGCATGTGGCACCAACCACGCAATGATCTCCATTTGGTACCATGAAAGGGCTGTGGTGGACCAAGCCAAGCTTCCTATCCCTTGTGCATAATGAGTTTGCTAAGACGTGATGATGGCCAGGTCACGATCTGCAGGGTTTCAGCTGTCCCGCCCTGGCAGTCCAATCTATTCACTCGGATTCTAGAAAACGGCAGTTTGTGTTCATCATTTTCAATTTGACGGATTTATCGACCTTGCATTCAGGTCATTCCCTTATTCGACATCTAAGGCATCTCAAGAAAAATACAACCTATGTTTACCGCTCACATGAGTCGGTTCCTGAGCACATGTTAGTGAAGCTTTGATACCTAGCCTTATAGTGATCGCTAGATCGCCAGGTCCTGCCGAAATTGAGCCCGAGCGGTTAGGGAAAACATCGCAGGAAATTAGGCTTATCAAAGAATCCGGGGCCGTGACGGCTATCGGGAGACCCAGCCGACAGGTAGCGGATAGCAGCAATGACCTTGAGGCTTGCCAATGACGAAGCGCAGAAGCTGCGTGGACGGTAATCAGACATCTGGCTGTGCGCTTACAGCCCAAGAGACGGCTGATGCTGAATAGCACGGAACCTCCGAGCTAGCGCGTGGTTGAAGATTCACAGATGAATACAGTATAGATTTTCCCCTGCGCTTAATGCGCGGTGTTGTCTTCGCCGACGTCGGGATGCTTGAGAGGTTGGAGCATCGAACGGGCCTCGCGCCAGAGTCAGATTTCACGAGCTGACGGTTCCTAGTTTCCGAGTCGTTTAGATAGCTTACTATTCAGCAGCGTCTACTAGTACCGGTCAGAGGGAACAGCCCGAGATGCAGGTCACCGATCGTCGAGAGAAACAGAGATTGCGGTGACGAAAGGCAAATGGCAACAAGATGAAGCACAGCGTGGCTGTTTGACATGGACGAGCTGAGGAGCCACCTCCGCGCATTAAACACGGAGAAAGCGTGGAATGGGCAGTGAGCGGTGGTGTGGAGAGGTGAAAAGGAGAGGGGACTGTGAACCCCGGCCAGCCATGACGTCGGAGCGGCGGAAGCGGACGGAGACCCACCCGCGACCGCAGGGCTCACCAACACAAGCCACCACAGCCAACACACCTTTCCACCCTTTTTTTTCTGTGAAAGCAGACCGTTTCGAGGCGACAAGACTAGCCTTCGCGCCATGACCTTCACGCAGTCGTCGAGCCCGAAGCACGAGATACCCCTCATACGAAAGAGATCACGCTGCAATGTCCCGCGCGCCAATCAGGGTGAAAAAAAACCTTTGCTGCCCATCGCACCTCTATCAAACCCGACGGCCGTAGCACGTTTCTTCTACTCCTAGCATAAACATTGTAGGCCAATTGTTGGTCACCCCGCTGGGCACGGCCTTTCACACCTCCGACACCCCACCGCAACTCGAGCACAGCCATACGGCCTTCCCGACCTCACACCTTCTCCCACTACCTATCCTTTGCCGTCTTCCCCTCTGTCCTCCTCATTGCTTTCTCGCTTGGCAGCTTCTCTTTCTGCCATGCTCTCCTTTGCGCGCGATTTTGTAAATATCATTTTATATTTTATCTCTTGTCAACGTCGTCATGGACTACCTGCATCCCCAGACGCCGTCGCCGGCTTCCATTTCATCACCCCGCGATGCTCGAGCGTTCGAAATCACTATCGCTGCCATCATGCTCGATGTTGATGTCATACAACACAGCACAATAGCGTCTTGTCTATCATGACTGGCCGGCAAGCGAACACATCGACCATCAAACGCGGATATCATTTCTCTCGAGATCCCAAGTACATCCGCACGTGGCGCCCCAGACGGCAGCACGCATTGTTCTTCGCATTCCATCTGTTGCGTCATTGCTCCTTTTCCCTCCAGACGGTTCCATCATCATCGACGCCTCTTCGCTGACGATAATCAGCGCCAACCACGCCAGGGTCTCAATATGGTGGGAGCGGGGATTCCTCACGGGCCTTGTCGGCAAGTGGTGCGGTTGATTGCTCTTTCTTGCCAGTCGGGCTCTTATTTACCTCGTCCTCATCCGCCGATTTAAGCTGGGTTGACGCCTCGCCAGCTTCCTCACTCACACCTGATGTCCGGCATTCGTCATATTTCCCCGCCTGCTTCGACCGCGTCCCCCGTCCCCGTCCGGTGCTTCATATGCGCCGTCGGCCGTCTGATAACAGCCCTATCCAGATCCAGCTCCGAGGGCGGCAAGGCCGAGTCTTCCTGGCTCTCCTCGACAAGCGCACTCAATGAGTGCGGCGCAGCCCTTGCCCTCCGCTGAAGCCGCAACCCCCCAGGCACGAACGCCCGCGCCCTCGCATCCAGAAGCCCACCTCCTCCACCGCTACCACTAGCGCGCGCTTCCCCTCGCCGCCGAAGCGTCACCTCTTCAGCTGGTGCAGACGAGTCCCCCGAAGCTTCCTTGCATATCCTACGCAGCTGGGATTTCAGCGCCTCTTTAACCTCTTCTTTTAGGTCGAGCGCCTCGGCCCCCGCTGTCGGCTCGCTGCTGACCTCGCGCTCTTGCTCTTCTACGCCCATGCCCCCGCTATTAAACCTCTCCGCTACTACCGCCCCCGCCTCCAATGCCACTGCCCTAGTCCCCACACCCGCACTCCCACTCTTACCCTCACCCTTCCCCTTACCCTCACCCCTACCCTTCTCCGTCCCCGTCCCCACACCCCCCTCCAGCCCCCTAACCCACTCCTCCTCGCACCCAGGACACAGCCCATCCCTAACAACAAGCACAGGCTCCATGACGACGCGCTCGCAGTAGCGGCCGCCGCCGGCGTGGAAGCAATGGCGCGGTGGGAGCGGGTAGATGCACCCGCAGAGGGCGAAGCTGAGTTGCGATGTTATGCACATTTGGTTTGTGGTTTGGTTTGGTTTGGTTTGGTTTGGTTTGGGGATGGGGTAGGGTTGGTGTGAATGGGGTGGAGGGGTGTTTTATTGAGGGGGGTTGTTTGTGTGAGGTGGGGATTGTGGATCGAGATTTTAGTGGGTACATATGTGTGTGTGTGTATAGCTGACTATTTGGGTGTAAGGGTGCGTGTTTGGATGGTGGGGGTGTGGTGTTCATAGATTAGGTAGGTACTAGATCTCGCATGGTGGTCTTGGATTCCATGCTCCGGGAGAGATGTCGGCGGTAGTGGCGGGCATGGGGTAGGGAAACTTACAGTAAACACGTTTGCTGGGTGTATTGGTGTGTGTTTGCGCTTGTGTTTGCAGCTGTTTGTTTGTTTCTTTACTTTCTTTGCTTGTTTGCTTGTTTGCTTGTTTGCTTGCTTGCGTGTCAGTGCGTACCAAACACGATACCCAAATCGAGAACAGTGAACATTGATCTGAAATCTTTGAGGCGATCTGATCATCTGTTGCCACTTGCCAGCATTGAGGCCTTGCTGCTGGCATGGTAGATGGAGTGGTTAAGCTATGCGGGATGGTTGTGTGTTGTGGATTGCCTATGAGCAGTAAGAGTCTGTGTTATTTGTTCCTGTTGTACGTGTGCTGTTTGCTTTGGGCTGTATTGTGATTGGTACTGGGATGTGGTCTCTTTGTTATGCTTGGGAGGTACTGGCTTCTGTTGCTGGTGATGATGGTTGGGATATGCTTTGATGCCTCGGATTCGGAAGCAGGGTTTACATGGTTTGCTTCATTATTCATATTCCACTAACGAATAGGCAGCTACGATGCCTACGTCCTTGCTAAATCAAATAGCAATGATATTTTGGAACTTGGTAACTGGTATTTAAGGGCAAACCCCTCTTGAGTTCAGCTTCAACTGCGAGGTGCATAGCCACCTGCGGGTGCTTACTATGGAAAACTTTTACATTCAAAACCTATTCGCTGGGGGGTCCGTATCCTTATTATAATTAGCTCCTGCGCCTTTACTGCGACAGTGCCATACTTGTTGTTACTAGAATAATTAATCATGCTGTTATGGTGGTGATGAGTAGCATTGCTGCGTATAGGTGTGTATTAGCAGTTGTTTGCAGTGCTAGCGATGATATTAGGTCAGTGTTGGGAACTATTTTCCTTCTTGGAGCAGTGCTCCCTCTTGCCTAGGGCGGATGGAAGTCTATGGATTTGACTTATTCACCGCTCGCTTTAACTGCTCTTTTATCTCTTTAACAGTTTTTGCTTCCGATCAGGTAGCGTCATCATTTGCTGATCAGAGACGCCAAAACCTCCTTAACAACCACGCTTCGCCATAGTCTTGCAGTTAGTCCGGAACCTAGGAACGTAGAACACTGCGGACTGATTGATTGTGTATGGTCGCATGAGTACACTTTCGCCGTCATTGACCAAGTCGAAAAGATTTACCGAGTCGATGGATACGTTTATGGGTATGACGGCAAGCAATGGCAAATTACCACCCACTTCATTAAACTTGTCAGGGACCTTCACACCGACAGGGTGCGCTTGTTTCGAATCTGCTGATTTGTTGATAGAAGCATCGTCTCGAGGTAGTGTGTATCCGACGATGAAGTTTTAGCAGATCAATTTAGTAGGGGTCGAGTTAATTCCCACCCCAAGATCTGCTATTTTCCATTCCGACCCCGCCACCAGCCTAAAACGGTAAAGAACCTAGCCAAGAGTTAACTTAGCGATTACAACGCGTGTTCGCACAACATCTTCGTCTCGTATATAATAACCACTACCTCTCCGCATCTCTATACTATAATAGCGGGTAACAGGCGGAGAAGCGGCGAAAAAGCGAGCGTGTAGCACGCACAGGCTCTGCGAGGCAACTTTCTACCAGAGCGTTACTTTATTAGGCGGGTAGTAGAGTTGGAGTTGAAAATAGCAGATGTTGGGATGGAAATTAACTCGAGCCATTTAGCAAATGCAACAGCTGCTCGAGAGCCATGGATAGTCCTCAAATATGAGGAGATACTGTCATTGTATACGGCACTGTATATCTCTTCTAAGCTTTGCCTTCGTTGGCGGTTTCTGCGGTCGGAGTGGATAGTGACTAGAATTTTTTTTTTAAAAAAAAAGTTACGGACTAGGAGTATATTAGAATGGTGATGAAGAGCAGTAACGCTCTGTGAAGATGTATACCAGCATCTTTAGACCATATACAGCTATATAAAAGTACCGAGCAGCATGTTGTGATAAGTGGCGGGCATGCTTGTGAATTAAACCGTATATCACCCTTTAGTGACTGGCAATGCTTGCCAATAGTTCGGTATAGCTATAGGTAGCTAAGCGATAAACACATAGCCGTGGTTGTACCGGAAAGGTATCTATCAGTGATGCGCTTTAGCTTTATAGTTGTGATTCTATAGACAGTGGGATTATAAAACGCATGAGAGTAGCGAGCTAAGTGTTCGCTTAGTAGAAAGTTGAATGCATACTTACGCCACGGCATCAGAGCCGGCTACAAGGTTAAGCCGTATACAAATATGCTCGACACCAGGATCAGGTCGGTTATGAATACTAGTAACACTGACGGATAAGCTAAGCCTGAGCGATAATACGGTTATAGTTCCCCTTTGCTGTTACCGGTTGGGACCAAGACTTTGTTCCTATCGGTAGTGCAGCTGGTAATACCTGATATAGTGAATTTAGTTATATTGCTAATCAAGGGTGGCGACGTTGGGTCTAGGAGTTTAAAGATACGGAAATGCGGACGGTAGAATTTATAAAGGAAAACGTGTCGGATCTTCTTACTATAGAAGATGGTAGTGTCTATGACCGGCAGGCAAGTTACTATCTAGTAAGATAGTGAAGGATACAAGCGGTCCCTATAGAACAATACCTCTCTAGCTACATAACTAAGTCCTAAATATAAGTAAGAAGATCTTAGAATGTACACAAACCTCGTGCATCATAAACTATTCTGGATACTCACAGTACCAGCAGCAAGAAGAACCGCATATACTCAGAACAAAACAAGGCCTCATTCTCCTTCTCAATACCATCGTGCAGAAACCACCAGACCTCATTAGAGTTATAAGCGCCTACATTACCATCTATCCGCAATCCGAAACACCTACGAACCGGACACTAGCCTCTTCAAAAAGATAAGCGCTATTACGGACTAAATGCCTACTAGACACAGTAATAACTAAAGAAACATCGATATAGATACTTCAGAAGTGTAATAAAGCGCGCAGATACTCCAACTCGATAGAATGAAGCACGCTGCTCTATTGAACCAGACGTCCAGCCCGGTGTATTTACCTACTTAGTAGATCCAAGCGCGGAGATTCCTCCGCCTTCCACGACCAACGAAAATGCACGCCTCAAGTCACCAAGAGATTTTCTTATGCAAGCTGGAACAAGACGGGGCTTCTAGACGTAACAGGCATGCCAAAATGCGAATGTATAGCAAACGCTTTAGTTTCCCTATTTTAGGTAGATTCGTATAGGCAGTCTTGCAGCGACCATCAAAGACATTCCCGGTTACTGCGGGATATCCTTTAGTAGTACTGATAACGAGCATCACTATCAGAGTAAAATATACGGTTCAGGTTTTTTAGGATAGATTGCGTGTTGCGTCCCTACTGACGAGGAAAGGAGACACCCCTTCCCATGCTGCTGTAATGAAATGACAGTACGGACTCAAATAAGTAGTATCTGTTGTCGTCTTCTCTGCTGCCCGGCACCGTTAACATAGCTGTCATCGTGGCCGGTAATTATAGCGAAGAACAGTGAGGGTGCTAGGCTCACTAACGGCGCGAGCTGAAATGATAGAGCGGTCATTACCCGCGCATCGACGTCGTACTCGGGGTTTTAGAAGCAGCACGAGAAGCTGAGCGCGCTGGTGCGCGTTTAGTTGGATAGGTAACTCAGTAAGCACAGACGGACCTAGTGGGTTAAACCACCATATCTTTATAGGTTTTACGATTTCTTTTCCGCGCTCTTGATGTATCGGAAGTGTGCTAGACCGTCACTTGCCAGTTTTGTGCACTCTGATAGGCGGTGTTTGAGCAGTGTTACTTGGTAACTACTACCCTCTAACCCATATGCTTACCTTATCTACTCTTGACTTACTCCTACCGCCTACAACCGCGTCGCCTCTAAATCCCAGGCGCAAAAGTTTCCGAAGCATAAAGCCTGCAGCATGGAAGCGCACATCGCAACCAAACGTGTGTGGTGTGCCAGGCGGGGCAAACAAGTCCGATAGAAACAAAAAGCATCTTCATATTCTCAAGCGACCAGATACACGCAACAAACAAAACGGTTTCTACCGTCATCAGTAATGAGGCGACCGATCAGCCGATGTGATGTAGGTCTGGACAACGTGACTGGGTAGTATTGCAGGCCGCCAACCCCGCGCCACAGCGCGCGACCAGGGCATACACGTGTTTTGCAGCAAACAAGCAAGTAAGCCAACGTGGGCGGAAAGTGCGAGTTTTGCTTTTGGGGTCGGCTGTTCGGTCGACCGGACGCAGTGGGAATAAGCGTTTGCAGCTCGACATCCCGAGGCGCGGTCGAGCGAGTTCCGACTGGTCTGTATGCTGCACACCTGCAGCTTTCCCGCAGCTCTGTTTGTAGCTGGAACAGCCTTTTGCAGTGGGGTGGACGTGCTTCTTGTATAGTCAGTCCTTGGTCATGTTTTGTGATTTGGATTGATTGCCGTCCGGTCATAATTGGCGTCTACTATAGGTCTGAGTCTGACCATAGTCTGCGCATGAGCGCGACATGAACGGACATGAGTGAATCAATCGCGCATCGGGCACCGGAGAATTTCAAGCACTGCTAGATCCGCACTAGATATTCAGAGAGCCTGTGCTCGCACGTGCGCAAGGCTGAGCCACACACGTCTAAACAACCAAACGGCCCTCTCGTTATGCGTTTCGTTTCAACCCGGGGTGGTACGGCCGCAACGTCCGTGTGGGGTCCGTTGGCTTCATTACGGGGCGAGAGACTCTCGCCATTCGAGCATGCGCCTGTTGCCTAGCACTCTCGAGAATCGGCAACTCACTGCCGTGGAAGCACCCATGCGCGCGTACAGGGCGTGGCGTTTCAAACGCCGGTGCTGCAGTGCGCTGCATGTGGGGGCGGGGTATTATAGCCAAGTCAATCTCGCCGTAATGACAGACAGACGGACCTACATGTACTGCGGCTCAGAGACAAGGGCTGAATGTGCTTGAGCTTGGCATCTGATGTCTGTTGGAAGAGGTAGGTCTAGGTCCAGTCGGGCAATTCTTGGATAGGAGCAGGGATGTCTAGACATGCAAAAGAAAAGCGGGGAATAGGACGAAAAGAAACAAAATAAATGAAACAAGATTGTTCTTGTCGTGGTACCAGCAAAGAGGCGTTCATGCTGCCATGCGCTGTAACTCAATATGGAGGCCGGTGTATCCATGTGCGAGTATGTTGATCTGCTGCCATGACGCTGGGGAATTCATCCAGATCCAAGGCCACTCGGCAAGGCAGGGATATCCATACCGACGCAGCGTTTAGCTCTCGTGGACATTGCAAGGTTTTAGATAGGCTCACACAACCGGCCGTTTGACTATACAACCCACGATCCTTGGGACAGGCGAGAGCTTGCTCCGTATAGTCTAGAAGCACCAGAGCCAGCCGGACGGACCTTGGTCGTGCCTGTGCGATGAGAGCCACGTTGGGAGTGGTCGCGCAAGAGTGGCCAGGCTGCGGCCCTTCCCGAGCGGATGAAGCAGCCATATGCCTCCAGCGCCGATGAAAACGGGCTGCGCACGTAGACCGTGCGCCCTCCGTCTACGGATAAATGAAAGCTGGCCTCGTGGTACAGTGAAAGGGGGTTCTCTAGGGCTCTTTTGCGCGTACGTGCACCGCAGACGGGGTCCCATGGCAGTCCTGATCAGGCGGCGTCGACAGGAAATTATGGCAAACGCAGGAGGAGCTGGTGGAAATCCGTTGGGAGGACTGTTTCTTTTTTTGAATTTGATTTTTTTTTTCCGCCCACTGCCAATCTCGGGAGTGGGTGACACGTCCCCCGGGATCCTTGCGGGCTCCGGACGCTCCCGCCGAAGGACTGGACGGAATTGGGTAAACGGCGTTTGGAAAAATCTCAAAGGACATAGTTCCGGCCCGTTTGCGGAGTCCGGGTGACCGGGCGGGATAGATGCTCGCAGCAGAAGCCGACGCGCATTTGGACGCGTCAAGTCAGAGGTCGAGAGCGGAAGGGGAAGGGCGAGGCGCAGAGCCCCCTAGGCGGACAACACATCGCTGATGTGAGTGTAGGAGCGCATGATGATCGGCCGCACGTCTTTTCTCGCACGGTCGGCTACGTCAGGGCAGCACGAGGCTTGCTTGGAACACGACAACGGCCGCCATCACTTAGGCCGGCGGGCGGACGCTTGCTGCTTGCGCTCATGTAATCCACCTTAAACCCGTTCTCTCCCGCCTGCACTCTCTCTTCCCTCTCTTAATGTTTATCCCTCTCCCCACCATCACAACAGCTGATCCTCGCTTGCACTTCCGCGCCTACCCAGGCGCACGCCGCCATGTGGCAACGCACCAAGCACAACAGCAAGGTCGGCTTCGACAAGCTGTGGGGTTGGGCCGACAAGCTGGGCGCTCCCGTCAACAACTTGTCCAACAAGCTAGGCTCCGAGGCCTTCTGGCCCACGTCGCTCGACAAGGAATGCGACAAGGCCGCACGCATCCTCAGAAGTTTCTGCAGTGAGTACCTACCCCACGGATCCCGCCGGATGCTCCCGCTGACCCTGGGCCAGAGGATGGCTTCTATGAGGAACACGCCGGCGCATCCGCCGACGGCCCGAAGCAGAAGCAGAAGGTGCTCAAGAGTATACCAACTGAAGTACAGCCGTCAGACCCTGCCCACGCCGCCAATTGCTAACTTCAGCCTTCCTAGGTCATCCGAAATGCAAAAGGCCTCGCCATCTTCACCACCATGCGCACCGGCCTCTGGGTCTCGGGCGCTGGCGGCAGTGGCATCATCATCGGCCGCACCGAAGACGGCACCTGGTCCCCTCCTTCCGGCATCCTCCTCCACACCGGCGGCCTCGGCTTTCTCGTCGGCGTCGACATTTACGATTGCGTTGTCGTCATAAACACCGAAGCGGCGCTCGAGGCTTTTACCAAGGTTCGATGCACTGTCGGCGGCGAGGTCAGCGCGGTTGCCGGGCCGATGGGCGTGGGCGGCATCTTGGAAACGGAGGTGCACAAGAGGCAGGCTCCAGTATTCACATACCTGAAATCGAGAGGTTTCTACGCGGGCGTGCAGGTCGACGGTACCGTGGTGATAGAAAGGACAGACGAGAACGAAAGGTTCTACGGTGAAAAGATTGGGTGTGCAGACATTCTCGCAGGGAAGGTCGCGCACCCACCGTACGAGACTAAGGCCTTGCTGGAGACCATCAGGGCAGCGGAGGGAGGAGATGACATTGACAACAGCTTGGTGCCCTCGGAACCGCCACCAGGCGACTACGAAATGGAGAGCGAACCCGCCGACCCGAACGGGCACGTCTTCGGCATCCCGGACATGGAAGACCCCGACCCGTTTGGAGTTCTTGCTCTGGAGAAGCAAGGTTTACACATTATTGAAGCTGGCACGAAACGACGGCCCGATAGCACCGTGTTCGAATTCCATCCCAGTCCGGCGAGTCCCATTTTCAGCGCATTCAGCCGACGTAGTGTGGATAGCAAGAGCTTTCGGGACAGCAGGAGCGCCAGCCGGAGGAGCAGCTGGAGAACCAGCACTCTCAGCACCATGGATCGGAGCATACAGACTTGCACCACCGATATGGCCACTCAGACGGACTTTGACTCGCCAGCCGTGTCTATTTCTAGCCCAAGGCCTTCCGAGTCGCCTAACCGGGCGGCGATGGCGGAGATTCCAGAGGACGAAGAGATCAAGATCTCCGAGCCGGCACAGGCAGTTGTGGCCGAGAACATCACCGCGGAGCCCGAAGAGGAGAGCGAAGTCGAATCCGAAGACGAGGATATGACTGACGGCCTGAAGCCGGAAGAGGAGAAGAGGGAGGTGCCGGAGGGACACGCGCTGGTTCGGCAGGGATCTGTCCTGCCCTATGGAGAGGAGGATGCTGTGCTCGAGGAGCCGGTTGTGCACCAAGTCCAAGCTCCTCAGGCCATTCGCGCAAGGCTCGTGACGGTCACCAAGCCGACGGCGCCCAAGCTGCCCCCTAGGAACCCTGGCCGTAACAGGAAGGGTCCTCTTGTGATCAACGCTGATCCCCTGAACTCCGACTTCATGCCCAAGGAGCAGGCCACGAGCTCTTCGCCGCGCACGCCGCAGTCCCTTTCCGAGAAGCCTTCGGTCAGGACTGACAGTGCTTCGTCCATCAGCTCGCGCGACTCGGTGTCTTCGGTGGAGGCCATGGAGGCCATGACGCAGCGCGTGAGCAAGATCTCGATGGTCAGCGGCGATGAGAAGAAGAAGTTGCAGAGCGACTCTGAGAGCGCCATTGAGAGCGATTTTGAGAGTGACGATGAAGAAGATGAGAAGAAGGTCGAGGAAAAGAATGACGAGGTCAGCACCAAGCAGCTGCACGCGCGCCGCGAATCGGACGAATTCCACACAGTTCCGGCGACACCTGAAGACCGGGCGGCGAGCCCGCTGAAGAAGGTCCCTTCGCAAGAGGATTTCTCGTAGCGGTCCAATCACCGCCACAAGCGTAGAAGCTTGCTATTTCTTTTTCTCATTTTACGTCGTTGATACTTACTCAGACTTACTAAGCGGGGACCGCGTTGGGCGCTAGGGAGCACAAACACACTCACACTCACACACACTCTTCAATGATATCTCGTCTCATTTCATCACTGGGAAAGGGCTGGGTCTTTTTTGGGGGGGTTATTGCGGCCTTTGTTTTTTGTTCGGCGAGACAGATACACGCAATCACGGCCGCCACGCTGCCTTTGGGTTAAGGAGCGTTCGGGACACGAATGGGTGGGTGGGATGGTTGGATGGTTGGTCGTTGGGGTAATCTTGATAATTTGTGGGGATTGGATGGTTGGATTAATGGTGTCCTTCTCCCTCTCTCATCACTACTACCTCTTCCTTTCGATTTCATACCGAGACCTGAATTCTTATGACGATGTTTTCTTTTCTCGTTGACGTTCTCCGCTTCTCTTCTTTTCTGTTATTGTTTTCAAATGACGCACGAATCTTGCCTACGTAGAGAGCTTGGCTTGGTGGGTTTTCTTTTTCCTCTTCTTTTCTGGCACGAAGGGATCTCAGGGAAGAGACGCCGATGACGGATGGATGGATGGATTGGATGCGTGCTTGCTTTCGCTCCTCTAATGGATGACCTAGCTACGTAGTATGTAGCTGTACCTAGCTACTCCTACTCCGAGTTTCTTTTAGTCGATGGCGCAGAACAGCCTCCAGCTACAAATAGCTAGATAGCCAGCCAGCCAGCCAGCCGGTCGTCGTCGTCGTCGTGCAGGCGAGCGAGCGGTATGCGATAAGATGCGAAGTAGCTCTATTCAGCGGACAACGTAAAACGCACAACGTAGCGCACAGCGCACAAGCAGTGACTCGTCCCTGACCGCAAGAGCGCCTATGTATGCAGATCGACGCGGACGCGAACACAGACGACGATCGCGGCGGTGGTGATAGTTGCACCGCCGCCGCCGCCGCCGATGGTGACGGCGCCAGGCGACGCGGCGCGCCGCGCGACGTACCTACCCACCTACCCACTGTATGGATGGACCTAACCTACCTAGGTAACCCCAACTCCGCCTGTCTCCGGCGGTCACCACCGTCACCACCGTCACCCACTGTCGCGAACTAGCTAACTACCTAGGTAAGCAGCAGCCCACTGGCTGTGTGCTGTGTGGGTGCGGCCCTTTCACCGCTCTAAGGCATGTCAGCACGCACGCACGCACGCACGCACGCACGCACGCAAGCACGCAAGCCGTGGGGCGTAGGGCTGTAGGGCGTGGGGCGTAGGGCTGAGCCGAACCGGGTTAAGGCGAGTCGAGTCGAGTGCACTGTATGGGTGGGTGTATAAATAACGTGCTGGGCAGGTAAGTCTGTATGTATGCGTATGTACGGCGGCGGCGGCGGGCGGGGTGTGGGGATTGGATTGAATGGGCGATATTGGGCGTCCGGGGAGGGGGGCCTGGGTACGTGTGCGGTGGGCTTGATTGGTGCGTGCTGTGCGAGAGAGAGAGAGAAGGCTGGTGGCCGTACGTGTATACGTAGATAGGTACATACAGGACCTTACCCCGGGCTCCGCGGAGCGCTGTTTCCTGTGGTGAGCGTGCTCACCGTCTTCTGCTGCTGCTTGTTGTGCTGGTTGTTGTTGTTGTTGTTGTTGTTGAGGTTTTGTGATTGTGGTTGCGGTTTGAGGGCCTTTTGTGTGCACGATACTGTACTGTACCTACATAGGTAGTGCTGCGCACAAGCGCGCTCATACAGAGGCGACATAGACCGAGTGAGTGAGCTAGCTAGCATACAGTAACGCCGTAGGCCCATCCTCTCTCACTCACGCACTCAAACAACCACGCATCCAGCGCCACTGAGTCTCAAGTCTCATATCTCATGTCTCGCGATGGTGTGTGCGCAGCTCCCCGCCACGTCCGCCGCCTGCCTAGGTGCCTGCCCGCCTGCCTGCCTGCCTGCCTGTCGCCGATCCCCACGTAGGGCTGGCCGGGATAATTCCTAAGCTTACTTGCACACCCCGGCCCTGGCCTACCACGTATGTATGTATGTATGTATGTATGTACATGCGTATCTGTCACGTCTTTCTTTCTCTTTCTCTTTTGCTCTTTCTCTCTCGCTGACTCTCTCGCTCTCGTTCGCTCGCTTTCGCTCCGCGGACAGAACTGCCCTATCGTCGCTGTTGGATAGGAAAATCGTAGAAGTAAGTCGTAAGTCGTCATCGTAGATCATCCCCGATGTCCCCGCAATCGCCGTGCCCTGCCGTAACCGCGTGTCCGTAATCGCCGTCGTCGTCGTTGTGGCTGTTGCAGGCGCAGCACTCTTTGCCTGTCTGCCTGTCTGCCTGTCCGCCTGTCTGCCTGTCCGCCTGTCTGTCTGTCTGTGTGTGTATGTATGTATGTGTCTTTGTAGGGAATAGAGTGCATGGATACGTCGTCGTCGCTTCCGAGTCAGCGGGCGGCCGAGACGGTCAGCCAGCCCCCACGCTGGGTTGGACAGCTCATACTACATATTGCACGGTGGCAGGGCGTCACGAGAGCGCGGGCGCGGTGGCGGGGGATGAGTGAGTGGTAGGGCGAGTGTGTTCTCTGAGTCTTTCGTTCTCACGGTATGTGGGTGGTTGCGCAGTCTGGGTATCGATTTCGCAGACCGCCTGCAGAGCGCGAGGACGGCCATAGCATACATACAACATACATACAACACCGGACGGGCGGCTTGGCGCGAGGAACTGCCCTCCTGCGGGGTCGGTAAGGTTGGTTGGGCGTTCGCGCGACGTTGCCTGCGTACGTGTTTGTAGGCTCATCGGCAGCGGCGTGCCGGCCGCTGGACGTGCGACCTGGGCCCGGGGTCGGGGGCCTCGCATCCATGTCTTGCATTATTTTTTCCTTTTATTTTTCCTCCCCTTCCCTTCCTAAAGTTCCCCGCCGCCGCCTTATTGCCCTGCCGCCTGCCGTGCTGCGTGCGGTTGCCCTGCGTAACACCCCCCTTCGCCGAGCTGTGACTTATGTTTGTCCACTATGTAGTGTTTTTCTCTGAGGCTCAAGGGGGCGCCCACCTCCGGCTTGGGAATGTGTTTATTTGTTTGCGTGGTGGAGCCGCAACGCCAGACTCTCTCTACCTCTCTCTCTCTCTCGTATGTGTGTGGCAGGGTAGTGGGGCCAAGATGGAGAGAGAGATGCGAGATGCAGAGAATGCTGCTCACCGTCAGCAGGCAAATTGTACGGTGAAGACGGTGTATCAGCAGGCCCGCCAGTCTAGAAGTCTCGAAAGTCTACGACACCAGCAGGTACTATTATTAGCGTGTCTCACACCGCACACGATGTTTCAATACTCGAGGTAGTTTGCGGGCAGTCGACTGCGGTGCGGTGCGATTATTCACCCGGCGTATTCTCACGTAACGAGATGCTGCGCCCCCCCATCTCGTCGCAAGCTCCACTCGGTCGTCGGCCGTTTCTTTTTTGCTGCTGGGTGAGATGTCATCATGGGATGTGATGGCGGGAAGGCGGGAAACGGCCTAGCGCGGACCATTTTCTCACACCTACTCGATCTGTCAGCCGCGCCACCACCACAAACGCTATTCGCAAACGCCCTCGGCGCGGCCGTTTGACCAGCCCCCTGATCCCCGCGCGCCCGCCGCCTTGGAATGAGGGGTCCCAGTGCCGCGGTAAGGATGGGGCTCGCGGATCTTGCTTGGTCTATCAGCTGAAGGCGCGGGAGAGATCAGAAAGAGAGGCTCTTGCGAATTAACAGAGTCGGCCTGACGATGATGACGGCCGGCCGCTCGACTCACTGCCTGCCTGCCTGTCCTGCATCTGCACCTGCACCTGACTGCCAACGGTCGACGCGGCGGACATCTGCAGCCCTATCTTGGAGCCATCTCTACCGCTGACCCTGGTCGAGAGCATGCACCTCGACCTCCCGCCGCGTTGCCTGACAGCGGCCTGCATCATGCACGTCGTAGGGCAGCCTGCCTGCCCCAGAGCCTCTTCCAACCCTCCTTCTTGCGCATACTAATACTCACACGATAGCTATATAAGACTGCCGCCTGGCCGCTAGTAGGTAGGTCTCTACTTCTCCATCATCACTGCCAATTCCAGCTTGCCCAAGTTTGCTCTTTCTTCTCTCCTCAACTATCATCACTACCGCCATATCTCGGACCATTACTTCCAATCTACCTTCTCACCTCACCTTTCTCAATCCTCCCACAAGCACAATGTGCTACCAAGTCGTCGAGCGCTACGCCGTCTGCCGCTGCCTCTACCACAAACACGCCATCGACCCCTGCGCGCAATATGGGCAATACGGGCACAGCGTGCAGGAAAAGACCGTCCTAGTCGGCTACGCCTGCTCCGTGCATGCCAGCCGCAGCGCCGCCTTGTCCACTTCCAGCTTCTCCCACAGCTTCTGCTCCGACTTCACTTCCTCCGAGCTCTACGCTTCCCCCGCCGACAACGACGGCGACTTCCTTAACGACTTCAACATACTCACCCACGCCGCTCCAGCACCTGCACCAGCTCCACCTGCCCTCCCAGCTCCACCAACCCTCTTCCCAGACCCGGGCCACGCCAGCACGGGAGCGGCCTTTGAGCTCGAGCCCGAACTCTCCTGCCACCGCTACCGCCGCTTCTAGAGCAAAGGCTAAATCCAGAGGCCGATCCAGAGCGCGCGACGCCGACAGCGGACGTGGTTGTGGTTGTGGATGCAGTGGTGGTGGACGTGGAGTGGTGCAAGCGGGAGCATCTTAGCGACACCCTAGCGGCGGGACTCCTACAGTAGCGGCACGGCGGCTTCGGAGCGCATCAGCGTCAGTCTCGGCCGGCCGGGGTCGGCAGCGCAGGTTCGGCCGCCCGATGCGATGGCGACACCTACCTATACTCGTAGCTCCGACTGGGCGGGCCTCCCTAGGCGAAGAGGAGCTTGGTGCCCGCGGCTAGGGCTGGTGCCTTGGTGGCTTGCGCCATCTGAGGTTCCGTCCCCGCATGACGTACTGTACGGCGAGGGGTGCAGGGCTGGGCGGTCAGGTGCGCGCTTCTTTGGGGCATGCTTGTTTGGCGTTCGGGTAGCTGGGTTTATGCCTGTGGTTCGTGGGTTGCGATACGGTTACGATGCGTTCCGAGCGAGCGAGCGATTGCTTCATCTTACCCTCTCTCTCTGTGTGTGTGTTTGGGGCGGAGCGAGGGCGTTGGCATGGGCGTTTGGGCGTCGGGGAGAGCGATTGGTTTGGTTGCTGAAGTGCTTACATCGGAGTCATTGCATTGCATTCTTCACCTATCTGTCTTTTTTGGCTTTCGGCTTTCATTGGATGGACTGCACGGACTGGACGGATTGCGCGGTGAGGGTTTGGGGTGTGGTTGCGAGGTGCGTTGTCGGACGGGTATTCTTTTTGTTCGTTGAGCGCTCATGGCTTGCTTGCTTGGGTTGGGTTTGTAGGAGCTTGGGACACACAGTTACTCTCCCGCGTTTGGGCATGGGCATGGCGTCGGGCATTGCATTGCATGGATCGCATGGCATGGCACGGCATTGTTTCTTTCCTTTCTTTCTTCCTTTTCTCCTTCTTTATTTCCTATCATTCTATTTTCTATCCCCTCTTTCTTCTCCTATCTCCTTACCAACTATTTACTTACTGTCCTCACCTGTCTTACAATGACGTTCCCGAGTTTGTCAGCTAGAACTACTCTAATCACTTACTTACCTACTTACCCACTCGCACACATACGTACACACGCACGTACGCATGCACGCACGCACGCATCACGCTCAGATGACACGAACCCGATGCCCACAGTACTCTACCACCACACCAAGCCCCTCCGTTCCCTCTTCACCCCCTTCTCCTCTCCTCCCTCTTACTCGCTGCCAGCCCAGGCAGACACAGACAGCAACCCCTCGTATTAAATCTGCAGCGTCCCAGTCCGCCATCCCGCTGCTTAATTGCAGCTGGTGCAGCGAGAAAGCGAGTGAGTGCGTGAGTCATCCGCCCAACTGCCCATCGGCTGCCCCGTCCCGCGTCGACGCTATGCTCGTTGCTGACGCACTCCCGGGGCGTTTGTCAGCAAGCAGCGAGGCGGGGCGCACGCGCGCGCGGCACGCGACGCTGATTACGGACGGATGCTGGGGAGGTGCTTGATTGGTGGTGGATTGATGGGCGGGTGTTAATCAGTCACGCCTCTGCGTGCGTGCAGGCTCGTCTTCATGCGCTCGGAGTCCTGCGTCGAAGTCTAAATCTATCATCATCACTCATTCTCCCTCCCGTACATACATCCATGGACACATCCATAGGTAGGTACCCTGGCTATCGGGTTATTGGGCAAGCGCGCGTATCGGGCTTTACAAATACCTAGGCGTAACTACAGCTATCCTTGCCTATAGGATGGGCCTACCTACCTACCTATCTAGCATATCCCCAAACCGTCCATTTTACCTTAGCTACCCAACCCAAACCGCAACCCAAACACATACCTAAAGCGCAACCGACCCCAACCACCACCACTACCACTACAGTCACAGCACCTTCCTCTCTCTACGTCCCCCCTCCCTCCGCCCGGTACCTCCGTCTACCTCGGTCGTCTCCGCCACCCTACACACGACACTAACGCTTTTAGCCCCGCCGTTTTCTGCCCGCCGCCAGAGTACTCTGCTCTGCAGGCATTATCCCGTCGTCCAGCCAGCCAGCCAGCCAGCCAGCCAGCTGTCCCGCCCCGCGCGCGGGAACGACGCCACCGGCGCGGCGCGTCTGTTGACCGGCTGGTCGGCCGAGGCTTGGGGGCGAGGCGAGGCGAGGCGGCTACAGCGGCGCGCTAAGTCGGCTGCGAGGCTGCGTGGCTGCGTGTGGCGGGACCCTGGATTGTTGGTTGCGTGGGGTTGCGGGAAGGGGGTAGAAGGGTTGTGGTTGTGATGGGTGGAGGGGGAGGGGTTGCGAGGCTAGAGGAGGGATTGCTGGTTTGGTATTTTGGGGTTGTCTTTTTTGGTGGATGCTAACTGGGTGGGTATTGATGGGTTGGTGCGTATTGAAGGGTTGCGAACTTGATGGGAGGGGTTATGGTGGGGATGGTGATGGAATTCGGCGAGGGGATGCGGGGAAGGATGGTGATGAAAAACGTCCTGTCTTCGCGACTGCTTGGAATTATTTTCATCACCACCATCCCCGCACTCTCTTTCCATCGCCCACCAGGAACATCCCACCACCTCCCATCTATCCCCTCCACCACGCTCCCGCAAGCACATCCCCTCTATCCAACTCCGCCCCGCGCCTCCCAAATGACGTAGCTACATAGCGCGCACGCGCCCCCGCCGACACGAGGGCGCGCACACGCGAAGGATCCCCCCTCCGATCGCCGTAGGCCCGCCCCGGCGGAGTCGCGCGTGCCTGCTTGGCAAAGGATCGCGAAACGCGCCGTTATGTTATTTATAGCAACGTCGAGCTCGAGTCGCAAGCGTGCGTATCACCATCGTATCGCGTCGCTAATCGCTGGCCGGGGCGTGTCAATGCCGCGAAGATCAGGCAGACGGACGCTGATCACAGGGCTGGTCGCTGGCGGGGAGATTGAGGGCGGGGCTGGCTGCCTATGTATGCGGATTGCGGTCGTAAGGGCAATACGTACGATGGGAGGCGCTACGCGCGTCGTTGGGCGTTGTTTGGACTTGTTCTTGTGGTGGTGGCGGTGTCGTCAGTCTGTCCGTTTATGCATCTGTTCATCCCCCCGTGCCATCTCGGTCTTCGTACCCGCCTTCGCGCCTCCTACCTTTCTTGTACTTCACCGTCGTATCCCTATCCATCCATCCGCGTGCCTACATACCTGCATACGTACGTACCTCCCAGCAGCAGCAGCAGCCCAACACGAGGCACACGCCGCAAACACAATCTCTCTCTCCCCTCCTCTGTCTCTCTCTCTCTCTCTCACTCCCGCAGCACGCAATAGATACGACACGACCCCCCTCACCCCCAGCAAGCCGTATAACCGCCCAACATCCAATCCGTACATATACGCATGTCAATAAACACAGCCACATATCAAATACCCCGCCCCAAACCCAACCCAACCCAATCAAGCACAGATACATATGCCTATCGAATCAGGCCCCAACGCGTGCGGCATAGCGCAGTGCAGACATCCAGGCAGCTTCGGCAACTCTTTTACCGCTCGGGCAGCAACAACCATGCCGCCAACGCCAACAGCGCCGCCTCCACTCCATTCCTCCGTACATACGCACACACACAGCCGCGTCTGTCGTGTGCCATAGCGACGCACGCGCTGCGCTGGCTGTTCCCAAGGAAAAGCGGCCGGATACGTGGTCGCCAAAAGAAAAGAAAAGAAAAGCAAAAGAAGGCAGTGTCGCGCGTGCTGCAATGCTGCAGTGCTGCGCAGTGCTACTGCGAAACCTTAATGTGATCGGACGATATCTGGCAGCCTGGCTACCTGGCTGGAGATCGGACGAGATAAGCTGCATGGCTGGGTAGGTAGGTAGGTAGATAGGCGCGCAGGCAGGCGGGCTGTTAATGACAACACCAAGCAGAATGCACATGCACGCAAGCAACCAAGCAACCAAGTGGTCTACGCATGGACAGACATTCCCGTTGGCATTTCTCTCGTCTCGTATCTCGTTACGTGCATACGTGCGTGCGTGCGTGCGTGCGTGCGTCATTGATGAGAGGCCGGAACGCATCCATCCTTCGACTCCACCATCCTCAATCCCCCTACCAACAAGATCCTCCAACCAAATCCTCCAAACCCATCCTCCCATACCCCCCTCTCATTTCCCCCTCTCCTCTCCTTCTCCCAATCTTCTTCCACCAGTTTTCGCTCTCGCAGGTCCCGTCTTTTCAGACAGGCGCGAGGCATGCTTGCCAAAGGTAGTTAACAGAGCCGTGCACTGCCGCGTAAAGCGCAGCAGCAGCAACAAGCAAGGCGGGGGCCACAGACACACCCGCGCGTAGCAACCCCACTCCCACACGCTCCAGACCAGCTGGAGGCATGAAGGAAAGGTACCAGCACGACGGGGGGGCAGTGGCGACGCTCCGCCAGGGCAAGAGCCCGACTCGACGGACCAAAAAAATGTAATAACTCTCGCGCAGCCGTGGTTGCTAGCCAATGTAAGAACGGGCAAGGCGGACAGGGGAAGTGTATTAAAAGTTTCTACAGTCCAGACGGCATGCTCAAGTAACGAGCTGCAGCGTCTCCGCGGACCAAGAGAACCATGACGAGACGAGGCGTCGTGACGGATTCGTAAGCATCATCATCAAACGCGTCTCTATCGCACAACAAGGCGGCCGTGACGACATCATTAGGGTTGAGTGAGCACTACAGCGACGAGGCTGAAGCTTGACGGGGGCGAAGCACTTAGCCACGGATGACGACGCCCTGGCGGCGGGTCGTGCGGGCGCGGTGGTACTCCTCGTCCTCGGAAGAGCACTCGGACGAGTCGTCGGAGTAGCTGCAGCGAGCACCGCCACAGTCGAGCTTGACGCGCTCGCCGGCGCGAGTGATGCCGTAGCGCTCGCAGGTGCAGCAGGAAGAAGACGAGCTGACCGACGACGGGCTAGAGGAGTTGGAGCTACGCGACGTGAGCGAGGGAACGTCAGAGTCGGCGTCGCTGTCGTAGTCGGAGTCGGTCTCGTCGTCATCGTCGATGGCGGTGCGGCTGAAGCGCGAGGTCAACGCCTCAACGGTGGCGGGCTCGTAGGCACCGTTGACGATGGAGCGGGTCTGGTTGGGCTTGACGGGGCGGGGAGACTTGATCTGCGACGGCGAGAGCGAGCGGCCCTTGACGACGTCCTGCGACATGCGGCGCGAGTGGCGGTTCTCAGCGGCGGGAACGGTGGCGGTGCGGCCCGCGGGGATGTCGAGGATGTTGAGCTTGCGGCCAGTCGTGGGCTCGGTGGTGAACTCGCGGGCGGGGTCGTGCGAGACGTGGTAGCCGTCGATGATGTAGTAGTACCAGTAGCGCTGGCCTTGCTTGAGAGTCTGGCCCTGGAAGCGGAAGGCACCCTTCCATGCGCCGGGCTTGCTGGAGTCCTTGGAAAGGGGCAGCTGACCGTTGTAGTTGTCCCAAGAACCGAGCAGGTGGACCGTCTTGCAGTTGGCAGAGGTGCGGAGAGAGAAGTTAAGCTGGATAGCGGCCATTTTTTTTGGTGTTTGTCGAGTAGACGAGTATTAGTTTGAAGGGTAAGTGTACTCGGGCGAGCAAGTAGAGCTGAATTAAGTTTGATGTTGCTGGGGGTTGGATGTCGACCGGCGACAAAAATAGAATTAGAATGCGGCGAAGGGGTGTTGGATTAGGGTGGCTGTGTGTGTGTTTGGGGCGAGTACCAGACTCTGTGGATTAGGATAAAAAGAAGAAAAAAAGTAACAAAGAAACAACAACAAAAAACCCAGGCAGCTCTCGAGTGTCACAGACTTGCTGGAGAAGAAAGTTGGACGGGTTGCGCAGGGCGACGCTCTATATAAGCGATGGATGGGCCTGCGATCCAGCTGACGGGCCGGGATGGGCCCATGGCCGCATCAAGCATGCAATGCATGGAAGGTGGAAGGGGCGGACGTGCACTCAAGCGCTTCGGGTCGCGCGTCGAGTGGAGGAGCCCGTGTGATTGGCCGTGCGCCCGCCTCCGCGACTCCATCTCAGCACAACCCCTCGCCCAATCACCACCTTTTGCCTGCGTCGTCGAGTGACACGCCCTGCAGCTAGTCGATCACGTTGCAGTCTCTTTCTTTGCGCCCCTCCGTCGGCGGGGCCGCTCTCGACATCCCTCCCAGCGTGCCTGACTGCATGCCACCAATCGCAGTCGTCCGCCGTGATCACAAGCTGCCCAATCGCGGCGTTTACCTGCATTCGACTCAATGTCACCACCATCATCATCGTCGGCTTATCCACGTAGGACAGCGTCTCGGCCTTGAAAAAGGCGGCAGGAGCTGCCGGTCCTCAGCTTTCGTCCACTGTGGCTGGAAAATACAATCAACCTCAATGCCGTGAAGCCTTGTGCTCGAGCCGGCCGCGCAATCCCCACCGCCTTGATCTCGTGCTACTGGCGGTTGGCAGATCGCACATGATGATGGCCGAGTCGTGTCATCCCGTCAGGTCGAGGCCTTCCCGCCTTCCCCACGTCGACCCCATCACGGCGGCTGCATGATAACATTTTTTTCAGGCCCATGGGCCAGCCTTCGGCCCTTTCTTTCACCCTGGTGATGTATGTCGCCATGTGCAAACCTTGTCGTGAGGGTTCTCCCTTGCAAAAACACTGCAGCATTCCATGTGAGCCGTGCATGAGTGCGGATTACGAGTCCCCAGCCTGCAGCGAGCGGCCCGACGGTGGAGGGCATAATCAGTTATCGCGCCACCCTGCCTGCAGCCTTCCAATTTTCGCCCAAGTCAAATGGGTGCCCGCGGTGGCAGCAACGCTTCCGGCGGTTGTTGCTTATTTCCGTTTAAATTGATGTATTGCCAATTCGAGTATCTCAGTTGGGTGGCGTTTGTTCATCACGGACCTCGCTCGGAGCAGGCCAGGAAAGCGCCCGTTCAACTCTTGCTGTTGCTGGCGTGACCAATTCCCTCTCGCCCAAACGATTGGTCAGAAGGCTCTCCTCGAGCGAAGAAACGCCAATCATCCGCCGTGCGCAGAGACAAGAAGCGGGGATGACAGGCGGGTGGAGACCTCTTAGCACACCCGAAGTGTGGATTCTGGTCGAAAAAGGTATCGGCCTGAGCTTTATTTAGTAGATTGTAAAGCGGAGACTCAGACCGGTCGACGGAGCGAATGCTCTCGACCTCAAGTTTAACGGCGCTCTCGGGCAAATCTTGTTAGCAGCACCGCAGCCTGCCTTGAAAAAACGATGTTTGGATTTTGTGACCCGAAAGAGTACCTTGACAAACGAAAGGGAAACCCATGGCTGCAGATGCAAGCGCTTAAATTGAAGCATGTTTTTACCTGTCGTTTGCAGCAAAACATGAATCGTGTGCGTCGTAGCAAACCTTGCGCGTTTCCTAGCCAACCCACCGTTGGCCTTGCTTGTCCCACCCTATGGTAGACAGCTCAACCCCGAGCGTCTTCAGCATCATGTCCATTGTGAAACTCTTATCACGGGTTAGCCAATAAGCCACTGGCGCCGACACTTGCGCGTCCAGGGTAACACTCACATCGTCATCTTTGCCTTCATCCACGATTTTGGGCTGGTCCTTTTCCAGCTCTCTCTTTTCGTTTTCCCACTCCTCCTTCCTCCATTCCCGCTCCCGTTTAGCCTCTTCCTTTGCTTCCTTTCGCCTCTCCTTCAAGATCTTCCTTTCCTCTTTCTGTTCCGGGGTCAAAGGGTTGCCATCTTCATCTTCTTCATCCTCTTCATCGTCGTCATCGTCGTCCGAAGACTCTTCTTTCTCTTCTTGGAAGTTGTTGCGCCACTCTCGTTGCCGTTGTTCCCTCTCTCGCCAAGCGCCTACTCCGCCCATCCGGTTGACGCGGTCCCTTACCGTCGCAAATACCTCTTCAGCTGCAGCCCTACTCGCTTCCCGCCATTTGATGATCAACTCGTCAAGCTCTGCATCTTTGGTTGAGGAAGCAATTGATAAAGCTTGGTCAAGCGTGTCGAGCTCAGTACGTAGATTGGTCATTTGTCGGTTGAGCTGTCGCTGTCGCTGCTGCTCTTCCTTTAGGGCACATTCGAGCGGATCGTCTGGATCAGGTTTCTTGCGAGGGATGGAAGCAGGTTTCGCCGAAACACGGCTAGGAAGCGGCGTCTGAGGGTCTTGGGCATCAGAGTCAATGGATGACGCTGGTGGATCATTGGACTCGATAGGCGACTGAGATGCTGCCACGCTCTGCGAGGGAGGTGTGCGACCTGCGGTGGAAGGAACAGTTTCCTCTCCATTGGCTGCAGAACTGCGCATCGGCGTCTTAAAAGGTGATTTGAACGGCTTACGCAGCGCACTTTGTGCATCGTCGAGCCGACGCCGCTTGGCTGCTGGCGTCAACATTGCTGTTAGTGCTAGCGGGTTAGCCGGGAGAGATGGGCGTTGAGATGATCATTGGTGATCAGAAGCTGCGACGCGCAGTGGGGAAGAGATGATCGAGGCAGCGCGCAGGATGACAGCTGGACAGCGCGTCATCACGTGCCGGCTCGGCTCGACTTGCCGCCTCGGGATCCCTGCAAATACCCCAGCTTCTCCTGCGTCTGACAATGGCCTTCTCGTAACCCAACCTCGGCTGATAATCAATTAGCCTGTTTATCAGTCTTCCAACAGCCTTCCAGCAAGATCAGCCACCTCGCTGCAACGATGTCCCGTTGCGGGCGTCACCGGCGGTACCGCTGCCCGCCTTTTCCCCTCTTCATCTTCGGTCTGTCTTACCGAGTGAGGGCGATAGCCAGATAATCACCTATCATTCAGGAGGGATCATCACACAGCGTCCTCGAAAGTATGACGCGACGACTCAGTTGGAGATAGTGTAAACAAAATGAACCACTGAGAGAGGAATGGCTGCGTCTTTGAAGCACGCTGATTGGAGTATGTTTCTGCAAGCCATGCTGCTTGACAATTACAGTATTTCTTGCTACAGGATCGCACCCTTGCTTAACATTACGCTAACTATCGCCCTCCCGTCTATCTTGTAGCGTGCACGGGCGAAGTGCAATGAGGTAAACCAATATAGATCCGTCTCATCCGGATTCCTTTTCACTGAAGTCTATCTTTCGAACTTGTTTGCTTGTTACTCTTGTGATTGCTATGGATACGAAAGCAAAGGACGATGATGTCTCGGTTGTGAAGGCGCCACAATACGCGCCTGAAGAAGGCGAGGTCACCGCCGTCAACGCATCAGGCCATGTTCAGGAACTTGACCGGAATTTCAACATTCTGAGCGCTTGTGCCGTCGGTATCTGCACCGGAAATACATGGGCAGCTTTGGGTGGAAGCATTGTTTGTCTCCTAAGCCATAGATTTCCAACCACGGACTAACAGTTTTCGCAGGTTGTATCCCTGTACAATGGAGGTTCGCCAGGAGTATTATACGAACTTGTAAGGACATCATGATTAAGGCCGTCACCGTCAAACGATATTCACCACCTAACGAGGTAACAATGTTCATACTGAGTGGAGACGTAACCAGTCGAAATATTTGTAGTGCGTATACGCTCAACCCATATCCAGGACTGAGGCTTGTAACTAGACAGGGAAGGATACAAGCAGTCACTATGGAATACACCCTGTCTCGCTAGACGGTGAATCTCGTTTGACGGTGACGGACGTTACAGTTGATACAAGGGTTAACACAGAAGTAGATTGCAGCTTCATTCTTCTATTGGCTTATCGCTGCCTGCATCGCAGAGCTAGCTTCCGCAATCCCTTCCAGCGCTGGTGGTAAGTGTAGTTGCCAATAGAGTCAACCCCTTTCGTCTACATAACTAACGTTTTCAAAGTCTACCACTGGGCCTCCATCACTGCCGGCCCCAAATATGGAAGAGTAGTTGGGTACTTTGCTGGCTGGTGGAACTTTTTCGCGTGGATATTCGGCGCAGCATCGCAGTCTTCGATCCTGGCCAACCTGATACTCGCCATGTACGGCTTATACCATCCGGAGTACGTCCCACAGGCTTGGCACACCTTCGTCACATATATCATCGTGACCTGGCTCTGCTGTGCAACGGTCCTTTTTTGCAACCAGGCGCTGCCCGCCCTTGGACAACTCGGCCTGTTCCTCATCCTCGGCGGTGTCTTCCTCTCAATACTCGTTTGCGCCATCATGCCCGGGACCTCGGGACGGGGGTATGCCAGCGATGGATTCGTGTGGAGGGAATGGCGCAACCAGACAGGCTACACGTCGGACGGGTTCGTCTTCGTGGCTGGCATGCTCAACGCGTCCTTTGCCGTGGGAACACCAGACTGCGTCGCACACCTTGCAGAGGAAATACCACAACCACGGAGCAATGTACCCAAGGCCATCGCAGCGCAAATGACGGTCGGCCTCGCCACCGCTTTCTGCTACCTCGTTGCCATCTTCTACAGCATCAACGACTTCGAGGCCCTGCTCAATAACACGTACACTAATCCCCTCGCGGCCGTGTATTTGCAAGCAACGGGGTCGCGCGCCGGTGCCTGCGGCCTGCTCGCCGTCGTCTTCCTCGCAACTGTGTACCCGTGCATGGGCACGTACATCACATCAGGACGGATGCTGTGGACTCTTGCACGCGACGGAGCGGCGCCCTTCAGCGCCACGCTCAGCCACATCAGCGATAGGCACAAGAACCCCTTCGCCGCGACAGTGGTATGCGGCATCGCGTGCACCATCCTCGGCGCCATCTATGTCGGCAGCACAACGGCCTTCAACGCGTTCGTCGGGTCCTTCGTCGTTCTCTCTAGCTCGTCCTATCTCGCTGCTATCCTGCCGAACCTGCTCACATCCCGGCGCTATGTCACTCCTGGCCCTTTTAGCGTGTCGGGACGGAAGGGCTTGTTCCTTATGGCTGTTAGCTGCGCGTACATTGCCGTTTTCGTCGTAATTTTCTGCTTCCCCGCCACTATGCCTGTCACGCCGCAGAACATGAACTACTCGTGCCTCATTACTGGCGGTTTGACGATCTTTGTCGCGATGTGGTGGCTCTGGATTCGCGGGCGTGGGTATGTTGGTCCTGAGGCGCTGTTGGATGGGGGGAGCTGAAGTTAAGTGTTGGAGAGGGGAAGACGGCTTGAGCGGTATATGTTCATACTGTTTTAAGAATGATATGTATGAAAATATAGCAAAAATTCCATGTTAAACAATACTTCTCCATCAACAGCTCTGACGGTAGTAGCGAGGTCTGGTAGATTCCGCATGATGATACCTAGAAGAAGAACGCGGTCGCGTTCTCGTCCAGTCGTACATGGTTCTTCTTTCTGTTAACAATGCCACATTCTAAGCAGCTATGATAGTATGTAGTATTCCAGTCCGCGAGACTGTTTTGGCATTCACACCGGGTTCTGTGACTGAAGATGACCTGGAAACGTTATAACTTGTGCTACTTTAAATCTTAGAAGACCCCCTTTTGAGACGGCGAACTGCTGATAGATGCTATCTTCGGGCAAATCCACTGCCCACATCCGTACTTGCTGTTCTTACTTATTGCAAGTAAGTTGAGCGTGGAAAAATCATTGAAATGGACGCGAGTACTGAGAACGCCACTTTCCTCTTAAAGGCCATCACGGAAGGACTACATGCTGAGAGAATATTGCAGGCCAGCTTAACCATCCCACAGAACCGCAAATTCCTTAGACAATATGAATGAGTGTTCGTGCCTAGCCTTCGAAGTAAAGCCCGAAGAAGTTTTCTTTTTCAAGGAGTTCCGGGACGACCTACTGTCATGAAGAGTTCATGAACACAAGGGTGGTCTGATAATTTGAGCCTATTATATACAAACTTATCGAGAAAGGCTACTTCAAGAAAAATATGATCGTAACGATGCAGTAGTGATCCGTATCTTTATATATCGCCGCTGCTCATCATCATCATCATCACTATAACGGTACTAACCATCACCGTCATGCACGAATGTCGATCGGCTTGATCAAAGCCACGGTGATAGAATAGAAAGTGCGGACGTATTCCCACTACCCTCGGGTCCATCCAATACACGGATCCAAGTCGCCGAGCCACCGGAATCGATGTGGATCGCCAACCGTTGTTTTTTGTTGACATAATCATAAATTCCATGTCCATCCTCATGAACCCTAGAATTTCGGATCTCCCGAGAACCTTCCAGTCTTCGCTGTATGCATCAGACTTCAGATGGGCTCTTGTGATGTCCTAAGGACAGGATTGTATGCTTGTCGTGTTCTTCATGTCGAGGTAGTTGTGTGTTTTAGAAGTTCCAATGATGAAGTCTTGGCGGTGTCCATTGACTGATGGATGGTGACAACCGTCCACTCGTATTCGTCACTCAGTGATGCGGGTGATGATACGTCGGAACAGTCAGAGGAGTCATCATGAGCTTGGTTATTCCTTGTTGTGGCATTTATTATTTGTTAGTACATTTATTTAGAGGGTAACAATGCGGAAAGGTGAACAGGAAGAATCAGTGGAAGTAAGAAAGCCTGGATCTTTTGGGGTTGGAACAAGTTATTGTGGATGAGTCTGGCGAGGCTTTGTAATGTACAGGGAATATAAAATTCGGCGGACGGCGTCAAAGTTATATAAAATAATAGCCAACAACTTGTATTTGTCGTGGAAACGGCCGCATGTCTATGTTGAACTTATCAATATGTATATGGATAAAACTCAGCCATCTTGGCATATAAACATATTCAGTGTACCTAAATATTCACATATAACAATAATTATGCCGACATTGGGAAGATATTTGATACTTACTACTCACAACAGTCCTTTCAGTATGGCAGGCTTTCGCGATCTTCCTGAAAAATGCCTGATCATCCACTCCCCTGCCCCTACCACTGACCCCAGCCTGCTTATGCCTCACGGTCTCAAGTACCGTATCCTGGCGCGCGATACTCTGCACCATCGCCAGCATACTATTGGGGCCATAAACCTTAGCCAAATTCTCATCCACCTCCTTAATCACTCTCTGCAAAAAGCTCACAACATCCAACTCCTTCATCATCTCAACCATGTCCTCGTCCTCTTCCAACACCAGCATAATCGTCAGCTGAACTAAGCTCGAATTATGCATCACACGAACCGGGTGATGCGGCTCAGGGTACAGCTTCGGGTCGATCTCAAAGTAGCGCAGCATCGCGTGCTGCCACGTCCCGAACGGATTCTCGTCGATGGCCACGAGGCAGCTGATCAGTTCGTCGCGCAGGCCGGCGTACGGCTGTCGGTCGTATGGCCAGATCCCGGCGTCGGCACACATGTCCAACCCTTCCTCGAGCGCATCAATTGCGTCGTATTGGTTCATGGATGCGATGGCCCGGTCTTCTTTGAGATGGTTGAAAGCTTCTGCTTGATAGGCTGCTAGGCGCCGCTCCTCGGATGAGTCACCGACGTATGAGGACTGCAGATTGGCTTTGAATTTGGCATCAGGCCACCAGGGATGCTGGGAAAGGATTTGCTTTGCCATCTTCGTGGACTTAGCGGAAAGCGACGCAGCGGGTCTTGTGAATCGGTATTCGCGAGAACTGGGACCTTCCCTGAATTTCGAGCAGTTGCATGTGAAGTAGCGCAAGTCGTCCAATTCGAGACGGCGGCGTGGGGTAGGGTTGGTAGCGTCAATGTAGGAGATGAAGATTTCCTCATCCTTGGCGATAGGCTTGAGAGACCGTAGATGCATAACGCTCCCTTGCCAGATGAGTAATGCATTAGGGACACACGAGTGATTCAACGTCGAGACCAATGGGTCGAGGCAGATCCCGATCTTCTCGAAGCTTGGCGTCTCAATGTTGAGGTAGTTCGCCATGATCTTGCCTTGATCAGTTTCTTGCTCGATGGCAATAGCAAAAAGGTCACTGGCTTACCCTGAGGAATGTATCCATGGCATCATCCATGCCAAAAGTCGGTTGGACATTAGAAAATTTGAGAACACCGTCACCCAGTACTTGGAAATTCTTCCATTTTGGACCCCCCCGGATTTTTTCGATATGAGTTTCGAGGCTGAGCAACTCCGCCCAGGTCTCGTCGGAAATTAGTCCATTCTTTCGCATAGAAAGGATCTGAACGCCGAGACGCATTGACTGTGGGATTGTTTCCATGCCAGGGTTCCTTTGCCAAACTGGGCACTCATATCTGTGGTGGCGTTTTCATGCTTTGGTTTGGCATTTCTAGGTCAGAAAGTAAGTAACCTATTGATGTGTAGGAACACAAGAAAAGTATATAGAGCCAGCACAAGAGGGTACGATATCCTACCTTGTTGCAGTATTCCACTGCCTTGCACCCAGCACAAGCCTTGAGGTTTGCCCTAACATCTAGATTCTGGAAAGTGAAACAATTGGAGCAGCAGTTGGCGATGCGAACGCTGTCAAGAGCAGCGGCAAGCGGACGATCGAGGGAGAAAATCTCCTCGCCTGCAGGAATGGCTTCTTTGGCAAAAAGCCCGTTGCCGGCAACAGGAGATTGCTTCTTGTATGCTTGACTTTTAACGTGCACGGCCATAGGTCTTGCCATACTTGTGGTTCAACCGATGCTGTGGTCAATTGGATATCAAATGGTTCAATGATGGGTTGACAATGTGTCAATCGTGACAGCTGCTTTAAATTATAGCAGCCCCTGTGGTACCAGAAGCGTCAAGAAACCTTTGGAAATGTCGTAACCTGGCCATCATGCGGGACGGCACTGACGGTTACACGCACTACCACTTAGCCGCGCGAAATCAACGCGAGATCACGTTCCGAAACGTGGAATATCTCCTCACGCCAACCAAAATAAAGCTCCTATACACGTGTTGGATGTCAATGAGAGGAGTTCTTGTAATTTAAAATACCCACAGTAGTTGTTTGGCTGGTGTGGGTACTCAATGCCTGCGACCATGTGACTGAAGTATGTTGTACAGAGTACGCGTCACGCGTTCCGGTTGAGTCGGAGCACATCACACCTAACGTCTTGTCGCGCAACGGATGAGACTCGACCAAGTTGAATACACGGGAAGCTTCGACGTATAACCCGAATATTTGAAAGCTCTCTTCGTTATTGAGTCGTCGACGTTGAAGCCTGGACCTCGGACGACACCGGCGGGGGAAAGCAAGTCGCCGGCGGGCCGAAGCGGCGTGTCAAATCCCGCGCGCTGACACTCTGGCAGATGACGTCGATCGCGCCCAGACCACGACGTTGAACTCGAGCGACCTTGGAGCTCCGACCAACGTTCTATCCGGAGCTCTAACTTTGCGCCCGCACACAGAAGAGAGCCTCATCAGTCGCCGTTTGATACACTGGTCCAGGACGTCAAAAGAACGCGCTACGACGAGGCTGCGGTCGCATGAACAAGTACAACTTTGCACCACCACCCAGAGCTAGATAACTGCCCGCCCGCCGTCATACCTACTTGTGGATATCGCAACACTCCTGTTCAAACTTCTTTCGCCTTATTTACCTTTGTCTTATCCACCTATGGGTTGCGCTTAAACTGCCAAACCTCATCCATCCGCTCCGCTCAGTACCATGGCTTCGTCCGCGTCATCCGCGGAGGGGTCTGCGAATGCGCCCAATCCACTGACCCAAGCTACGCAAGCCATAGCAGCTGCAGACTCTGATAGCGGCAGTCACAGGGGCTCACAGGACCTGCATGCAACTGCATCCTCGGACCAGCATGAAGCTCTCCCCGCAGATCAGCCTCCACCATACAGTGGTGGTAACGACGTTTCGTACGGCAAAATTGTAGACAATGGCGACGGTTTTGGAACTTCCGCGAGCCTAACTGGTACGGACGATCATCTAAGCTCATGAAAATACATTACTTACATAGACATACAGACGACGGCCGGGTCAACATTCGTATCGATCAGAAGAGCAATCGTCTCTCCAATCTACTTATCCCTGCGCTTCGCAGTCAGCTCGATCTAGCCTCTCGCGAACCTCCCCCTCCTCCGCCGTATATCCCTCCCTCGCTTGGAGGCAAACCTGGCAAAGAGCCTCCGCCGCCGTTGAATGTGGTGATACATGTTGTTGGGTCTCGCGGTGATGTACAACCATTTGTGGCATTGGGAAAGGTCCTCAAAGAGACCTATAGCCATAGGGTGCGGCTGGCTACACACCCGGTGTTCAGGAACTTTGTCGAGGAAAACGGACTAGAGTTCTTCAGCATTGGTGGTGACCCGTCTGAGCTTATGGCTTTTATGGTGAAGAACCCCGGTCTCATGCCGGGATTCGATACACTCAGGAATGGAGACGTCGGCAAGCGTCGGAAAGGCATCGCAGAGATGATTGATGGATGCTGGAAATCCTGCATCGAACCCAACGATGGTTTCGGTGTCGACACATCTCAGCAGGAGGGAGAAAACATGCTGAACTCCGCCTATAGTAACCCCGAAGCTACTGCAAAGACTGGCAGGCCATTCATAGCAGACGCAATCATCGCCAATCCACCAAGCTTTGCTCATATCCACTGCGCGGAGAAGCTCGGTGTGCCGCTCCATATGATGTTCACGTAAGTGCTATATATTATTAATGTGTACAAAACTAACGCAACTTAGTATGCCGTGGTCACCTACGCAATCCTTCCAGCATCCTTTGGCGACAATTCAATCATCCAATGCTGATGCCTCATTGACAAACTACATGACATATGCCTTAGTTGATATGTTAACTTGGCAAGGACTCGGCGACATCATCAACAAGTTCAGACAGCGCACGCTACACCTGGATTCCATCAGCGCAATGTCAGCTCCGAGCATGCTCTCCCGCTTGCGAGTTCCATTTACGTATTGTTGGTCACCTGCTCTTATTCCCAAGCCTAAAGACTGGGGAAACCACATTACCATATCCGGTTTCTACTTCCTCAACTTGGCTACAAACTTCAGACCGGACCCGGACCTGGCTGCTTTCCTTGATGCTGGTCCACCGCCGGTCTATATCGGTTTCGGCAGCATCGTCGTTGATAACCCGAACGGTATGACGAAGCTGATTTTCGAAGCCGTCCAAAAAGCGGGTGTCAGAGCCCTAGTATCCAAGGGTTGGGGTGGTTTTGGTGCTGATCAACTGGGAGTGCCGGAGAGCGTTTTTATGTTGGGCAACGTCCCCCATGACTGGCTGTTCAAGCGAGTGTCATGCGTTGTCCATCACGGAGGTGCTGGTACGACTGCTGCAGGCATAGCTTGTGGCAAGCCTACTGTTATTGTGCCTTTCTTCGGAGACCAGCCTTTCTGGGGCTCCATGGTTGCACGAGCTGGAGCCGGACCGGAACCAATCCACCATAAACAGCTGACATCGGATAATTTGGCGGAGGCTATCCAAGAGGCACTGAAGCCCACGTCACAAGAGAGAGCACGAGAACTGGCAGCGAAGATTAGCAATGAGAGGGGAAGCGATGAAGGAGCGCAATACTTCCACCAACATCTTAAGGTAGATGAGATGAGATGCTCATTGTTGCCGAATCGGGCGGCTGTATGGCGGTTCAAGAAAACACAGATCAAGCTGAGTGCTTTGGCTGCTGTGGTTCTTGCCAATGAGGGGATGCTCAATTTTGCTGACCTCAAACTGTAAGCCATAATGCTGGTACACTTGTGCAAAGAGAAAGCTGACATGACCTCAGATTCCAGCCTCGCGATTATGAACCGGATACTGGCCCTTGGGATCCGGTTACTGGCGTTACAGGTGCAGTAATGGGCACCGTGACGAGCATGATGATGAACGTGGCGGATCTTCCCATTGAGACCCTAAAAGCACTCAACATCCATCCTGATTCGAGACGCTCTCGTGCCAATACCGGTGCTGCGAAAGCCTCGACAGACTCCGGAAGTAGACCAGGAACTTCTGATTCGGCCGCGCCTTCGAAGTCGGGGGTTTCTACACCCACGAGCCCTGAAAACCCCAAAGTCGCAGTAACCTCAGCCGCAGAAGATCATGCTCTCGTTTCATCGCCGATTGAAAGTCCCAAACGCTCTGGAAGCGGCCTTGGACATCGTTCTCAGTCATCTCTAGGTCAAGCACTGGGGGCACTGGAGGGAATTCGTTCGCGATCACGCTCTGGATCAAGAGGCTCAAAGCCTGGTCCAAATGATACCGCCACTTTCCCGAGAGTTCCCGTGGAAGATAACCCGAACGCTCGCAGCCATTTCGATGTCGAATCTGCTCTTCAGACTGGCAAGGGTCTCGGGCGCATTGCTCAGGCCGGCGCCAAAGCTCCTGTAGACGTGATGATGGGGCTTTCGAAAGGCTTTCATAATGCTTCAAGGCTGTATGGCGAGGAACCGCGGCAAGTCGAGAAGGTGACTGGACTTTCGAGTGGTTTGAAGGTTGCTACCAGGGTACGTTATTCCAACGCGAGGTTCGGAATCAATGCTAACAGTCACAGGAATTCGGCCAAGGATTGTTTGAAGGCATTTCCGGCCTGGTCACACAACCCTACAAGGGAGCTAAAGCCGATGGTCCAGGAGGCTTCGTCAAGGGCATGGCCAAAGGTTTTGCTGGTGTGGTTCTAAAGCCACAAGCTGCCGCTTTTGCCGTCCCTGCCTATACCATGAAGGGCATCTACATGGAAGTTCGCAAACCTTTCGGTTCCAGCATTCGAAACTACATAATTGCGTCACGCACTGCACAAGGCTGGGAGGAATACAACAAATCGACATCCGAGGAGCGCTCTCAAATCGTAGGCACCTACCGCTTCTTGTCGGAGCACGCGCACAAGAAGAAAGGCCCCGGCGAGCGTGAGATGGAAGCTATTCATGCCCTCATGGAAAAGCGCAAAAAAGGTACTAAACAGAAGAGCATGTCCAGCGTCTTCAGTAGCCGCAAGCCTTCCGACGGCGCAGACTCAGACTCGACTTCAGAGGGCACACTTTCGCCACCGCCTCGCTCGCCAACAACAACGCTCCCCGTCATCGAAGGCCAGCGTCCTCCTCATGTCCCGCTCGGCGGCCCACGCTGGGATCCCCTCGTCCAGCGCGCCGCCGATGTGCAAGACGCCGAGCTCGAAGAAGCGATCCGCCAGTCCGTCAGGCAAACCAGCCACGGCAACGCCGAAGAAGACGAGCTGATCGAGCGGGCCATGCGTGCCAGCGTCGCGGAGCTGGGACGCGTGCGCCGCATGCCGCGTGCTAACACCGCCGCCACCCCTACCACTACCGCATCTGGGGAGAACGCGGACGACGATGAAGAGGAGGCCCTGCGCCGCGCCATGGCGGCTAGTTTGGCGGAGCACGAGGCCCATCAGCAGTGGGCGCTGCAGCAGGAGCAGGCGGCGCCGCCTAGTTACGCGGATATTGATGCGGATAACCTCGCCGAGGCAATGCGACGTAGTGCGCTTGACCACGACCAGCGCGAGGGTGGGGATCGTGGCGGTAATGCGCCAACACTACCTCCTCCGCCGCCCCTTCCACTACGGGGCGATGTGGACCCAGATGAAGATGAGGTTGATGAAGAGTTGAGGCGTGCGATTGAGGCGTCGGAGCGGGAAGGTAGGGAGAAGACTGATGCGGATGCGAGAGCGAAGAGAGAGGAGGATATCGTGCTCGAGTATGTTAAGAAGCAGAGCTTGCTTGAAGAAGAGTACCAGCGGAAGATTAGGGAAGGAACTATATAGATAAGCAGGAGTGGTGGTGGTTGTAGTGAGTGAGAGGGAGCAGTGGTTAGATACCCTTTGTACGGCGATGATGCGAGGTTTCGTTCTGCAGGCTAGCGTGGGTCTCTGGGTCTGCTCTTTGGTGCTTTTAGCAAGTAATGACATTCGAAACGCTAGCTTCTTTGAAGAAATGAATGTATAGACTTGTATATGGTTGGTTTTATCTTAGATGGTGCTTGATCGAGTTGTATTGTGTCTGAATTCGGGGTGCGGTTTGGATTATCTCAGACCGACAGGTCAGATATCGGTTGGACGGATTGATTTGAGTAGTGACAAAACACAATCGAGGGTCTTTTGTCGACTCCACTGCTCGTGTCTGTGTTGCTGTCTCGATGCTCCGGGCTTGAGCACGTCGTGTCCGCTTTTGGCGTGCTATCAGGGACATGTTCGGACCCATGGCAAAAACCAATCATCGACCGGACAGAAATCGATTCGAGTGGTTATAAATTGCAAGCCTACAGCTTCATAAAATGCATGCTGTCTCCATAGCTAGGTGATTTCTCTGTCTATATCTACCTAGAGTTATATCGATGTGCTGGCTGGTCACGACAAACTCAACCACATCTCCATCCCATCAGATATTGACAAACACATTCCCAACATGTTGAGGACATAAGTCGAGCAGCTACCAGCACCTACAAAGCCCTGTACGTCTCTCCCGTCCCATTACAGCCTTCTCATCCCTCCCAACACATCAGTGACCCCCCACATCCCGCTCCCCATCCACGCACCAAAACCTCGAACCGATCCCGAATTAATCTTTAATTAACCCATCCGCAGCACAAGCGATGTTCCAAACATGATCGCTTAAGCTTCCCCTCTCGGTACACCGCACAACGCACACCGCCGCGCTGCACCAGCCGCTAAAAACGGATATAACGGCCCCTCTGTTCCTGGTTTTGGTGTTGAGTTTGCTGTGTGATGCTTGTAATTAAGGGATAATGATGCAGCTGTTACACCTATTGCACCGCTGTTGCTTGCCAAGCTTTTTAGTGCTGTTGGGGGTGACGCGTGGGTCGGGGGAAAAGGTATAAATTGGGGTCGCTGCGAGGGTTGGCGGTGCGCTTTCTTCCTCATCGAAGCTCGTCGGTTGTTGACGGTTTTCGTCCAACGCTTTCAGGAAGAGTCCTTCATAGGTATGGCTTAAAAATCTTGCCACATTTATTGTTGTTTGTAGTGACTGACGCTTACTCTGTCGTTAGTTATCTACCTGCGTATCACGATGTCAACCACAAACGGCTCCCACGGCAACAGTGGTTCCAACAAGCACCGTCGCGAGGACGATACGCTCCCCTTGTCTCTGAATGAGGCTACGAATGCTTATGATCGGGCCTGGATCGTCAGACTGCTGCATGAACTTCATGAACGCTTTGAGAAACTGGGCCAGGAAGAGCTAGGGTGGTCAGAAGACCGCCGCAGGTGATTAGAGGACAGCCGCAAGTGGATGAATGACCGTAAGAGATGGATAGAAGACGGTTCCAAGTGGGAAGCAGACCGCGATAAGCTGGAAGAAGAGAAGAATTGGTGGATGAGCGGCCGAGCAGACGAATATAAGGAGAACGAGCGAGCGCACGAATGTCTTTGGGCAGCGTACGGGTTCATTCATGAGAACCACGTACCTTCCGGTAAGGATGACAAAACCAAACTGTGCCGTATTTATGACCGATTGATGTTCTTCAGAGATCCCCAAAAACCTCCTGCTGCGTTGGCCTGATCAAGACTTCGACGACGAAGAGAGCCACCATGGATACTGGGGCATTTATAACAGCATGGAAAGAGCCATGCCCTGTCCAGGCTGGAAACTGATCGAGAAGTTCTTGCCAGAAATCGAACTCCGCTGCAGAAGCAACATACCCGCCGCCAAGGAGAGCGCTCCAACTAACGACAGTGACAAGAAAGCGGAGACAACTTCCCCCTCTTCCGACTCAGGAGTTTGGACTTTCCACTCCTGGGGAAGATGCAACGACGCTTGGATGCTCCTGTCGTATATGGCTGAGCACACGTCCCACGCAGGTTGCGTCGACGAATGGAAGGCGGCTCATGACGGCGAGCACAAGACGGATGCCTACGAGCGTCTTGACCAGACAATGTTCCAGGCCCTGAACTGGGGTAACGAGCACCGCGATAAGAACAACCCATACAACTTTTTCGAGGATATGTATTTGCTGTCTAGTGTTGCGTCGAGTTGGAGGCACGATGGCGTGAAGGATTTCTGCCCGCGAACGCGCAAGGCTCTTTGTGACTTGGATTATGATGAATATGACTGGGAGGAAATGGAGGAATTGGAGATGATGTCAGTAAGTCCCGACGAGATGATGGTCAAACAAGAGGAGGCTGAATAGGTGGGGCATGGTATGTTTCATCTGTGCTCGAATCCTGAGTACTGATACCGAGGGAGTTGTTTCGATAAAGAAGGGGAACAGAAGGACTAAATTGAAAACCGCTGGATGGTATGGCTAGTATCAAAAAGTGATTGAAATTGTGTTCATGGGCTGGAGTTCAGGCTTTCGTAGGAGTAAATTGACACTATAAGATAGTTTTACCTTTTTGCAACCACACAAGCGCATCCGTTCGTTGTAATGTGTTTTGAAGCTGAGCGCGTCGGTAAACAAATGCGGGGCTCCATGATTGGCAAAACTGCGTTTACCCCAGCAGCCCAGCCGGCAAGACCAAGTATATCAAAAAGAAACTTATGACAATCACAATCCGGACGACCGGCGTAGAAGTTAACGGATTAGAGCATGGTATCGCGATCCTGGTATTAGTTCGGAGAACGGTCGCCTTCAGTCACGCCAATACGAAGCTGATGCTGTAGGCCGCCACTGCCGGATTAGGTCGCAAAGGTATATAATAAAGGGATCCCAACACCTAATCTTGAATCGGATTCGCTAATGATCGACGGGGTTGCCTTGCCTAGTGGTCCGGAGAGTTGCTAACGCTCTTTATTAGCATGGCCTTGGATATAGATTTATACTGCTAGATGAGAAAATCCTGTTGGGGAGACGGGTTTGATTCTCACTCTTCTTTTTCTATTTTATTTTTACTGTTTTTGTAGAATGTTTTTTGGTTCTGTCCCCGTTCCTTAATTCACTGTTTGTGCACATGTGGCATGCTTGGAAGTTCAGGTAAGATACTGTGAACGAGGATAATTCTAACAAGGTAAACTCCCTGCTTAAAACGTCCGATGAAGTATTTGCTTCTTCTTTTCTGTGATACAGGTTGCAAAATTTGGCTGGCCTCTTCCGGAAACTAGTAACGATTCCAGGTGCGTCGCTCGCTCATACATCCTCATTAGCACTCACGACCCAACACGAGACAAACCCTCAAGCTTTGCCATTCGCTGGTCCCCAAATATCCGGCCCTACTTCTAATCTGCCTACGACGTGTCCGAATCCGAAGCGCGGAGTTTCTACCGTTCCTCCGGCCCAGAAGGCGGTAGGCGGTCAACCCACGCGACCGCCTTCACAGCCTGCCCAGAAACAAGACGAAGGATCAAAACCGCCTCCAGGCCAAACCTAGGACGTAGACATAACCGCTGAGCCGAATTGGTGCCGACGCGGCGTCTATCGACGTCGCCGAGGCCCAATCCCTATCGACATACTCAGTACATCTTTACCGGGGCTGTCAAGCAGACCTTAATCCCTGGAAGTAATGTGCTACCGACTACAACACGGATACGGACAGTCCAAGCAATCTACTGATGTCTAGTGACAGTTCAGGACATCGTTACGCGGCGTTATCGTATCGCAATGCTGAACATCACCATCGAGGTCCGGCACCCACGCGGAATCCTAGGCTCAGGATAGCCACTGCAGCCACCGCTGTCCCTGCTACAGCTTGAAGATACGTCAGGAAGCCCCGGACCGGTGATATGGTGGAATCAATGATTATGATCCGAGGAGATATGGCAGTGTTGGTGCCGGCATCGTAGCTGAAGTCGATGATATTCCTGTCTTTTAAACCTATATTAAACGCGGGATACTCTGCGCTGTATCAGACGAATTATGCAACGGCTGTTTTGGTAATGTGCATGTCTGCGAAAGTGGCTAGTAGCATATGTTCAGGAGTTCGGAACAAAACAGTAATTGGAGGTTGTTGTTTCATGGTGAAAGAGCATGGGCGTCGGCGTCGGCAAAACCCCAAGCTCCATGCCGCGCCGCGGGCGGGAGCTTCTACCACCCATGACCGACCGCCCTGCGCCGCAACACCACCCTCAAGCACGACCGCAACACGCCTCAGCACGCGCGCAACCACACCCACGCCCAACCACCACTCCTCACATACGACAATGGCCTCGCCTGTAACCGGCGACGCCGCCGCCAACGGCATCACAACACCCACGAACGCCGCGCCCAACCAACCCACAATGGCGAACACGCCGCCGTCGGCGAGCGCACCAGCCGCGAACCCCACACCAGGAGCCGGTGACAGCAGCAACACGATAAACAACAACGGGGCAGGCGCGCCCGCCACCGCCGCCGGCGGACCCGCCGCAGCGACTACCACGGCGGCGTCGACCGCGCCCGTCCAGCCTCCCACTTCCCTCGCCGACAGCGGCCTCAGCAAGCGCCCCCGCGACGCCCGCTTGCTGCACATGGTGCTAGCACATTTGGGGGTGCACGCGTACCAAGAGCGCGTGCCGCTGCAGCTGATGGACTTTGCGTACCGGTACACGGCGGGGGTACTAGGGGACGCGGTCGCGATCTCGGCGGAGACGACGGCCGGGACGACAGGCGGGGGAAGCAAAGGCAGCGGCGGAGCAGCAGCAGGGGCCAATGCAGGCGGCGCCGAGGGCGCAGTCAGTCTCGCGGCGGTGCGCAGCGCCATCGCGAGCCGCTTGCACTACCAGTTCAACGCGACGCTGCCGAAGGAGTTTTTGCTCGAGCTGGCGCAGGAGAAGAACCGCGTTGGGCTGCCGAAGCCGGAGCGTGAGTTCGGCGTCCGGCTGCCGCCCGAGCGGTACTGCTTCACGGGTACGGGGTGGGGGTTGAAAGAGGAGTGGGAGAGCGAGGTCGAGGACGATGGCGACGAGAGCGCTGGCCCCAATGGCGATCGCATGGAGGGCGTTACGACGGGTGCGGGGCTCGAGGACGAGGACGACGAGCCCGACGAGTTCGAGGAGGTTATGGGTGTTGGTGGCGGCGCGGGTGGCGAGGACAGGGAGATGACGGATGCGTGAGCGGCGCATGGCTGTCGGAAACCACGTGCTCGAACGACAGACAGCTCTCAGCTGTGCGGACGAAAAAAAGCGCAGAACGCCGGGCTGCTACCCGGAATTGGCTTCTTCTGCGTTTTCCCTCGACCGCAGCCCGGATTGGCCCAGCAAACAAAACGAGCTCCTAGACGACACGGATTCAGGAAGATAAAGCACGGCGTTTGGCGTTCTCAAAAAAAGGCTTTCAGTACCACCCATTTAAGCTCTTTAGCTTTTCCGATACCATACCACGTCAGCACCGCCTTATGTAGCAGCACAAGTAAGCCAAACAGGACGGACCACGCACGAGAACAGTGGGCAAGAAGGACTTCTGCGCGTCGTCGCCGCCCGCGCGCAAGGTATAGCACAGCAGCACAGCGTAGAAACCTACAATGCCAATGCGCGGCAAGACACATTAATCCACAGACACCGTTTTGTGATACAGAGATATACCCTGCCCTGCCGTCCAGCTAGCTGCTGCCCACCCACCAACCGCACCCCCACCGTCTGCGTCTGTGTCGTGAGCATTTGTGCGTGTGTGCTCGAACGCCCTGTCGCGGAAACATATAGATACCAAGCCCACCCTCGAAAACGCCGTAGAATGCAATGAACAAGTCGGCGGCGGCGAGGCACGCCGATGCTCATCTCCGCGCCCACACTCCCTGCCCTTCCTCTGCACCACTGAGCCAAGCTTCCATCCCACCCCCACTCTTCCTTTCCGCGTCTTATTTCTTATCGACCCTCCGCCTCCCCTGCTCATCCAGCCCCCACCACTCGCGATGAAACTTCTCCTGCTCGACGCGCTTGCGCTCCTTCTCCTCGCGCTCGCGGCGGCGCAGCTCCCGCGTCGCGAACCACTCGGCGCGCGCGGCGTCCATCTCGTCCTGCGTCGCGTGCACCACCATGCAGCTGTTCATGGCCAGGCGTTGCGGCCGGCACGCCCATGTCGCGCTGATGGTGCGGTTGAGCGCGCACGACGCAAAGTCTGTTTTAGTGAACGTGTTAGTTGGGTGGTGTGGGGCTTTTGAGCGTGTCTGTGTGGGCGGGAGGGAGAAGACAGGAAGGAAGGAGGCGATGCTTCCCCGGGCCATCTCGCGGCTGGTTGGGTAGATGGGATAGGCCACAGCTAAAACCCGCACTCAATGGCATCCCCTCCCAACAACAACACAGCAAAACTCACCTCTAATCTCATCCGCGCAATACGTGCGCACGCGCTTGTAGTACAGGTCGCGGACCTGCTGCTCCTGGCCCGCGCTCAACGGGATCGGGTTCCTCGGCACCGGGTCGCGGGGCACGTCTTTTGCTGCCGTTGACGAGGGCGTTGACTGCGACGCTGATGCTGATGCTGCGGCTGCGGCTGCAGGAGGTGCGGGGGGTGCGGCCGCCATTGAGGTGCCCTTGTGCGTGGTTGTGGTGGTGGGACGGACGGCGGGAGAGGCAGCGTAGCGATGGCGGTGGCGGTGTCGGTGATGGAAAAGCAAGGGACGTCGTAACTGCAATGGCAATTGCGGTTGCGGATACGGATGCGATTGAAGTGGCGCTCGCGGCTGTGGTGGTGGTGGTGGTCTGCGGTGGCGCGATGGAAGGGCGGGCAGCGGAGCTCAGTGTCAAGAGTGCTCTGCTGGTTCGAGCGGGCTGTTGTCGGGAGTCGGGACGGACGCGGATCGCGGGGGCGGTGAGCGCGTGTGTCGTGGGCAGAATCGTGGCCGAGGCCTGGAGAGCTGGGGAGCTCATGGCGGGCTGGAGCTTGTGTTCGGGGTGTCACATGTGTTTTATTCCCCATATCCTACAAACCCATCTACATATCCCTACTCCGTACCTAGCTTACTGGCCTGCTTGCCCTTCTCCCTCTCCATCCATCCCTACCCCGCACCTACACACACCCACCCAACCACTACCACCGCCACCATCACCAGCACGCCATGCACCTCGCCCACCGGACCTACCTCATCTCGGGCGCGTCCAGCGGCCTCGGCGCCGCAACGGCGCGCACGCTGCACGCAGGCGGCGCCTCAGTCGCGCTGCTAGACCTGAATGCCGACGGGGGCGAAGCGCTTGCGCGGGAGCTCAACAACGGCGCGCGCGGACGCGCCCGCTTCTTCGAGACGGACGTCACGGACTCGGAGAGTATTGCTGCGGCGGTGGAGGCTGTGGCGGCGTGGGCGAGGGAGAGCGACGCCCCGATTGGGGGCGTGCTGGCGGGCGCGGGCGTGGGGAATCCCGGGCTGGTGAGTGTGGTTTTTGTTTTTGGGGGCTGTGCTGCTGAGAAGAAAGAGACGCGAAAAAGCACATCCACTGCACCCGTTCTAACCATCCCTTCCCCTAGATCGTCAACGCGAAAAACGAGCCCATCCCCATGAGCGCCGTGGACTTCGTCCTCGCCATCAACCTCCGCGGAACCATCGACCTAATCCGCCAAGTCGTGCCGCACATAACGCAATCCCCAGGCAGCGGGCCGGACAACGAGCGCGGCATAATCATAATGGTCTCCTCGAGCGCGGCCTTCGACGGGCAAATGGGGCAGCTGGCGTACGCGGCGTCCAAGGGTGCCGTGCGCTCCATGACGCTGCCCATGGCGCGCGACCTGTCGCGCTTCGGCATCCGCGTCGTGACGATCGCGCCCAGCCTCTTCGAGAGCAACATGACGGCGCTGCTGAGTGACAAGGTCCGCAAAAGCCTCGAGCGCGTTATGGAGTTCCCGAAGAGGGCGGGCAGGCCCGATGAGTTTGCGCGGTTGGTGAGGCATGTTATTGAGAATGGCATGTTGAATGGGGAGGTGATTAGGTTGGATGGCGCTATGCGCATGCCGAGTAAGCTGTGAGACGGCGGGTGCTGCGCTTGCTCGCCATTGTGGCCTGGTTGATACTATGGTGTTGCTGGTCCGTTACGCTATGTGCTTTATTGGAAGATCCGGTGATGATGATGCGCGGTGATGCGACGAGGATGGTCGTTGGATTCTGGCGCTAGCTTGACTCGCGTCGATCATGGAGCTTCAAGTTGCCGACTCGGGTGGCTCGGACAGCTCCCAATGCTTGAAATGGAAATATCTATCACAGCTGCAGGTAGAACATCCTTACAATAAGTACCCTGATACCGCGAATTCAAACACTGCACATACTGCAATCATGCGTATATGTTCCTACAAGCGGAATAAAACATACTCTATAGACCACTTCGTAGACGGATATAGAGCTTATACTCACAACAAGACAAGTAGCTCACAAAAGCATACAAAGCAACAATATTTACTCCATACGACCGCAGCACACCCCTCTAACCGCGCATAGCAACAGTCTAGAAACACACTCCAGCATACCGCAGCTGCACAAGCAGAAAACCCAATCATTTACGAGAAGTAATGTCAAAAACCCAGAGGAGTGATTTCCCATAGCACACCCCAACCCACCAAAACACATATTACAACGTCGTAATACAGCTGCTCCCTAAAGCGCCCACGCAATGCTGCTCAAAGTCCGGAAAAAAAGAAAGATTGCCCAGTCCCCCGCAAAAGTGCGCCGTTGCCATCAAGCCGTGTGTCTTCTCGTGCAGAGACCTACCTCCGACGCGTAGGCGTCTCGGGCGTCGCTGAACGGCCTGCGCCGCTGCGTTCTGGCGAGGTCGAAGCAGGCGCCAAGGCCTTGCCGCTGGGCGTAGTCTTGTCTGCTGCGGACGGGGACTGGCCGGGCGTCATGTCCGAATCGAGCCCCAGCTCCTCTAACTGCCGGTCCAGCTCTCTCGCTTCCTCTTCGTCTATTTCTTCTTCGTAACCGTCAAACCTGCCTTCTCCGGCTTCTTCTTCGTCTGAGCCTTCGTCTTCTGAACCTTCGTCATCTTCGTCATACTCTTCGTCGTCTGCAGCGTCACCGTCAATGCTCTCCATAATCGAGTCCTCCATCTGCCCTGTCTCGTCAATGGAATCGCGTGTCATATAGCTGGCTTCCATGTCGCCGTCAACCTCGCCCTCTGCTTCGTCCTCGCTATGCACACTGCCTTCTTCGTCGGCTTGGTCGTCTTCGCTCTCTGTGTCGGAGCTCTCACTGGCCGAGAACTCATCCAGTTCCAAAGTCCTATCGCGCCAATAGTTGAAGTCGGTGAACTCCTCGCCTCCGTTCTGGACGAGGAGACCGACGGGAGGGAAATAATGATCCACAATCTCACGCATGCTGGTATAACCCGTCTTGTACTTGTTCAGCGACAAGAGGTCTAAGGAGACTTCGGCATTACTGTTGATCGTGAAAATGCGCGTCGATGGTATGTTAACGGAGCGGTAAGACAGCGCGTCGGTCAAACGGTTTCCAAAGCCAGCATAGAAAGGAGTTTGACCCGCAGGCTTGCCAAACAGGTTCATGATGTCGCGCAAACAAGCCATCTTGAACACCTCAGGTTTTCTTAGGTAGACTTCTCGGCGAAGGGCGGCCATCGTGCGATCAGGACTCATGATAACAGCTCCCTTTGGAAGTTTGTATCCTTCTTGAACGACGCCATTCAGGTAAGCACGTGTGGTGTCTGCTTGGCCTACAGAACGTGACGTGAGGTAAATGAGATTGTACCCGTTCGTGGCAATATCGGTGTAGAGCTTGGCGACTCCTAGGTGCGTCCAGTCACGCCCAATCATGTTGAGTACGTGGCCCAGGGCATCCGACCTAATCAAGTGTCAGCAAATATACGACTCCCAACACGTGTTCGGGCTTACTTGGTGATGGTCCCGTCAATGTCGGAGATGACAACGGGGACGTTGTGCCGCCAGTAGTACATGTAAGCCACACACGTAGCCCGATTGACGCTGAAGCTCATCGTGTTCTCTCCGGATTTCAAGTTCAGCGCCTTGAGCTGGTCGCTGGTGAGCCGCAGTGTCTTGGCATAGTTTCTGTTGGGATCGCCCGCCGAGGCCTTCTCCGGAGACTTGGGGGGTGTCGGAAGTCCGACACCGCTGTCAGACTCCCGTCGCATACGCATAGTTCCAATTTCAGTCTCGGCATCGCTGCAGACAGCATCGTCGCTGTGGTATCCAGGGTCGCTAAGGGCGTCTGCAGACCTCATGGCTTCCGGGTTTAGGCCCTGCAGACCTGCCTTACGGCCGGCAGCTTGCTTCGCTTCCTCACTGCTGTATATCCAGAGATTGCCATGCTCGTCCGCACCGATCAAAGCGCCGATGTCGTAGTTGCCCTCCAGTTCCTCGGAAAGGATCTTGCGCGCAATGACTTCGGCTCGCAGACCATCCTCTTCACTGCTCTTGTAACCCGTCATATCTAGCTTCAAATCTCCAGTCTCTGTGACCTGCGAAGAGATGTTCGAATTCCATAGCTTTTTCGAGAGTGTAACGGCACGAGCAACTGCCTCAGTGTGGGAAATAGGAGGGGGGCTTGTGGAACGGTGAGAGAGAGAACCCGGCCCTGGTGGCTCTAATGCAGGATCGAAGCCTTGTGGACCCTCTGTGAAAGCCTTGGTCAAGGAAGTTTTTGTAGGAAGAATGTCGTCGCTGTGTACACGGTCGAAATGCCTGGGAAGTGTCGAGGCGCCGGACCAGTTGGGAGCTGTCGGGATTTCAGAGGGTGACATGGGATTGTCTCCTAGGAGTAAGGTTAGCATGAACAGTGGGATATCGCAGCTTGGTGTCCGCACCAAGGTCGCTCTTTGCTCGTGCCCGGTCTACCATAATGGTAGGCTTGGTTAACCCTGGTCTCTCATCTTGTCCGTCTGTCGCTAGATCGAAGGGCTCGGGCTCGGACAAGGTTACATTTGAGCCTGAAGAATCTTTGTATTGCGGGCTGGATGTTGGAGAAACCAGAGGTGAAGTCTGGAGAGCTTCCGGTATACTTTCGGCAGTCTCAAAGACAAAAAAGGCTTCTCCGCCCTCGCCAAGTTTCATAGCATAGTTTTGCTTGACTCCATTGACCTTGAACTCGACCTTTTTCTCCGAAGGGCGAAGCAACGAAAACTTGCCGAAGCGGACGTGGAAGGGCGAGCAAGCCAGGGAGCCGTCTTCCTGCTCAACGACAATGACGTCGATTGCGCCAGAAAGGGTGGCGGGGTTGATGGAGTTCCAGGTCTTGGAGACGGCGCCGGACATGGAGCGCACGTATTGCATGGTGAATGATCGGAGCGCGCGACCAGCTCCTGGGTGGTGAAGGTCGGATCAGTTGCGGTGGAGCTTGAGCGCGGAGCTCAACGATGGGGGATCTTGTTGGGCGGCCAGGCAGCGACCGGGGGCAGCGGTGGAGGGTTCGGGAGTGAGTTGTAGGGAGGCGGAGGTTGCGGCGGCAAGGAGAGCAGTAGAGATGGGCGAGGATATACGGGAGATCGAGGGGTGGTGGCTAGGAGTAGGCGGGCATGGTCGTGGGCAGCGTGCGTATGATGCGCCCCGGCCGAGCGTCACGAGCGTTTCGTCAAGAGACGACAGGGATGTGGGCACACGGCACGCCAAGGCCGCGCGGGTCTCGAGAGGATGCGCTGACCCAACCGGGCCTGGTGCCGTGGGCAAACGGCGGTTGGCGGGAGGATTGGTAGCAAAAAGCCTGGTTAGCAGCTGTTAGCCATCAAAACGTGGGGCCCTGTCGGCCCTCTGCTGCACCGAAAATCGGCCCGTGCGAGCGCACGCGGAGAAGAGAACAGAAGCCGCCATCTCTCCGCCCTCCCGTCTCTCTCAACCCGCTGTCTCTGCCGGACCAGGCGCCACATCCTTCCAAGGCAGGTCAGATGCCTTCTCCCGAGATCATCGCCCACTGGCCCGCCCACGCCGCCGGCATGGAGCCGCTCGAGGCCATCACTTCGCCCTCCCTCAAGGCCATTGTGACCTTTGCCGCGCTGCTATGGTAAGCTTGCGCGCGCCCTGGAGCCTTGCGCGCGCTGACTCTTCAAAGGCTGGTCTATCGCGCCTACCAGGTCATGGTCATCAAGGAAGATGCCCTCATCAAGCTGCTCGGCCTCGACGTGCCCGCCGCGCCCAGCGTCTCCTTGGCTGGCATCAAGGCAGACGGCGCCACCTTGCACTGGGAGCCCGCCGAGTCCCGTAGCGGCGTCATGGCATACCAAATAAAAGTCAACGGCATTTTGGTCGAGGAGGTAGGGCCAAAGGAGACTTCCATCACCATCAACAACCTGAAGCCCGGTGTCGCATACATAGTTCGAATCATCGCCATAAATCAGCACAACTTCCAGTCGCCTAGCGACCCCATCCAGTTCAGAACGAAACCGCCCGTCTCCGACGACTTCTTCGATTTCGCTGCCTACAATCGCAACCTGGAAACCGCAAACGATGCCGAGCACGAATCGGATGAGAGATGGTGGGTGGAGCCAAAGGTCCAGCCGTGCAGGAACTTTCTCGAACCGACGTCTCCGGTTCCCGCACCGGAAATGGTTCGCTCGCATAGCAACAGTCAGTCGCATCCGCGGAGAATTCCTTTCGGGAGGCGCAGTTCACCGGCAACTGGAATTTCGTACAACCAGGGTGACGATGCTGGCGACAGTTCGGAGACGGGAGAAACGGAGACGCAACTACAAGCAAAAGGCGACCGACTCCGATCGGACATTGCGACAATCAAAAAGGCCATGGATGATGAGGAAAAAACTTTCAAGGAGCAAAAGGAAATTCTGAGTCAAAGACACAATGAGCTGAAGGATGAACTTGCCCGGAAAACGGCCGCGAGCAATGAGCTCAAAAAGGAGGTTGCCAATTTGGAAAAGGAGAACCAGCGCGCCCAGGCCAAGAAGACAGCCGAGGAAAAGGCACTACAGCAAAAGCTTGCCGAAAGAAGCAAAATGCGGGACGACTTCCAGCGCTTTAAGGTTGAAAAGGAAGGAATGGCAGCCGAGATTGAACGCATTGAGCAGCAGAAGCGCGAGTACCAGTCGAACATCGACGAGCAGATGCAGGAGCTGCGGGAGAAGCACACCGAAGAGCAGCAGACAATCAAAGGCCTAGAGGAGTCTGTTCGAGAGATTGGTATTCAAAACCGGCTTCTTGAAGAAGAGCGGAGAAGACTAGAGAATGGCGAGAGCGAGCAAGAAGGACTTCCTAAGCCTGGTTACGTTGAAGAAGACAGGCAGTGGAACGAGAAGATTAGAAGCCTACAGGCACGTTATTCGGCAGCTTGGGCTGGCCTGCAAGCAGCTGAGAGAGCTTACGGCGAAGCACAGAACCAGTTGAATCTTACAACTGCCCGGGCAGCTAGCCAGCCTCAGCTCTTCAGGCAGCCTCCAGTCATCGACAGCGCACCATCGAGGAGGACCAGCCAACGTCGGAGGCATGCTGGAAGCTTTGGAAATGATAATATTTCTGCGGCTCCCGGCTTCCCTATCACGACCACAGCACCCTTCAACACCAGCATTTCTAGCATTTCGTCTGGCTTTGGCGACGCGTCGCAATACTTCAACATTGCAAATGGCTCAGTTCCGATACCGCCTAACCTGAATCGTGAAAGTCTCTTCAGCCCGGCAGACATTGATATGCTTACTGGGGGTGCACCAATGAGCCCCAACGCAGGTGATCTTCTGCCGTCAGGTTTGTTTGCAGATGAAACCGATAGGTCTGCGGACGAAGCGGAAGACGACGAAAGCGACGTCCCCGCCATCCCGGGCCTTGGCGCACCGCAGGCTCAGGAGCCTTTCAACAGAAGTCCAAGCTCTCCAGCCTCGGCTCAGAGCAGGTCACCAAGCCTCTTCGCCAGTCCCCGCGCTAGCTCGAACCAGCTGCCGATTGGGCCTCCACAGGATGTACCGTTTGACAACGACGGAAGATCGGTCAAGAGTCTCTCTAGCTCCGCAAGAGGCGTTCATGCTCTCAACAACAATCTCCAGAGCAGGTTTAGTACTCTTTTCACACGCCAACGAGGCAAGACTCTCTCTGAAGATGGTCCTACGTTGGGCTCGCTGAACAAGAACCAGAGCCACTCGCTGCCTCGGCCGGAATATGCCGAGCAGGACCCCATCGGGACGCAGCGACGCAGAGGAAGCCATTCCGGCAGTAGCTGGATGGATTCCATGGCGAAACCCTTTCGCAGCTCCACCACCAGCGCTCTCGACGAGAAGGACCCTTCCAGCAGCCACATCAAAACACGGACGCGGTTCTACAAGCTGTTCCCCAGCAAGGACGAGACGCCATGGCCTCCAGCCTTTGGCGTGGAGCGGCCAGCTTCGCCGAGACCTGGCTCGACAAGATCCTTCGGGGATGCCATGCAGCTTCCCCGACCTTCTACAGAGCTTGGACGTTTTGGCTGGGGCCCGGAGCTCCCTGGTCAAAGATCAAGCCCTCTGAACCCCGATCTGGCCATCAATCCGATAGGCAACTTCTCCCGCCACCCCTCCCGACGGCCGTCCATCCAATATGGTCCTTCCGGCGGCATGAACTATGAGGAAATGCTTGCCGGGAATTCCAACGTGCGCGCGGACGACTTTGATTTCCCTACCACCCAGTTTCCTACCACCCAGTCGCCGCTAAGCCAGCCTCCCATCGGCACGCGCCCGCAGTCGCAGCCACAGCCAGCCCCAGACACTCCACCAAGCGGCAAGCTCAATCCCGCTGCGCCCAACTTCAAGAGCCTCTTCAGCCGCTCCGCGGGGGCTGAAAAGAGCAAGAGCAAGGACATGTCGAGGGACTTTGAGGATGAGCCTTTCTCGTTCGACGGTTCTGCCGCTAACGATTTCGCTTCGAGCCCTTTCTACAGCCCCAGTCCCAACGTCGCAGCAGTGGCTGCCTCGGCCACAGAATCGCCCTTCAACCCGCTCGAAGGGAGTCCTACCTCGATGCGCAAATCGCGCGACGGGCGCGCCAGCACCATGACATCGGACGGGGGCTCGCTGTCGCTGTCAGCATCATGGAGTCCGCGCGCAAGCCTCGACCGCACGAGCAGCCGCACGCCGTCGGAGAACCTGACGCCGTCGATTGCGTCGGCGGGCAAGGAGTCGTGGATGGCGAAGCTGTCGCGCAAAGGCAGCTCGAGCAAGTTCCAGCTGCCGGGATTCGGCAGCCGCGACCGGGACCGCGGGTCGAGCGGGTCGGGGGGCTTCTTCTCGCGCGATCGCCGCGCGGCCGACTCGGCGGACGAGGAGGCCTTGGCTACGGAGCCGCCGACGCCGGGGTTTCCGCCTGCGGCTGGAAGCAGCAGCGTCGCTAGTAGTCCGCTTGTGGGGGGCGAGAAGGATAAGAAGGGTGATCGCTCTAGTGGGCTGAGTTGGAGTAGTCTGCGCCGCAAGAAGAAGGCTCCGTCGATTAATGAGAGTGTGACTAGTGAGCGCACGGAGGATGAGGAGGAGCTTGCGGATGCGCGCGCGCCCGAGGGCTTGGGCGTTATGGCTATTAGGGAGTAAGTAGGTGGGTGGGTGCTGGTGCCGTCTCTTCTCTTCTCTTCTTATGCCGACATGTCTTCTATACGCGGGGCGCGGAAGGCTAGGGCTCGGCGGGAAACGATCGATCGATCAATCAATCATATGTGTACAGACAGGCAATGACCAAAGAGTCCATGTACCGGGCCTTTCCGTGAGCGTGCTGTAGGTAATGTATATATGAAGTACAGTAACGTCCGTCACCGTGAAGCGAGATGGTGATATGTGTACGGAGGAGAAGAAGAGACCCAGCCACGATGTGTAGAGTCTATGCGTGCTCTAAGACCTTTACATCTATATCCAGGACTCGGGATATGAGCTAGACAAGGAGTACTCTGTAGGGACTGCTTGTGTCGTCCACTGTCTCGCTAGACGGCGGATCTCGGTTCTCGGTGACGGACGCTATATATGAAGTACAGTACATCATCATCTTCCTCTCTCTTCGTGACAACACACAGCGTACAGCGTACAGCATACAGCATGTAGACAAGACAACCACAACCACACACACCACCAACAACAAAACGAGCCCTCACGTCTCACGCCTTCCCACCCTCGCCATCAACGTCCTCTTTCCGCCCCTCGAACACCAACCCCCAGAGATCTTGCTCCAGGATCCCCGCCCCGCCCACCACGGCCTCCCCGCCCTCGGCCGCGCGCACAATCTTCTCGAGCTCTTGCACGCTCGGCACACCCTCCCCCGCGAACTCACAAACAAGAAGCTCGCTCGGCACCGCCTCGCCCTCGCCTCTAGGCCTTGCGTTCGCCAGCGGCGCCGCGACGAGCGAATACCGCGTACAGCGGACGTAACCGGGCACGCGGTCTGCGAGCGCGCGGTGCGCGGCGCGGGTCCATGCTGTGAGCTGCGTGGGGGAGGTGCTGGAGGAGGGAGCGAGGGCGAGGGTGAGGGCGTGTGTGGGTGTGGGCGTGGGGGCGGACGCAGCAGTATCTTTGGTGTACGTCTCAACGGTAGCGTACACGCGCACGTCGAACGCCGTGAGGGAGAGGTAGGAGGCGCCGTGCGGGAGGAGGGGGTGGGTGTCGCTCAGGGCGGCGAAGTGGGGGGACGAGACGATGGAGAGGTCGTCGACGGGGTAGAGGGCTAGGTAGGGGGGGTGCGTGGGTGCGTCCGTGGTGGTAGCCGTGTTCTCGAAGCGGTAGGCGCGTGGTGGCCCCGATGGGATTGAGAGCACTTCGCGGATGTGCACCGTGTTGTACCATTCGGTGAAGGCGGCGGGGGTGAGGTCGGGCGAGGTGATGCGCCCGGCAGCGTAGAGGATGCCGGGGGTGGGCATTGTGAGGGTTAGGAGGAGGTGGTGGTGGTAGTAGATGTAGTAGTGGTGGTGATGAGGTTGTTGTGGTAGTTGAGATGGAATTGGAGATGGAGATGGCAGTGATTGAGAGTTGGAAGGGGAAAAAGGAGAGAGAGAGAGAGAGAGAGAGAAAGAGTGAGCTGCGAGTTAATGTCTCAAAGTGTTAACGTGGATACCTATGAGCGGGGATCCCGTCTACTCTAGTCAGTAGTCAATGGGGAGTGGGGCAAGGCGGGAGTAACGAGGCATCTCGTCCGCCAGACTGACTCGTTCGTGGTCCTCACCGCGAGGACACACGAGTCATGCTAGCGCCAAAATTTCCTGAGACTGCCTCCGCACCAAGCACTCTACCTACCTACCTTTCTCTTTCCCCTCACACTCGCTCTTCCTCCCTCTTCCTCCCTCTCCCTCCCCGCAATGGACGCCGCCGCCCTCCTCAAAAAGCAAGGCTGGCGCGGCCTCGGCCACTCCCTCGACCAGCACGACCGCGGCATCGCGCGCCCGCTGCTCGTCGCCAACAAGCAGAACCAGCTGGGCGTCGGCCGCAAGAAGACCCAAGTCGCCGACCAATGGTGGATGCGCGCCTACGACACGGGGCTCAAGGAGCTGGGCACAGGCAAGGAGGTAAGACGACGGCCTTCCCTTCTACGCGTGGGGAGCAGTAGCTGACGCGCACCCGCGCGCCGCAGACGACGCTCTCGCAGATCCGCCAGCGCGGCGTCGCCAACGGCGGCCTCTACGGCTTCTTTGTGCGGGGCGAGAGCCTGGCGGGCACGATTGGCGGGCGCGACGCCAGCAGCAGTAGTAGCGCCAGCAGCGCAGTGGAGGAGGAGGGGACGGCGTCCACGGCCGCAACGACGCCCGAGGCGGACGACGGCGCGCGCAAGGCTAAGAAGCGCAAGCTCGACACCAAGGAGAAGGACAAGAAGACGGACAAGAAGCGCAGCAAGACGGCGGCGGCGGGCCTGGCGGACGACTCTTCGGCCAGCGCGTCGGGCTCGGGCTCCGAAGACGCGAAGGCGGCAAGACGCGCGGCGAAGAAGGCGCTGCGTGTGCGGTTGATGCGGGAGAAGCTGGAGGCCGCAAGGGGGGACTCGGCGGCCGCGGACTCGGAGGCTACGAGTACGGATAAGGGCAAGGATAAGAAGAAGGACGCGAAGAAGGATAAGAAAGAGAAAGACGCCTCGAAGGCGCAGCGCCGTGCTGCTGAGAAGGGCATCTCTGTCGAGGCATACCTGGTTCAGCGCGCAGAGAGCAAAACCAAGAGCAAAAGCAAACCCTCGAAATGAGCAACGTTACCAATACCCTGCGCTGCCTGTCACAGGCCTGCTGCCGTCAGACTCGAGCAGTGCAATCACTCACAGGATGTGGGAATGCTTAATTGCTTAGCAGCTTCGTCCTACGTGAGGGAGACGCCACAGACTAGGCCCAACCGCAGAGGACTTCCTAGATAGGGACATCCACGCCTCCATTCGCCCCGTGCGGAAATGACGGCAGCGGAGCAAGCCGAGCCGGTCTCTGCCCCACCCGCGCGTGTTAATGTCTTCGACCCGGCACGGGGAGGCGCCTTGGCTTGATTAAGAGGGGGATCTGTCTGGACGAAGGACGAAAGGATTGGTCGCAGAGGAGTGGGGAGGGCTTGCATTCTTGGGTTTCCGGAGAGTGTTTGATATGGCAGGATACCATAACTGGCGCTGGCAAGGACTATGTACAACAGGACAAAACCGAACACAACACAATGATACCCCCATCAGCCAAGCACATCGCATCCTTAACCACCCATCCCAACCCTCAACACAGCCAGCCTCATCGTCACCAGTCCCACCGCACTATCCATCTAATCCTGCCCATCACCATCACCATCACATCCCCCTCCCACCTTAATCCAGCCCTACCCCACGCACTCCCCCTCACCCAGCCACCGCCTCACGCCACCCTCCCCCAAATCCACGCCCGCCCCCCCCGCTACCTCCCCCATCACCACCCCCCTCGCCGCACAAGCCTCCCTAAAAGCGTCCACGCCCCCACCAACACCAAAATAGACTCTCTTCGCCGCAACCAGCAGCTTAGCGTTGCGGCCACGCCCGCTTGCCATCAGCGCCGCGCACGCGTCAGCGAACCCCTCTAGCGCCGCCGGCGAGTAGATGGTTTCGCTGCCCAGGAGCAGGGTGCGCATGTCTGGCGCGCTGGGGACGAGGGCCGCGAAGCGGTCGGGCGGGGCCCAGGAGCCGGCGAGGAGGGTGAGGTGGAGGGAGGATGTGTGGAGGGAGGTGAGGAAGGCGGCGAGGAGGGCGGGCGTTAGGTCGAGGTCGCCTGTTTCGGGTTGGGTGGGGGAAGAAGGGTCTGGTGGGGAGGAGGGGAAGTGGAACGGCGAGGGGTGCTCGGGCGTGAAGACGGGGGCGTCGGCCGGGAGCGTGCTCGCCCAGACGAGGAGCAGGTTCGGCAGCGTGACGAGTCGGAGGACGGAGGCGTTGTAGTCTGCGAGGGTGAAGTAGAGGGGGAGGGATTGCGCGAGGGCGTGTTGGAAGAGGAGGAGCGTGGGGAGCGCGGTGCCGCAGCCGAGCTGGGGGGTGGGGGTGGGGCGTTAGTGTTGGTTGCTTTGTTTGGTTTGGGGTGGTTGGTTGGTTTGGTTCGTGTGGTTTTTCCTGGATAGAATGGTGGCTATGTGGCAGTGGTGTGGGTGTGTAAAAGAGGGATAGAGGAAGGGAGTGAGTTGGAGAGGGGGGGGGGGGTAACAAGAGAGAGGAAGAGAGAGCAACACACACCTCAACAACATGGTCCACCCTACACAAATCATCCAAGTCCTTCCTCGGGCCGCGATCCAGCAGCAGCTTCACAAGATCGACCGAGCACTCCCAGCTCTTAAACCCGCCCTCGTAGACATTCGTGCGGATATCGGCGTCGTCGAGGCCGGCGATGGCATCGGCGCTGCTCGAGGACCCCGAGCCATCCGCGCCGTCTGCGCCCTCGTCCTCGGCCATCAGTTGCAGCCGCACGTCGAAGAGTTCGCGCCGCGGCAGCGTGACGCTGCGCCCTTGGGGCGACGTGATGGTTAGGGTGCTGTAGGAGATTTTGGACGGGAGGGTTGCGAGCTGGGGAGGGTGTTAGTGGGGTGTGCGTGAGAGGTATAGAGAAGGAGAGAGCTAGCGAAGGAAAGGAGGAAAAAATGACAGGAAAGAATGACGGGAAAGCATAGCAGCAACAACAACACCTCCGCTAGTAGTGATAGTGCTGTGCTGGTGCAGCTCCACCACCCCTCCGGGTACAATACCAGCACAAAAAATACCACCCACTAGCAACACCCGCAGCAAAGCAAAGCAAAAAGAAAAAAGAGACACAAACAAAAAGAAAAACAACCCCCCCCATAAAAAAAAAAAAAAGCCCAACCTACCACATCCTCAACCCTGAGCACCTTCGGCTCAACCAGCGGCGGGCCGTTCTCCACCCCTCCCGCAGACGCAGGCGCCGCTTCGCCAACGCCCACGTCCACGTCCATCGTCTCGTCTATGTCGTCGCCCGAGAAGCCGAAGCTGAATGCCATGGTGCGGCGTGTGGTGTGCTTGCTTGCTTGATTGGAGTGGGGGTGGGGTGGGGTGCCGGACGCGTGCAGAGCGTGGTAGTCAGTAGGGCAGAGCGGGATTTCTTCGGGTTTGGTGGTGACTGCGTGGTGGAGGGACGGAGGGACGTCGCTGCTGGTATAGGTAGGTGGATAGGTTTTGAGATGGTTTGGCGGGTTGGGAGTTTGGGTGTGTGCGTTCACTAGGAGAGGTGTGGTGTGCGGTTTGAGAGTGGGATTTTGGTGTCTATTTTCAGTGTCGTTCTTCTATCTTTCCTCTCTACACCTATTTGATACCACCGACCATAATACATCCAAGTATATACAAACACGCCTACAGCATCCATCACCGATAGGCGCATCTACTCTCCAAAGAACCTCCAACCCTCCACCTAACTCGGCCGCCCCTTCCCCAACGCAACCACATTCCTCAACGAGCCAAAAGGCTGCACATCCGCGACCCTCTGCACGCCCGCAAACAGCATAACGATCCGATCGACGCCGCAGCCCCAGCCGCCGGTAGGAGGAAGACCCCACTCCAGGGCCTCGAGGTACGACTCGTCGACGGTGCGCAGCCCCCTTGCCTCGACATCGCGCTGGGCCAACTGTGCCTCGAACTTGCGGCGCTGCGCAAACGGCGAGTTTTCCTCCTCGTACGCGTTGACGTACTCGCGGCCGGCGATGAACAGCTCGACGCGGCGGCTCACGACTTGCCCGGACACGGGATCCGTGTAGGACTTTGCGAGCGGCGCCATGATCTCCGGGTGGTGCGTGATGAACGTCGGCGCGGTGCAGAGCGGCTCGATGTACTGTTCTGCGAGGGCGTCGAGCAGGCGCGGCAGCGTCGCGTCGGCGGGGGGCGTGAGGGCCAGGTCCTTGAAGAGCGCTTGCAGGTCGGCGAAGGCGGTGGGTGCGCTGAGGTCTGGCAGACGCTGGTTTATGGCGCTTTCGATGGTCGGGATGAATTCGAGGCGCTTGAAGGGCGCGCTGAAGTCGGTGGAGGTGGGCGTGAGCGCTTCGCGCACGACTTTGTTGCTTAAGGCGAGCTGCGTCACCGTGCTGTGCAGGAGGGAGAAGAGCGTCTCGGTGCGCTGGATCAGTGCTTCCAGCGTTGCGTAGGGCTCATAGAACTCGCAGATGGTGAACTCGGGGTTGTGCGTTGCGTCGATGCCTGTGTATCAATGTTAGTTGGGAGACCGCTACGGCTACATCCAGTCACAACGCTCACCCTCGTTCCTAAACACCGTGCCAATCTCATACAGCCGCTCCCCCGTCCCAATCACCAGCCGCTTCAGGAACAGCTCCGGTGCAATCCGCAGCGTCAGCGGATCATCCGGGAACTCGTTCGCCTTGGTCTCAAACGGGCGAGCAGCAGCGCCCGCCGCGCCCGCCGTCAGCAGCGGCGTATTGACCTCCATGAAGCCGTCCTGGTCGAAGAAGCGGCGCATTGCGCTGACGATGGCGGAGCGCACACGCTGCGTCGCCGCTCGGCTGGGATGCACGAGGAAGTCGACGTGCGGCTGGCGGGCCAGCGTCTCGGGGCTCTCGACCACCTCGGGCAGCTGGTGCAGGGAGGGGGCGAGGGAGCGCGGCAGCTCCGTCGCGACGATGGAGAGCTCGCCGCTGGGTGTGCGGGTGGGATATCCCGTTACGGCTTGGGAGCGTCAGTACACTTGCCACATCTCAGGATGTCTCTGAGCACGTCTTACCGTAGATGTCGCCCTTGCGTACGAGCTTCTGGAAACGCTTGAAGTCGGACTTCTCTACGCCCTGCGGCTCCAGCACTCCAAAGTTGCACAGCCCTTGCACCGTGTGGCCGCGGTCATACAGGTCGATGAAGACTAGCTTGGAGCCCGAAGAGCGGCGGGAAGACACCCTTCCTGGATCCATCAGCCTCTTGCCTCATAGACAGCCGCGCTTGGGCGGGCATCATTCACGAGGGAAACGGGAGGCAGCAAACGGAAAATATCGTGATGATTCTACCACAGCAACACTACATGTGAAAAAGAAGACCCAGCCAGCAGCCATTAATACCTTGGACGTACCAAAAACAGTCACCGTCATGTCCTTGCGCGCCTCGTCATTCTGCAGGTCCTTGAACGCCTCGTGCACCTCCTGCGCCGTCATGCGGTCCGCCTTGTGCGGGTTCGGCGGATAGTACCCCGCCAGGTCGCCCGCCTGTTCCAGCTGCTTCAACCGCTTCTCGAAGTCGTGCGTCACGTCCAGCGCGGGTGGCGCGGCGGCGGCGGCCCTAGCAACCGAGTGCGCGAACCCGCGCCGTTGCAGGGCGCTGTACGCGCGGACGCCGGCGCGCTCGGGACGCGCGCGCTGCAGACATTGCCGGAGGAGGCGGCAGCCGCTGCTCATTCTTTGCGAGGCGTTAGCAATTGCTCAGCCACAGGGCATTGGGAGTGAGAGGAGTAGGGAGGAGAGCGAGAGTTCAGTAATGGGTATGTTAAAGTCAACCGCGCCGAGACGCGTCATTCGCAACGGTTCTAATGTTATGAGTTCATCATGTAGGGGCTCGTGGATGAGAGAAATGAAGAAAGCAAAAAGCGCACTGCACTGCACCTACCTGACTGCTGCGATCCGCCTCGTCGTGTGCGAAAAGGCGGCTGACAGAAACGAAAAAAGAAGAAGAGGAAGAAGCAGGAAGCGGACGTGCGAGAAAAAAAGGCCGTTTCATGTCGTCGTCGGCCGGCGTGGGTCCAAGCTCCCAAAATTCCTCCCGAGAAACGGGCGGGCGACGACATCACCAACGCTCGACCCGCGCAACCTGCTGCAACTCGTCCAACCTCGCCCATCACCAACAACAAACCACCCACAAAAACCAATTACCGCTTCCACGCCACCACACCCCAACAATGTCCTTCTCGCTCTTCGGCGGCGGCCGCCCCCAGCCCAGCTCGGAGCAAAAAATCGCTGCGGCAGAGACCGAAATCGAAATGGTTTCCGACATGTTCAACCGGTAGCAATGACCCTTGCGCTGCCACAGCCCCCCACAAATACTTCCCCTCTCCCTCTCTTCCTCTCTCTTCCACAGATAGCAATAAAAGAAAGCAGACTCGCTAACACTCACTCACCCGCCAACAGCCTCGTCTCCTCCTGCACCAAAAAGTGCATCCCAACCACGTACCGCGAGAACGACCTCGACAAGGCCGAGTCCGTCTGCCTCGATCGCTGCGTCAGCAAGTTCTTCGACGTGCACACCAAGGTCAGCGAGAAGATGCAGGGCGAGGCCGCCGCGAGGGGCGGCGCTGGCGGCGCCGGCGGCATGTTTGGCATGTAAGGTTGGGGAATTGGGAGTAGGGGGGAGCGGTGAAGAGTGTGGGGATTTTTGGGTTTGATGAAGGTGGAGGGAGAGAGAGTTTGTGGAGAGCGGCGCGCGCTCTGCGATAGTGCTGTGCTGGGACGAGAGCTGTGGCGTTGGCGTTGGAGCTGGAGCTGGTGCTGGATTGCGAGCGCGCGTTGCTCGTGCGTGCACCGACTACCAGCTATGCGTCCGCCGCGCAGGCGCCTACTTTTTTCGCATCTGGAACCTCTCCATCACACACACACCCGCCCGCGCCTCAATACACACCCACCTACCCCGCTCCCCCCGCCCCGCTTGTACGTATTCCGTGCGTCTGCTTTTCCGCTCCGTCATGCCACGTCACGTCGTAATAGCGCTGGTTGTGTATAAAAGTTGTAGTTGGTTTGCTGCCGCCGCTTTTGCCGCTTCTGCGGGTCTGTCGCCTGTGCTAGCGTTGTGTACTGTGTACTGTGTGCATGTGTGTGCCGTGACAGTCCCCGCTCTACTACATACTTACGCAGCCAAGAATCGCGCTTGCTTGCTACTACTACTGCTAATTGCTAAAGCTGTGATCATGGTGTTAGTACCTAGCGAGGATGAAGGATGAGGTAGGTAGTGCGTCATGAAGTGGTGGGATTAGCAGACGGGTGTTGTGCGTCTGAAGTCGTAAGTACCTAGCGTGAAAGTAAAAGCAGGGTTCTGAGCCGTCGTACCGTCGTCTGTCGGAATTGGCAGTGAAGAGTAAAGCTAGGACTGGAACCAAACCAGACCAAGTAAAGAAACCAAAACCGCCGGTGCCTCGTCGTCATGGTCGTCGTAACAAGTGAGAAATGAGAAGCCAAAAGTAAAGCGAGCATCGCAGTGTCGCCGCCCCAACAACGAAGCCCCAAAGCAAAGCCAACCATGCAGGCATGAAGTGTCGTCCAACAAGACGCAGAACCAAATCCAACTCCAAACCCCACCACCTACACCCATCACCCCCTCTCACCTCTCCTCCCCTCCACCCCCCGTCCAGACGCTCCCCTATTACTCCCCACCAACCCACAAATCCGGCGCAAGCTCTGCTGCGCCACCTCCGCATGAACGCTCGCCTCCGACGCAGCCTGCCGCGCGCGCTCCTCTGCGATGCGCGATTCTTGCGCGGCTGTTACTGCTTGCAGCATTGCCTGTTGTGTCAGTTGGGGTTGGGTAAGGGGAGGAAAGGGAAAAGGCGTACAGAAGTGATATCCAGCACAGCCCCACGGCCCGCTGACGCCATGCTCGCCGTCTGCTGCAGCATGTACAGCGCCATGGCCTTGGTGTCTTTCTCCGCTGGAGTGGCGAGCGCGTGAGCGGGCTGGGTGGTGTTGGTGTTGGTGTTAGGCGACGGCGTTGAAGTCGTGTCGCGAGGCGCGGCGTGGCCTGAGGTGCTGCTGGCGGCGGGCGTGGGCGTGGGCGTGTGAGGCAGCACGGGGAGTTTCTTGTCGGCGAGCGAGCGCGGGAGCGGCTGCGCTGCAGCCTGAGGAGCAGCGGGAGCAGTAGCAGTAGAAATAGTAGCAGCAGAGCCCCGCCCGCCCGGCATGCGCGCATGATGCGCGAACGCGCTGGCCGTGGGCTGCTGTGAGGGCCTGCGATGTAGCGGCGCGTGGTGCTCAGCATGACGGGAGGGCACGACCAGCGGCTTCTCGACGAAGTTGATTTTGGTCTTGCTGCTGCGGTCGGGGCGCTTAGGGTTGGAGTTGGAGGTGGAGGCGAGTTTGGTGTCCCGTTTGGGGTGCAGCAGGCGCCCGACTTTGGACATGGCGAGGCGCGCTTTGGATGTTGAGCGGTCTTTCTTGGTCGTCGGGATTGCGCTCATTCGGAGTGGGAGCACGGGCGAGGCTTGCTGCGCCTGCTGCGTGTTGGGCCCGGAGTCATCGGCTTGGAAGCGTTGTGTGATTTGCTCGGAAGGGAACCGCGTTGGTGGAAACGTGTCGGCCACTGGTGAGAGTGGCTTGCTGTACCGGCGCGGTGCAGCAAAGGGCGCCGGTTGATCGCTGTTGGGTAGAGTGCGCGACGGAGTTGGTATGCGGGAGTTCCGTCTTGCGATGCGAGCTTCCTTGGGCGTGACAACGAGAGAAGCGTCGGTCAAGTCGTTGGAGACGACGCGTAGACTAGGCGTGACTGCTGGCAAGACGGCGTGCTGAGATGGGGTAGGGACTTCAGGCCGCTCGACCGTCTCCACCTCCTCTTGGTCGCGGAAGGGGTCCATGTCAGTAGTGTCAGGACTACCGTTGCCGTGAGACGGTGAGGCGTTTGGTGGTGACTCGCTGAGCAACAACTCTTGAAAGTTGTCCCAGTCAATCTCCGTGCTCGCTGGCACGGCTCCCTCCAGCATCGCCATGGCCTCATGGCGCGAGGCATTCCGGCGGCGCGCGTCGTCATTGGTGAGGGCCTGGCCCCCCGCACTCCTTGACACGCTCCCAGACGGGCCATCACTCATGGTGTCACCCATGATGACGACCTCGGCGTCCGGGTCGATAGTGAGGACGGGAGCCAGCCCTCCCATCTGTCCACAGCCCGACGGCGGCCTCCGCAGCGACCCGGGCACAGCATCACGAGCCGCCCCGGCAGGGCGCGTCTGGACATGGCCAGCCGCGTGGCCGCTGTGAGGCGGCGCCCTACCGGGTTGGCCGTTGGCTGCCACCGGGATCGCGCTCCGGTGGTTCCTGAGGCGTGTAGCGTTGTTCGTCGACATGGTGACTTCAATTTATATCCGAGTTAGTAGCATCGTATATAATAAACATGGTGGAGTCAGTCCCGAATGACTACACCAGAGTAAGCGACTTACGGTGTTGATGCCGGCAATGGTTGGAGGGGGAGGGGTTTATATATGGGGGTCATCAGGCGTGGTGGACGTTTGGGAGGGGCAGGTGAGTGAAAGCTGGGTGGGTGACTGCCTAGCAAACCGTTTGTCAACCACCTTTTGCGTGAAGAGATATGCGGCGCTAGACGTGAAGCAATGCCCCTTTCACTGTCCGTCCCATGATCTCTGGTGAATGATTGCTGCATTCAGTATGGACAACCTCCAAAGTGAAAAGGAAGGGATCGATCGAATAAATGGCTCGGAGGACTGAAGCAGTTTTCGAAGTACAGGGCATACTGCAGTAAGCAATTGGCGTGAAAATAAGAGAAGCAAGTGACTTTGAAGACTATCCGCATAGCTACTTTGCCTTGCTGTGTCCATATATCTCATCCAAGCTCTTTAATACATATTCTCTTCGTACCGGGAGGAAGTGTCACAGCGAGTTTACATGTTATGTCACGTCTACTATGGCAAACAAAAATGCCCTCCAAAGCCGACGTGCTTCAAGTCTGGAAGATCCCGGGTGAGGTCGGGAAATGGATTTTCCATGGAGCTGGTGTGGGGCTGTGAGCTGCGAGAGCTCCCGTTGCGGCCTGAGAATTCAGGAATTAATCAGTCAATGCGCAACGTCGCCGCAACCATGTAAAGAAGCCTCCTTCACCTATCCCGCTGCTTCAATTGTCACTAGGTATGGCCAAAGACTACAAGGCCGCCAAAGAGGCCTTCGTCTCCAACCATACGGGTGGCACCGTGTGGGAAATCAACGCCGTCACCCTCGTCGCGCCGGTAACCCTCTTGCCCACCACCATTGCATGCGCCATTGCCCCATACTGACGCGCTCGATAGGCAGCGGTGCTCCTGTGGTCGGTTCTGCAGTCGCGCCAGTCCTTCTTCAGCCCATACACCCCCGCCGCCTGCCTGACCGATGTCTTGCTCAATTGCATCGCCATCTTGCTCGCCACGACCGTGTACTCCTACTCGCCACTACTGCTTAATGCCCTCCTCATATCACACGCCGTCTTCGCTGCCTTTGCCTCCGCGCCCGCCAACACTCATGCCGCGCATCCCCGCGCGCCCCCAGCCGCGACCAGCGACGCCGCGGCCAAGAACCCCCTGCCGCTGAAGCCCTTCGTCACGGCCTGGCGCGGCGCCATGATGGTCATAACTTGCGTGGCGATCCTGGCGGTCGACTTTCGCGTCTTCCCGCGCCGCTTCGCCAAAGTCGAGAACTGGGGCACATCGCTGATGGACATGGGCGTTGGCGCCTTCGTCTTTTCTGCCGGCACCGTCTCCGCACGCAGCCTTTTGCGCCAGCAGATCAACCGCACCCAGCTGCCATTGGGACCGCGCCTTTGGGGTTCCTTCAGACACTCGCTCCCGCTGCTCGTTTTGGGCCTGATTCGACTGTACAGCGTCAAGGGCCTCGACTACGCCGAGCACGTCACCGAGTATGGCGTGCACTGGAACTTCTTTTTCACGCTCGGCCTGCTCCCCCCATTCGTCGCGCTCTTCGAGAGTGCGTTCTCGCTCGTCCCGTCCTTCGCAGCGCTATCCGTCCTCCTCTCCGTAGCCTACGAGCTCACCCTCAACCTCACCAACCTCAAAGCCTTCATCCTCACCGCCCCGCGGACCGACCTCCTCTCCCAAAACCGCGAAGGCATCTTCTCCTTCCTCGGCTACCTCGCCATCTTCCTCGCCGGCCGCGCAACCGGCATGTCGATCCTGCCACGCGACGCAGCCGTGCCCACCCTGCGGGGCTCGCGGCGCCCCACCCCGCTCCCCACGCTGCTGCGCGCCGCCCTCGCCGAACTGCGCGCCGCCCTCCCCCAAACACGCGGCAACCCACTGGCGCTGCGCAGCGCGCCTCTCCCGCAAACCCAGCAGCTCGTCCAGCGCCTGCGTGCCTCGCCGCTCGCGCGCCTGTGCGCCCACGCCGCCGCCTGGTCCGCCCTCTACGCCCTCAGCACCGCCTACGCGGGCCTCAACCTCCGCGTCTCCCGCCGCCTCGCGAACCTGCCCTACGTGCTCTGGGTCGCGGCGTTCAACACCGCGCAGCTGGCGCTGTTCCGCGCTATCCAGAGCGTGTTTTTCCCGGGCGTGGAAGAGGACGCCGGACAGCGCCGCGGGGCGGCTGCGGCGGCGACGCCGCGCGTCTTGCACGCGTTCAATAGAAACGGCTTGGCGGTTTTCTTGCTGGCGAATTTGCTGACTGGGTTGGTGAACTTGGCGTTGCCGACGCTGGAGATGGGCACGCTGCCTGCGATGGGGGTGTTGGTGGCTTATGTGGCGGTTTTGGCGGGCGTAGCGTTGGGGTTGGATGCGTGGGATGTTTCGGTCAAGATTTAGTTGCGTAGTTAGGGAGGTGTGGGTGCTTGATGTTGGAGTTGGGGTGTAGGTACGGTGGTGCATATGTATGTGTAGGTCTGCTAGACGGTCCTTGGAATACATCAGTGCACGCACGCACGCATTGCATGCATTGTATATCGAACTCAACAGCCAAAACAGTAGCACCCACCGTGCGCGCATCCATCCACTGATGCCGGCAATGCCGTGTCGAGACAGCATAACCACCGCGTACTCGTCATCATCGCGTCCACAGCACGCAACCCACGACAACATGCCCTGCCAATGCTGCTGGTACGATGCACATACCCAGGTCTCTCTCGCCTAGGTAGGTATAAAAGTCTGCATAACAAAAACAACGCTCTTGCCCCTATGGAAATCGGAACCCGAAAAGGGTAAGCAGCCGAGGACACTTGGTTGATAGATACCGAGTTCATGTGCCCGGGCCGTGTCGCGGCGTTGGTTTAAGTTGGAGGGTAAACTGCCTATGGCAGCTGCTAAGTGAGCGCTGGAAAGCACGCCGTTCATAGGTAGTTGCTGATGCGTACCACAAAGACACTATAATAACAGTACCCGCTATTAAGGAACGATATCGGCACTCGCCAAGTCGGCATAGTGTGGTGTGTTTCCATGCTTGGTTGCGAGGTTCTGTTGCCTGTGTGGACCGGTGTTGTATGCGTGCTGTGAGTTTGGGCATTATTGTTGTTGTGAGCGTGCCGCCACCCTCGCCAATGTGCAATGCATGGCACTCTTTCGGTGCGGTGAAGTGGGCAGTAGACTTGTGCGGGAGAGAGTTGGGACGGGGTTGGTGGTGTATTTCTGTATATGTCTGTGTGTGGATGTGGATGTGGATTGAAGAAGTGTTGGTGACTTGTGGGCAGTGTAACTTGGGCTGTTTCTCTGGTGCCTGCGCCCAGTGAGATTCTCTCGTGCTAGAAGTCTGATAGTAAGGCGGTTTTGGTGCTGTGGATGCCACTGGCTTCCTGCTTTGGTTTGGGGCTTGGCTCGGTTGCTGGTGTCTACAGCGTTATGGGTTTTTGCTTCAGTGGCTGATTGAGGGCTTGCGTGAGGAGGTGGGGTTGGTTATGGTGTTTTTAGTGGTGTTGGTGTACTGGGTGGACAAGGGTGTGGTGGGTTTTTGTGCTGGTAGTTAATCGCTGGGGTTTACTGTTTATATACGGATGCGCAGTCACTTTGGAGTATCTTTGGGGACCTCCAAAACTAAATACAAATTGGAGCAACTGAAATTTGTCTGTCGCCTTGTGTTGAGTTATTGAATCTCCCGTTGCTTTAATTTTCTCGAGAGATGATCGACTAGGCATATTTAGCCCAACCAGTTCAACAATGCCTAGCAAGAAGCTTGCGATTTCTTCCGCGAAGCAGACCGATCAAATGTCCCCAAGCGCGTGATTGTCTTCTTGCAAAAGCCTTGCATGCCGATATCTTCCCACCTCGCTGCCACCTGGCGTAGATCCTTCAGTTCATTTTCTCTAGGAGTAGAATAAGGATGATAACGCTTAGAGAATTCCGGCCCTTTGACAGCGGAACTGAGTGTCTGATGCATCTTCGTGTCAAGCAACTCGTACCATTCCCGCTTGTCTGGCTCGGCATTCATGATCGTGGCCCACTCCTCCACCGACCCTTCGTTCATAGTCAGACCAGCCAGCTTTACGAGAACGCTCCATGCTCCCATGGCTACGCGAGGATCAGCAAAGCGCCACGTCTTGGCGCGTGGTAATGTGTCTTTGACAATGAAGAAGAACGGGTTGTTGGCGTTCTCGCACATCTGCTCGACCTCGCACAGGATCCTTCTGATGAGCTTCCAGCCGGGATATACTTTCCAGCTTTCTGCAATCTCTTTCATTCGGTTCTGGATCCCTTCCCACATTCTGGATTCTCGGGATCCAGGACCACTATCTTCCAGCCAAAGGTTGTGAATGAATTCAGGGATTTCTAACGCCGCGTTAGTCATTTCCTTTTTAAGCGGTGCATGTTGTTGATTTTCCTTACCAGATGGCAGTTTCTCGCGATAGATGTGTAGGAGTGCAATCTCCAAGCGGCCGTAATAGTTGTTAAACCTGCTTTCCTCTCTTTCCCATTTGTTGTACATTTCGCTCTTGCTCTTAGCCAATTCGTCGAAGTCTTTCCCTATCTCAGCACGGTCATCTTCCCATCTAGCACGATCGCCTTCCCACTTGGCTCGGTCATCCTCCCATTTGGCTCGGTCGTCTTCCCATTTCGCACGGTCGTTTTCCCACTTGGCGCGGCCGTCTTTCCATTTCCCTTGTCTCTGTCCCACTTGTATTCTTCGTGACGTAGTCTTTCGAGCCTATCAAGCAGCTCCAGGACTTGGTCTCTGCTCAGGTTGTCATCGTCAGCCCTGGAAGCATCGGATGGGATGGCTTCGTCGGTGCGTGCACGCTTGCGAGAAATGTCTGCGGAAGACATGTTGATGGGACCTGATGATGGGTGTCAGGAAAGATAGACAACTATAAAGAGGAATGTTCTGGTTGTGCTTACGAATGGATCGATTTCTTGAGTGGTATAATGTAGATACGGCTTAGATAGCTGCTGTTTTTTAATTTGGTGCTGTGTTGGTGAAAAAAAGAAGAGAGGCGAGACGTGTGTGGAAGCCCAATTTTTTCCACATGCTTCAGACGTCACATGTCTCGCCAATTGACCACTAGCTCCTCTAGATGCGGGAATTACATTGTATTTTCGACTCAACACCATGTCGGTGACGTGACTGGTGCTATATACGGCCTTGGCGGGCAGTGCGTTGCGCCGGGTGCGGTATACCAAGTCCGGCATCGTAAGCGAACTTAGTCGAGATATTGCTAATCATGGCCTTTGGAGGCTATGGATTAATCGGGGAATGATTCAGGATCGATTCTGAATTGATCCCAGGCATGCGTTGCGGCCTTGGTGTTGATCGGACACTGAAGCATTAGGGAGCTACCAATGCAAAACAATAATGAACTAGCCATTTATCTATTCAATAGTATCTAAAACTCTCTGTTTTCGAACATTGGTGTATTCTGAATCTGTGTTGTTGAGCTGCAGAGCATCTGAGAAGAAGCTTATAAAGGGAAACATCGTATCACATTGGCTGACTCCCATAAGTCATTGCGAGGCAAATCCGCCCGCAAGCCAGCGCCCAAGTGAAGTTAAAGAGAAAGGACTTGATGGGAAGGCAATGACTAAAACGAGCGGCAGCACTTCGTTACTTGGATAAGGAACGGGTATGAACAGTTTCAGACTCAGCACTACTATCCATCGTTATTACTGAATGCTGCTGCTTTTTATCACTACCATAAGCAGGCTATTAAGATTACTATTACTTGATGTCGAGAATTAGCGCTGGCGTGAGGCTGGTCTAAACGCACGATTGAAGAGAGAGGCTCGAAGGCCTCCTTATGGGAAATTCTCACATGGGAGACTCGACCTGACGAGCCTCTAATACTGTGATGCCAATCTCGGTGAGGCGGCGGACTCAAACTTCAGCGTCGATTGACCTGTTTTTAGAGTCTGGCTTGGTGGTGGCAGCTAATGAACGCTCACAACTATCCATTATATAGTAGCGGTATGTAGAGAAGCGTACTTGATCCCAGATGTATGACAATCTCTCGATTCTATTCAGTATTATCGTAGTATTGGAACTGGTACATATTCAAGACTAAAACCCCGTTTATCACTATCTCGTTACTATATCTCTTCCCTAGTAGAAATTATAAAGTACCTAAGCTTTCGATTTCTCTGTATAATCTAGCGCAGACAAACTGGACCAAACCAAGTAGACATCTACTCGTCCCTAAGTCTACAATGTAGGTGACGTAGAGCATTCAACTCCGTCCGCCCCTCATCACGACTCACGACATAAACTTAAGCTTCAATATATCCAAATCCAATACAAAAGTCCCTATAAAACGAAACCACACAAACATATCTCCTCCCCACTCGCCCTCAAGCTCCCAACCCACTATTCCCTTTCAAAACCCAAATGTTTCACCTTTAAGGTTGTCGGAGCTATCGAACAACACCAAACGATCTACCCACACAACTACTTTAAGACCACAGCTTTGAGCACAGAAGCCTAAAGTCTATACAGGCAAACAGCACACACAGCCACTGACAACAACCACAAACGCCCCGTTACAATGACGACCATCACAACCAAACAGTGAAGATATTCATCAAATGAAACTCAACAGAGACAAAGACAAAGAGCTGAAGAGAGAAGTATCTGTAAAGAAATATCTTTGCAGTTCTCTGCAAGCCCGTGTGAAAGCTCGACATGGGAATATGACTGGTACGTGCACTGGGGGCGCAAAGGGTGTTGCTAAGCTAAAGCGAGATCATCTGCGTCTCTCCCCCCGGTTCTTATAGCGGAAAGACGGCGTATATCAAGGTCAGTGCACGGGACTTCCCTAAGAACAGGGATCATGAAAACCCATAACCCCAACGTTGGATGAAACTTCTAGGATTCCAAGCGTGCGCTGGATACGCTTCCATGCAGGATATTGGCGAATAGACAAAGCAGTGCAAGCTCCACGCAGCAAAAAGTCAGCGTTCACGAAAGTATGACCAGCAGCCTGAAACAAACAGTGAACACACACTACCACAACCAAGCACCCTCAAGCATAAAAAGGTCATACTTCCTACCCACAGCAACCGAACCCCCATCCCCACCCCCCTAATCATGCTGCAAGCGATTCAACCTCCTTATCTCACTCCAGCGACTCCACCTCCCCATCTCCAGCACATTCATACGTCTAATCTTGCCCGACGGATGACCAATAACCACCGGCCGCCAATCGCTAGGCCTGCGCTCGCGCTCACGCATTTCTTGCGCCCACGCCTTCTCATCGTACATGGTGCCCAGCGTATGGTCTGGAATGACCTGCACGCCCTTGAAGCGCCACAGCGCGAGCGTCAGCAGCACCGTCAGCAGCAGCAGCACCCCCGCCGTCACGGCCGTGCTGGTCTGCGCGCCTAGCGTCCGCGTCATTACGCCCCCGACGCCTGTCGCCGCTGCTGCGAGCAGGAATGCCAGCGTCTGCGCTACGAAGAATCCTGCGCTCACCCGTGGAAACGAACTGTAGTTGGTACGCCGTCGTCGGTCCGCTTCTGCCATGCTTTGCAGTCTGTGTCGCGTGTTTGCTCCCGGCTGGAGGTCGCATGTGTCGAATGCTTCCATGATCAGACCGTGGCATTCTGCAAGGGCGAGTGCACTAAGGAAGCCTACTACCCCGGCAAACGCAATCGGTACCATGGCGTGCACGTTGGCTTCAGAGGCGAGAGTATATGCTAGCCCTGCGAAAGGAAGTGCTGCAGTAAAAAAGATCCGCCGCACCATGTGTGAGGTCCAGGATACCTGTTTTTGAAACGTCATGCTGTCCGTTCGCGCGCCTTGCTTACGTTCGCGGCTGAAGATGCCGGCTTTAGTGAGGGGGATGGCGAGGAACGCTCCGATGGCAAGGGATATCACGCCAGCGCCGACATAGTTTGAACTCCAGCGATACTGGCGGGAAAGGAGGGCGCCAAGGAGCTTTGCCAGTGAGCTTCACGTTGTATGTACCGTTGAGGGGATCAGGAGAGACTTACGACAATGACAAGAACAAATTGTCCGTACATCCAGGCAAGGTACACCGATAGAATCATGAAGCCTGTCTGGAAGAACATACGGCAACTGAGTTTCATTCCTGCGAAGACTTCTTCCAGCCACCACTTCGGACCATCAGTCGAGATGTGTAGCTTGATCTCACCGCGAGCAACTCGTTGGTAGACATTGTTGTTAGGATCAACCACGTCCACCACAGACTGGCGATATCGAGCACGCCGCGTCTCAGGGGCTATGACGTTCAGAACAAGTACAGATGCGATCATAATCACGACGATGTAGAATCCCCAAGATGCATTGAGGGAGGAGATGATGCATGCTCCGATCATGAAGCCAACTGCGATGCTTCCAATGAAGCACCACGACCAGATGCCGAGCCAGAGACCCATGCCGCCACCATGTCGACGGACGTCGTCAATGGCGACTAGCTCTTGATGCGGCACAGCGCTTTGGAGAGAAGCGCCAAATAGGTCGAGAAGAGTCGAGATGGCATTGACATTGGCTAAACCTAGAACGAGCCCAGAAAAAGCTCGAGGAAGTAGTAAGCCAATGCGGTAGAGGTCTGTGTCTGGGTCTCTGTATGCGCTCACAACCACTGCTTGAGGGAACTGGAGAGGAAGAAGGATGGCAAGAGATCCAAGGATATACGGCTTCCGGCCGTGGAGTAGAGGTAGAGGCCAGCAAATGAACGTTGACACAGCGAGTGCCATATAAAGACTGTACCTTGGTTAGCCAAGACCTATTTGTTGCCTTGCTTCACCTACACAACATTGCCAAGGATGACAGTGTGCCCTTGGTCGGCAACCATGTATTGTATCAATGGCACTTCGCCGGCCTGTGACATCCGTCAGTGGTTCTACAAGGGCATATGAAAGGCATATAACCTACATATACTCCGACTAGGAACCCTACGAGTGCAGTGTTGATACATGCAATGGTTGCCGTGATTCTTTTCTTCAGCCGGCCCCAGTTCCGAGCAATGGGCTGGCGACGACGATGATGCACAACGTCAAAAGACCCAGGCCCGCGGAAACTTACATGATGTCGACGAGGATGTTTCAAGCTCATATTCCCAAAGACTGGATCGGTGTCTCTCTCGTTGAATGGATAATCAGGATGGAACGACACATCCCCGCCGCTTTTGTGTCGATGGTGCCTTCTGTGATGCCTCTCGGTGCTTTGTTCTGAGCGTCGAGACTGTCTGTTGTATCTAGGGCTAATTGTTGCTTGTGGCTGGTGACGGTGTCTTAAGGAACTGTCGCGGGGAGAGTATGGGGGAGTGCCTTCGCGCGAGATATGATTATGGACTTCTTGCCGTGTGGGCGGCACATGGACTGCATGGACTTCAGGATCGATCGGACGGGGATCTTCGATATGGACTGGCCGAACGGGACTGCCTTGCTGTTTGCGCCATTGCGAGCTTCCTTGCCTTCCCTTTTCAATATCGGACATTGCTCCGGAACTCGAAGATGAACTGCTTGGCTTCCTTCTCTTCGTGGTGTACGCGAAATCAGTGACCACAGGCTGAGCGGAGAAAGTACGATTTCTGTGGAACTGTGGCGGAGTTAGCATTAGTGAATCGGAAGACAATGACTTGATCCTCGGTGAAGACACATTTCCATCTCCCGAATATGGACTGACTTTAAAGTTACTTGGCCGTCTGTCCCCTGTAAGAACAGTCGGAGTCTCTCTCGGACTATAAGAGGTCTCTGTTGAAGAAGAGCTGCTCGAGGACTCGGAAACAGACAGTGGGTCCATCCTGGTCATCATTGTTGAAGCTCTCCGTATGCCTCTCGCGGCATTCTCCAGAACTTGCGGTACATCTTCCGGCTCATGGCGCTCTGTTGCATCCCTTGCCATATCCATTGCTTCTTGCATCAAATTCTCAAGTCCATCTATTGCTGACCTAAGATTCGCTTCGATCGGATTTGATATAGGAGGGCTTCTGGAAGTTTCCCGGAGTGCAGTCTTTGGGGAAAGCTGACGCGATAAAGGTGGTTGTGGCGTTGAGGGTATTTGAAGAGGCTCGATCACTATAGGTTGCTGTTTTTGGCTGGGAACAGCACTGCTGAGCCTTTGGTTGTTGTCTGAAACACCCATTGGGGCAGATCCTTTTCGATCATTCTGGATCTCATATGAAATGTCTTCGAACGGCGAACCGCCAAGCGTTTCGTGGTAAGACTTTCCTGTGGGTTCATTGGGAGCTGTTCTGGAATTCGGTGCGCTTGGAGCCCCAGTACTATATACAGATGGTGTATATGTGTTGTACGTCGTCGGAACGGACTTATCCGAGGGCTTGAATGTCAGCCATGGACGCCTCTGTTCGGCCGAGACGAGCTTTGGAGAGTACGAAGCCTGGTTGTCATTCTGCTCTGGAGAAGACGTATCACTCTCAGAGACAAACCCTCCTGGAAGGCGTGATATCTTTTTATCCACGTGGTTCGTAGACGGCGGCTTACCATCAAGCCACGGCAGCTTCCTCCTTGGAGAGTTTAGCGTTGACCTTCGCGCCAATAGCCCAATAGGCGCATCCCCAGAAGGAGCAGCAGTCAACTTCCTATCAAACCCTTGTCTCCTCCCTGCAAGTCCACCGTTTGGGCTTGGTTTGCTGGTTGGGGTAGCGGCAGTAGTGTTGCTGCCTCTGCGACGAACATTGCTCCCGAATCCTTGAACGGAGTCTTCCGGGCCAATACTGTAAGTAGCGACCATGCCTTACTACGGATGATGGTAAATTCGGACTAAAGGCGATCCACAGGTAGCTCCGGTTCGTAGAAAGCAACGAAGGTGTGAAACAGTTCGATGAGGAAATCCGTGCTCAGACCAGTGCTCTGCGGAAACTGTCCTGTTCGAGGCGCTCGAGGATTTGACTATAGAGGTTGGCAGCGGCTTAGGCTTTGGTTGTGAGAGCGTAATGAAGCAGGCTCATGTAGGACAGGACGACGAAGAATGCGACCTTGTTGGCTGTGCAAAAGGTCGCAGGTGAGGAAGAGTTGAGAAGGAATATGAGGAAGCGTTTTAGAAAGAATTATAAAGGGCGGCGGATGACCGGGCATGATGATGGAAGAGGTATGATGTAGGTAGATGTGTGTCTGCCCGTGCTGAGTGAGGAAAGAGCCATATCAAACCAGCGAGTCAGCCTTTCCTTCCCTTAGAGTACCGAACAGGAACGGAAACATAAGAGATGATATTCACCATCGAAATATTCATCATCTTTTCCTCGATTTCGACTCCGTCTGCAACGTAACCTTCGTTTCGATGCATAGAACCTCAATATGCGTTCATCAATGACACCACGTCGCTGGATGGCAATTGCAGGGGACGATATTTGAACGCCAATAACTCCCATGAGCGGTGTGGGTGCATGTGCACTGTTAATGAGAGCATAATTCCTTTGATCACAGCAAAGACGAGATGGGGAAAACCAGTTGTAGATGGTGATGGAAAATCATGGTGTTGCAACAGCGAAGAGCACAAAGCGGCCCGACAACCACGCGCTAGACGAGACAGGAAAGCCGCTTCTCCCAACTTCCAACGTCTACCCCATGGACTGGGTAAGTCGTGTTAGCGCGCGCAATGGCCAACTGAAGCGGCCAGAGTTAAATGCAGTGAAAACCACTGCTACTTTTTGTGCGCCCCCTGCCATCTACTTCTTGTCTGTAGTGTTTGCACATAAAAAGACAATAACCGACACCACAAACCAACAGTTACTCTTAAGCGTATCAATTTATTTTTTACCCTACCCGTAATTACCCTAGTCATTCTATCCACAATCGTTACCCTGTACAAACCCCTTCATATAGTCTTATAAAGCGCCCAAACGCGCAATCTCCGCAAACAACAAACGAAGAAAAATCATCATCAAATCATGAGTACTCGTCTACTCCACAATCACTCTTTCCTCTTCTCCTCTACCCCCGTCTCCCCATCCCCAGCATCCCCTACACCCCCCTTAACCTTAGCATTTCCAATCCAGCCACCGCAGAACAGCACAGCCGGGACAGCGCTTATCGCAGCCAACAGCCCAAACGACCAAGTCATGGTGCCCCAACCAGCCTCATCCCTGACATAGCCTGCCCACAGGGGGCCCGCAAGCGAGCCACCCGCCCACGCCATATTAAACAAGCCATAAGCCTGCGCATACGCGCCCTTTGCGCCAAACAGGCCGGGCTGGCGCTCCTCCTTCGCCGCAACCACGTACGTGATCTCGGCCATGATGCAGGGCATGATGAACGTGACGCTGGCGGCCAGCAGCGCCAGCAGCGCGCACAGCAGCACTTTCTGCTCCAGGCTGTCGTGCGTCACGAGCCGCAGGAGGACGTAGAAGGGGCAGCAGCCGAGGAAACCGCACGCCGTGCACCAGCGCGGCCCGTAGCGGTCGGAGAGCCAGCCGATTGCTGGCGCGGTGAAGGTCGGCACTACGATGGGCAGGAAGATGAGGCCGGCCCCTGTCGAGTTCCAGTGGAAGGTTGTGCGCACGAAGAGGGGCAGCGTCGCGTCGAAGGATGCGAAGAGGATGCTGACCGCGAGCGTGGACCAGAGCGATGCCGCTAGCCGCTTCGATGTGAGGAGCGAGAGCGTGGGTGGCAGGTTGTAGCGGCTGGAGGGCTGGTTGGCAGGCGGTTGGGCTTCTGCCGGCGCAGGAGTTGGGCTCTCTGAGAAGTCAACTTTTTCAGAGTCCGTCTGGTCTCGCGAGGGAGGAGGCATGTCGGTGCTCGGCTTCTCCTTGTCCGCCTCTCCTTCGCGGCTTGTAGGCGTGGTGCCGTATCCATGCGTGCGCGTATCGGCCAGGTCAACCACCTCCTCTTGCGGCTCCCAACGCCGAGCAATCTTCTTCTCAACCAGAACCAGGCGCAGAATGATATCGAGGCCAATGAGTCCGTATGCCATGGCAAACACAGCCGTGTAGCCGCCTTTGTCCAAGACAACACCGCCGAGTAGAGGCGCGACGAGGATACCAAGACTCATCGCGATACTGACGTAGCCCATCGCTTGTCCCACATCTTCTTTACCAACCGTATCGACAAGGAGTGCGAGACCTACGACCCATACAACGGCCGCCGAGGCGCCTTGCAGGAGTCGTCCAGCGACCAGGAGCCCAATGGACCTGCCGACATGCAACATGACTGTGGCTCCGGCAAGAGCGAAGAGACCCAGGAGCAAAGGTACACGGCGAGAGTTTGAGTGGTCTGCGAACCAACCGCATATCGCTTTAAATGGCTTCAGTCAGCGGGCCAATGTCATTATTGACAGAAATCGTAGGCAAGGCTTACGTGAAAATGCTAGAAGAGAGGCGCCATACACAGCAATGAGGATAGAGACCCAAGATTGGACTACGGCAGTTAGCTAACTCGCTCACATCCTACAACAAGGGGTACCAAACGTACCACTATCGGCATCGACGCCGGCCCTAACCTGCAGCGAGAAAGGGATAACTGGCACAATGATGGCATACAAGAAGATATCCTGAAGACAGTTTAGTACACTTCACAACCAGACTTAGGCCTAAGCAACGGCCTTGAACCAACATTATTACGGATTGGAGGAAGAGATGATGATGGTGATGAAACTAGCGTTTATGCCATTCGAATGCATATATAAATTATAGGAACGATGAGAAGAGAATGCCACACTCACTGTGAAAACCGCAATCGATACCGTGGCAGATATGAACACCGAGCTGGACCTGTAGCTCAGAAGCCAGGGCGGCGACTCCGACGTCTGGGTGATGGCCTCCCAAACCACAGTGAAAGGGGATGATACTCCCATCTCAACAGAACAGACGGAGGGGTAACAGCTGGCAAAAGCGAGCCAACCCAAGTCCTCTCACGCGCAGAAAACGTCCTGTGGCAACTGCAACGGACCCAGAAGAGCAGCAAAAAATGCCAAGGGATGACAAGTAAAAATAGAGCTACCCTTGATATGTGGTCGAGGGTATTGAGGAGCTTAATACCCAGGTGCAAATATCCACCGCCAGTCGCGGTGCCCGCGGACACCGCTGGCTCCAGAGCTAAGCGACTGCATCCCAGCATCCTCGAGCCAGCGAAGTCTATCATTGGCCGATGCGGGGCCGCGAGTTGTCATCGCGGGCGAATGGGCATTGACAAGGTTTTTCTCCTCTTGAGAATGGATCCGCAAGCGACCCTAGCGGAAATGCTAAGCCATGATTGGCACAACGCGTCCAGGCTGCCTGACGACTGCCTTACATCGCTGACTGAGCATAGACGCATACGCAGCGTTGCCTTAAAGGCGTTGGTCGGGAAGGATTGGTGGCTGTTTGATAGTTGTGACTAACTTTCTGACTATTGGAATTTGGTACGGAGCATGTGGTAGATAGAAAAGAGGTAAGATGAGGGACTGTTGGCAGATTATGCCCTTGCGAGCAACGCAGCCTTTTATTGTCAGCCGAAAATATTATGACCGCTGACTTACACAAAAATACGTCAAGGGAGCAGTGGGGCTGGGAAGCCAGGGGAAAGCTCCACGTTAGGAAGGCAGGCGCGAGTACGGATTGGTGATGAGTGGCGCGCGAAAGTGGTCAGTCAGATGGCGAATTTCCTTTGACTTTTTGAAGAAGTGAATGAAGATGATGATGATGGGAAATTGCTGTTGCCTGTTGCCTGTTGCCTGAAAGTTTCTATAATGGGTGTGAGAACCTTCGAGCAGCTTGACATGCATGCATGTGAGATCTCCCACCCTTCCTTATCTAAGTACGCTAACCCAAGACAGAAGGTCTTGGCAAGACACAGCATCGAACATCTGGGGTGGCCCCCAGTGCGAATCCAGGAACTCATCAATCATTTCCAAATTCCACACCAGCTACCTCAGCACCCACGCAATTCTACGCACGAAAACCAGCCCATGAAAAATCTCAACATTGTACCTATACCAAATATCCACATCCCTAGTCCCCCTTCCCTAGCTCTCTACACAGATCAACTTGGCATCAACATCCCGCCCCATTCATGCATGTATGCATTCTCACCCCGCATATGCACATACATCCGCTTCCACGCTCCGGGAGTCCAAACCAACTCGCACTAAAAGAGGAAGTGGAGAGAAGTACAAGAATACAAACAGCAAGAGCAGCAGAACGCAGACCACGGCATCGACAAGGACGATGAAATGCTCGAATCAATCCGCCGCCCTCCATGCAATGAGAAGAACGCAACAACGGCAACGACAACGACAAGCAGACAAAACAAAGAAACAGGGAGAGCGATGCCATTTCATTCCATCCCTCTGGTCATACCATGATTGATTACTCCGCCCCCGAGTTCGCCAGCCCTATTTCCGTTTCGTCAAAAGGTGTGATACTGTATACTTGCTGCTGATGTTTGTCCTTGCGCCTATCGTCCTAGATCCCACCAGTATCTCTCTCTCAAGGCCTCAGACATTCCCCGACGTTCACAAACGCTCCCGACCCTCCGTCCTCCGCCAGTACGTCGATTAGCGCTTCCGTCTGCTGACACAAGCGCTCGAGTGCCGCGCTTGATGACTTGCCCAAGCTCACTGTAACATGGTCCTGTTAAATCAACTTGTCCAATGTAGATCTCCTCCCAATAAATGTTGGGAGGTCGAGGGTGGATCCAAACGTACCTAGGATGGCGCTGTTCAAACCCTCCGCTACTGGGATCCTCTCGCGTTCCTCCAGAAGCCCTGCGAGGGTCGATTCTCTCGGATCACTGTACGCAATCAGGGCGAGCGTTTCCTCCAAGCCCTTCTTCACCTCTCGCCTTGGGTCGTCGCCAAACTCCTTCCGCAGCTCCTGTCCATAGTGTATTATCTCGTTGAAGAGATTCTTCTGCTTAATGATTACGCTCTCTTCATCTTCTGCGCTCATATCCATGGCTTCGCTGGCGCCATTGTTGTTACCTATTCCAGAAAGCGTGATGCCGTCATCCAGCTCCATTTGCTGAGTGAAGACATCCTCGTACATGCTGGCACCGTTGCTGGAGCCATTGCTGGCGTATTTGTAACTGGGCTTGGGGGGAGCAGCAGCATCGATGCTCTTGTTGATCATCTCGATGAACTTGCGGCAACGAAGCTTGAAGTAAATGTTTTCGTTGTCGCTCAAGACCGAGGGGTAGTAGGCCGTAGTCAATTTGAGTGCTTTGTCGATGTCTCCCTCGAGGATTGCCGCACGAATTCCTGGAAACAATTAGCAATGAATGGTCTCTAGAGGTCGGATTAACCAACTTTGCCGGTTGATAGCATCGATATCTTCCTCCGGTTCAAGGTCCTTAGCATTAGAGGGTCCTCCGATAGCCAAGGCGCGCGATTCTTCGCGCACCTCTGCTGCAAAAGCACGTGCAGTCTCAACATACCCATCGTGAGCAAGATACTGTGCGATGAGCTCGTGAATGAGAGCCGTTTCATCGAGCGGTGGTCGCAGAGATGTCACACTAGTTTGTCGGATTTCTCTCTGCACTGCAAATTGTTCTTTCTATAGACCTGTCAGTGTGGATTCTGGTACGCGGTTAGAAGAGGATTTACTTTAACCTCGGCGTCGATGTCATAGACGAACGGATATTGCCCGAAATTCGTTCGCAGGTGCTCGCCAGGTCTTTTCACACCAACCGATGGGTATAAATCAATTTTGTCGGAGATATGCCTGAACGCAATTCCTGTCTTGTGTTAGTATTGGATGTAGCTTCCAGATGCTCCAATCTTCATACCCAAATTAACTCCGTTTTTCGTATAAAAGGCCGTGTTGTTCCTGAAGTTGACACCGCAGCCGATGACATCGGTGGTTGAGAATTTAGGTCCGTAGTTCTTGCCAGATGACGTGCTGGCAAAACTGAATCCATCGTCTCCATGGTATCCCCAAGAATCCGGTTCCCAACCTGGTAACCTGTGGAGTGCAACTTTGGATCCCGAGAATCCGATTCCTATCAAACTGCGACCGCTGTCAGCGCGTCGTCTCCCGCCTTGCAAAAGACCTACTAACCCTTCTTTCCCCTTTGATACCACTGTAACCTCGTAGTAGTATATGCCGCATTGCCTGGGCATGGGATGATCGCTCCTAACCGATAGCGCTTCATCGTGTGTCTTGCTCATGCTTCCGCACTTTACCTCCAGCCCATCTTTCAGCAGATCCAGTCCACCAGACCTATCATCATCGCTCCACCTTGTCGGCCACGACTTGTCCCTATCATCCGTGTGTGTAGCAGGCGGTGGTCGTTCGATAATGTCATGGGTCATGCCCCGGTGGGAGGGGACCATCCTAGGGAGGTTGATGCTGGAGGAGCTCGCAGATAAGGAGCCGGTGCCAGAGGGCTGACCCATGCGGGGCTCGCGCTGCGCGGAAATGCGAGCTTTGTGCGCTTCTTCCAACCGTTCCGCATGCCGCGAACCCTTGAGGTAGGAGGGCACGAAGAAGGGTGGCGCGGACAGCTCCAAGCTAGCGCCGTACTGTCCATTTCCAAACTGCTGCGCGCCAGCTCGGTACGAGCCCGAGAAGCCGCCCTGTCCGTCCATGTCCAAGCCGCGCGAAGGCTGTCTCGAGTGGTTTCGTGATTGGTGTGCGGAGAAGCCGGTTTGGGATTGCGGATTGATCAGGTGGGAAAAGGCGCCAGATCGGGTTGGCTGGAACGGTGAATTGGTGGAGTTGTTCGCCGTACCCGCGGCGACGGAAGCGTACGATGAGCGCCGGAACATGGGTTGGCCGAGGCCTGGTGTTTGCGAGTAGGAGGTGTGAGATCCTCCTGATGGGTGAGGAAACGGATCCGTCTTGGACTACCGCGACTCTCGGCGGCGGCGGATCAAGGGAGCTGTCTGTCGACCGCAACCCGGTGGGGAGAGGGCCCGAAACGTGTCGGAAGGCAAGCGCGGCGCTGGTGCAGCTCTTGCAGGGCCAGCGGCCTATGGGTGAGCAGCCTGCGTGCGATTGCTGGCAACGATGGAATGGGGTACGGGCGGTGATGGCGAGCGTTTGGCGACACGATCAACGGCGACTTTGCACACTGCCAGCTCCAGAGACAAGCATCAGAAGCATTGCGGGGAAACAGAAGCTCGGCGTGCTGGTAAGGATAACGCTGAGGCAGCGGGACGTCTGGCTCTGATGGAGAGAATGTCGTGATCCCACCTTCGCTCGAGTTGGCGGGGAAGCTCCGAGGGCTGCTTCGGTACCCACCCGCCGCCTTATTCCCGGGGAAGCAGCCGTGACAGCAAAAGCTCAAAATCGCTTCCATACCTAATCTATGACGCCTGGTATCTTCCCTGTCCTGTGTACGCTGGGCACGAGTCCCACCACAAGCCCCCAAATAGTCACGCGCTACCTTCGATACGAAAGCATTCCCTTGACCCTTTTGTACCCGCCCATAACACCATGCGTTCGTGAAAGACTCTCAGACCGAAATAGCCCATCCCGCGGCCCGCATGGCCACCCAATTAAGTCGTCATGCGAGCAAAAAGCAGAAAAGTAATATACACCGAATCCCACGAGCCAATACTCTGCGGGAAATCCGCGTGCCTGAAGATTAAAGAAAAACCTGGGAGCTGGTCAGCTGACTGTGCAGGCAAGTAAGACAGCGGACGTGTTGCTGAAAGGGCGGGAGCGCGACCGGTTTGTCCACACGAGGGGATCTGATGATAAACCGCGTGACAACGATGCCACGATAAGGCGCATCTCAAAGATGGTGCGTGGTGGGGAGTTGGGGCCAGAAAGCGGAACAAATAAAGAATACTTACAAAAGCAAGATCTTAAACGGGAGTCATGGATGGAATCGGTGAGCTGGGAACATTAGGAAGAGGCATGGCCCTGTTGGGCGTGTCCATGTTGCCTCCGCCACTGCTGCTCTTTTCGCTGGCGACGGCACTGCTCTCGTTGACTTTGTTGGTTTCGCTGGTGCCGGTCGTGTCAGACTTGACGTCGCCGTTTTCGTCGACGGTGCTCTTCTTTGGGGTGCGCCATGTCGGAACGGACCAGGCGACGCCGGTGAAGCTCTTGAGTTGGAAGCCTTTCTTTTCCCACTTGCGGCACGGCTTGCCGGAGCGGTCCAGAGCGCGGAGACCAGCGTTGATGGCACCTTGGTTGGCCTTTGGGCCGAGCTTCTGCGTCGTAATTGGCACGACGCCGGCGAATGGACCTTTCATGACCGATGCGTCTCCGTTGAGTTCGCTGCTGTAGTATCATAGTTAGCACGCGTGCTAAAGCGACAATGCGACGGATGCCTCGCAGATGCATAGTCCAATCTTTCGACGACGGCGGGAGCAAAGTATAACTTACAGTCTGGGCTTCTTCTTGGGGCCGGGCTTGCCGCGCGGCTTGGGCATGGTTTCAGCAGCTCCACGCTTCGACCCAGGCTTGGGGCCGGGCACGCCTTTCCTCTTCACACCGTTCTGGGGAGGTGCCAGAGAGTTGCCGTCGATGGGAGTGGCGCCGTTGGGGAGAGGAGTCGAGACGGCCTCGGAAGCATCTTGCGACGGCGAGGGCTCAATGATCATCGGATCGGCGGGAGTGTCGGCGGGCGTGGATGAAGACGACGACTTTGGTCGCGAGGTCTTGCGGGCGGGCGAGTCGACGGGGAACCTGGCGAGCAGGTCGGGCGACAGGCGAAGGCGGACGAGAGCCGACTTGGGCGACCTGGCCGACATTTTGAGGCTCGCGACGGGAGAAGCCTGGGCAGCCAGCGTGGTCGAGGTGGTCGACATTTGGATGGCGTGCGTGGTGTTGAGGTGAGGGTGGGTGCCGGTCGCAGGCTCTCGACTAAATTGGCGTCTCCCTTTTGTTTCGAAGGGCGGGCGGCGAGTGAAGGGGTCAGGTGTGACCGAGGACGACTTGATGAAGGCGTAAGGGATTTGAAGTTGGGGCGTTGATGCAGGCCTACGGTGGAGGTGGTGGGGGATGGAGTGGCGGAGAGAATGGTGGGTGAAGAAAGGAGGGCGCTTGGAGGTTCGGCATTGTTGCAAATGGATGGAGGCTCACGGGCTGCTGGCGTGCTGGTGGATCGGCTGTCGCCCAGAGAGTGAGAAGCGGTACGGAGTGTCAGGTTCCAACGAGGACGTCACGTGCGCACGGCCGCGCCTTTGGTGATAGAGGTGCATGGTCGCGCCCTGCGAAAATATTATTTGCTACTGCTGCTTCTTGCGAGCTGCGATTTTGGTTTGCAGCCGTGTGCATTCGCGCACTCGCACTGCTGCTGCTGCTGCTGCTGCTGCTGGACGAGGGAGGGGGGGCCCTTTTTTTTTTCGCCGGTGCTGGTGCTGCAGAGCAAATTTGGCGTGGGCGCGGCGTTAAGCATCCGCGTTGCCCTCATCCTCCCACGGGCTCCAGCTCCTGGAAAATAGTCCCAGAGACAAGGAAGAGAGCTGAGCCACGGCCAACTGACAAGACCTGCTGCCAACAAAGAATCGGCCGCTCCCAGCGTCGTGCATCTCGCCTCCCGTTGTCTGTCGCCGCCCGCCCACCCGCGCCTTTGCCTTTGCGAGTCTTGGCCACATTCCGCGCGCGTGGTGTTGTCGTCGTCGTCGCCGTCGTCTAAGTTCTTCATCTGCTCCGCTCATCCCAATCCATCCATCCAGTCCATCCAATCCCGTGACGCCCGCCTTCTCTGTTGTCTGTCTGCCTTGCCTGGGCTGTGTGGCAATTCTCCCGCCGCCAGGGCAGCTGGAGCCTACGTCAACGCCGCCCGCCAATTACTTGTCTGGACCCGGAGCCTCGCTCCTCCCTCTCACCTCTCCTGACATGGATCACTCGGACATTTCGCGGTTTTCCCCTTCTCCTCCTTTCCGGTGACACCCACTGCCTCTCATGCACACGGCCTTACTGCATGCAGCTTAATGTCCACTCCGGACCTACAGGCCTCCAGCCGAAAAGCGGAGTTCTCTTCCACGCTCGCAACTCAAATGCCTCGCTTGCTCAACCCTCGCGAGAATAATGAGGCGGCTGCCGACTGATGACCTCCCACCCACGCCCATGCCGCTGAACCACCACCACTCATTCCCGCCCTCGTTTCCGTGTGTCATTTGTCGACCTCACATGCAAAGGAACGCTGCCGCCTCCATGTCGCATTGCCTGGCCATCCGCCACCTATGCATTCCTGTCCGAAGCTGCTGCCTCGTCTGATTTTCCCTTCACTGCGATTCAAGCTGCAACAATAGTGGGCTCATTTTCCGAATTCTTTCCAAATTTTGTTCTATGAAATTTCTACAAACACCTCATCTTCCGCCACCAGTCCCTCTTCATCTTCTCGTTGTTTCGTCTTTATAGTCTTCATGCAATCAGTCAGTCAATAAACAAAGCCACCCTAAGAAACAGATAACCAAACAAGGAAAGATAAGACGGAATCCAGCAGTCAGAGTTCCATGACCAGCCTATGCGATACGCTTCGCTGCCATGTTCCCCAAGAATGCCTGTCGAGGTGTCGTCGACCAGAACATGCCTCTGTCCGGGAGAACCACGTGATGTTCGCAGACTACGCAAAAGTAGGCCTGAGGATCGATTGCTGGTGGAGCGCCGCACCTGCAGTACTGAACCTGGAGTACCGGATTATCGTGCGATGGTCCCCATATAGCCTGTGCGACGCACTGGGCGCCATACTCGTTAAGATGCTTGAGGTATTTCTGACGATGGGAGAAGCAACGCACTTCGATGTCACAAGTGCATCCGTTGAACCCTGGTTGAAGCAGCGAAAGGCTTGAGGCCGCGCAGTCCTGACACTCGGGGATGAGGAAGCCCGTATCGAGCATATCGATGATGTTCCGGCTCATGGCCAGAGGCTCGCTGTCCATGCAACTTTCACAGATATGGTGTGCCTGTTGCTTTCCATCAAGACCGAGGTGGCTGTCCACGCAAGGCTTCCTCACGCCACCGTGAAGCTCGAAGTACGGCTCGTCGCAGTTGGCGCCAGGCGTATCAATATCCTCATCCCAAGTCCAGTACAACTCGGTGGTCTTTCCAGTGATCCAATCCCAGTACGGCTTGGGAATACCCAGCTTCGTCCAGCCCAAATCAGCCAGCGGCGAGGTCGAGATGAGTATGTGGGAGTGCGTGGCGCGGAAGTATTCCGGCCACATCTCATAGAACCATTTGCGAGACAACAGCCTGCCGTCGACGTAGGCTTCGATAGGAGGACGCAGTAACGTCTGTACGATGTCCTGGAACTTCTGGGGGACGTCGTCACGCGTAGGGAGCACGACGCTCGTGGAGACGTAGTACGGGTCATCGGAGCGAGGGAGGTTATCGCGCGCGCCGGTAAGCCAGTCCCAGAATGTCTGAGAGACTCCGAAGGCATCGGCGCTGAGCTTGCGCAGCGGCGACGCTACGAGCATCTTGCCGTTGCGCGACTTGAAGTGTCTCGGCCAGCGCCTGCTCATCCACAGACGAGTGCGCTTGCCGGTGGAGTAGGTTTCGGGCGGCGGCATCATGGCCTCGTTGACGATGTTGCGGTATTCTTGCGGGATGTTGACTGCGACTGAGGTGTTAGCGCTCGCGCTCGCTGGGCCGCCATTCTGGCCGGGCGGGTTGAAGGACTGCCCAGACATTGCGGATTGTTGAAGGAGAGGAGAGTCGGTTTGTGCCAGGTAGGCTAACAGCTGGCGTTCTAGGTTGCGATCCGCTTCACTCGGGGAACTAATGCGTGTGAAGGCCTTGTGTGAACTCAGACGTGAAAGTTCGCGTATAGCTCGACAAGGAAAGCGCGATGGAGAAGTTCAGTTGCTTTTCTGCTATGGCGCATTCACCTCCAGCGCACTAGCGCCTCTTATTCACGTCTGCCACCGTCTGTTATCTGTACACAACTCCTCATTTACTGAACTAGTTAATTGCTAGAGCACTGCTCCAAGACCGTCTCTTAACAGTCGACACTGTAACAAGACTCTTCGCCCAGACGCGCACACCTACTGTAACACACTCGACAGACAAACAAACAATAAACAAAGAACGAAAAAAAATCTCTGGAACAAAAGCGAAAGCACCAGACCAGACCCACCCAGTCGCGCTCATTGTGACTGAAAAACAGACAGGACGTTGCGGAACGGCATATTTGTTGAAGCCGCAGACGAAGACCGCAAGACGTCTAACACCGTGCCCCACAAGCCGGCCTTGTGCGCAGACATCTCACAACTTCCAGCGCGATATACGATATACATACAAACACTTGATCGACGAGCGCGCTGACTAAGCTCATCTAGCCGCATGAAGCAAGCGCTAAGCTGCAAAAGGCAAGTATGCTATGTCTGCCAACACCACCCGTAGTCTGGCGAAGACACCAGCCCGGGTCTCAAATAGGTATCTGGCGCGGACTTTTACGTGTAATGCTCTGCCGTAACCAGCAAGAGCGAACTTGCGGTGCGAATGGCCAGTCGCTTAACTCCGGCTCTGGTGTCTACCTAGTGCAGTGCTGTAAACGGTGATATTGGCTCGGCGTTGTCTATCAGAAAGCTCTGGAGCGCTGAGTCTCTGTAGGGATGTTGGTCTATGGTAAGGTGTTTGTACGATGAAGGATAGCTGGGAAGTGTGTGTAGAGGAGGTGAGATATACGGTTGCGAGAAGAGTGTTTTTTCAGCGAGCTACCTAGCACGCGGCGCTGAGCAGTTTATATAGGTATTTGAGTTTGGGGCTTGCTTATACATGATGTAGGTAAACCAACATCTTTCCGCGCGAGTCCTTGCGTAAGCTGGATGTCGCTATATGCTGGGTTTGCTACGTGAGTCTTCGTTGCCATTTGCGTGCTTAAATTCGTCTCTCCCGTCACAAGGCTCGCTTCCCGTATCTAAGCAAAGTACGTTTGGCACTGCGAAAACACATTGCTTTGTCGTCTCCATGCCCAGGTGTTAAACAAATCACACAACTTTGAGTGTCACGAATGCCGGACCCAGTATAAGTGCAGAGCATGAAACGTGCATTTGGTATCTGGGTACATGCAATCATCCAGAGTTTTGCTCCGCCCCATACGCCTAATTTTCCCCTTTTGTTTTCGTTTTCCCCTCGAACGAACGCACTTAAGCGGTGTTGGTGGAGAGGATGTCCGAGTCACCGGCATCCAGGATAGCCTTAGGGAGAGATGTTAGAAATGCAAATATAGGATAAGCGTTGAAAAGGTTCTCACCATGGTGGAGCAACGGAAGAGCTTTCCGCAGGCCGTGCCCAGCTCGACTGTACGAAGATTAAGGTTAGCACGCCGTTTTCCCTCCAAAGCCCTACATGGGGACTTTTTCGCAGGGAAGGCCTTGAGACGGAAGCCGCGAGACAGCTTGTCTCTTGGCCGCACGCGAAAAAGCCAAGGAAAATTATGGACTTACTGTTGTTGCCGGAGAAGTGGTGGACATTGGTCTTGGCCAGCATAGCAACGTACTCAAGCTCGCTCTTGCGGAGCGGGGGAGTGTTGCCAGCGATGATGACGAGCTTCGCCTTGCCGGAACGGAGGGTCTTCAGGGTGCTCTTGTAGCCGAGAGTGACACGACCAGACTTCATCACCTATAGGAAGGTCAGTACCATCGTACGACCAATAGTAATGTACGGTTCTCAGGTGCTCAGAGAACTCGGCCGAAATCCCAATGTCTGGCAACTTCGGTCCTTGTCATGATTCGGCGCCCAGCAATCCTTAGAACTAGACTTCTGGTCGCGCTCGCGCTCTTTTCAAAAGTCGAGTTCGTGGGCGGACCATGCTTGACATGGATCGAAGACATAACGCGAGGCTATCGGCGACCGAGTTCCCAGTGCATCCGAGTTTTGTCTAGAGGGTGTGATGCAACGCGACGGAACGTACCAGCGCCAGACGGCTGTTGATGGAGTCGGCGGTCTCTGTAGATGAGGGTCAGCAAAACTCCCCAGCTGGTGGTGGATGTATATTTCACGCACTCTTGCTCTTCTTGGTAGGGGCCATCTCGAAGCGTTCAGATATCGAATTGGGGGAATCTGAAGGGGTAAGGTCGTCGTTGCTCTCCGGCTGAGGAGTTGAGGTCCACAGAGTTTTGCGCGGTAGTTGTGAGGCGACATTGCACTAGACCGAAATCGGTATAACAAGCGAACCGATCGTCTCGCGCTGCAGCACGCCAACCCTGCATGTATAAAGGGTGAGCAAAAAGGCTAATAGTCTAGTAAATAGTTGTTACAATTAGAAAGCATTTTTCCACCGTCTAACGCTCTATATTTGTGCGCTTTCCTTTTTCCCACGCGCATTTCGGCTCCCGGCGACTTTATAGCTACAACGTTGACGAAATAGACTTTTCTTATATACATATACATCAAAAGCATAGACTTCAGAGAAAGGTTATTCATAATGGGTTTCGTGATATCAAAATCCCCGAGCCATCCTCCCAGGCTTAGAGTAGTTCCCACCAAGCTTAGGGCAAAACCAAAACAACAGATCCCTATCCCCTCAAACGCCAATTCCATGCACAACTCAATCCGCCCTGCGCCTTTTGCTGGCCGCGCTCTGGGTCCGCGGCGCCCCGCCTTTCTTCTCGTCCCCGCTGCCCTCGCCATTCATCCAATCCTTACCCGCACCAGGGCTCTTCCTGCGGTACTGGCCGGTGCCGACCATAATCTCCTCGTCCTCACTATCGCTCACGCCCACGTCGAGCACGATAGGCATGCGAAACTCAGCTGGCTCAAACTCAGTCTTGCCAGGCTCAATCGTTAAAACGTCGACATCCTCATCCTCGAGATCAAGTCGCCGCTTGTGCAGTTCCTCAAGCGGCTGGATGTCGAACTCATCCTCACGTTCCACGTACTCGACATTCTCTTCCACCTCGGCGAAGTCAGGCGCCAGCGCTGACCACCGCTGCGGCGTCACAATTGACCAGAGGTAGATGCGTCCCGACTCGATGCCGCCAGCTGCCACGAAGGGCCGGTGCGGGTGCCATTCCACGACTGCAATCTCTTCCTTGGCTTCCAAAATTTTGCTCAGACTTCCTCTGCCCCGCTCCCACACATATATGTCATGGTTCATGTAGGTGGATGCTGTGACATATTCGCCCGTGCTGCTGAAGCATACGTGATTCCAGGAAAGGCGATTGACCAGGTCTTGAAATTTATATTGCGGAGTTAGCGTCATACTGTCAAAGTCGAGCTTCGGATCGGTGAGCTCGGGCAATTGGAAAGTGCGGATAATGCGATCACTACAATTTACGACCATATCGCGGCCTGAGGCGGTCAAGCGAATGAAGATCACAAGGTTGTTTGAGAGGCGCGTCGAGTAGCGAATGTCGCAGGCCCGGGTATCGATGATGTTGAGCCAGCCTTTGCTCGTTCCTGCCAATATGTAGTCTCCTGTAGGCGTAAAGACGGTGACGGTGCTTGTTTGCTTGGCGTCCTGGGCAGTTTGTCGCTCCGTCGCATTGTCGCGCTCAATCTGCGACCGCCGGGGCGCGGAAGGGAGGACTCGCTTCTTGGGGATCTCGTTGGCCATGTCGACCAGCACGGGCTGATCTTCAAACAGCGCCGCGACAAACATAAGGTGATTTTTGGGATGAAGCTCAGCGATGAAGACGGGCGCGCTTAACCTGACGGTCCGTATGCGCTTGCCGTCCTTCAAGTCCCAAAGCACACATCTCCAGTCTTGCGATGCACTCAGCAGGTATCGATCGTTGGCCGACCAGCTCAGCGACTGAACCTGGCGCGTGTGGCCGGTGAGCTTGCGCGCGACACCATTGGTCTCGAGGTCGAAGATGACGACAGCGCCGTCAGCCTGCGCAACAGTAAGCTACAGAGAGGGCGCGACGGTATCGGAGAACAGCTACCCTTCCAGAGGCGAGGTAGTCGCCGCGATGGTTGAAGCGCATGCATGTCGAGTGCCCGCTGTCTGGTAAACACTTAGTCTCGTGGAGAGGGCGGGTCAAGGAAGTCGACCGTACATACGTAGCTTGCCAATCAGGGCCTCGGGCGTATCCTGTGCCAGCACAGCCGGGTCGATAAGCGGGAGGTTCATGAGCGGCAGGGTTGGCGAAGCATGTCGCGAGTGAAAGGCGCAAGTGAAAGGCGCAACAAAGGGCGACAAATGCGGACGGGCAGATGCGCGCTATGCGGCTGATGGCGCAGGCGAAACTCAAACAATGGATGCAAGTTTAACCGAAAAGTGGCCGACCGCTGCTGGCGTGGATCAGGTCCGCTCGCCTTTGAACTTGTAACGAAGGGGAGACCATCACCCAACCACCATCCACCCGCCGCACCCCCAACTCGGCCGCCCCGTCCATCAGCGCTCTGTCGACGCTCTGCTGCTCGCTGCCGTCGACATTGCCACGCCGACCACGCTTTGTCCGCGCTCCCGTCGCGTCGCCACAGCCGGTCGGTCGCATCAAAGGTCCGCAGGCCTTTCACGTTCGCCGCCGTGCGGCCAGCGCGCCCAGCGCCTCGATAGTCATCTGCGCATTTCCGGCGCCATCAAACGAGCGTTCGACAAGAGTCAAAAGAGGCGTCTTGGCCTGTGAGGAAGTGAAGTGAAGTGGGCATCTCGAGGAAGCTCTTCGGAGGCGACGCTGCCTGCGTGCTTGGCGTCATACCCTTCAGTTGGCCGACAGCACTACCAACACGTCGCCCTCTCCCGTTGCGATAGATCACAGTTAATACAATCAACATGGCGAACCTCCACTTCGCGGCGTCGAGCGCGCCGCTCAAAAGCATCCAAGAGATCCAGTTTGGCTTACTCGACCCGGCTGAGATTCAAGAGATGAGCGTCGCGCACATCATCTACCCCGAGACTATGGTTTGTGCTTACGCTTCTGCGCAATTCCAGGCAGAAGATAGCGCTAACTCAAAAATCCGCAGGACGAACAAAAGCAGCGTCCGCGTGAAGGTGGTCTAAACGACCCGAAGCTCGGCTCCATCGATCGTGCTTACTCGTGTGCCACTTGCGGTGAGAACATGCAAGAATGCCCAGGCCATTTTGGTCATATTGAACTGCACACGCCAGTGTTCCACGTTGGTAGGTCCATGTCGGCGATCGGCTTCAAGCCCTTTCACTGACTTGTATAAAGGTTTCATCAACAAGATTAAAAAGCTGCTTGAATGCGTATGTTTTAACTGCGGCAAGACTTTAGCAGATGAAAATGATCCAGGTTTTAAAGACGCCATGCGATTCCGGGATCCGAAGAAGCGCTTCGAGGCGATATGGAAGGCTACCAAGGGCAAAAAGAGAGAATGTGCGAACGATCCCGTTTCAGATGACTTCGATAAGGGAAAGAAACCGGGACATGGCGGATGTGGCAACAAAGTGCCTGAAATTCGCAGGGAGGGTCTGAAGTTGATGGGCACTTGGAAGCCATCCAAGTCTGAGGAAGAGGAAGAGGGTCGTCAGCCCGAGAAGCGCGCCATCAAGCCCCAGGAAGTCCTAAACATCTTTCGCCTTATCACCGACGAGGAACTGACAGTCCTGGGCTTGAACGTCAAGTTTGCCCGTCCCGAGTGGATGCTGCTCACGATGTTGCCCGTTCCTCCTCCACCTGTCCGTCCTAGTATCTCCGTCGATGGTACGGGTCAAGGCATGCGTGGTGAAGACGACCTGACCTACAAGCTGGCCGATATCATCCGTGCGAATGCTTCCATCAAGCGTTGCTACAGCGAAGGTGCTGCGCAGCATGTCATTGACGATTTCGAGACCCTCCTGCAATGGCACATTGCAACATACATGGACAATGACATTGCAGGCCAGCCACAAGCGCAGCAAAAGTCCGGTAGAGGCCTGAAGACCATTCGTGGCCGCCTAAAGGGCAAGGAGGGTCGTCTGCGTGGTAACCTCATGGGCAAGCGTGTCGATTTCTCGGCTCGTACTGTCATTACGGGTGACCCCAACCTGTCTTTGGACGAAGTCGGTGTTCCCCGCAGTATCGCTCGTACCTTGACGTACCCTGAAACCGTCACGCCGTACAACATCGCCAAGCTCCACCAGCTGGTCCGGAATGGCCCCAACGAGCATCCTGGCGCCAAGTACGTCATTCGCGACGACGGTCAACGTATTGACCTGAGGCATCACAAGCGCGCTGGGGAAATTACGCTACAGTACGGTTGGAAGGTTGAGAGGCATATTGTGAGCGGCGACTTCATCATCTTCAACCGTCAGCCATCGCTGCACAAGGAATCCATGATGGGTCACCGCGTCCGCGTCATGCCCTACTCGACTTTCCGATTGAACTTGTCAGTCACATCCCCTTACAACGCTGATTTCGACGGAGACGAGATGAATTTGCACGTCCCGCAAACTGAGGAAACTCGTGCGGAAATCATGCAGCTTTGCATGGTCCCGTTGAACATTGTTTCGCCGCAAAGGAACGGTCCTCTTATGGGTATCGTTCAGGATACTTTGTGCGGTGTCTACAAGATGTGTCGCCGGGACACTTTCATCACCAAAGACCAGGTCATGAACATCCTCATGTGGGTTCCCGACTGGGATGGCACGATTCCGACGCCGGCTATCCTCAAGCCTCGCCCTCGTTGGACAGGCAAGCAGATCGCTAGTTTGGCGCTCCCTGACGGCTTGAACCTGATTAGGTGGCCGAAGACACCGTCTCCGCTTACGGACGATGGTCTTTGCGTGCAGAACGGCGAGCTGCTTTTCGGACTTCTCAGCAAGAAGATCGTCGGTGCTAGCAGTGGTGGTGTCATCCACACAATTTACAACGAATACGGATGGGAGGCAGCTGTCAGTTTCTTTAACGGCACCCAGAGGATTGTGAACTACTGGCTGCTGCACAATGGTTTCAGTATCGGTATTGGTGACACGGTTCCGAACAAGGACACCACCGCCGCGATCGAGGCCGCTGTCCAGAAGCAAAAGCAAGAGGTCGTTGAGATCACAGACCAAGCAACAGCTGACAGGCTGGAGCCTATGCCTGGTATGACCAAGAGAGAAACGTTTGAGAGCATGGTTTCGGCGCGCTTGAACAAGGCTCGTGATGATGCTGGTGTCGCTACCGAAAAGAAGGTCAAGGATCTCAACAACGTCATTCAGATGGCCCGCTCAGGTTCTAAGGGTTCTACCATCAACTTGTCTCAGATGACAGCTGTCGTCGGTCAACAATCGGTCGAAGGCAAGCGTATTCCGTTCGGCTTCAAATACCGGACATTGCCTCATTTCTCCAAGGATGATTTCTCCTCCGAATCTAGAGGATTTGTCGAGAATTCCTACCTTCGCGGCTTGACTCCTTCCGAATTCTTCTTCCACGCTATGGCTGGTCGTGAGGGTCTGATTGATACGGCTGTCAAGACTGCCGAGACGGGTTACATCCAGCGTCGTCTCGTCAAGGCTCTTGAAGATGTCATGGCCAAATACGACGGTACCGTTCGCAATTCGCTTGGTGACATCGTACAGTTTGTGTACGGTGAAGACGGTCTGGACGGTGTCTACATCGAGCAGCAAAAGGTTGATTTCATGAACATCTCCGACGCCCAATTCGAGCGCAAGTTCGGTGTCAATGTCATGGACCCTTCCACGTCGTTGTCGAGCGACATTCTTGAGCAAGCTGACGAGATTGCTGGCGATATCGAGGTTCAGCGTCTCTTTGATGAGGAGTACGGCCAGCTACAGGAAGACCGCAAGATGTTGCGTGACTTGTCGGAAGAGACTGAGGATGACTTCCAGCTTCCGCTGAACATTGTGCGTATCATCGAAACGGCTCAAGCCAAGTTCCGAATCAAGCCCGGTTCACGCAGCGACTTGCATCCTGCGGATGTCATTCCCAGAGTTCGCGAAACGCTTGACAAACTGGTGGTTGTTCGCGGCACCGACCACCTCTCTAAGGAGGCACAGTACAACGCGACTATGCTCTTCAAGGCACAATTGCGCTCACGCCTGGCATTCAAGCGCCTTGTTAGGGAGTATTCTCTCAACAAGCTGGCATTTGAGAGCGTTCTCGGTGATTTGGAAAACCGCTTCCTCCGCGCTCTCGTCAGCCCTGGTGAGATGGTTGGTGTCTTGGCAGCACAGTCGATCGGTGAACCAGCCACCCAGATGACATTGAACACTTTCCACTTTGCTGGTGTCTCTTCGAAGAACGTCACGCTTGGTGTACCACGTCTCAAGGAGATTCTCAACGTCGCCAAGAACATCAAGACGCCTTCGATGAAGGTCTACATGAAGACGTCTATGGACATGTCAGACAAGGACAAGCAAGCTGCTGGTATGGCACTTCGCCAGCGTATCGAGCATACCACTCTGCGTTCTGTCACCGAGAGTGTTGGACTCTACTACGATCCTGATATCCAATCGACCGTCATCGAAGAAGACCAGGATCTGGTCGAATCTTACTTCATTATCCCCGAAGACAATATGGAGGACCCCGACATGCAATCGAGGTGGATGCTTCGCTTTGTTCTGAGCCGTCGCCGACTGCTGGACAGAGGTCTTACCGTCCCGGAAGTTGCTGCGGTGATCAAGCAAGAATACAAGTCCAACCTGGCTGTAATCTTCAGTGACAACAATGCCGAGTCTCTCGTCATTCGTGTCCGCTTGATCAACAGCGACCGCGATGCAGGAAAGGAAGATGAAGACCGATCCAAGAGCGATGCCGATGAGTTCTTGCTCAGGATGCTTGAGAGCAAGTTGCTCGACTTCTGCTCTTTGCGTGGTGTTGAGGGTGTCGAGCGTGCTTTCCTCAACCACCAGGCCAAGCGTGTCATCAAAGAGGATGGCTCCATGGTCAAGAGCACGGAGAAAGACGAATGCAAAGAGTGGTTCTTGGATACTACCGGAACAGCACTTGCCGCTACCCTTGCTGTGGATGGTGTTGATGCCAACCGCACCTACTCGAACAACTTCTTTGAGATTATCGAGACCTTCGGCATTGAAGCGACTCGGACAGCACTGCTCAAGGAGTTCACCCAAGTGTTGGCTTTCGATGGTTCGTACGTCAACCACCGTCACTTGGCCTTGCTCGTGGACGTCATGACAGCCCGCGGTTTGATTATGGCTGTCACCAGACATGGCATCAACCGTGCCGACACCGGTGCTTTGATGCGTTGCTCGTTCGAAGAGACGGTTGAGATTTTGCTCGATGCTGCCGCATGCGGTGAACTTGATGATTGCCGTGGTGTTTCCGAGAACATCATGCTCGGTCAACTGGCCCCGGCTGGTACCGGTGAGATGGAGATCATGGTTGACAAGAACATGCTCAACACTTGCGCTTCGGACAATGCTCGCTATGGTCTCATGCCTGGTCTCGCGGCTGCTCCGGGATACATCGACACGGGTGCCGCCACCCCGTACGACATTGGCTCACCCAGCCATGAGGGAGGCTTTGCAGGACCTGATTATGGCGCATCATTCTCGCCTATGGTCCAGGCAGGCGGAGACGACCATGGCCCAGCGTTCGATCCAATGCTCGGTGGTGGATTTAGCCCGTTCCCTGGCTCCCGGAGCCCTGGCTATGCTCCAACCAGCCCCTTTGGTGGCACCAGTCCAACTTCGCCCGGCTACTCCCCCACTTCGCCAGGATACTCTCCCACTTCGCCGGGCATGGCTCTTACCAGCCCGCGCTTTGGTGGTGCCTCGCCAGCCTTTTCGCCGACAAGCCCTGGCTATTCGCCGACGTCTCCTGGCTACTCCCCCACTTCGCCTGCTTATGCTGGCTTGTCACCTACCTCGCCCAGCTATTCTCCTACATCCCCCAGTTACTCGCCAACGTCGCCGACCTCTCCGGCTTACTCTCCGACGTCACCAAGCTACAGCCCGACATCGCCTAAGTACAGTCCAACATCTCCCGCCTACTCGCCCACCTCGCCGATGTACAGCCCGACGAGCCCGCAGTTTGGCGGCGGCGGTGGTAGCGACAGGAGAAGCCCTACCAGCCCGATGTCGTACAGCCCGACGTCTCCGGTGTACAGTCCGACGAGTCCTGCGCAGAACCAGTACAGCCCAACTAGCCCGAGGTTCTCGCCCACGAGCCCAGGTGCGGCGCCGTACAGTGCGAGCTCCCCCAAGTACAGCCCGACCAGTCCGAAATATAGCCCTACGTAAGCATCAGTGCGAATACAATGTTGAAGAATCTATACTGACTATGGACATAGCTCGCCTCGTCAGGATTAAGCTCACCTAGTCGATGTACCCTTCATTGGGCCCACATTAACAATCTCACTTCTCTTGTAACAACAGATTTCAGCGGCTGAACGCCACACAAAAACCGCTTCCTACATCTGCACCGCAAATACTGCGGACGGGAAGTCAGGCATGCGAATGTTTTTTTAGTTTTGGATTTCACGAGTTTCTTCAAAGGCCGTCGGTAATCACACTCTGGCGATGGTGTTGGGCGGCACTAGCGGCGTTTGTTAATTTCACCCCTTTCTTTTCTGCTCTTTTTTACGTTGCATGATGGCGTCGCCCAAATTCAGATTGTGGATTTGTGGGCTTTTGCGGCAGCCTTCGCTGCCTGGAAGGAGACAATCAAGGCCTTCGCGATGAGCGAGATACACGTGTGGGGAGGTGGGAGAGTCCAAATGAAGATTGAGGAAACTAACCTAGAGTTGAAAATGATGACGGATGGATGGCCACGTGACTCGGACTGTGCGAATAAGATTAGGTAGCTGATGGTCGCGCGTCATGCGTGTCAGCCATTTGCCAGGCAGAAAATGAGAAAACGACTATAGTCACCAATGGCTTGTCTTGCGTGGGGGTGATTCTGCGTGGTTTAATCAGGCTCGCTGATAAAAACTGAAGTACTAAGTTGTATGCTCCTGTTGAAACACCTTCCAAAAGGCTTTGTTAGAAAGGTATAGAGACTTGTATATTATAATTGTATTTGCCTTTCTGGCCGTGGAATATCGGCGTGCTGCCTTGCCACATTTGCTATATAAAGAGACGCGCCGGGTCTCGCAGCAGTGGGCTCCCGAAACGCAAAAAATTGACTCAGTGCACCGAACCATCAATCGCACGCAACAACTACAAGCGCGACCATTTCAACCAAAAACACCATGGCGAACTCAAAGTAAATATCTTTCCTTATAAAAGAACTGCTGGACATGGGCTGACCTGCATAGATACGAGTACGTCAAGGCTTTCGAGCGCTGCCAGCCAGATATCTTGCTGCCAAACACATGGATCGTCATTCGTCTGGACGGCCGCGGTTTTCATAAGTAGGGCTCTTTCCAGTCGATATGTCACGGTCGCTTTCTTTTCCTTTCTTTTGTCTTCAGAAAAAAAGAAAAATGTTTCATTCTTGTCCTTGCATCAAGTCGCGCCAAACTTTTCGTTTTGTCATGTCTGACGGCTGAAGGTTGACCGCGAAATATGAATTCGACAAGCCGAATGACCGCCGCGCCTTAGATCTCATGAACGCGGCGGCGGTGGGCGTCATGACTGAGCTGCCGGACCTGGTGCTTGCGTACGGTATCAGCGATGAGTACAGGTGCGTTATCTACGTTGTCTGAGCTGCGGGGGTGAAGACGTGGAGTAGCGGGAGAGCCAGTCACAGTCACAGCATCCTAACCAACGTAAACAGTTTCGTTTTTCACAAGGACTGCATGCTCTTCGAGCGGCGCGCAGCGTAAGCACTCTTCCCTCATTTCAGAAGCCCCCACACAACTCACACACGCTACCAGCAAGCTGATCACGACAATCGCGACGACATTCACGTCGTACTACATCCACCTCTGGGGGCAATACTTCGCAGGCACGGCGCTCACACCCCCAATGCCGAGCTTCGATGGCCGCGCCGTCATGTACCCCAGCGTGCAGAACCTGCGCGACTACATGAGCTGGCGGCAGGTCGACTGCCACATCAACAACCTGTACAACACGACGTTCTGGGCGCTGATCCAGCAAGGTGGGATGGACGGGACAGCGGCCGAGAAGCGGCTCATGGGCAGCGTGGCGGCGGATAAGCACGAGATTCTGTTCAAAGAGTTCAGCATCAACTACAATAACGAGCCCGAGATGTTCAAGAAGGGCACGGTGTTGTTCCGGGACTATGAGCTTGAAGACCCCGCGGCTAAGCCCGCTGCTGATCCGGAGCTAGATGCGTCGTCCCAGACGCAGCTTCCTGCTCGTGGCACCCCTGCGCCCAAGGGGAGCGGCACTTTGGATGCGTTGAGCGGTACGAATGCGCCGTTGAGTAAGACGCAGGCGGAGAAGGAGCGCAAGAAGCGGCAGAAGGCTAAGGTGGCGGTCGAGCATGTCGATGTTATTAGGGATGAGTTCTGGGAGCGGAGGCCCTGGATTCTGAGCGGTAGGACGGGGAGGTTAAAGCAGGAGACGAAGGATGGGGCTGAGAAGGCGCAGGCTGCGTGAGAGATGCAGGGGAGGCGTCTTAAAGAGCTTTTGAATCAAGGTTTTTTCACGGGGAACAAGATGTTAATTTAGTGATCTTTCATTCATGAGAAAGCTAGGAAAGTAGCATCATGCTGCTAACGGTTACGAAAGAGAGCAATGTCTGTGCTATTGTGAGCCAATCTTTGGTGCTTAAGTCAACCACCTCGTAACTACCATGTTGCTGAAAGACCAAGGTCGAGAACAATGTTCGTGACTTTGTGATACAGTTTTTGTGGCGTGTAGGCCAGCCACCATCCCGGAGCTTTGCAGTGAGCAATTTATAACCTCCAAGGTACGATTTCGCAAAGAGCAAATATCCGATAACGTGCTCCAACCGCGGCATGCATTTATATCCAACTTCGTGTCCTCATTGCCGGCGTCTCGTCAAAGTTATCCATCGTTGTACGTGTGCATGAAAGGTGCATGTGTGTGCGTAAAGGAAAGTGTACTTGTGTCAATGTAAGTCGTGTTTGTATGCGTAGTTGAATGTGTCCTTATAAACATGGAAACCGTACTTGCGCATGCGACAGGTGCTTCTGCGTGCGCCTAGTAGGGCCCTCCGCAGCGGGGGCATGGAGTGTTCATCCGCCATTCGCGGACAATGCGTTGGACGCCGAAGCACTGGTGCCGCGGGTCATTGCGGGCGAAGTGGCAGTACTTCACCCGGCGTGTGATGGCATGGCCGCAGGCCATGTGGATTTTTTCCCAGTCGCACATTTTGTGTGTGGTGGGGTTGTGTATAGTTGCTTGGTGGTAGTAGTGGATGGTGTTGGGCTTTCTGTAGAGTATTGAGTGAGGTATTTTGTGAGTTGTGGTGAACGGACAGTGGGGAGGAGAGGAGGGCGTTTATATACACAGAATATCTGCTTGGAATTGGTAAACCTGCTCATGGCGTGGCGATGTTAAACCTGAATACATCTTCAAAATCCCAGATAAGCTGTGAAGTGATCTTGCAGCCAAGATCATCAATGCAAACACAGCCCGATTGCCCAACATGTGCCAGCACAAAGGAATGACTCTTTGCCATGGACCTGGCTAGACAAACAGTCCACCAAACAAAGCCTCTCCAGTAACGACTAAACTTTGAAAAGGGGAATGGAATCTTGGTACAGCCTCAATGCAATTACCCAATCAAGCTTAACACATCCTTTCCACACCTTATTGATCTACAATTTTCAGCCAGCCAGCCAGTTTTCTACAGTCACGCTCTGCCACCTAACAGCGTGCCATAGTAAATCTATCACCCCCCTGCCGATCCAACGCCTGAACCAGATAACCAAACCAGCCGTAGCCAGCACCGCCCAATTAGTGATTAATACAAAACAAGAAAAAGCAAACCGATCTTCACTCCTCAGCCTCCTTCCCGCGGCCAGTCACGAGCCGACAGGCCCACGAGAACCACCCTTCCTTGCCCCTACACTCATCCTCCATAACCCTGACCATATCCTCCACGACCAAGATCTGGCGCTCGTACTCCGTGACCCCATCCTCCACGTCTTCCACTTTGCCCCTTAGTGCGTTCATTTCATACTCCAGCTTCGCGCCCAGCGTTTCGATATCCTTGATCGCCTCCTGCAGCATCGTGCGTTCCTGCGCGAGTATCTCCTGCGAGTCCTCCTCGAGCGCATGATACTCCTCCAAGCGGGGATAGTACATTTCCTCGAGCTCCTGCTGGTCGCGCTCAGCCATACCGTTGAGTTCCTGGACGAGGTCGATGCGCTCATCGACCCAGCCGCCGACAAGGTTACCTAGAAGCGCGAGACGGTCGCTGTTGCGCCGCGCCTCTTCCGCCAGCAGTTTTTGGTGCGCCATCTCTCTTTTCGGATCCAGGTTGCTCTCTGCCTCGTCCGAGTCCTCTTGCACGATGCTCTCCCATCGGAAGACGCTTTCCTCGGCTATGCTCAACGAGAGGTGTCGTGGCCAGCGGTCGTCGCTGCGTCGCTCGTTTGTCTGCCGCGCTACGTACGTCGAGAAACTGTTGGTGCGGTGCAGCTCCTCGCCCAGTGAGAACCTTTCGTTGCCTTCGAAGAGATCGTCGAGATCGATACCGCGGTAGACGGACCCGGCCATTGATCCCTCGGCCGTGGCTGTATGGGATAGGGCATTGGCAGTTGTCTCGCGGCTGAGCACCGCGCCTAGTTCTGGTTGTTCATCCCCTTCTGGCAGTTGCTGTTTGCTGGAGAAGAGTGTAGATTGTGAATCGAGAGGCGTTTGGGACAGGAGTTTCGCAAATTGCGGCTTGGGCTTTTTGGAATCCGCGGATGATAGTGCCTCTGCGCTTGGAATATCCATCGACTCGCGCGGCGAGATTACCGGCTCCGATGGTTTTTGCTCCTCCGCCGTAGTGGTCTTCTGGAGGTTTATATCGCTCCGATAGTGGGCGGAATCAGGCGTAATGTCGTGTTCGGCCTTTGACTGCTTATGTTGGTGACTTCGCCGCCCAACAGCGTCTTTGATTCGCCCTCCTAGTCCGCTACGGGCATCGCCAATCTTTCCTGTTGCTTTTTTGATTCGAGATTCTTGGCTCTCTTGCCCATACTTGTCTATCGAAGTCATGGTTTCCCTTTTGCGTAGTTTCTGTGCTTCCAGGTTCACCTCTTGTCCACGGCCGGCTGACGGTTCAGTGCCCTCTTCGTCCTTGCGCGTGGCCCACCTTGATTCGTCCGGAAGTCTGCTAAACATGTTTCCATGCTTTCGAGGCTTTCCGTACCAGAGCCATTTGGAGCGTTCGCCATGAACAAGATGGACAAACCTTTCAATGTCCGCTGTCTCGACTTCAGCTATGCCTGCCTTTTCCCTACCGCCGACCATGTCCATCACCATCTCTCCACCTTTTCCGCTGAGCTCTGCAACGGTTGACTTCACTGCCCGTGGCACTGTCCATCCTTCTCCACTGGCAGCCTTAGCGGTGGCCTGATGCAGTTTGGAAAACGTCTTCCTATCCAATCTACGAGTTTTCTGCAATTTTTGGGATTTTTGGAAGTAAGCTATGCCTCGTTTGGTACACTCGACATCAAAGACATCTTTGGCAACTGGCGCACCGTATGCATTGAGGCGGTTACGCGCCCCCATGAGCATGCCAAGCAGAGCAGATACGGTCGTGGGTCCTAAGATGCCATCATGCGGCTCGATGTTGTAATACTCATTCCCAATGTCAAGCCACCAGTCGTTGACAGCCTTTTCTGTGAAATCGCACAGCAGACCGTCCGCATACTCTGGTTCAAGTTTTCCAAACAGGACCAGAGCCACTTGACACAGCTTGACGAGTTCAACCACGGCACTGGCAAGGGGAATCTTCTCGCTCGTTCGATAGAGCTGATGGAATTTTGCCTCTGTAGCGCTACTGGGAGGGGCCAGGGTGATTCCAACGCGCCCGGAACAACCCAGTCTCTTCAGATTTTCATTCACGAAAAATGACTCCCGAGATCTCCTTACATCTCCGTCTGGAACCGGTATGACCGTCAACGAAGAGGGGAAGGCGCTGAGGTTGGTGATCATCAGCGTCCCTAGCGGCGTCTCCCTTGCGCGCGCATGGTATTGACTGAGTGCCTTGAAGTATACGCGGAGGCGAAGCGACCAAGATTCCTCGTCTGTGGGGACGCTGAGCACGCCGGCGACGACCTTATGAGACGGATCGCCGGTGTAGGTGGTAATGACAAAGGTCGGATGTGATCTGGCGCAGGCCCACTGCTCGACAATGTAGATTTCGTAGCCTTCGAGGATGCGACGGCGGTCGAGTACGACAGTCGAGGGGTCTTCTTCCAGGTACCTGTGACAAGCGTCAGCGCCCAGTCACAGACTAGCTGTCGTCCTACACACCTGAAGGCGACACTGTCAGTCAGGACAAAGCGCTGGTGGCTCGCCTCGTCGGGGCTCCGGTGTAGCTCAGACATGCGGCGAGAGTCGATGTTGTCGCGGCGCTTGTCCATCGAGACACGGCCCTCGGAGCCGGTATGGTCAGCGTCCTGGTCCATCGAGGGGTCTTGGGCCATGTTGCGGTTGCGGGAAGGCGTGTGTTACGTGTTGGGGAAGGCGAGTGGAGGGGGCGCGCTCCTCGGGTCCATTCTGACTGAGCGCGTGGCCAGCGCTGGGAATTATAAACGAAGGAGGTCGCGAGGACGATCGGCCTGGCTGGTGTGAGATGGCTTGTCGCGGATCGATGCGATCTCCCCCTACCGCGGCTCTTCCGCCCGTCACCCGTCCTCCCCCGCAGCTTCTCCGAGAACGTCACTCGACCGGGCGCCCCGGTCACAAGCTCGCGCTCGTCAACACCGCCCGTTGTCGCAGCGCGGATCATGGCAACGTCCCATGTGACGCCTCCTTCGACCCTCGCCATCCACCTCTCGCTCGCCTCTTGCTGCGGTACCTAGCCGTCAACCCCCCCAAAATCCCACGCCATGGACTCGTTAAAGATTGAACACGAGAAGCTCGAGAAGAGGGGCAACCTCAGCAAAAGCATCAACGATGTCCAGAAGACGATCGATCTGCTCACAAAGGCCCGCGAGGCCGTGGCTGCCGGTAGGCTTGAGCGCATCGCCCTGCTTGTCGCCGATCCACTGACTTGATGTCCAGATCCCACCTCAGCACAGATGACGCTGGCCAAGCTCCAAACCCCTATGAAGCACTCCTTCGATAAGGTCAACGAAGATCTCAAAGAAGTCCACCAAGCCCTCGGGAAATATGGCAAGGCGCTGGACAAGGTGCGCCCCTCCTGCTCCGACCCTGGGTGCTACGAAAGCTGATTTCTTCTCCAGAAATTTAAAGACAAGCCTCTCCCGGCCGCCGAGAACGATGCCCTCTCCGCACACCCGGCCCTGGTCAACCGTGCCATCGCCATGCATCTGCTCCGCGAGGGCCAGTTCGGCGTGGCCGCAAGATTTATCGAAGAAGCCAAAGCGCATCCGCCACATACCGAATCGACGACCACCACGCTCGATCCATACACCGGCCAGCAACCGGACAACGCATTCACAAACGGCACAATGGATAGCGGGGCCTTGCAGCAGCAGTTTGCTGAGATGTACCACATACTTCATGAGATGAAACAGCAGCAAAACCTGAGGCCGGCAATAGAATGGAGTAGGCAACACAGTGCATTGCTTGAGGCACGTGGTAGCAACTTGGAGTTTGAGCTCTGCAGGCTGCAATATGTTTGCCTTTTCATGGGACACCAGCTAGATGGAAGTGTCGCAGCATCGGAACAAGGACCGTTGCGAGCATGGGCATACGCACGGAGCGAGTTTGGTGCCTTCCAGCAGAGATACACGAAGGAGATCCAGCAGCTCGTTGGAGCAATGGCCTTCTACCAGAACATGGGCGATTCGCCTTACAGCAGCACCTTCTACAACAAGACGGCGTTTGAAGAAGTGGCAAACTCATTCACTAGAGAGTTTTGCTCGCTGCTTGGCTTGTCCGCAGACTCGCCGCTTTATATTGCGGCTACAGCAGGCGCCATCGCACTTCCCACCCTGCTCAAGCTTCAAACCATTATGAAAGAAAAGAGGACGGAGTGGACGACACAAAACGAGCTTCCTGTAAGTGAGATCCAGGACACCTTAACAACACCGAAGATGCAATATTTAACAACAGCAGGTCGAAATTCCCCTTCCACCCTCATACCATTTCCACTCCATCTTCGTCTGCCCGGTGTCCAAGGAACAGGGCACCGACCAAAACCCGCCGATGATGATGCCGTGCGGGCATGTCATTGCAAAGGAGTCTCTGGAGCGGATCAGCAAGGGCGCGAGGTTCAAGTGCCCTTATTGTCCGGGCGAGAGCCACCCGAGAGACGCAAAGAAAGTGTTGCTATAAGAGTAACGTTATCAGACTTGTTGTGGCGTAGCTTTGCATTTCCTGGCGTTTTTGGTGCACGGCGGGGAATTTCGATTGGCAAAGCGCGTCTCACGACGTGGAACGGGGTCTACGATCAGCACGGCGCTTTTGGAAGGTCATTTGGACATCGTATTTCTCGGCTAGGATACGCAATCTTGCATGATAAGTGGATGATGAGAGTGAAGCCAAACGATGAGTGTTTGCCATGTCCAGTGCTGAAACCAGAAGCAATTACCGGGAAGCCCCCAGATCAAGATCGGAGATGATCCACTTGCCACTGTCGCGAGAACGCGTGCTGGACGCGACGCGCCCTGGCCGCACTGGCCAATGGCTGACCGCCTTGGTTGTCCCGGCAGTCAGGCTCTTTGTAAACACAAAGCCCTTTCTTAGCGCCGCACCCAACCAACTTGTCCTGTCTTTTTCCGCACTCGACCCTTCCCCATCATCCTTCTCTTCATCAAGCTTACATATTCTTTGAGTGCTCTCGGTACATAACAAGCACCTCCTACCCCCCATCGTACCCGTTCAGCCCAGCGCCAGTTGCGACAATGGACTCCGCCATCAACCCCACGAGCGGCATCACCGACGCCATCCCCGAGGCCAACAAGCCCTCGGCGCCAGCCATGCCTGCGAACACTGGCAACGTCACCAAGCGGTAAGTAGCTTTCCGGACGAGGCAACCCGCAAGGAAGGCAGCAGCGACTCACGCCACGAACAGACTGCAGACGGAGCTGATGACGCTGATGATGTCGCCGTCGCCGGGCGTGTCAGCGTTCCCCAACGAATCCAACTTCCTCGAGTGGACAGGCACGATCGAGGGGCCCGAGGGCACGCCGTACGCGGGGCTGAGCCTCAAGCTGTCGTTCTCGTTCCCGGCCAACTACCCGTACGCGCCGCCGACGGTGCTGTTCAAGACGCCCATCTACCACCCCAACATCGACTTCTCGGGACGCATCTGCCTCGACATCCTCAAGGAGAAGTGGAGCGCCATCTACAACGTGCAGACAGTGCTGCTGAGCCTGCAGAGCCTGCTGGGCGAGCCGAACAAGTAAGCCTGCCCTTTTGGAGCTTGATGCGGATGTGTGTGAGTGTGTGAGTCAGAGGCTGACGAAACTAAACAGCGCGAGCCCGCTCAATGGCCAGGCCGCCGAGCTCTGGGATAAGGACTTTGAGGAGTTCAAGCGCCTTGTCCTCGCGCGCCACCGCGACCTGACGGACGAGGAGCTCAACGGCTCGGCTTGATCGTCTACGTTCCATACGCGCTCCTTCTCACGACTTGGCTGCTGTTTCTTCTCTGCGGGTGTTAGACGGGGTGGTGGGTGCACTTTCATCAGGATTCTTTTTCTTTGGGGTCTGTCTGTCCGTCTGTCCGTCTCGCGACGATGGCAGGTCTAGAAAGACAGACACTGGCGCAGGTGTCTCCGCTTCTAGGTTTTTATTGCTGCTGCTGATGCAGCTGGAACGCCGCGCGCGGCTTGGGTTCACTCTGCATGGCGAAGGTTGTATACGGGGGTGGGCGGTGCATGCTTTTTTCATGTTGCTTAAACGACAGGCAGCCAATACACACGGATCCTCTGCCGCAGAACCGTCCCAATCTTGCGTGTCCTGCCCGTCTTGTCCGTCCAAAAGCAGCTGTGCTGGCAGCACCGCTGCCCGCAGACAAATAGAAAGACGCTTTGCAGCCCAACACAACACAACAGCCACCCCGACCCACGGCTCTACCTACATAGGCACCTAGGTTCCTACCATACCGTACCTACCGTGCATACCGACCTACCGTACCTATATAAGTACTTAGGTAAAACCACCCCTCTCGCCAACCCACCGATCTGGACCCCGCCGCCGCCCGCGCCTGCTGGCGCTTAAGTAACTCCCGCGTCAAAGCGGCCGCTCCCGGTGCCCCCCGCTGCGCCCGCTCCGTCGCGCTGAGTGTGCTGTGCTGCCCCGCTGGACTTTTGCGGCGTTGCTGCGTCGTTAGTGGTGCTTGTGGCAGCAGCAACGTGGCGTGGCGTGGCGTGTGGGGTGGATGAAAGCCGAAGCAGCTTCCGGACGGGAGGTTGAGCTTATCTAGTCTAGGTACGTAGATGGGTTGGGAGCTGGTTTGGGATGTTGACTTTGACTACCGTACCTATTTACTCCTAGGTAGTGCGGCGAGCGGGTTTGGGTTTGGTTTGGTGGTTATGGGTTTTATTTGTTTAATTAATTAATCAATTTTTTTTTTTTTTTTTTTTTTTACTATCTTCATTTTTCTCGGTTTTCTTTTCCCTAAGATACTGACGTGGGGGTTCTAAGGTACGGACTAAATTGCTTGCATCGGCTGCGCACGCGAGACAAGAGTGGTTGCTGCGTGTGCTGTTTCCTGCTTCTTGCTTTTTGTTGCTTGTTTATTTGCTTCTATCTCGCTTCCTGAATCCTGCCTCCGTTGTGGGTTTTGCTTTTGTAGGTGTACGTACGAATGTACGGAGTATGTTCCTATATATATATGTACCCCGACCAGCCGCGGGGATTGTAGATTGAGTGCGTGCGTGCGTAAGTGATATGGAGACGGGAGGGCCGCTTCCCCGCGTATTGCGTATTGCGTAGATGTGCACGCGTCGTCATTCCATGTCGTTCTTTAGGTAGGTCAACCGCTCCTCGGGCAGCGCCAGTGCGCTTCCGTCCTGATCGGTCTAGGTATCATCGCCCGTCGCCACGGTAGGTACTCGTACATGCGTATGTCCACTAGTTAAGGTACCTACGTAGGCCGTCTTGTCATCGGATGTCATCTGTCGTCTGTCGTCTGCGTACCTCTAGCACGGCACCTACCTAGGCACGCAACCACGTCCGCAGCAGCAGCGGCAGCGGCAAAAGATACAGATCCGGCAACCTTAGGTATTACCTTACGTACCTAGGTAGGCAGAGTGCCTAGGTACAGTACTCCCGCTCCCCGCTAACCCCGGCTTCACGCAGGCGATCAGGCATCAGGCAATCAGGCAATCAGCCAGCCAGGCCCCCCTCCCTTCCTGCTCACTCGCCGCGGCGCAGCGCAGTGGTGCGAAGCAGGCAGTAATTGGTGGTCTGGATGGATATGGCACACACACACGCGCGCTAGGTGCTGTCTTACTTTTTCCTTTCTTTCCTTTCTTTCCTTTCTTTCCTTTCTTTCCTTTCTTTCCTTTCTTTTTCTTTGCTTTTGCCTTATACATACGTACGTACGCCCCATCCCGTCCTGTCCCGTCCCGTACCGTCCCGTACCGTGCCACGCGCACGCGGCAGCGGCTAGGCGCATGAACGACAATGACAATGACAGGGACAGGGTTCTGTGAATTAGGTTAGGTAAGCTAAGTCGAGTCGGGTCGAGTTGACTCGAGCATTGCATGCCCGAGGCAGGACAGGACAGGACCCTTTTCGTTGCGTGCCCGCTGCGTCGTGCCGTGCCGTCCCGTGTGGCGCATCGGCGATTGCATTCCTCTGCGTGCGCGGGGAGAGAGGGGTGGAGTATCCGTAATCCGTAGATAGATAGGTACTTTACCTTGGGTACGTAGCCGGACGAGCGGGGACGCGGGCGCGGGCGCGGGGGAGCCGGGCTTGCCCGATGGGTAGGTATGTGAGCAGGCGTGTGTGTGTGTGGAAGCGGATACAACGGCCGTGTTTGGGTTTGGATTTGGGTTTGAGTTTGAGTTCGGGGTGTAGGTGTGTGTGCCTGCGTGCGCGTGTGCCAGAGCCTGCCTCTGCCCCTGTGCCTGGCAAGAGGTTTGCTTGTTTGCTCATTCGCTTGCACCGAAGCGTGTGCCGCAGTCGCATCTGTCAGCTGCTTCTAGCATTTTCTTACCAACCTACCTACCAACCCACTTACCTGCCTATGACAGCTCGCTCGCCTCTTCTCTGTGGCGACTGGCGTGGCGACTGGCAACCACAGGCAAAAGGCAACATGCAACAGGTAGGTAGGCAAGCAGTCCATGCCCCCTTAGCAGCGGCACGCCGTACGTCGCTGTCTCGGAGCGCGGAGCACGAGGCGTGCCTACCCACCCACCTAGTGATCCAGTGATCCAGTGACCACCCTTCCAGGTAAGCATGGCACGGCAGCGTCGCATAACTACCTAAGGCACCTAGGTAGGTAGGTAAGTAGGCACCTAGGTTGCGTGCTGGCCGATGGCCGATGGACGGGTACCTAGGCGAGCCAGCGGGTGGTCCTGTAATACACAGACAACTGCTTGCTCGCTGCTTGCGTGTGTTTGGGTGCGTGGCAATAGAGAAGTCCTACCTACTTATGTTATGTATGTACGAGTTACTCGGTCCCTACCTACCTAGGTAGGTCTGCTGGCTGGCTGGTAAGTAAGTATGGATCATGAGCGTTGGATGGAGAGGTAGAGAGCGGAGTCGACAGACCCCACCGCCGCAAACGCTGATTGGACAGCCCACGACGCACGCAACAACGCAGGGCAACAGGCGTGAGTGAGTGCGCACGCAAGCACGCACACACGCACACGAAAGGAAGTCGTGCATGACGTATTGTACGCGAGCACAACCGCGCTCCCTCGATTTATCCCGTCGTGCCCGTCCCGATGGCTTTCGCGCTCTAACAGCAGACCTTCCCCCCTCGTGCGCCTCTCCTTCGCTCAGCAAACCAAACCACGCCATACGTAAGCACCAGCGCCGCCACCGGCCCCCACGCTTACACACATACTACATACTACATACCTCTGGCGCGCGAGACGGAAGGCCCAAGGCCAGAGCCAGAGCCAGAGCATGGAGGGCTGGAAGTCAGGCCAGGAGCGCGCTGGGGCAACTCAAGGCAACCCAACTCAAGGCCGCATCAAGGCCCGGCACGCGCAATCCGCAGCAGCCGGGCATGGACTCCTGTCGAGTCACGTCGTGTCGAGTCGTCGTGATTCATTCATTCGATTCGGCTCGACGAATTGTATTGTATTTTCGAACAAACAAACGCTCAAGCGATTCCCTGCGGTTCACGACCCCCGGCTCGCCCGGCTGCCCGCCTTATTGTTGCTTTTACCCCGCTTTGCCCGCTAACTAGCTAGGTATTGTACTAACTGCTGCCTAGGTAGGAGGTGCCAGGGTGCGGCTTTTAGCGAGGGTGGCCGGGCTGGAGGGCCGTGGGGCCGAGTTGTGACTACATTGGAAGGGCCTGTTTGTGGGTGGGTGGCGCGCTTGCTTGCTTGCTGGATGGGGTGTGTGTGTGCGGGTGGGCGGGTGAATGCAAGGGATGTGGCTAGGTAGGTAGTGGATACTTAGGGAAAGGAGAGGCGTGATGGATAGAGTGAGCTGGGATGGGATCCATTGGGACAAAAAGCCCGGGAGCGCAAGAGCGCGGGCCGCTCGCCGTGCTGCCGCTGCCGCTGCCGCTGCCGCCGTGGTGGTTCGGGTGTGGCGCGGGGGAGGGTGTGCGCGGGCGGTGGGCGTGAGAAGTAGATAAGGCGGAGGGAGATGGAAGGAGGAAGGACTGAAGGAAGGAAGGAACCTCGCTGGAGGGCGGCCCCAGCCAAGCCATCTAGGTCCTGATACGAGAAGCCGTTAGTTAGTTGGGTGCTGATGGGTGAGCATAGGTTTCTGCACAGCCTGGAGAAGAGAAAGAAAGCTTCATGGTTCATGGATGACTGCTTTGCGCCTTCCCCTCTCACACACCCCTTGTCACCCGCCCACTCCCGCACTCCCCTCGTGGCCGTTCCTGCGTGCCAGCTACCTACCTATCGCATCGTTCGTATCGCATCGCAGCCAGCACCACCGCAAACCCACCACTCACGCCACGCGCTCCTCCCCCTTAATACCGCGACGGGGCGCGCAGGCCACCTGCCCGAGCAGGCAAGTCCTCTAAGCGCCGCCGATGCCTCCACCGCTCTGCTGCGAGCGTTCCTTGCTTGCGCGCGAAAGAGCGTGTGGGTGGGTGGGTAGGTTGGTAGTTTGGTGGTGGGAGAGAGAGAGAGCGCGCGAGAAGTGGGAGGACGGAGGGGCAGAGCAGCGTCTATGGCTCTGTCCCCGGCATCTAGGTACATTCAGTACAGTACTCCGTTCATACAGCACTCCGTCCAAGCCTCGGCACGCGCCTAATTCCCGAGGTTCGCTGCGCTGCTGCACCAGCTCTCTCCAAGATCCCAGCCTAGTTGGCCTACGCGACCGAGGCGCAACTTCCGTTGACGAGGAAGCTCCGCGCTTGGGGAGATTAAAACTACTGTTAAGTGTAGGTATGGTGCGGATGGTGCGGGCTGGGCGCGCTGCTGTGGGATAGTATATATATGCGTGTATGGATGTGTGCTGGATGGAAGAAGAGTGTGTGTTTTCTATTGTAGACTTCGACCAGAAGATCTACTCCTATTCCTCCTCCTCCGCCTCTGCCTCTTCTCTCCGTTGCCGTTGCTCGTTGCTGCCGCTACTACTACTACTACCACCACCGCCATCATGGTGTTTTTCCGGGGCATGCCGCTGCTGCTTCCCCTGCTCGATCTCTTCGCCGCCGCCCCGCTCTCCGTCCATGCCCGTCCGACGGACCTGCATACCCGGCAGACGAGCTGGTCCGGCGACTGTCTCCCCGTGCATGTCATGATTGGGCGTGGCACGACGCAGGAGTACCCGGGCTCGCTGTTGTCGTTGGCGGATCTGATCATACAAAACAACAAAGACGGAGCCGACTACGAGGACATTGTTTATCCGGCTACGTGTGAGTGCTCATCTCGCCATTGACGTGTTGTTTGTTTGCCTCCGTTGCGGCACCCGTTCCCACAAGCGGCGAAGCGTCTTCAGTGACGCGAGAAAATGTGCTGGTCTTTTTTTACCCCTTGGGGCTGTGGAACTGAAAAGGAAATGGCCACCAAAGGGGGCAGACGACTTTTTTTTTTTTTTT